TATATAATATAAGTAAAAATAATTAAATTAATTATTATATTTAAGAATAAGGATAAATAATATTTTAAATTTAAAAAACATTTAATTTTATTAATAAATACTTTTAAAGTTTTATATTTTTTTATTTATTTATTAAATAATTAATTTTATTATTATATAATAAAAACGAGTTAATATTTAATTTTAATATTATTTTTATATTTAAAATATATATTATTAATTAATTTAAAAATATAATATTATGTAATTATTATTAAAGTGAATTTATAAATAACTTAAACTTTTTTATTATTAAAAAAAAAATTATTTATTAAAAATACGACTATAATTTTTAAGTGAATAAAAAGGTTTTAATTATTTATTAAACCATGTTAAATAATAATATTATTTTTTTATATTATATTTATTTTATCCGAATTAAATTAAAACTTAAAACGTATAATTACAACGTATTTAAAGAATAAAATAATTTAAAAATAAACGTGATTTTATATTTAATTACGATTTTTATTAATAATTTTAATATATATTAAAACTCGTATTATTTATTAATCGAAGTTTATATAATATTAATAATGTTTAATATTAATAAACGTTATTAAGTAATTAATGTTTTTTTTATAATATTATTTTTTTATAATTTTAATTTTAATAATATTATTAAAATATTATAATTTTTTAAATAATTAAATTACGGAATTAAAATTACGATTAATAATAAGAAAAGTATTTTATATATATTTATAATTTATTATATTAAAAACATGCTTTAATAAAATAAAAATTTAAGATTTTATAATTTAAAAATTTATAAATCTTACCGATTTTATTTAATAAAATAAATAATAATAAAATTAAATAACTTTTCCGATATTTTTAATTTTAATATAATAATATATAATAAATATTATTATTAAAATTTAAAAATATATAAATGTATGAATAATTAATTAAATAATATTAAAATTAAAGTTTATATTTTATAATAAAGTTTATTAAAAATTTTTTTTATTTTTTATTTATTTTATTTTAATTTTCGATTTTATATTATTATGTTTATTAAATTTTATTTATTTTAAGTTTTAAAGCTTTATTAAATTAATATATATTTTTTTAATTAATAAAATCTTGCGAAAAAATGGTAAATATTTTTATATATAAACATTAAAAGTTTAATTTTTTTTACCCGGGTGGTAATACTTTTAATCCTTTATTTATTATTTATAAAATTATATTTTATTTTTATATATTTAATGATTAATTATAATTTTAATATTATTATAATATTAATTTTTTTCGGAATATATATATTTATATTTTATAACGGAAGTAATTAAAATTTAAAAAACGGAATAAAAAATTATTAATTTTATTATACATGTTTTTATTATTTTAATAAAATTAAATAACATTTTTATAAGTATGAAAATTTTAAATAATAATTAAAAAAACTTTTTAAATATTATTCGCGTAATTAAAAATATATATTAATAATTTTATTAATTTATATTATAATTTATTATTAATAATTTTTATGTATATAATTATTTTAATAATTATACGCTTATATTATAACATGGTCGCGGTTATAATTATAATTATAATAAATAAAACGAATAAAGTTAAAAATAAATAATAACACCGTTTATATTACCGTTTATTCCGATAAAATTATTATTTATTTTAAATTTTATTATTAAATAAAATCCTATAAATATATTTATATTTAATATTAAAGATTTAACTTTTAACTTTATTTTAAAGTATATAATTTAATATTTTTATAATTAAATTAAATTTAATGTTTATATAAACATTTATTATTTTATAATTATAAAAAAATATATATTATTAATAAATATAAATATTTTATTAAGTAAAAATTAATATTAATATATTATAAATTTAAATTTAAGTTATATATTAATATATTATATAAATAATTTAAATTAAAAATATATAAAATTAATTATTTTAATATTAAAAAGTTATTATTAATTAAGGTTAATTTATAAATTATAATTTAATTTATTTTATAAAATGTTTTTTTTTATAATAACTTAAAGTTAATAATTTATATTTAAATATTATATAATAAATATTTAACTTTTTTTAATATTATATTACTTCGTATTAAATTTTAAAATATATTTAATTAAAAAATAAATTTTAAATTAAACGTTAATGTTGGAAATTATTAATATTATTAAGTAATTATTATTAATTAAATTTATTTTAAAAATATCGTTTATATAATTAATAATAACCGCATTTTATTAATATAATATAATATTATAATAAAACTTTTTAAATTAATATTACGAAAAATATACGTTAAAAAGTATAGTTAATTTAAAATTTATATATTTAATAATAATTTATAATACGTTATTAAATTTAAGTTTTTTAATAAATAAATATATAATATTTATATTTATATAATTTTATTTAATATTAATTTTATTATTTTATTTTATTAATATTTTATTAATAATATATATTTAATATTTTTTATTAATTTTTTAATGGTAAATATATAAGTGTATAAATTAATTTTACTTAAATAATTTTTATTAAATAAAGTTTATAATAAATGTAAAATTAAATTATAATTTAAACGAAATAAATTTACGTTAATTTTAAGTTATAATAAATTATTATAAGTTTAATAATAATAATATTAAAAATTATATATTAAAGTTAATTTTATATTATTAAATAATAAATTATAATAACTTTAATAATTATAATTAAAAATATATGGAAGCATATAAAAAGTTAATGGGATATATAATAACTTTAATTTATTAAATAATTTAATTGGTTTTTTTTATTTAAATAAAAATAAAATAAAATTAAAGTTATAATTTAAGGAAAAAATAATTATAAAAATAAAATAATTAATATTTTTTTTTATTAATATTTTAATAAGTTTTTTCTTTATATTAATTATAATTTAAAAATTAATATTATTATTTATAAGCTTTTATTTTATATTATTTATAATATAACGCGTGCATACATTATTTAATAATATTAATTAAAAAATGAAAAATTAAATTATATTTTAAATTTAAATAATAATATTTTATTTTAAAATTTAATAATATTTATTTAACGTTCGGAAATATTTATTTAATATTTAAATATATTTATTTAATATTTAAATATATTTATTTAATATTTAAATATATTTATTTAATATTTAAAAAATATTATTTAATAACGTTTAATAAATTAAACTTAATGTTTTATTTAAACTTAATAATGTTTTTTAATATTTAATAATATTTATTTAAAATTAAAATTTATTTAATATTAAATATTAATTTAATAATAATTTAACGGTTAATTTAATATTAAAAAATATAATATTAATTTATATTAAAATTTATTTAATATTAATATAAATTATAATAACTTATTATAAACGTTAAAATTAATTTATTAATTAAATAAACTTTATATTAATTAAATATTAATTTATAATAAATAAAATAATATGTTTAATAATTTATTTTAATTTAAACCCGGACTTAATTTTTATAATATTTAAATATAATTTAAAATATAATATTAATATAAATTATTAAATATTATTTATTTATTATTATTATAATATTTAATAATATTATTTTTTTAATTATTATTTTTAATAATATTAAATTAAAAGTTAATTTTTATTTATTTATATAATAATATATATTAATATATTTTTTTAAAAAATTAATATATCCGATTTAATAATAAAGTTAAATTAAATTTTATAAATTAAATATTTATTTATAAATATAATAAAAAATAATATATTTTTATTATTTTTACTTTTATAAAAGTATAAAATAAAAAAAATAAAATATTAAATTTTTATAAAATTTATTATTTTAATAATTGTTTTATTATAATAAATATTAATTTTATTAAATAAAAAAAATTATATATTATTAAGTTAAATAATAATATTAAGATTTAAATAAATTAAAAAATAAAATAATTTTAATATTAAATATTAAAATATTTTATTATAATAATTATATATTTATAATTATTATAATAATTAATTAATAAAAAACTTTTAATTTTTTTAATTTAAATAAAAATAATTTACGAAAGTTATATAAAATATATATTTAAATAATTTATAACATTAAATATAATATTTTAATATATTATTTAAATTATAAGGATTTAATTTATAATTATAATAATATATTAAATATATTAAATAATTATATATTTAAATATAATAAAATTAATTTAATAAATGTATAAAATTATATAATAAATATTAAATATAAATGTATATAATTTTTATTAAAAATATATAATTAATATTAAAATTAATTAATAAAAATAAAATTTATTAAATATTTATTAAAATAAAGTTTTTATATTTATATATTATATTTTATTTTTAATATTATTATATTTATATAAAATTTTTTTTAAAATAATTAAATGTTTAATATATTAATATTTATTTTTAATTATTAATTTTAAATAAATAAATAATATATTTATTTTTATACGAAAAAGGTATTTTATTTAAATAATTTTATATTAATTAATATAGTTTTAACGTTTTTATTAAATGAAAATAATATAAAATATATAAAAAAAATAACATATAAAAAATAAGCACGTAAAAAATAAATAAATAATAAAAAATAATTATTAATAAATAAATAATAAAAAATTAATAATAATATTAATTAAATATTTAAATAAATAATAAATTATAAATATTAAAATTAAAATTATAATATATTATTATAATAATTTATAATAAAAATATAATAAATTTATAAAATATTATAATAAATAAATTTAAAATTTATAATATATTAAATATATTATTATAATAAATAAAAATAAAATATAATATATAATTATAATAAATAATATAATACATTTAATAAATAATTTAATAAAAAAACTTATAAGTTTTAAAAATTTCATAAATATTAATCATTTTATATAAAACTTATATAAAAATATAACAAACTTAAAACTTTATTTTTAAAAATTAAACCTTATAAAAATAATAACACCACAAGCCTTGTATAAAACTTTATACAGCCTTGCACAGGCCTTGTTTAGCCCCATTAACTCCCGCTAAGGTAAGCACAAAGGTTACATATAACCTTGAAGTAATACGCGGCTAGAAGCATATGTAGTACCTATATGTAGCATATGTAGGTAAGAATATGTACATCTCACATTTACTCGATTATAACTTGAGCTTTATCAACTTACTAAGCACCTAACTGTCCGTAAAGGATGAATAGCGAGCAGGGAGCTATCAACTGAATGAGAATTCGAGAATAATATCTCAGGATTCTTCGGAATTTCGTTCCCTTCATACCTAAGCAACGACATCCGTAGATAATGGGTTCCCACGTGCGCCAACTCCGGGTATATGATCACGGCTTCAATGTAAAACCCCTTAGTCAACTTTGTAGATGGATGTTCATGCTACGGTGAGATCTGGAGAAGCCTTTTCTTTGCCCCCGACAATCGATTCCAGCCGGCCGGCCATAAGTCGATGTCGCTTCACTACTTCGACCCATTCGTCTTCAGCTTGTTCTCCAACGTCAATCGTAGCTAACAAGATGCCAAAATCGCCTCCAAGACGCCCAAGACTCCCGGCGCAATACAGGACCTGTGTTAGGAGGCTATCACGAGATGGCTGGTCCTTGACGGTTGGCAAGTAGATTCGTAGCGTCTCCATCAACATTTCGATTAGGTGGAACGGGAATGTTGACAGCGCCGAGGGAACAGGTCGGAGAGGATCACCGTCGTCCGTTCTCGAGGACAGTTCGTTTGTCGGCGTAGGGAATATACTCCTAAACATAGAAACAATAGCAAAGCTTTGCTCTCTGAATATTTCTATGTACCGCTTGAGGTATCGCTCGGTCTGCTGACCACCAGACCACGCGCTCCCGGATGGGTTTTGCTGCTGACGGATTCTTTCCTGCTCTGCCAACTCGCGAAGTGGCTCCAAGGCGGCAAGCATATTGATAAGCGTAGATAAACGGCATACGAGGAAAAGGGCACCCAGCCCCCCGCCGTTGCCAGCCGTACCGGCAGAGTCAAGGTCCGGCACTACTCTTCGAAGCCAACTAGTTGTTCTCAAGGCAGATGCCAGCTTGAGGCCGGGTGTGCGTAAGCCCACAATTAAATTCTTGGCCATGGCCTGCATAGCCTCGTCAGCCTGTGCGGACACAGACGTCACTAAAGGCGAGTCCGCGTACAATCCGTGTAATCGACGGATATGACCGTTCAGGTCCAATGCGGATGCATAGTTGGCGGCCGGAGCTGAAGAGCCAGCCGCGACGGCAGTGGAGAGTAGTGCAGGTAAATCAAGTACGTCAACTAGGCGCTCGACGTTTCTTGATAACAACAGAGCTCGCTTCCGAGCATTCAGAATTTCATTATCTCCGGATTTATTGTAAGTAGTAGAAAAACGAACTGCCTCATTATCTAGTTTGGGTATAGCACTTGTGAGATCATTTGTCGAGGCTGCTAGGATAGGGAGTGCTGAGCGGAGGTGAGAATGATTGGCCGCGGAGGCGATGATAGATTTGTGGGAGCGCTTGGAAAGTGCTTGTAAAGATAGGAGTAATGAATGGGAGGACTGTGCTAGGGATTGCTGTTCGGAGCCGTCTAGTTGAGAAAGGGGCATAGAAGCCAGAGTGGATAAATACTCGAGGGCGACGGGATCATTATGAGACTTGTCATTGGGACGAGTATCGGTTGAGCCAGGCGACTTCAGTGACTCATAAAATAAGTCAGACATGCTTTAATAACCCCGACGGAATGGTGGTATAGTTATTAATGAGATTATTGACACCGATTGAAAGCAATCCCAATTCTGCCATTAACTTTTTGCTACATGTCACGTATGTATGCTCATATTCCATTGCTCATTCAATTAAGGAGTTATGTATATAAGACTCATTATTACTCTATGTGATGAATTATGTGAGATAGATACCTACTTGAGGTTTCCACCTTGAAGTTCCGAGTTCTTACGCACGTAGGTACTTACCCAACGACTTTGAACTCCCATGTGGTCTATTACCTATTTTGTGCTTAGCGTGTGCATGTGTTGGGGATTTGAGTAAAGTTAGGACTACGGGATCCATGCAGTCATGCACGTACCTATGATACGTGATGGTACACTATATTTTATTAACTCTTTTAACTTTACCTACCTTCTAGCCTTCTACACGAAAAATAACTACTAGATAATTACATAAGTATTTTAAAAAGAAAAAGAAGGGGGGCGTGCCGGAAATTATATCCAGGTACCTTGGACCTTTGGACTCAAAATTCAGAAGCATTCGCTACCTTGTAGATCCTCCGCCCTCCCTCCGCCCTCTTTCCTCTTTCCTCCCTTTTCTAACAAATCAATTGTCACGCACACCAAACAGTCAAATCATCTCTGCTGACCCTTCGCTGCCTAAATCCTAAGCCAAAAAGCTATTGGTATCCGTTCAGGTGCCATGTAGGTGCAATACAGGGGGTGTCATATGCAAGGTCATCAGCTCTGAGTTGTAAGTCACCGGCAGCTGACTGCCACGATCCTCACTTGTATTTAATTCAATTCTTCTTTTTTTATCGTATACTCCTACTACTTATATCCTGCTACTTTGTCGCCCACCCATTTCATCCATCTACTTACCTATCTCCGATTCTAGGTTTAGATACTTCCTGTTCGAACTGATTCGGGATATCTACTACGTAGAACATCGTACCTTTTATTCAAGGTATCACAGCATTCCGAATACATTTGCCGCGTAACACACGGAACGTTCTAAAGTCGAACAACAAGGAAGAGAAGAGAGAGAGAGAAAAAAAAGGAGACCAAACGACGATGAGGGATCCATTCCCTATCCCACCCATACCCGCCCTGAGCAAGGCTGTCCAACCATGGGCCGACTACTTCGACTTACCGACGCTGCCACTACATATACATGAGGTCGTTTTGATGGCCGCCTTCTACCATGTCATAGGCAGCGTCGTCTCTCCTATCCTATCACGTCGACTTTTCCCTACCCACTACTCGGCCCTATCCCCTAGCAGGAAGCTGAACTGGGACGTCCATGTCGTGTCCTTCGTACAGAGCACAGCAATCAATATCCTCGCGTTATGGGTCATGTTCGTCGACGATGAACGTAGGAACATGGACTGGCAAGAGCGTATCTGGGGCTATACCGGTGCCGCCGCCATGATCCAAGCTCTCGCCGCAGGCTATTTTCTCTGGGATCTCATCATGACCGCATCCCACATCAACATCTTCGGTCTTGGCATGCTCGCACACGCTGTCAGTGCTCTGCTAGTTTATTCTTTTGGCTTCGTGAGTCTCCCTCACCCAGGGATCGAGTTTTGCGCGGTTGGTATTGACCTTGACAACAGCGACCGTTCGTCAACTACTATAGTTGCAACTTTATCCTTTGGGAGCTGTCTTCTCCCTTCCTCAACATCCACTGGTTCTTCGACAAGATGGGCATGACTGGGTCCCGGGCGCAGCTCTATAACGGTCTTATTCTCATTTTTACCTTTTTCTGCTGCCGTCTTGTATGGGGTACATACCAGTCTGTCCTCGTTGCTCGCGATCTGTGGACCGGCTTGCATTCCGTGCCAACCGTCCTGGCGAACATAGCGCCCGAAGATGTTTCCGAAGCGATCTTACCTTCCCAGTACGCCAACACTATGCGATTTGTGACTGATTCAACTGGTGTCCCGCTATGGCTTGCCGCTGTTTATACCGGGAGCAACTTGACTCTGAATTCGCTGAACTTCTACTGGTTCTTCAAGATGATTGATGCTGTTCGTAAGCGATTCGACCCCAAGGAGAAGGAAGTCCAGGAATCGGAGAAGACAAAGGAGAATCATGCCGTCGCCACTGGCGTGGAATCTGATAATGTCCAGTTGAAGGCTCGGCCGCGCCGTGGCACCCTGCTAGACGGAGAAGAGGAAGACGAGCCCCCACCGATCTAATATCGCCAAAGAGAAACCCGCTATTCTATATATGGGTCACGTGTTGATATGATCGTGAAGAGCTTCGGTCTATTATCTTCCGGACCCCTTATCAGAGAATTTCCTCGTATTAGACAAATAACAATATAACTATGAAGAATTTGATATGCGATAGGTTTGAACTGCTGCATCGTGAATGAAGGATTATTAGAAGCTTAGCCGCTAGCTAAGTGCTTCAGGTGAATTATAAAGGATTCCCAAGAGACAAAGTCAATCCAGCGGACATTACGAGACAGCTTTCGAAACGATTGTCAGAAACAAAGCAGATGGGAGATCAGTTGGAGGCTGTTTGCTATTCCTAAGCAAACGGCGGGGTGTTCTATACGGTGTCTTAGCGTTGATAACCACAATATACCTAATGGAAATAGAAATTCATTACGTAGCAAATTTAGTAATACATGGCGGAATCGTAATGTGGTGATCTAAAGAAATAGGTTGACTCAAGTTATATGACATCCATATGGAAGATTCGTGCCATTATTCTATTGGGTACAACTGGAGATGTCCACTCCAGCGTGGCTGGGGCACATCCATATGTATAAGGTGTTTATATATAGAGGCCATGCATTCTAGTAAGTAAACCGTGTCCAAGAAGCATCCACATATCGCTCCGTTATATGGCCTGTTCTTGATGGTCTTTCCGCACGTTTGCTTGATCACCCAAAAAGAAAATGAGCTTTCGTGATAACTCGGGGTATGTTTTGCCTCGAGATTGAAGTGGCTTCCAAGCGGTCGACGTAAATACATTTCAGACAATGCCAGAGAAACTACAGGGCGCAAGTATAGCGAGAAGCGCAGTGACACTGGCACAATACTCAATTCCATTAAACCCACCGTTCACGTCAGACGTGTCCGACATAGTAAACGCCAACTTTATACCACGCCTAGCTGACTACAGCACTCATATACACAGGGGCCTTTAGAACCCGAAGGGATTGTCCGGAGCTGTAGGATGTTAGTTAGGCGACCTCCACTGTGGTAAACAAAGGGCAGGGGGGACTTACTCGCTTGTGCGAGGTTTGCACGACGTCCAGTCGGCTGAGGGACAATCTTGTCCGCGACACCGAAGCGCACGGGCGGTGCCGGTCCGGTCTTCTGGGGTTGGAGAGGAGCCGCGGGTGGCTGTTGAGCAGCCGTATTGTTCATGCCCGTGTTGAAACCCTGGCCGAATCCTCCAAACCCGGTAGGCTGCGGCTGCATTGGTGGCATGCCCGTTCGCTGAGGCTCCAACGCCGGTGGCAAAAACGAATTCACTCCACCCTGCTGCTGTGGGTAAGGCTGAGCTGGTTGGAAGCCTCCCGGAAATCCGGTGGGCTGGTTCTGAATCGGCGAGAACTGTTGAGGGCGAGGGTCTGAAAAAGGACTCTGCGTCTGTGGAACTCCGGTCATTTGGGGTTGCATGAACTGCCCTGTCCCAAACCCGGGTTGCGGTTGAATGCCAGTAGCCGGGTTGAATGGCATCATGCCCTGGCCCGTCGGCTGGGGTTGGAAAGATCCCATGAACTGTTGCTGCATCCGCTGTTGATTCAGATCGTTCATGCTCTGCCCCGGGGGCGCAATTCCTGTCATTTGTGGTTGCAGCGGAGGAGGCGCAAAGCCGCTGGGTTGTGCCGACTGCGGCGCCGACAATGGTCGCGAGGGAGGCGGTGGCATCAGAGCGCCTTGATTTCCAGTCATTTGAGGCGGAAGTGGTCTTTGCCGATTACCGAGACCAAGATTGATGGGTTGAGCTGGCGTGGCCTGTGAGGCTGACGCGGGTGGGATACCAGTCTGCTGCTGCGGAATGCCCGTGAAGAATGATGGTGATGCTCCTTGGGGTTGAGGTTGGGGTTGTGTCTGTTGCGGTTGGACCTGCAGCGGCGGCTGAGCTATTAAAGGCACCGTACTAGTTGGTTGCGTCTTGGTAGGCTCTAGTGGGGCCGTTAATAGGGAAAGATCTTGTATGGCTTGCGTTGGTGGTCGCTGGGGAGGTTCGGCAGCCGTTGTTGATTTTGGCTCTGGAGTCGGTGCTGGTTTCGCCTCGGGCTCTGGCTGCCTTGCAGGCTTCACATCCCAGGCATCGTCGTCGAACCCACCGGCGTTGCTCTTTTCCGCAGCCTTTGGACGAGACGTAGCAGGAGATGACGAATCTGAACTATGTGCGCTATTCTCTTTCTGCTGAGAGAACGCTTTGGGGTCCACGCTGTCGTTCGTCTGCACAGCCGGAGCAGGACGACCTTTTCGGGTATTATTCCGGAGTGTTCCACCTGGTCCAGAAAAGAGGCCGCCGCCAGAGCCGTCTTCGTCATCTCCCGCAAAGCTAACGTTTCTCTTCTTACCATCACGGCCAAATTTCTTGTCCAAGAAGCGCATGACCTTGATTATATCGCCTTCTCGAAGACCAAGGTTCCGGAGAACGCCAGCATCCACGTCAGGCAAGACGCTCTCGTCCATGGAATCCTTGGTGAATGCTTGAGCGTAACGTTCACAAAGGCCAACAGCGACATCGCAAGATAAGAAGAACTGGAACCAGTCGTAATCCGGCTTTGCTGGCTCAATGGAGGCGCCAACTTTATTAGTGACAGACTTCGCACCAGGTCTCGATGACCTCGCGCGCTTAACTTCTGACAGAGGTTTATCCTCATCTAGAGACACTCCTAGGGTACGCTCGACGTACTCAATGTCTTCGATGGACATCTTGGCTACGGGCACCGCGATCTTGACGCCGTTCATCTTGTGCAAATTAATTTTCCCGTCTTTAAGACCGAGGAACTGAGCTTCGACGCTGAAGGACTTGGAGCGGTCGGTCCAAGTTCGTACCTTGGCCGGATCTGGCTCTGAAGTCAGGGGTTAGCACCGTCCGTACGACAGATTTAGCCCCAGGCAACTCACTAGGCTTGGAAGAACCGGAACGGCTACTTTCGGCGTGGCCGTTTTCGCGTCGATTTCGCTGTTGCCCAAAATTGTTACCATTGTTCCTTGCTGACAAACTACTACGCCTCTCAGGCAAACGCATTCCGGGTCCTACCTCTGCTGCTTTTTGATCTCGCTTGATTGCTTCTTTAGTCAAGCGCTCCTCCTCCAGTCGATTCTGCGCCACGGTAGACTTGCCGGCATTGATTCCTGATGCCGTCTGTGTTGTAATCACATCGGTGATTTCGATGTAGCTGCTAGGGACGACGCCTTCTTTTCCGTTTTTGAGGCGACGGACTTGCCACCATTCTTCGCTCTTGCTGTCGTCGATGACTATGACCTCGTCTCCTACCGCAACAGTGACCTCGTCGTCTCCCTGGGCCATGAAATCGTAGAGAACCTGGCCCCTCTTTTGGCCACCTCGACCAGTCCCAGCCATAATGACTTCCCTTAGACCCTCTGCTCGTACGGCTCCGGCTAGCTCACCGAGAGCGCTGACAATCTCCTCGGCTGTATCCTTGGCGCCTGCATGAAAGTCTATACTCTTACTTGGGCGTACGAGTTCCAGAAACACATGCTTACCCTCTCGGGAGTAATGCGTCATCTTATCCGCAGTCCATTCTTGGGTTGGGCCGTCCTGAGCATGTTCTGGGGCGATGAGGATAACTCCCGTTTTCAGATTCACGCCTAGCGTTGTCGGCATCTTCTTCTTCTTGCCCATCACAGACACCATCTCGTTGATGTTATACATGTGGAAACCACCCGGCGCAATGCGGCTCGACTGGGGTTGGCGAGATTCATCTTCGTAATCGCGGCGGCTAGAAGACCGCTGCGGGTGGGCTACCGGCGCTGAGTGATGGTCATTGGATATAGTTGACGCCGACTGAGACAGCGGCCGGGCCGGTAGAGCGGGGCTTGGCTCGCCATCGGATTCTTCTGACAGGTATTGCTGGCGAGGCGGTACAGTAACTGGTGGGGGCGTCTGTGCGCGTGTGCCAGAACCTCTACCTGCCATTACACCAGCCAGGGCGGCAGCTGGGCCAGCCGGCGCAGCCGGTGCCGCCGGAGTCGCTGCGGATCTTACTGATGACCTCCTGTCCGGTAGAGGCGGACTCTGAGGCGCTTCTGACTCGACCGGGGCGGGAGGTCGCCCAGGTAGTGACGGAGGCTTAGGGACTACTACAGATTCGGGTTCGGGTTCAGGCTCAGGCTGAGGTTCGACATCTGGCTCGACCTTCGGGCCCGAAGCCGAGGCAGTGGCAGTCACCTCGATATAATTCGCCGGAACAAAACCATAATCGCCTTCAAATCCGACAAGGATCCAGTCAGGGTCGGATGTATCGAAGACTTGCAACTGGGCGTCTTCAGGAAACGACAGCTCTTCATCTGTCTGCCGAGTGTATTCGTATAAGGCACGGGCTTGACCTACGGGTTGCGCCTATAAAAGCTTAGCACTCTCTTCTTGAAGGTGGATGATCGTCGAAGATGTCTTTTGCACTTTGTTGTACACGCACCTCTTCCACATAGTTGTTTGGTACCAAGCCAACCGGTTCATCTTCGTCATCGGCGCTGGCCTTCTTTTTAGCCTTCCACCAATCATCATCTTCACTTTTTTCCAAAACATATAGTACGTCTCCTTCCCCTATCGAAAGTTCCCCTTCTGACTGTGGCGCATAATCGTATATGGCCTTGTATACGCCGAGAAATCCCATGGCAGGCTAGGAGGGAGGATAGGGTAGGATAGGGTAGGATGGGGGATGAGGAAAAGTTTCGATCAGAGAGGCCCTGTTGCTAGTAAGTCGGGTATAGCTGCTACGTCTTTTAGGAGCGCATGCGAGTTCAGTACGAGGATAGCGAGCGAGCGTACGGTAAGAGGTCGAGTGTTGCGAGCAGAAGAAGAGGTTCTCCCAAAGCTTAAACTGCGGCCGAAGGGGGAGGAGATTGATCGTGGTAGGGATAATCCAGTCCAAGTTTAGTCCGAGTCCAGGCACAAACAGAAAGCAGGATGAAGCAAAGTCGGAAAGGGGGTTCCCTTTAGATGACGATTAGAAGTAATGATGTAGGTGTAACGAGTTGCGCAGACACAAGAAGAGGCTCCCAGGGACTTGTCGTTGCGATGTAACCATACGCAAACATATTACGGATACCTCGAAGCTGTGCTGCTTCAAACGCAACGGGCAGCCTAGGAGAGCGTGTCCGGACGAATATATGGGGAGGGAGATTTGAAATGTAATATTGAAGGTAATAAGTAGAAAAAGGTAAAACCACGTGAAGCAATCGTCAGGGAACAGGGCACACAGAGAACGGAGCACTGGCTACACAGGGTGCACAGGGTACCAAAAGCACAGAGCAACCCGAGGACGGTCGTAATCGGCAGCAGGTAGGACTAAGAATTACTAAACGCGCTAAATTATTCCCGTATATTAACGAATCTGATAATTGCATAAACACTCGCTTATATACATATTTATGCACATATTCTATAAACATTATATATATCTATGTTCTATGTATGTTCTATGTTCCATGTTATGGAGGTAGATGTTACTAGTCCCATACGTCTTAAAAAGCATCCCGAAACGGATCGATCACCGGGTTCTTAACTAGTATCTCCAAGATAGTTATAAACTCTCAGTACCCATACATACGTTTAAATCTTCATTACCTCCATACCAATTCATAGGCCACGTTAGAACTTTTATCGTCCGCAAAATTCATCACGTCCACCAATATTACAGTGCAAAATCCAACGCTTAACTCGATTCATCCCTCCCAGCATTCTTCTTAGGAGTGACACGGGGCGAACAGACATCTTCGCTTTCATGAGGCGAGCTACGGTGCATACTACCGTGCCTCGAAGCTCTCGCCATCATTCCAGGGATATACCTAGGCTCGTGGCTGGAGAGATGTGTCTCGCGTAGGTCTTCGGCATGAGCATCGAGGTGAGAGCTACTGATTTCTGCTTGGGATCCCGAACGCGGCAGCCGACCTTCTAGATCCGTGATACTGATGTAGGCGTGAGACTTGGAATCACCTGTGGTGATCCCACTAGCCATGTTCGTCTTGAGGGACGAGGTCGGTGAGGCCGGGTTGAGGCTCGACGCGGCTGCTGGATGATGCTCAAGCACCTCGCGCAGCTCAGTCGTGGATGTATAACTCGAGATCCTACGATTAATTAGTGCCATACGGGCCTGGGAGAAAGGAAACATGTAACTCACATTCGATGCTCCTCAACCCATGTATGATGCCTGAACTCCTCTCTTCGATCCGGTACGTTAGTCTTCACCATACTATTTCCATCCTTCCCCGGAAGATTGAACTTTTCTCCTAGCCACTGTTGCTTGATAGAATACTCGTAGCCGCTCTGCTTCACCGAATTCTTCGCCAGCTCGCACATATCTACTGGGCTTAGTTTATAGATCTGTGCCGCGACGGCATACTCTTCCATCAGCGGCTCCTTAGTAAACGCAAATTGAAGAGGATCGTCAGTAGAGAGCGATACATTCAAGCCACGTCTAAAGTACTGGTGAAACGGATTTCTCTCGTAGGCTAGGAAGAGCGCATTGTTACTAAGTGGTGACATGGCGATACCGATCTGCTCGAGATAGAAGATGTACTGCAGGAGGGGCACCTTTCTCAGGAGCAACCCGTGGCTAATGCTATGGCTGCACAATAAAGCGACGGCCAAATGCTCGCTATCACCTGCCTCCCCACAATGCGGCCGAAGTAGAAATGTGTTGAAGCCTCGTTGACGACGCCAGAAGTTGAGTGAGGTCATGTTAGCGAAGAGATAGTAGATCCAGTAGCTGTATGGGGGGTTCTGTTTAGAATTCCACTCCTTTGGGACGGGAAATTTCCTATACAGCCGGCGTTCGACCTTGCTCTCATCATCCACGCTATCAAACCCAATCACTCGCTGTAGGAAGACGTGAAGCTTCGGATGACTCTCGGGATCCTTGGTCACTTCGAAGAGCGGCTGGAAGACGTTTTTGACAATCTGTTCGAAGGATTCCATCAAGTTGGTAGCCTTGAAGACGTCATATAGTCGCGGAATCTGTATAAGCCAACGGACATTGGGCGAAAATAACTTGTTGTCGACTACCCAAGCGGCGAGGTTGTCCCATTCATCTAATGACCTTCCGTAGATCGAGATTCGCCATTCCACCATCTGATACTTACTGGACTCAAGATCAGAGATGACCTCTTTCGTAATCTCTGCCAGATAGCGACCTTGGATGAAGTTGTCCGTCTTCAGAAAGATGGTCCGTAGTCGCGATTCACCGATAGGGTTATACTTTAGATTGAATTTATCGAAGCGATGGAAGGAATCAGTGTGTGCCTACACTCAAGTTAATCTACGCATTTCCCGGGAGAAAGGACCGAGGCCGTATGTCGTCAACTCACATGCATATCCAAAGTATCGATACTGAGGTCGTACGCGGTCAAGTTAATACTCTCGAACACCTCCCTAAGTGTGAGGTTTTTACCGTCCCGAAACAGTACGTATTCATCTGGGCATTTCTTCATCTTGCTTTTAATAAATCGCAAGAGATGCTTCTGATTCATGCAGGCAGAATGATGGACATGCGTATCGACCTTTCTCACATTGTAGAAATCCCGATGAGGAACCCTCTTAGTGTCTGCAGTTTCTTGATACTCATTTAAAAGAGCATACAGATTGAATTTGCCCTCCAGATATTGAAGCCGCCGGAAGGCGAAGCTCTTACTTGGCCCGTCGGACGATATGGACAATATTTCTTCAAGGTTCACATAAAAGTCCTTGATCGTAGGGACGCCCACCACTGGAGTATTGGCTTTGTTCGCAGCATCGGTTTCATACACCTGGTAAACGCCATTCTCATCAAGGTGAAATACGAGCTCACTTGCCTGGGGCAGGGGTAGCAGATCTCCCATATCGAAATCCTCCCCAATATCGTGGCCCGGCTTACGCTTCCTAGGCACTCTTTTAGGTTCGGCTTCCGCAGTCGCAATCCCAAGGTCCCCCGGGCGTTGTGCGCCAGCTTGGATAGGCAAAACTGTACTATTACTCATACTGTTATTTCCAGTGTTCGGGCCATGGCTATCCTGGTTCATATTGGGTCCAACCCAGGCAGGCTCTGGCGGCGGTGGATAGATATCCCAGCTAGGGTCGTCCTTGGGGTTGTCGCCATCTCGCTGCAGCGACAAACGGATGTATTTGTGACGGATGTCTAAAATTTTCTGTATATTTCGGAAGATAGTGCTTAGTTCTGCCACGATGTGCGGATCACTGCTACCGACGCCACTGGGGATGTTGGATGATGCTCCCCCTGGAAGACCCATATCAGGCTGTAAGCTGGACCCGGGCCTGTCCTGAGGGGCATCGCCACGTGGATGGCTGGTTGGTTGGGAACCAACATGCCCTCCCAAAGATGGCCGTGTGGCCGTACGCGGAGCTGTATCGAGGCTGTGAGGAACAGTAGAGGAGCCTGCAATATGGGGAAAGTCGTAACTCTGGAGCGTTGAAGGCAAAGGTGTGGAGATCGGAGTAGCGCCCAAATTGGAGTGGGAACGAGTAAGCGAAGTCTCACGAGCAGGCCTTACCGCTGCTAGGCCGACGGAGGCTACAGGACTCCCGTTAGGAGTGGCTGCTTGGGTTTGGTTCCAGTTGCTTCCTTCCGTCTTCAACTGATCCAGCTGGGTTCTTTGCATGTGGTAAAACAACTTAGCATCAGTCTGTGTCAGTTGCCGCTCAGCTACGGCGTCGTGGAACGTAGTTTTCCTTGGACGGTCTCGCAGCAGCATGCCGTCCTCGAGTGAGGGCGAGGACGTCTCCTCTGCATACTCCGGTGCGTCTGTCCCTGCATTGCGCATCTGGTCTCGCAACCCGGAGTGGCGCGATGGGGTCTCGGGTTCCGAGTCACTTTCTATAGCATGTGCGGCGGCATCAGAGCCATCTGAGTCGAATTCGAGGGCCTTGTGTGCAGCCGGAATCTTGGGCGAAGTTGGATGGAAAGCTGTGGTACTAGCGCCGTTAGCCAGCGGTATATAACATAAGTAACCGAATCACCGCGAGATACGACTGCTAGCATGGTTAGGTAGGTCGGTTTGATTGACTAACAAGACATATTGCTGGTGAGGCCAGGATGAGCGGTAGGTTCCCCGTCGTGATTTAAGTCTCTGGACGTCTGACTTGCTGATGTCTATATTTTATAAACCATAGTACCAGGCAATTTACCCGAGTGATGTAGTCGTTGGTAGTAAACTTTATAGCCTTGAAGGGCGTTGTCTCCTTTTCTATGAGTGACTTATAACCTATTCGTAATAAATAGAAGCCAGGTTGATGTAACATGAAGTTTTCGATACTATCGATATTCTGTCACGATTTTGATGCTTAGGTACTTACATTTTCTTAGGTGCCCAGCTATGACAGCAAAGTACCCAAGCATATGTGGGTACATCAGGTAGTTAAACTTAACCTAATTTTTCTTTTTACGTCAGGTAGGATGGGATTTGTATATCTGATTTGTCCAATGGCCCATAATAGGTATTGTATACTTGGTCGATGGTGGGGAAGAGGGGGCTGGACCGCAACTGATAAGACCGGAGCATGTAAGGTACATTGTCGACTATTCCCTACCAGGTATCTACCTATGTACATACATACCTAGGTAGTACCTACTAGGTAGGTATGTAATGAACATAATATGGATACATAGGTAGGTAGCTTAAGTAGGTAGGCACATACAGTATGCACAACTGTACGTATGTACATTGAAGAATACCTATACGAGGCCTCAAATTTGGAATCGTGGTGGAAATCATCGCTCGTCACATGCGGAATAAACACGACGTGTGTATGACTATTTACGGCCAAATACCGGATTTGGCCAAGGGCTTCTTTACTCTCCCCAGAAATTAAGTATATGGTGTCAAAAGATAGATGGACACCTGATATATATATCTAGACCTAAGCGTGTAGGCATATATCTACCACCTTGCACCTTGTTCACCGGTATGTTTATGGCATGGCTTACAACATCGTTGGCGATCTGACTTACGGATCGTGTTCACTTCGCGTCAAAATGACACATTTCTCGCAGGCCGTATGCCTTATATATGATATCGTACTTTATATTGGCCGTTTCATGAGGGAAACAAGTCCTACTCTCGTATCTCAACGCGACGTAGCTGGCTATCCCGCTTTTCCGCCGGCTGCCTTGGGCTTTGGTACTGCCTTTTTCTTGGAATCCAACGAGTAAAGGCCACCGGCAGAGAACACTACGATAGCTCCTATGAGTGTACCTGTGGCTAAACGATTTCCGAAAAGCCATATACTTAACAGTAGGCTAACTAACTTGCGAATGTTGAGCACAATCGTGACCGTCAGTGCCGAAGACGCCGCAGCTAGAAGGTTGACACCCCGTATACAGGCGTATTGTGTCAAGACGTTGAGTGCTAGGTAGGCAACTTGGCTAGGAATGTAGATCCCCTCGACCCTTTGCCGTACCGTGGCCGGAACGGTCGAGAGATTTGCCTGTCCGGCCAGGAGAGGTAACGGGAGTGGCTTGCTGCTAGCCAAACGCATGAACTGCGTGATCAGGGAGCGCGAAAACGGAAGAAAGAGCGGCAATGATAGCAGATGAGAATAGAACAGATTCTCTTTCCAGTGCGGTCCGTACTTCCTGTATGTCTCTTCGGTGTACAGTCCCATGATGGCCGATAAGATCTGCGCGATCAAGAGGACCGCGAGACCCGTGCTAAACTTGGGAACATTTCCGTGGGGATCACCAGCGCTTGTCTCCTTCGAATTAGTTAGTCCCAAATATCACTGACTAGAATGGGAGTGAATAGGAGTGAATGGGAATAGATGGGAGCGTCTGACCTTGGATTGTGCGTCTGACCACGCGGCCGTTACAACGCCAACCGTGAGCAAGAGAACAGCGACAACCTGTATGCGAGAATATCTCTTGCCATATAAACCACCGGCGATCATTGTCGTAATACTCCCGCCGGACCGCAGGATGATGTGAACCGGCACAGATATATCGTAGCTGAACGCGTGGTTATTCAACACATTGATGCTGAAGAAAAGCACGATGTTGATCAGCCAACGACGGATCGGGACTCGGTTTGGCTTGATGAAGAATGGTGGGCGTGTATAGTCAAATTGTGAGACGTATCCCGTGACGGCGACGAAGAGGAATTGCACAAAGGTCAGAAGCGTTCCTAAAGGTGAGAAATGTAAGACGTCAGTTCGATTCTGGGTCGGATTTTATACAGTCAAGTTTCGCTATCATACCACTTGCTGGTTCAACCCTGGCGAGATTATTAGTCCGGAATACGGGCCAAGTTTTGAACGCGGTGTATCATGGGAGCTTACTTGATTATGGCCTCGAGAGCGAAGACCTACGCAATCCCACAGATGTTAGTTCTCTATCGCGGTAACAAGCAGTCGGGATTCGTTCGACCTCACGTTCGAGCAGCAGCCGCCAAAGATCAGGCCGAGCATTGCGCCTACGGCCAGCCATTGCGGGATAGTCTCGATGAAAATGCGGCCGGCGAGACCCATGATCTTGGAGAAGGTTGGTCGTTGATCATCTATGCCGTATAGCTCGGCCTTCTCGAGGGAAGGGCCGGCATTGATGACCTTTGGTGTCATAGCGGCGCCATTTTGCGAAGCGGCATGGGAATTTCGCAGAGTCTGGCGTCTCCGAGGCGCCGATCGGCTCGTCATCGAGGTAGAGGATGTGGACGGGAGGAATATATAGGGTTGATAATAGCGAGAGATTTATTCCTGCGCTTGCGGCAACCTGTCAGTTGTTCCCGGCTATTTTAGAGTCTAGATCGATCATCCGAGAGAGGGTCCCGTACCAATAGCGATAGCGGGATGTGTTGCCGCTGCTATGGCGATTCCTTGCATCTACGTATTTGATAGGCAAGTAGACATGAGTTTGGATTACTATGCCTGCCCGATTCCTGGGTAATGAATGTGGCTTGTCGATTTTATAGGTACCTGGTGCTGCTGGCCTTGGACTTGACAGGTTTCACTGAACGCACGTATTTATTTCGTCGCAATCTGACAGCATCTAAGGTCCAGGTATCCATGCTAACCTAAGCTTTTTCAGCCGACGGGCTTATCCAAATTGGGCACACCTTGGCCCCACTTAGTGCAACTATAGCTAGGTACCTATGTACTTGTACATCGTGGTGACGTTGATTGAATCTCGACATTGCTGGTTCGCTGCTCGCATATTACTGCAGATTCTGAAGTACATAACTCATATAACATGAAAGCTGATAAATGCGCCTGCAGCAACGAAGACTTTGACAACTATATGCAGGTAGTTTTGCGATCTTCCTCACTCCTGGATAGGTACCTAGATTCAATGTGCGGGAAAAGTACCTATATCGCCCGGTATACACTGGGTACCTACCCTGACCCGCTATCTACGGAGAGCTAGTTCCGTATTCCATTATCGCACGCATCGTAGCTATTATTATTTTACTAGATTTTAGATATCATTTTCATCACATTAGTTGCTTGTTTACTACACACTACGTAGGCATTTAAGATAACATATAATATATATGGACTTTCACGACAGGTTTTGGCACGGATACTCATTTATGCTTCAGATCTCATTTCTCTTGAGTCCCGTCTTAGGGCCTTTAATCTGCCTTGAAGAGTCTATGCCATAATATCGGCCCCATGTCTGCTGACTTGAAAGAAGCAACCGACTCCTCGTGGAGATTTCATTGCCAAATCCATGCTTCAACTCCTACCAGCATGTCTTAATACGAACCCGAGTGCCTAGGGTACCAGGACTCGGGATAATGCCAACCTCCTATATGCAGCTTTTGTGTCATAAACCCAACGTTTTTCTCATTTGCAAAGGCGTCCGCTTCCGTTGAGTGAGCCAGAGGTCGTCGCCATGGATACCACGAGTAATAATCTAAGTCTCAAGGGACCGCGCAAGTATCAAGGAGACCACTGGCAATGATGACGCACGTCTCTGCCCGAAATTCGAGCCGGGACGTGCTTCCGCAGATCAGGTTATACCATGCTGCGAAATGTCCGGCCGTTACCGGAGAGCGCCATCGTACACTTAGAGAGCCGAGAAGACGAACAACTACACCGTGTTAGCTACCATGTGAACGGCCGGGAAATTCAAGCCGGGTTCGGACTTACGTTATTCGTCGCAGCAATCGCGATGCTGTCCTCGAAAGGGTGCCAGCTCATATGTAGGATTTTCTTGTTGAAGTCGATCTGATCCGCGTCCGTCTCTTTTCGCATTCTCTGTCCTTGGCCCGCCCCAGCTGCCGGGCTACCCGCACGCGATCCGCCTTTCTTACCGCCGTTGGTCGCTGTGGGGCTCGTCGACGAGTTGATAGGCGTCGGGATTCCTACCTTCTTCGCTTTGAAAGCAGACTTGTCCGCCTGTAAGACAACCTCAATTTCTTTCTCGGGGTCCGACGGATAAATCATGAAGTTATTGTTATAGCTTCCGGTCATGACGTTTTTCGCATCGCCCGAGAAAACAACTTCGAATTTGTCAAAGATGCTATCGTTCTCATATGTGTCACAGAGCCGAGGTCGTAGATGTTCATGGATTGGTATAGTCTTGACCGGTTGGCGTTCCATGTTGACGTCCCAAATCTTGACTGTGAGGTAGTCTCGAGATAAGATGTATCTGCCGTCGTATGAGAATCGCACATCTGAAATAGAAGAAATAATCTCGGAGAAGAACGACCTCGATGAGGGATCCTCTTCCTGCTCGAAAACTATTTGGCATTGTTAGCTTAGAGGGCTAGTCCTACGAGATAGTGGGGGCAAAAGGGGGGACTATACGCTTCGCATGTTGATCACAAAGTGCACTCTCACGCATATCCGCCAGCTTGATAGTGCCCTTTGAGCTTGCGTACATGAACCAGTTGCAACTAATGGGGTGGAACTCGGCAGCAGTAATGACCTCGGTCAACTCCTCCATATTTGCAGGTTTGATATCAACAATGTTGAAGCTCTGATCTTGGATGTTCAGATTCCATAGGTTAATGCGCAGATCATCACTGCTAATGAAGGTCTCACCGTCGCTGTTGACGGATATGCTGTTGATGTGATAAGCGTGGGCGTTCGCGTACGTACGTCGGGGAACGGCGGCAACGACGGTATCGTGGTGGGTCAGCCGCGGGAGTTTCAGCTCCCCGGCATTCTTGAAGTGCGACTGAGGAATAGATCGCGGGGCGCCTCCTCCTACCCCAGCGACACTGCCCGGCGTGAGATCATGCGACAGGTTGTTCTCGGCCACCACCTTCAGCGACTTCTCAAAGACCTTCCATAGCTTGATCGTCTTGTCGTTGGTGGAGAGCAGGTAGTGAGAGGCGTTTTGACGACGACACCACTTGATTTTGTTGATCTTTTCTTCTATCTCGAGGGATTTAAGGTAGTCAAATTCTGGCTCGTGCGACTGGAATTCTGTATGGAACTTGTATTCGCAGGTTTTCTTCTATAAGCCGCATTAGACATAGTTGCTCTCCCGGAGACGAAGAATAGATCACGGGTATTCTTTTTACTGACCGTCTCGTTCCTTTCGAATAAAACCACCCGGCCGCCTTTGTCTCCTGTTGCTAGATAATTGCCAGTATGGTCGAACTCGACAGTCGATATGATGTCAGCTAGAAAATATGCGTTAGCCGAAGAAACCCCACGCTAGATCTGAGATTTGTAGATAAGATGTGAAACCGAAGGAGGGTGGAAGGCTGAAGCTTGGAGAACCCCGCGAGAACTCTGCAACTTTCGAGGGTAGAGGGCAGGGCAATCTACCTTCTGTGATATCCTCAACATCACCCTTGTCACCAAAACACCTAGAAAGCAGGGAGTGAGGTTAGCAATATTGCTACAGAGCAGTCCGACGAGGGATATAAGGAGAAAATTGCCAGAGGATAAGATCGACCAGGCAGGACGGAATAGTGGCGGCAGGCGGCAGGCGCTTCGACTCATATAGAGGAATGCGTGATAGGCTCTTTGTGGTATGACTTACTGGGTGAACTTCCAGGTGGGGGAGTTTGAATCTCCTTCCACCATGTTGTTTGTGATGAGTATCGGGATGAAGCTACCAAAGCTCCGGCCCGTCTATTAGTATGAATAAAGTGTGTTTTGTGTGTGCTAGATGTGTGTGGCGGGTAGTTGTATTAGTGTATTCGCGGCCGCGACCAGCTGGAGTCCGGCGACAGATGGTTGGTACGCGCCTTGAGATGACGATAGATCGGGAACCGCTCCAGGATACGTTATGGCGGCTATTGAAGGTGGATACGCAGACTAGGACGTATGTGAGAGACAGAGAGGGAAAAAGTGGCCGAAGGGACAGATCGAAAAGCGGCGGGGTGTGTTGTATATTGGTCAGTGTATGTAATGACGGAGTATGTAGTTGTAGAAAATGCGAGGGCTTAGGCCGACAGTGCACTGGCTCCCAACGACTTTGCGGTCGGTGGGATGAAGGAATGAACTAGGTGGATATTTTGTCGTCAATCAAGAAGCCGTGCACAGGTTGGTGGATGCTGGTCGGAAACACCCGCTAGCTATTAAGAGAGGGGAGGATAGAGGATAGGATAGAGAGAATTGAGGGTTGAGAGGGTGGAGGGAAAGAAAGAGAAAGAGAATTCACGAGTAGCTGCAAAATGACGGCAAGGCGTAAGTCGTGGTTGTGGTCAGTGATGTGATGTGATGATTGATAGTGGTAAGGTCCTTGGTCGTAGGCTGTAGAGCCGTAAGTATTGGATGTATGGGGGGGTGTTTTCCAAGGTTAAGCGCAAGGGTCTTGCTTTACATTTAGAAGAGCCTGTCTGCATTCTGGAAAGTGGTCGGTTTAGGCCAGTGCGGCCTTGCCGGTTTTGGCCTTGCGCGAGTACCTTTGTACTCGGCTTCCATTCCATTTAGATACATATACCTTGTATATTGCACTATACATATATAATGTATCACGTGAATCTCCCATGTCTAGTTTAAATTTCACCTCGTGATATGATATTTCGCATGACACTGATTGTCAAAAGATGCGCCTTAAAGTTGTCCAGGTGTACCTGAATATAGTACCTATATATGTATCTCATTTGAGAATTCCAAATACCCTGCTGGATTTGGCAAACTTCATCACAGCATCATAATCCCAAATGCATATATGCAAATCTGAAGCATTATACTCTTTCGTACATATGCAGTGCGGAGCTCCAGGGCAAGAATAACCTACCCCTCCCCCTTGCACGTACCAAAGAAAATACACCATGTACGTAGAGCTAGAACCAACCAGTGACATCAATTACCAGGAGCTTCGAAAAAATCGAAGAGAACATTAGTTGTATCTAAGATGCCTAGGTACCTAGTAATCCTTTGAAAAGGATAATGATAATAGATGACAAACATTCATATGTCCATCCAACTATCAGTAGTAATTATTGCTTTATAGACACTTGGGTATCAATTAATATGTGCAAAACTAGTATGCTGGGTGTACATTTCATTGTCTAATCAAGGAAAGGAGGGGCAGGCGCTATCTTTTATCTTACTATATGTATGTATGTAGGTAGGTACTTACTACATACTCTCGTCAGGCTACATACCTCTTTATACCTCCATAGATGCAATATCAACACATCACTCTAAAATACATACCTGATCCGCTTCGTTAGGTACTAGGTAAGGTAGCTTTCGCATTATCATAACTAGCAACATAGAATAAAACGACCTCTGTATAACTAAATCAGGAAGTGTCGCACGTGGCACGACTCATAAATCTATACATGTTTTTTCTCGCTACTAAAGCAATGTGACCCGAGTAAACGTGGTTGGGCTTCAAGTCTGAGGTGTATGAAATGAATATGGGTACTTAATGGATGCCTCGAAAAACTACTTCCTTCAGCATCTTGGAATGGTATTCAACGTTCGGCTTACCTACATACAGTACGCTTGTAGTGATCTGGATCTTGGATACTATCACATCCACGATTGATTGATCTTGCTTCAAGGTAATGCTCAGGGATGCCTACATAGATAAGTACTAAGTACACATGAATGGAGGTACCAAGATACCTACTCAGAGAACTTAGTCATCACATGCCAGTTGGAACTCAAATTAAGGTTAGTTCAATTCTGAGCATACATGTGCATCATAGTAGCTTTCTCGCCGTTTTCAGAGCCGAACTTTACCGATCTCTTCATCACCTAGGTAGGCAATTCGGTAGCATGAGGCTTCCAGCGGATAAAACATGTAATTACAACACTGGAAACGATTCCTTCTCGGGTCCTTAAAGCCTTCTTACGCATGGATACCTGGTTCATGCCATCGAAACTCGACTATCTTTTTATTTGCGTTCTTGAAATTCTCTTGTCAAAGTTCGATATCATGATGAACCTCGAGTCGCGTACATGAGCCGATGTGATTACAATGGTCCAAGACAATAGGGAACAAGGAATGCCGGATAGTAAGGGTAAGGGCATCGCGACTCACCAGAGTAATTTGTCGCCTTCGTCCACCAGTCAGGATGGTTGTTCGGGTTCCGCGCAAGTTGGCGCGCACAAAAGTTCAATTATGTCGCGGCTAAGCGCATCTGCGAGCAAACTAGCCGAGGATATGATCATCCGGTACCCTAACGGTGCCCAGGTAGCCGACGTCTTGCCCTCAGGTAAAGCTGAATCGTCTGGAACTGTTGAGGCCGGAAGAATGCAGGAGGCGCTATCTTACAAGAGCCGCACTGATCCAGCAACATCCGGTGGCATGTTCAAGTCCACACGGTCACAGGAACAGCTCACCTCGGATGAGTCAAATTTCTCTTCATTCTTAGACGGAACAACTATGCCAGAGATGATGGAAGCCGGTAATATCGAAAAACATACCCGTGAGCAAGGCTACGGCCCCGTGTCAAAGCAGATTCCTCAAAATCCGGCCATCCTGTCGACGGATGGCATAGACGTGGTCAACCTTCTCGACTCGGGATACGACGAGGTTGATGAAGCAGTCACACCATTACCAGACGATGAAAAAATAGCATTGCGGTACCATCTTTTCGACGATAGTGGCAATTCGAGGCGTTTTCCTTCCCAGAGAGGACGCTGGGAAGATACTTTGAATTTCTTCCCGGACTTCAAAGCGGATAGTAACAGCTCACAGGAACTTGCCGACTTGCTTGGTACTCCCGATCCAGGAGAAGCCAGGCATGTCTGGATTAGCCAATGGCAATGCGTTCTTTCGAGTTATACGGATGAAGTTTGGGGAGATCTCAGTCCTTTGGTAAACGTGGCTCGAGAAGAACTTGATAGTCTTTCGGGGCCCTTCGAAGATTTACCTTCGAAACCGAAAGCACTGCGTAGGCTTCAGCAGATTCTAAAGCATGTTCGTGGCATGTGAAGTGGGAAAAGGGAAACGGAAAAATGTACATGACCAAGAATCAAGAAGGATGATAGGAAGGGAAGTGTATAAGATCCCATAGTTTTTTAGGTATCTAACCTGCGTCGCCATATCCACGTGTAATTATATGCTGCTTTTATATATGCATTGAATGCTGTAAGTTGCTCTAAGTTGCTTAACTTGCTATCTAATAGGATGAGCCCATTCGATGATTGCCTATCTAACTCAACGGAAATTACTTGATTGGACGGGCGGGGATACGGGGTGGATCTTCAGCCCCGGTATTTCTAGAGAAGTACAGTACCTACCCAAATGTAATGATGCCCAGGCCGAAGCATCATTCGATACCTAAAAATAGTTATGCGTAAGGTACAGTACCTAAGCTATATACATGTACGCATGAAATGCAATAACACGTCTGGTATGGAGAGCCATGCAGCCATGCAGCCATTGTTGAAAGTACTTTTTAGCATTTGACATTTCCATATTTTTTTCAAGGACTCGTCTTTTTTTTATGTCCTTTACACACACTGCACATTGCACACACTGGGGCTGCGACACCCGTCCATAATTCCCTTTCATCTCCCTCATTAGAGTCGAGATCTATCCCGAATAATTTGTGCGATACTTTGTGCTTTCTCGAGCTCAGAGCTTGTTTTACCGATTGCGACCACGATCCACGATCCCCGTTATCCGTCCCTAGTACCCAGTTCCCCGTTGAGAAGATAAAAAAACCGGTACCCAGCAGAGCTCTCTTTGCCGGCGAAAAGAATCACGCCTAAGAGGGGAAGCGAAGCTAACGACAGTCAAGTTTCCTTTCTGTTTACTACCGTTTCATTCCAGAGGTCGAGTGAGAGCTATCCGTCTCCAAGATGGCGGCCCTAGGAGACGATCTGTTGCGGATTGTAAACCAGTTACAAGACTTGGTTTTTAATACCATCGGCACGGACTCTCTCGACCTACCTCAAATCGTATGTCAATTGTGCCTTCGCACGCAATAATTCCTATTCTCTTTGATTATGGCATCATAGTCTCACGGCTACTTACATTCGTCACCACCAAATAGGTTGTCGTCGGTTCCCAATCTGCTGGCAAATCTTCCGTGCTCGAGAATATCGTTGGCCGTGATTTCTTGCCCCGAGGAAGCGGCATCGTAACTCGACGTCCTCTTATCCTACAATTGATCAACGTAGAAGAGGATGAATCGGAACCGGACGTCCACGCTGCTTATAGGAACCCTACCCAAGCACGCCGCTCCGAATGGGCAGAGTTCCATCATATTCCCAGTCGAAGGTTTACCGACTTTGGGGATGTCAAGCGCGAAATTGAGAATGAGACCTCACGCGTTGCCGGCAGTAACAAGGGCATCAACAGGCAGCCTATTAACCTAAAGATCTATTCTCCACATGTTCTCAACTTAACTCTTGTCGATCTACCAGGACTTACCAAGGTATGTATGCCCCCCTCCATAGGACAACCACCCAGCAGTGGCTGACTCGCACGCGAAAGGTTCCCATCGGCGATCAACCAGCCGATATTGAGAAGCAGACCCGGACCCTCATCTCAGAATACATCGCCAAGCCTAATAGCATCATTCTCGCCGTCTCTCCTGCAAATGTCGACATCGTCAACTCGGAGGCTCTCAAGCTCGCCAGACATGTTGATCCTCTTGGTAGGCGGACGATCGGCGTTCTTACTAAGGTTGATTTGATGGACCATGGCACGAACGCGTTAGATATCCTTTCCGGTCGCGTCTACCCGTTGAAGTTGGGCTTTATCGGTGTTGTCAACCGATCACAGCAAGATATACAGGGTAACCGTCCGATGGAGGAGGCTCTGAAAGCAGAGGCGGAGTTTTTCCGACACCATCCTGCTTACCGGAACATCTCGATGCGATGTGGTACTCAATATTTGGCTAAGACATTAAATCAGACCCTCATGGCACACATTCGAGAGCGTCTGCCGGACATCAAGGCACGTCTCAACACTCTGATGGGACAGACCCAACAGGAGCTTGCGAGCTACGGTGACATGCACTTCAGCGGGAAGGAACACCGTGGTTCTATGATTCTCCAGCTCATGACCCGATTCGCCACATCATTCATCTCGTCCATTGATGGTACCTCTACCGAGATATCAACCAAGGAACTTTCCGGAGGCGCAAGGATCTACTACATCTTTAATTCTGTGTTTGGGAGCGCACTGGAGTCAATTGACCCCACCTCCAATCTCTCTGCCGTCGATATCAGAACCGCTATTCGGAACTCAACAGGTCCTCGCCCAAGCTTGTTCGTGCCGGAAATGGCTTTTGATCTACTTGTCAAGCCCCAAATAAAGATGCTAGAGCTCCCGAGTCAGAGATGTGTCGAGCTTGTATACGAAGAATTGATAAAGATATGTCACACATGCGGTTCGACGGAACTCTCACGTTTCCCGAGGCTCCAAGCCAAGCTCATAGAAGTCGTCTCGGATCTTCTGCGAGAGCGGCTCGGACCAGCGTCGTCTTATGTGGAGTCTCTGATCAGCATTCAGCGAGCGTATATTAATACAAACCATCCCAATTTCTTAGGAGCAGCTGCCGCTATGAGTCACGTTGTCACTAATAAGCAAGAGCGCGAAAGGAAGAAATTGATTCAGGATGAACGAGACCGACGAGAAAAAAAGCGGTTGAAAGAACTTGGCACGAATGGGACAGACACCCCGGAGAACGGGGATGACTCTGTCCATGAAAGGAACGACGTTATCGAATCGCGGAAACCGGCTGCAAACGGATCTCGGAGCATGTCGCCTGCTGTTCGTCAGAATGGGACTGCGAGCATTGCCGCTACTATGAACGGTGTGCGTTCAAATTCGCCCAGCCGATTTAACCCCCCAGCAATTGGGAATGCCCGCGATTCATTCTTGAATTACTTTTTTGGCAAAGATGGCACAGCACAACCTCCTGGAGCCGGAGCTCCCTCTCCGCTCCCGCGCCATGTCAGCCAAGGTGTAGAGCCTACTTTCAGCCAAAGCATTCGGCGAGGTGAAGACAAATTGACCCATCGGCCTGCGTTATCGTCTTCGCTGATACGCGAGGAAGAAATTCCTCAAGCTGCTGGGTTTGGTTTTGGACCCCACTCGGTAAGATATTCTCTCGACGCTCTACCTACCATCTTCGACTAACATGTAGCTATTAGGGAGACAATGTGGAACCTGCCATGAGTGACCGCGAGGCAATGGAGACGGAACTGATCCGAGCTTTGATATCTTCTTATTTCAATATTGTCCGTGAGTCCATCGCCGACCAAGTTCCGAAGGCGGTCATGCACCTCCTTGTCAACCACTGTAAAGATGTTGTACAGAACAGGCTCGTCAGCGAGTTATATAAGGAGGCTCTCTTCGAAGAGCTCCTTTACGAAGATGACGGCGTCAAGAAGGAGCGCGAAAAGTGTGAAAAGTTGCTTCAAACGTACCGAGAAGCAGCGAAGATCATTGGCGAAGTGCTATAATGGGGTATTATGACTCGTCACCTTGTAATAGAAATCGGGAGTATCTCACCTGGGAGAGGGTTAGGTTTTCACGTAGAGAGGATGCGATGTCTGGCTTGCTATCTGTACGATAAAGATGGGGGTGACTTGCCCAAGGCCGGCTTCGCTCCGTGTTCTCTGGGGATGCTTGTTACTTATTCGCTCCGCACTCTTGTGCTACTAGGAACGGATGGGCTTGAGGTATTAGAACACACGAGGCGCACCTTTTTTGTACATACGGCGCAGCTATGCTACTCTTGCGTATCTAGTATATTTACCAGCATCGCTCTCAAATCGTCGCAACTAACGCTAATGCTTGCATGGCGTGTGCTATTTTCATCTTGACCCCCCGCAGAATAAAGGTTGAAGTGGACTTAGCAGCGTACGAGACCAAACAGCCAGGAGGAACAGACCTGACATTACTTGTATCATACAGACATACTTAGGGTTTATGCTTCATGGTTTTATTTTATTCTCTTATGTTTTGTTACCGGGAAATCAATAACAGCTCGGGGCATGGTAGTAAAGTAGACTACCGTCTATCTACGACCGGGGTATCGTCGTCCCATTCTCTCTATCTAGAGCTCGAACGCTCGTGAGCTGCATCGTTGAAACTGAATTCCTAGATCCCAGTGCGTTCCAGCCTCTTTGCGAGAGCGTCAACCTCGTCGTCCTTAAGCTGGACAGTAGGCTGCTCTTGGGCTTCTTCGGCTTCTTTGACCAACTTCTCGGCCTTTTCTTCCGGAGGTACTTCTTCCTCCTCCTCTTCCTGCTCTTCCTCTTCCGAATCCAATTCCTCAAGGTCACTCAAGTCATCAACACCCCAAGCGTCTTCGTCAACAATGTCTCCGCCATATTTTTCCTTTCGCTCATCTAGGAGCGCTTGAAGAGCTAAGATAGATTCATCGTCCTCTGTGAACTTGTTTCCGTTGAGTTCGATCCTCTTTAGAGCCGGCAAGCTATCCTTCGCCGCGGATGCGAACCCTCTGACTCCTGCGGAAGTGATGTCGTTGTACTGCAAGCGAAGTGTTTCTAATTTTCGGTTCTGGCCCTTACCAAGAGCGTCAGCAACTAGGACACTACCCTTAGCGCTAAGTAACGAGTCGCCAACGCCAAGGTCTCGTAAATCCACCCAAAGCGGGACGACCTTTGCCAAGGCTCTTGCTCCTTTGAAGGTGAATGTGTTGTCTTGCAAATCTAGAATCTTGAGCTCGGTGGTGTGGTTCAGGCCCGCGGTGAGCAATTGTTCGATACCTTCTTGTCGAATACCATTCTGGACCATCTTCACTTCTTTAACCCGGTTGTGAAGACTGAAGGCCTTAGCCCAAGCAAGCATGCTTCCATTCTCCAATCGATTGCGACCACAAATGACGGTCTCGAGATAGGGGACGTCCTGCCCGGCTTTTCTGGCTTCTTCCTTCTTTGCGTAGAGTGCGGAAAGCGCATCGGCGACCAGAATACCGGCATGAGGCCCCAATCCATTATTGTTGAGGTACAGGTGTTGAAGCGGGACGTGACTGGATAAGAAAGCGACTAAAGGCGCCTGGGTGTTAAGACCGAATGCATTGTCGTTTAGATTAATAGTACGTAAATTGGGCAGGTTGAGGATAGAAGTGAGCAGAGAAGAAAGCGCCTCGGGGATCTCGTTTAACAGGCGACCAGTAAATATGTCAGCCAGGTTTGCAACCTATATAAACAAGCAACGTGAGACGGTAGGTTAGCCAGGTACTTTGTTTTTCTTTCTTGGTTTTCTCATTTGCGCCAGCCAATATGTGGTAATCTTACCTTTAGAGACTTCTTTGTAGCCAAGACTTCTCCAAGAAGCTTGCAGGCCTCGACACCTAATGTGTTCCCGAGAATGCGCACCTCCTCGACATCGTCCATAGCCCGCAGTGGCCCTATGTGTGTTTCAAGGTCCTGAGCTGTGTCCAGTTTTAAGGCCCTCCCTTCGAGGGAGAATATTTTATCGGACGTAGCCATATTCGTAACAAGAATTTGGATGCGCGAGAGAAGTACGAAATGCGATGAAACCTAGAATCTTGGCTTTGTCGATGCTGAACCCAGTATATGTAGGTAGTAGGTAAATAAGAGAAAAGAAAATAGATGCCAATCTTGAATGGTGGGGGAGGGGCATTCATATATTATGTATGTATCCTACATGCGATTAACTGCACATATGTAGATAAACGCAACTTGGCATGAGAGCCTTCCAAGGTTGCAAGTTTAAACGCTACTTGTACTGTCTTATTCGACGTACCCCCGAGGGGGTACTGCGCTTTAACTAACGAAATGGGCAGATAGTTGCGAAATACCCGAAGTACTTCCGGATGGGTGGAGTTTGCTATTAAAACCATGTATATAGGTATAAGTAGATAGCCCTTATTATTACATACAATATTCATCTATAAGTAAGGCAGCTATCATAAGCCCTATAATGCAACAAGGTAGCTTGTATTTTATTCAACTAGAGGGTATAGGATAATCTTCGGATACTTTGCAACTCTCTGCCCATTTCGTTAGTTAAAGCGCAGTACCCCCTCGGGGGTACGTCGAATAAGACAGTACAAGTAATGCTGATTTGGGAACTATGCCCACATACACATGGTAGTAGTATCCACACATCATCCACTTAATTAGGTAGGTACTCAGTAGATACTCTAGCCCAATATCAAATCTGCCTCTTTTTCAACTTTCTATTAATATCGAGTTGCTGAGTCTTGATTCTTAACCTCTCTCACAACATTCACGCATATCTCTTACTTTTCCCAAATCTGCTCATGAAGCAGTTCCTTGGCGGCCCATACACCTTTCAGTTTCCGTACTCATTACATCTCATTTCACATTCAAGAGGCATGGCAAGGCGCCTTCGGCACCTCACCGCGTACTCGAACACCCAAACTTTGCTCAACATATTTATCCTATCTCAGGATATATCTCTAGTTGACGCCTTTACGATCCTGCTATATTGATCGCCTCACTGCGCTCTGCAGCGTCAATTCTCTTCTTTCTTCTCTCTTTACCCTCAGAGGTCTCTGAAGGAGCCACATTTTCGCTCGAAAGTGTGACGAGCCTTGAGAGGATATCACAGTTAACGGGTGACTCGTTTTGAGTCAACCCATCAGCCCGTCTCAATCGTTTCGTGACAAGTGTTCATTGGCCTCTTTGTAGACCGCTGTTCGGGTCACCAGCATAAATATAATCTGATATTAATCACGCTAGGTGACAATTTCTTTTCTCTTAACCACAGCAAGTTTGTCAACCACCGTCGAAAGGAAATGGACCCTAGTGGAAAACTCAACAATATCCTCAAGACATCGTCTAGCTTACCAGCAGGGAGGACTCATCATAACCCAACTCCGCCATCTGCCGAGGATGACGAGATCCCTCTCGATTGTAGTAGTGAGGATTCGCATTCATCTGACATTTCCATGTCCGGCTCTGACAGCGACGACGAGGCCAGCCCTTTAATTTCGACCGGCAATGAGCGTCTTCCGATTCAACCGCTCTTTTCGGCCTTTCCAGCCACTCTTGTCCCTACTGTCGAACAAGATCCGGCTATGTCCAGGAAACGGAAATTGGTTGAAGGCATTGATACACCGGGCTGCATAGTAATTTCCTCTAAAAAGGTGAAGCTAGATAGAGAGGGCTATGAACAACCTCCATCTACAGCTACGTATCCCTCAGACAAATCTCTGCTTCCTGCCGAGATTTGGCATCGTATCTTTTCTTTCACTCCTCCTAGGGCGCTGGGTAATTTGTTGTGTACCAACAAATTATTTAACGTGTACCTCGACCCTTCGTCTCGCTACCAGTGTAAATCCCCATTACTCCACTCCCGCACTTCTGTCCCGCTGTTGAAGCCTGATGCTATATGGCAAGTTTCAAGGAGGCGTTTCTGGCCCAGGATGCCGGCTCCGCTGAAGGAAAAGACGGAGCTTGATATGTGGCGCCTTGCTTGTGGAAAGAAGTGTCAATATTGTAATAAAGCAGGCTCTGTGCCGTCAAACTCGCCTGATAGCCCACAGCGTAATAACACTCAACCCGTTTGGGCATTTGCGATTCATAGCTGTGGGCCTTGTCTTGTAGAGAAGACGATTAAGGTATGTAGGCGTCAAATTTTGCCCAAGACGAAATTATCTCACCACCTGACAAGGAAATCGACTTGCTACTTTCTTCCTCGATACCCTCCTTGTTGATGTCAGCACTGCCGTTCGTGTTAGTCACCAATGAGATGCACATGATATCACCGGACACACTCCGGAAAGGTCTAGCTCAACCGGACTTGCAAGTCACAAAGATATACCTCCCTGAGCAAGTAGAGAGATTGAAACAAGAATTCTTATCTGTCAAATCGATGGGCGGAGCGACAGCCGAGGAATGGCTGAAAGGCCTGGAAACCCGAGGAAAGGAGTTATTCAGCGACCTAATGCGATGGGAGAAGTGGATGACGACTGGAGGAGTTACTCAGATGCGAACTCAACTCTCCTCTGATAGTATTTCAATTGTTGCTATTCCGAATAATAAGGGGCCAGCTTCGGTGAATGTATCATTATCGGCTCCTAAATCACATTCAAACTCGACCAATACTCCTAAACAACACACGCCCGATCCATGTTATGTAGCTCCTATCGCGACGACATCCCAACCTACATACGCCCCCCTTGGAACTGATCTTCGTAGGTATACTTTGTTCAGTCCTTTCAATCATAACTAACTTCGTTCGATAGAGCATAATTCTACAGCTCCGGTGCAACCCCCAATCAAGCACAGCAATCAGACTAATGCCCCTCGTGCTCGAACTCGGGAGGAGGCCCTGGAACTTAAGGCTGCCCGGCGCGCGGAAATCGAACGCCGCGCAATGGAGCTGGATCCGCCGTTACCGGCAAATATATTAGCGCACATACTGTCTTTTCAGGCTGCCATCCAAATCATCTCGCCTCTTGATGACAACGCGTGGGAGATGCTCAAACCTCGTTTGCTTGCTCAGAGGGCAGATGCAGAACAGCTCGAGAAGCGTGAAGAAACTGCTTCCCAGTCTCGCATCGTCCCGGAACGATCCGAGGGGCGGCGCCACACAGAGGAGAACAGTATAGCAGCTAAGCAGCTCATCGACAAGACTTGGGATGATATTCAAGCACCATTGCGTGCACGAATATCCGCATATGCCGACGAAATCATCCGGGGTAGCTGGGATGATGGGCGTAAGGTTGATGCGGGCAATAGCCCGCAATTTGCAGTAGAGGTTCTCCTCCATGTCCGTAGAAGATTTTATACGGAAATTGCAAAGGAATCTGTCGAGGCACGCGCTGCCGGCCAAGTGCCAGCTGAGGATCCTCCAGAAGGGCCCTTTACGAAAAGGCTCACCCTTGAAAACATGAAATGGCTATTCGATGTAAAGATCAAGACTCGCACGGAATCTCATCGAAAAGATCTATTCTTTTGTAACGGCTGCGATGTTAACTTCAAGGCTTTCGGTTTTGAAGGGGTTATCCAACATTATGCTGCCAAGCACAGCAATTCTCTCAGCTTGGGGAGCGTCGTCGTTCATTGGAGGGCTGAATGGCCAGAGACGCCGCCATTTAGGTCCGATGCTCGCACTGTCAAGGCCGAACAACCATCATCGAGGTCATCGTATGGGCCCTTACAACCTCCGAACTATGCTGCTCTCCATCATCATAATGCTAGCGTCTATTCGGCCTCAAATCCAGCGTCCTTCCAGCCACCCCCGTACTTTACTGCACCTCTGCCGGGCTGTGGACTTTCAATGTACGGATCTACAGCACAGCAACTAGCTCCATACGGGCCGGGACACTCCTACATCTCGGGCCATCATGACTATAGCTCTTCGCATGCACTTCCTCCGTCACCATATGACCCGCGTGCAGCGGCTTACTCCAGCTCAGAATTTTCTTTTTCTGGAATCCACGGCAGGCCCCCGGCGTACCCTTCCACGGACGTATCTTACGGCTATAATTTCGATGCGCCACAGGACAATCCCCAGGTAAACTTCCAAGCTTCCCATAGCAACCCATTGGCTGGCAAATATCATGCCCAACTTGGATACCTGGCGCGAAGTTCGCGTGAGCTATGGACTTCGACAGCTGGCTTAAAGGAACTTCCAGGAGAGATCAGGGTATGCGTCGTTATCTATCATGTTGTACAGAGGTTTCGATCCAGATTTTTCGAAAGTCCACCCTTAACTATGTTTATCGACGGTCTCGCGAACAATAAGGAAATGCGCCCAGTTCGCAATGTCAACGGTCTTATGTGCAAAGCGTGTTGTCTTAGTCTCAACGGCGGAACATTAGCAGGCCAGGGCAGCAGGACGTTCTCATTGCCGCAATTAGTGAACCATTTCCAGCAAGCGCACGTGGATCAACCGCAAATGCCAGCCTCACTCTCTCTCGACTGGACGATCAACATGGTGCATACACCAGACCTATCCGTGCTAACCAAACTCCGTAATTTAACGAATATGGACAGCCAAAAGTTCCTACTCATTTCCAATGCTTTCCCGCCAGCACCGCATCTGGATGATTACTCACAAGGGATGACTACTGATAGAATTCAGAGCGCCGGGCCTGATCCTGTCACCACCTATGCCGGCCAAAGCCCTACTCATAGCAATTTAATTCCGCAGTCTTCTTCTGCTTATGAACATGCATCGCTATGTGTCGCAATTAGGCATAACTCGGTTGCCCCCCGCAGACAAGATGCAACCAGAGCAAGTATATCAGGTCAAAAATTGAGTCCTAGTCAGGCTGCTTCATCGAGCACTCCTACATTAACCAATTATCAAAGATTCCCACAGGATGACTCAGGCCGTGAATCATCAGAAACGTGGCAGGGGCCCTGTGGGATAAGATCAAGGAAACAGAAGGGAAATCACCCCAGAGACCACCGAAGTACGCCAAGTCAGGGGCTTAAAAATCGCAAGGGCGGCGTAGCAGCTGCATCAAATAAGGCCAAATCTCAAGAGCCTAACGAAGGAGATCTGATAGCGGAAGAAGACCGCCGCCAAGAGGAGGAGATTCGGGCTATGTGGGCCGCAGATCGCAGGGAGGCGGCCCGTTTTGCTTCCCAAAATCAGCATTTGAATAAAGCTGAAGAATCTGACTCGCCAATAGTAGCTCTTGAAGCAGAAGACCGTAGAAGTGCCTATACCCAGGCGACCCGGATTATTAGGTCACCAACGTATTCTATTCGGAACCAAAGCCATGAACAGCCTGTCGCTGGCCAAGAGCGCGAAGAAGATGACCTTATGGCTGGTCTCGAAAGCCAACTAGATCTGCAGCAAGTACCATCTAAATATGTTGACTATCGACCGAAACCTACCGATGAAGTCGATCATGAAGAGCCTTCTTATGGACGATATGCTAGCTCTGGACATCATCACCATAGCCAAAGATATTCTTATGATCAAATTCGCCCAGGGTCTCCTATATATGTTCGGCACGGACCCGGGCACCATTTTAGCGAATATCGAGAAAGTCCCAGCTCTCATCATACCGACTTACCGACACAGGCTACTACAATTCGAGATGATACGACATACGACCAACCACCCCGTCAAGAACACTACCATGCGTATACCGATGATATGCGATTGCGCCGGCCTACTCCTGAACATGCTGAAACTTATGAACTTATCCGAATGCGAGATTTCCAAGGCGAGTACTTTATTAGGCGGCCGATCAAGCTTGAGCGGGAGCCTACTTACCAAGACGGGCATGCACCATATAGAGACTCCACGCTTCAGTATAGATCATACGAAAATAACGAGTACTCTAGCAGCCGGCTTGGACTTGAGCCTGTGCCGGGGATCGATACCCATTTGCGACAACCTCATGAAGTCGGAGTGGGACCGGTAGACCTGCGTCGGAGGTCTCACGAACCACTTCCAAGAGGTGATCTTGCTGGCTATGAAGACTATGACCCGAGATATCCCGCCGCTCCGCCGGGCTCAAGCATTAGTCAGCAACTCCGCTACCGATGGCCTTGAGTTGTTAAGGGGAAGGTTCATAGAAGTTTGGTACAAAGCTCTCTCTACGATATAATGTGGACATTTAAGTATACTTTAATGAAAACCATGTCATATGGCACAACGTTGATGAGGCATCATCGCCTATTCACCAAACGATGGATATTTTCTAACTAGTATTCGGGACCTGTCATGATGCTCTAGGTTTAGATTATATAGTGATAGACAACACCCACAATTATTCATGACGCATATATAGAGTACTCATCCGCACCGATCCTCGATTCGTTAGACCTGTTTAAAATTATCTGTAATGATAGCATAGAATGGGGTCATTCCATGAATTTCCAATTTCCTAATCTACGTAACGAGACCCATTCAAGGTGTAGCGACTACGACGTGTACTAATCTACCCAAGACGAACAACTATCGTTTCGCTACGCCAGTGAGTCAGGTGCAATCGTACAAGACTCCTTATAAGATCAAACGCCCCCTTTTCGCTCAAATCACTTCGTATCCCGACTCCGTAATATTGTGATACAATACTTCAATAGCTTGAATCCCATGTGGCACGTCGAGCCAGTTGCACAGGTTTTGACCTGCCTGAAGGACCTGGAGAAGCGCCTCCTCTTCGGCCATCTTCCACTCGTCGTAATCGCCCAGCGCAACCGTCTCGGCCCAGCATAGGAGATGGCTCATGATTCCGACGGTCGTACGCTCGACGTTGAGGACGTCTAGCCTGTCCCGTTGAGAGCCGACCCATAGCATATTACAGATACTGCTGATATTCTTGAGGAGCGAGTTTGTCGACGGGGGAATCGGGCCGCAGCCGTTTCCCCGAGCACTCCCATTCCTGTTAATGTCGGCGTACGATCCTTTACTTTCGCTGCTGATACCCTTTTCAGAGCCGCCCTCTACTTTTAGATGGATAGGAGTAGAGGTGCCGTCTGCGGAGTCCGCTTGTTGGCCCGATAGCAGTGACGAATTACTCGCCCTTGCGCGGCGATTCACAAGGTGTGTGTCTAGCCACGTCTTGGTAGACTGTAGGCATATGTCATGTACGGCATGGACAGTAGCGAAGATACGGTTTACCCGTTCGGGATTGCTGCTATAGGTGCTGGATGTTCGACTACCGGTGTCCCGTGTGGCTGCCGGGGAGGAATGACCTGGAAAAGATGTGGGATCTGCTATGCGTGGAATAGGAAAGCGGACCTGGGACGAATTGTCTGAACCTATGCTAGGAGCATATGGACGGTCGCTGTCTGTCAAAGGAGCAGATGAAGCAAGGACTGTGGGCTCGTGATGATACTGGGGTACCGTAGTTTCCGGCACAGTACCAACTGATGGAGAGTTTGGTGTTTCATCCTGATGACAAGCTAGGCAAACGCGACGCATAGGAGCATATATTGCGCGTGGGAGCTCGTGTTGCAACCCGCCTTGATGTTCATTATGGCGCTGGGCGTTCGGAAACGTAGCACGCCGGCTCGGCCTAGTACATTCGGGTAACCCGTGACTAACCGTTTCCCAAGGCGTGTAGTTAGATGCCGGCGGCTCATGGTGTTGGCAAGTGCTAGAAGCCGTGGCCTGTAAAGATTCCATAGTCGGATTAATCTGAGCGGATAAAGCGAGAGAGGTATCTCGACTCCGATAGATGAAATCGCTGGGTGATGATACCATTTTTCGTATGGTTGAGTTGCAGAGGCAGGTAATCTAGAAGGCTAAGAGGAAAAGGGCGGCCTTAGGTTGGTATTAATAGCGTGCCAGACACATAGGCAACTAAAGAGGGATAAGCCGCAAACTTGTAGAGATTTATACAAGGAATTCTAGATAAGGGATCCTTCGGGTAGACAAGAACAGAAGCATAGAGAAATTCTCGGCACCGTGGACAAAAAACAATATGTTGAGACATGTCAAGTTGATCCTTGTGTTTACCTAGATACTATCTTTCAACCTAAGTGTGCCAGATGACAATCCTACCATCAACGCCGCTCGCTTTTGTATGCTGTTAGTTTCTCAACGCAACTGAACATCAGGCCTCGTAACGAGGAAAAAAGGACTTACTGCTAAATTTTGTGACATGTCCGCCATCGGATTCGTAAACGCGTACTGTCGAGATCGTGTTCTGGTGGACGGTTTTTAGCTGAGTATCATCTTTGACCTTGCCTTTCAAGTCCATCTGCCGGAACATGTTCAAAGCAGACTCTTCCCGAGCATCTCCCGAACCAGGTCTTCCCTTGGATTCCAGGGTACCGCTTAGCTGCCATCCGGATGCATCACCTCTAAATCTGAACGCCTCGCAGTCGTATCCGGCCGCGATGATCTCGCTTTCACCGTTCCAAATGAGGCTCATGAAGGGTAAGAGTTGAGTGTTGACACTGATCACGGCCTTCGGAGGTTGCTCAGGGGCAGTTGGATAGACGACGGTGATGCTGCTGTCGTGGGCAGCGAAGGCGAGGGCGTCACCGCTCGGAGAGAAAGCGACAGAATGAACCCATCCAGCGGAGTTGTTGAGGAATTCACCGCAGACCGTGTTGAAGGGCAGACGCTCACCCCAAACGCTAGGCTCTGGACGAGCGTCGACGCCCTTGATGAAGCTTGAGAAGACTCTTGCGTGGGCGTCGGTAGAGCCAGCAGCGAGCAAGACCGAGTTGGGATGCCAGTTAACGGTGGTGATGGTGCTCCGGATAGGCTTCTTGAGATGCTTCGAGACCCACCAGTCATTCTCTTCTTCGAAATAACAGATAGCGATGACCCTGTCTCCGGACCCCACAGCGAACTTAGTCTCGGATGGAGACCAACGAACGAAGGTGGCGGCCCGAGCAATCCTGAGAAGTACCAGAGTAGGCTTATAGCCAGGAGGCGAAGGCTCCCAGACTAAAGCGTTGCGGTCTAAGACGCGTTATCAGAATAGAGACTCTAGGGATTGCGGATGAGGGTATAATAGACCTTGGGAACATGTGACGATTCGACCACTACCTGGAGCGATATCGACACTAGTGATGGTCTTATCATGACCTTTCAACTCATCTTTCAGCTTGAAAGAATTGCCAACTCTTCCATACAGCTCGATTGTAGAATCCTTAGCTACAGCTAAGGTCTTGCGATCGGCTGAGAAAGAGTGGTCGGCAATGGGGCGGTGGAAGAGATGATGAACCTCAGGGGCGGCCATGTTAGTGGTTATCCCTTCCCTTTTTTTAAAAAAAGAAAAAAAGAATTTGCTTTCTATTGACTTGACACGAGTGATAGGAGTATAGCTCTCTACTACCACGTCAGATTCATATGAGTTTGGTAAGGATAGGGGAGGGAGAGAAAGGAGGCGGATGGAAGTTTGGAATTGTTCCAATTCATGGAAAAGGTACACGAAGTATTAAAGTAAGGTGGCATGCGTCACTGAACGAGCCACAATACCCCACCTAATGTGGCTTGAGAAAACGGTGCTTAGTATCTGTGGCTTGCAAGCCCAGCCTCAAGGAAGTTTTAGAAGGTACCGTACAGGTGCAAATGTTATACAACATCGAAGATTTACACGCGACCTTCACATAGGTACTTTTTAAACCAACACTATATGTACTACTACTAGATATTCTCATCAGCTCTGAGAAGAATGAGATAAGGGACGCGACAAATTTGACTATTACCTGTTTCTTATTCAAGACTATGGCCGCTACCACGACTGCTGCAAGAGGTCAGGCCTCGAGAGCTGCAGTCAAGATACCTCCCATTCCGCCAAACCAGACGTAAGTTTGATGTTTCGTAATTGATCAGCGTCCTCCTGCTAAAATCAACTTCCTTCTCAGCTTATACGTCACGAATTTACCGTCAAACAAAATAAACAAGGCAGACCTGAAAACGGCTCTTTATATGCTATTTTCGACCTACGGCCCAGTCCTCGATGTCGTGGCCTTGAAAACGATGAAGATGCGTGGCCAGGCTCATATCGTTTTTCGTGATCTCCAAGCGGCGACCCAGGCGCTACGGTCGCTAGAGGGCTTCAAATTCTTGGGCGCGGAGTTGGTACGTTGACATACGCGGTTTCTTGTGTCTATCCACCTCAAATTTGTCTAACCGGTGTCTGCCTGCTACAGCGCATCCAATACGCGAAATCTAAATCCGACGTGGTAGCAAAGCTGGACGGTACATACAAGCTTCCAGGATCAGCCGCCGCCAACGTCGAGATGACCGAAGCTCAGCAAAGCATTTTTAATGCTCCCGCACCGGGCACCTCTACCACTACGGGCGCAGCCGCTACAACCCAGGCTTCGTCCGGTCTCCCTGCGAAACCGCCTCGAGGTCCCGACCGGGTTATGACGGATGCGAAGAGTCCCGATACCCGAGGACAAAAGCGGCCTCGCGACGAAGAGGAGGAAGAGGAGGAGGAGAGTGACGAGGACGTAGCAATGGAAGAAGACAGCGATGATGAATGAAGACATTCTAATTCACTGCTTGCCGAACAGGCACTCTAAAACAAGGCTTCACTTATCTGTTGTCGGATTGCAGGATGTGGCTTGTTCCATTTCCAGCTTTCTGAGAACTCACCCCTCCACTGAGCGCGGCCATTTGCTGAGGGACCCAGAGTCCAACGCAACCTCCGACGAAACCAAGCCATATCATGAGGTAATCTTCTTTGGGGCAGTCAAATCCAGCCATGGCGTCTCCAAGGACGCATGGGTGAACGAAGAACGAAGGGAGCCCGGTGATAGGGTGATGCTGTAGACATCACGTTTAGTCGTAAGGTAGAGACAATAAAATACCCGAGATGAGATACAAGCAATTGACTCGTTGAACAGTGCAGGGGAATCACCTACGTCGATTGAGATGCCACCCAAGGGGCCCATTTGTCGAATGGGATTTTTGAACTGCTCGGGAACGAGGCGGCGGAAAACAGTCTCGATATCGAACGCTGGTTCGGTAGCCGGCAGATTATGTAGGCTGAACCAGAGGCAGGGCGCACGATACGTTGGATGGAGATGTATCTCGTACTTGACATGACTGACTCGGAAGTTTGGTCGAGCCGGCGGTCTGGAGAGGATCTCCTACGAGTATATCAGCGACTAGTGCCCCACGTGCCGTAAACTGTCGAGATGGTTCAATCCACCTTATCTGAATTCTCCATCTCGGCCATGACACTGTCGGCGGCGACCTGCATGCGTGAGTCTTGATCTTCGCTTAAAGAAACGTCTCCCAACTTTGCAGCGAGATCATCTTCGGCAAGCGTTTCATCCTCTAAAGGCCTAGTGATCTGCAAGAAGGTTGTGCGGTCCGGTCCGGCATCAAATGACAGCTCGAGTGCTGTATGAACATGGAGGCGCCATCGTCTTCGCAAAGGCCCTAGGGTGGCTTGACAGTATCTCCTATCGAGGTAGTGGCATACTTCGGCGAATTCCTCCTTGGTAAGGTACGGGTAGCACTTATAAGTTGAACGATGAGTACTCGGACGATCCATATCCATGTCCATCGTGCTTCGCTACCTTAAAATCCGGAAGCCTCTCAATAAACATGAGTCTTCGTATAGTACCTAATTAGATGAGAGCTCGCAAGGCAATTTAACAGTGGAGACTGAGGATTCAGAACTGAATTTTGATCTTAAGACTAATGAAGTTCTCTTCTCTTGTTAGTGAATCTAGATAATAAGCGAGCCTTTTTGAGAAATAATGAGAGTCGGAAATGATCAAGATATCGGGTTAATACTATAAAATGTCGAGCTTCATATAGTGAGTGAAGCTGGGTATGTAGGTAGGCACCTAATGTATAAACGCACACATGTGGATAGCACTCCGTAGAGGGGTTAATAGCATAGCATAAACCAATTATGCAAGTAGCAGGCTGCGTAGCACGCATACTAGTATGTAGACACCCGCGTGAATTTAAAAGGCTGTTTAACAACTTGGAAGCAGTACTTATCGGATAGGCGGCAAAAGGACGGCGGACGATAGTACCGAATCCGCCAACCCGCCAATTCATTTTATGTACTGCGATGTATACAGTATAGGTGCACAGTATCTTGAGTAATTACTACTGTATTTCTGAGCTTACAGGGACTATAGCGCTGAAGAGCGCTAAAGAGCGCTATAAACTACAGCGTGCTATAGCGCGTAGCTCCTTATAATTTATAGGGGATTAATCCATTCAATTGAATTGCAAGTTTTACTTGGCTATTCGCTAGGCTTGAATAAACATTTGCAACTTAAAAGCGATTTAATTAGTCAATTAGCTAGGTTCAAACCTGGTCAAAATACGTTGTATAAAAGGTAAGTATGTAGGTATTGGGTAGGTTTACCGACATTATATTGTACCTAGCAAAGGGGGTCACGTGACACTAGTCATGTGCCATACGTCGAGTGTTGTAAGTCACGTGTCACCTTGGGGCTGACCTTTGAACAGTAATCATTGAACTTATTAAAGAGCTGTTCAATTGACTGTTCAATTGACTGTTCAATTGACTTAGTATTCAATTGACCCTTCAACTGATTTAAGGATTAATTACCTAGGTAGGATTTAAGGGCGCTGTGATAACGAAAGTGTGCGCTATAGCACGCTGTAATTTATAGCGCCCTTTAGCGCTATAGTCCCTGTAAGCTCAAAAATACAGTAACAATTATTCAAAGTACTGTGCACCTATACTGTATACATCGCAGTACATAAAATGAATTGGCGGGTTGGCGGATTCGGTACTACCGTCCGCCGTCAAAAGACTCCTTTAGTTACATAGACATCCCTGCATTCTATAGGTACTACATGTATGTATGTAGGTAGAACTTGGCTGAGTGTCCTCAATCGGTACTTGCATAGAAGGTACAGTCTACCCAGCATATGAACACCTATCTTGACACTTGACATTTGACATTTGACATTTGATATTTGATATTTGGCACAGCTAAGTAAGTTACACTTATTGTTACTTTCTTTTTTCTTCCCCAATGACCAAAGGCTGACCAGGAACCCCTTCAGAGAAGAATTTCCAAGGGGTAGCACGGAGAGAGTGTGTGAGAGGAGGCCGATCATAGCAAACAGAAATGATTTTGTCATCATTCTAGCATCTTTAAAATCCTCGAGCGCTGCAGCATCCCGCCAATTACTTGCTTTATTTCCCTTCGCATACGAATCTACGAATTGAATCCAGGAATCTTGTTCCGAAAGAGGAGAAGAAGCGAGAGATCGGACGAATAACTTCCAATGGTAGTTCTTTGTTAATTTCTACGCCTTCTTACTCCATGAACGTACGCGACCCTTTTGGTATCCATCGAAAGAGTGCTCTATCCATCCTCAAAACTACCGCATCCCGTGCTGCTGTCGATTTTACCGAGCGCGCCGTCGAGGCCAGTATCCATGCTATTGAGAAAAGCAAACAAGCTGTTGACGACCTTGACATGTCATTTTCCGTCCCCAAAAATGTTCCCTCGTTCGGAAATCCCCAGAGGGTAATGGAGGACCGTGTCTGGGGCAACACAGCCGTCACCGCGCGAGGTGGGAAGGCTTCGTCACACACAAACAAAAACTCGAGAATACTTGGAGAGGTCCAGGATCGTGTTGGGAGCCTGTTCGACGACCGTAATACTCTCCCCATGTATAAGGACAAGCCGTACGCTTATCCGCCGTCTCAACGAGCCAGGCCCATCTGGCGGAGAAAGCGAGTTCTCGGTTCTGTCCTTTTATTGCTTTCGCTACTATACTATTTCGGCGCATTCGGCCACCACCACGACACCGGTGTCTCTTCAACCCCTATATGGTCCTGGCTCAGCTCTGGCACCGAACCAGGAAAGGTGGCCGACTGGTCCAAGAGGAGGGAGCGTGTTGTAGAAGCCTTCACTTTGAGCTGGGACGCCTATGAACGATACGCTTGGGGTGAGACTCAACTCCTGCGCTGTTAGACGCAATTTGTGAATGCACGTGCTAACTTCATCTCCAGGCTACGACGCGTTCCATCCAATATCTAAGAAAGGTGAGCAGATGGCCCCGCAAGGAATGGGCTGGATTATCGTGGATGCGTTAGATACTATGATTTTGATGAATCTTACTTCCCGAGTTTCTCATGCGAGGAAGTGGATTTCGACCTTATCCTATGATCAAGACCAGGATGTTAGCACTTTCGAAACGACAATACGTATGCTGGGCGGTCTCCTCTCAGCTCATTATCTCTCTAATGAGTTTCCTGAGCTGGCGCCGCTGGCTGAGGACGACCCAGGTGCGCCCGGGGAGGATCTCTATCTCGAGAAAGCCAAAGATCTGGCCGATCGACTTGTAACCGCTTTTGATTCGCCGTCCGGTGTTCCTTACGCAAGCGTGAATATTGGCAAGTACGAAGGCATACCAGCCCACGACGAGGGTGGCGCGTCATCTACTGCCGAGACAACTACGTTGCAGCTCGAGTTTAAATACCTTGCCAAGTTGACCGGCGAAAAGTATTTCTGGGATAAAGCCGAGAAGGTGATGGAAGTCGTCGACAATAATGGGGTTGAAGATGGCCTGGTGCCAATCTACATTTATGCCAGTGACGGTACTTTTAGAGGCCACAACATCCGACTGGGAAGCCGTGGAGACTCTTATTATGAGTATCTCATCAAGCAGTACTTGCAAACAAACAAGCAGGAGCCAGTCTACCTAGAGTTGTGGGACGAGTCTCTGCGTGGAGTCCGCAAGCATCTCGTTACCTATACCGAGCCCTCTGGATTCACGATAATCGGTGAACGACCTGATGGTTTGAAGGGTTCTTTGTCGCCTAAGATGGATCACCTGGTTTGTTTCATGCCAGGTACTATTGCTCTTGCTGTGACGGGTGGCTTGACGGAGGCAGAAGCCAAGAAGCAGTCAACGTGGACGAAAAAGAATGAGGCCGACATGCAACTAGCAAGGGAACTGATGCAAACGTGCTGGGGCATGTATAAGTGGATGGCTACTGGTCTCGCCGCCGAGATCACGTATTTTAACATCGCTAACCCCCCTCTTCCCGAATCCGCTCCTCACAGCCCGCCGACTGAATTTGACGAGAATCCTGCGGCGGAATGGCGAAAAGATTTCACGGTCCACTCGATGGACACTCACAATTTACAGCGGCCGGAGACCGTAGAGAGCCTTTTCTATATGTGGAGGATTACTGGTGATATAAAGTACCGAGAATGGGGCTGGGAAATGTTTAAATCGTTCATGAACCACACCGCTGTGCAAGATGGTGGTGGGTTCTCGAGCCTCTCAAATGCGAACAAGGTTCCACCTGTGATGCGAGATAACATGGAGAGCTTTTGGCTAGTATGTTCTGCTAACCTCATTTCCCCGTCCCCCGTACCCCATACCCCTTTTTATGTTGTTTTTCATCCAACTGTTATGTTCATATTCGCATCTACATGTGCTAACTAAACTTCTTCAGGCGGAAACATTGAAATATTTCTATCTCTTATTCTCCCCTGACGATCTTCTTCCGCTGGATAAAATCGTTATTAATACCGAGGCGCACCCGTTTCCGCGGTTTGATATGGGTCAGCTTTTCTCGACCGGGTGGAAGAGAAAGCCGAGGGATTCGGATGGAAAAATAATTAAGTGAGTTGCAGGATATTGAAGCATGCGAATTGCATCAAAAGCTTTACCTACTACCTACTACCTACCTGTTTCTAGGAGCATTGTTGGCGTATTGTTACTCTTTGGGGGAAAAGGGATTTGTTTTTATTTCGTTTTGTCATGCTCGCCTTTTTTTCTGTTTTGCCACGTGGTATATACGGCACAATAGAATTATGTATAAACTTTGTCCACTACATCCGTACGGCCTTATCGGATACAGTCATGGCGTTTTGATAGCGTGGTGATGGTCTTCGGAATAGTATGTAGATGTCTGAGTTTAGAAGACGCATTCACCAAGGTAAGTAGGAGTACCTACATACCACACCTGTAAGTTAGTAGATCTACATGCATAAGCCACAGATTCGATCTAATTTATGTACGTAGGTAGGTATCTACGTAGCACACGTGTAGTAAAAGCAGTTCATGCACGTTATCTATCCCACATCACTATACTTTAGTACATGAGGTAGTACCTACCTGACGCGGTTTAGCTGCCGCAGCCGATAAGCTAGGTCTGTTAGAATTAGGTAAGTTCCCCATATGTACCTTAGATATGAATTGAACCGAAACCCCACGCGACCATCCTCTCCGGACTCTCTTCACATTACTTACCTACCTAGGTAGCATAGGTACTGCTAACATCCGTATTCTCTCCATCCGCTGCAAGATAATACCTACTATATCGTATTACATATCATACCCTAACTCTCGTCGCCCAATTTCTCCCTTTCCAATTGCTAACTGGCGCTGGCCCCGCCCTCGCGGCGGACTCCCGACGAACCCACCATGCCACCATCTAATCACGATATCGAGATGAACATATTCCCCATCAAAGAGGATTCTCTTGCGCAGGGGAGCAGCTACACGATGCGCGAGCCCCTGTACGAAGAGACGTCACCACCGCGATTCTTTGATCGCCTAGTCGACGGGTTCCGAAGAGATCCAAACCAGCGCGTCACCCCGGAAGATCCTCTAGACGAGATCCACGCCGCCGAAGTCGCCCAGTTGCACCGGCCTATTCTAGGCGGTAACGGATCGCCGCGCCCGCACTCTTACGATGTGCGGCTAGCCAATTTACAAACTGCGCAGTCGCATCTCGCGAGGAAGCTAAAAGGTCGCCATCTGCAGATGATCGCTATAGGAGGTTCTATTGGTACCGGCCTATTCGTCGCTTCAGGTCGCGCCCTCGAAGTTGGTGGCCCGGCTTCGTTGCTTGTCGCCTATCTCTTCATAGGATGCATGTTGTATTGCACAGTCCAAGCCCTCGGCGAGCTTGCCGTCTGCTTCCCAGTCGCAGGATCCTTCTCCGCCTATTCTACACGCTTTCTCGACCCTTCTTGGGGATTTGCCATGGGCTGGAAGTATGTCGTTCCTCCCCCTATTCAAGATCAAGAAACGACTTACATTATTTCGTAGTTACGCTTTACAATGGTTGGTCGCACTGCCACTCGAAATTATCGCGGCATCTATTACCATAACGTATTGGAACCCCGACCTAAACAAAGCAATTTTCGTCACCATATTCTTGATCGCCGTTGTCGCGATTAATCTATTTGGTGTTAAGGGTTATGGTGAGGCCGAATTCGTCTTCGCTATCATCAAGGTTATCGCGGTTATCGGCTTCATGTGAGTTTCCCTCTCCTGCCATCCATGCGCCTCCAGGGACTGGACACTGACTTTCTCACCTTCGTTCTTCAAGCTTGCTTGGAATTGTCTTGAATATTGGAGGCGTACCGGGCGGCGGATATATAGGGGGTCTATATTGGCGGGACCCCGGCGCCTTTCACAACGGCTTTAAAGGTCTCTGCAGTGTCTTTGTCACAGCTGCTTTTGCTTTTGCCGGGACAGAACTAGTCGGGCTCGCCGCGGCCGAAACGGCGAACCCGCGCAAATCGCTCCCGACAGCTATCAAGCAGGTGTTCTGGCGAATAACTTTGTTCTATATCGTAGCTCTGTTTCTCATCGGATTGCTTGTGCCGTACGATGACCCACGTCTACTCATCCCGGGATCGGCGTCCGCGGCCGCATCTCCCTTCGTCATTGCCATCGAGAATGCAGGTATCGATGTCCTCCCGTCGGTGATGAATGTCGTCATCTTGATCGCCGTCCTGTCTGTCGGGAATTCCTCCGTCTTCGGTTCCTCACGAACCCTTGCCGCCTTAGCCGATCAGAACCAAGCACCAAGGATCTTGTCCTACGTTGATCGTCGGGGGCGGCCTTTGGTCTCCATCATAATCGCATCATCCATGGGTCTCCTCGCCTACCTCGCCGATCTCAAACAGCAAGGCGTCGTGCTGGATTGGCTTGTCGCTATATCTGGATTATCCTCCATCTTCACTTGGTCGTCTATCTGCCTGGCGCATATCCGGTTCCGTCGAGCTTGGGCACAGAAGGGCCATAGCCTGCGCGAGCTAGCGTTTAAGTCCCAGTGCGGCGTGTTCGGCTCGTACCTGGGCTTGCTCTTCAATATACTGGTGTTGGTGGCCCAATTCTGGGTCGGCGCGTGGCCCGTCGACTGGGAACAGCAATCCTCTGGCGAATTGGCCAAGAACTTCTTTCTGCAGTACATGGCTGTCCCGGTAGTCGTCGTCTTCTACCTCGCGCACCGCCTTTACGCCCGCACGAGCTTCATAAAGACTGCCGACATGGACATCGACACCGGACGTCGAGATTTCAACCTACCGATCTTGCTCGCGCAGGAGGCCGAGGAGCGCAGGGGCTGGCCGAAGTGGAAAAGGTTTTATAGATTTTTCTGTTAGGGTATCCCTTTTCTTGTGCATTTCCTCACTCGAGATTACCCAGGTTAAGATAGAGTTGTTGCATATAAGCGGGAAGAGTGCTAGAGGTCTGGTTGGGTTGGGCTGGATAATTAGAGAGGGAAATTTTCTGGATTTGTACGACGATACTATTGGAGCGAGGCGTTCGGTTCCCGTATCAATTAGGCCTCGGTGCGTTCTTAGGACGTTTTACATCCTCTTAATTTAAGGACACAATTGATACCCCTTTAGTTGTCGGAGGAGTCGCCACCGACCGAGATGGAAGATGCACAGTTTTTACTCGATGAGAATGTTGAATGAGACGTCTTCGCGTATATGGTATAACATAAAGGTCTGTAGGAGCTAGAGATCATGTATATTAGCCTTATCTAACACCGTGTTCTATGCGAGATCTTACTCGTCGTACTACGAAATAGACCTCTTTAGTATTGTCAAGGACTGTTATTGTATTGTTACAAGCGGTTGAGCAATGCCGTACCCATAGAACCACGACTTCCTGTCAAGTAATTATCTCATTGCCTTTTTGTATTCTTGGACAGGGGAAACGCAACATAGAGAACTATATGCGGGCTTGCAGAATGTACATAGACAAGAGACAAGCATAACACTTGGAATTAAGGAAAATAAAGAAGGGTCTCGGGTCTCCAAGGAAGACTTGACCATCGCATCGCCAACCTCATCACAATGTTACGATGACACCCCAACACGATGCTAGTACACACGAGGAATTGTACTCAAAAAAATTTCGGAAGTCAACTGCCCCTGTCCACAGAATAACCTATGATCCCCATCACGCGGACGCTGAACCTTGCTTCTTCCTGGCATTCTTCTCGTAATTCATGAGGTAACATCTAGGCATTTTCATTCATAAAAGTAAATGTGCGCGTCTTCTTCTTCAATGTCGAAGGTTATGTCGGGTCGCCTAGAAGTCCCAGTTAAAGCCTCCTGTGTTTGCGGTTGCGGGCTTTCTCTTAGGAGCCGGCTGGGGCGTTTGACTGTCGTCGTCATCACCAAAGAGCCAGTTGCGGTTGGAACCTTTGCCGCCACCCATTCCGTCACCGCCGATGTGTATTCCTCGTTCGCCATTGGTGCCAGAGCGTTGCGGAATAGGTTTATTCTCCTTTTGTCCGGGAGACTGGTCGAAGTTGGACCAGCTGGCGTCCATCATCTTCACAACCTTCTTTCGATCTTCCCCTACAGGGGGCTTAGGCGAAGGCTTCTGGGCTGGCGAATCGGTCATCTGCCAATGGGCTTCAAAATCTCGACCACGATCCTTCAAATTCGTAATGGCTCCTAGAGGTCGAGGTTCCTCACCATCGACTGGCTCACTCCCATCCTCGCTGTACAAGTTGTTCTTGTACAACCCCAATCCATTGTTGTGCGTCGCACCGCGGGGGCGCGTAGCACGAGGCTCTCCGGTAGGGGTGCCGTCGTCCACAAACTCGAAATGTGTCTCAGCATCACGACGAGGCTTGACGGGTGCAACCTTGCGCACGGGACTCTCCTGCACCTGGTCGTCCTCGGTTCCCCAATGGCGCACATTTTGCTTTTGCAAGACCTTGGATGGTTTTGGCTTTTGTGGGGTATTAAAATCGTCAAAGCACCACTGGCTCGAATGCTTTGTTTTCTTAGCATTCAGATCGGGCGCTTGCGGAAACTCTTCGGGGTCGTCAGCAAAGTCAAAGTGACTGTACTTCTTGGGGTTGGGTCGGATGAAGCGGCTGGGGGATGCAACCGCATTGGGCAAGTTGCTCTCTTCGACAACATCCTCGTCCCCAAAAAGACGACTTGGTTGGAATTTCTTGTCAGCGCCAGCCTTAGGGGCGATTGCTTTACTGGGAGACTCAGATCGTTCCCGACTAGGGCCCTCGACCGGCTCATCGCCTAGGATCTCGGCGAAATCACGCTGTCGTGGCCGGGTCCCACCTCTAGGAGAGATAACAGCAGCTATACTTTCGTCGGATTCCTCGCGAGGGGCGAACAATGCGAGTGACGCGTGGGGATCTCGTAGGACATTGGTCGAGTTACCGCGAGAACGAACGGCTAAGTCGTGAGGGTCTTGGCTACAATCGGAACCACTGGATGACTTGACAGAAGTTTCAATCAACTTAATCTGTTCGGTGCTGTCGCGAATAGGCCAATTGCGGCCGGATTTTCCGATGACGTCGAGCTGCTTTAGCAGAGAACCTTGATCCCAGGCCTGGCGAATCTGCTGTATCTTACCATCATTGTCAAAGGTGACAATATGAATCTGGTTCGCGCATTAGTCAACTTACTGAACCAGGTTAGTGCAAGGCGACATGACCTACGATGGGAAGATAAACAGTGCGGTCAGCTACGAAATTGTCATCAAGACCAGGTAGGTAAGCTCCGCCGCTGGTGACAAACTCGAGAACGGTATCAACCTCAGCCACGATGGCGTTCTGACCCTCGACAACAGAGAGGAATTCTTGCTTTTTCTTCTTGAGCTGTTTGGCCGAAGTAGTGAAGTGTTTGCCTATTTGGTCGGAGCCCTTGAAACTAGTCGTGGTGGTAATGTAGTTGAGGGTAGCATCATCAGCCAGTTGTGACGAACTCGGCGCATCAAGAAATTGCTTGTATACGGTTGCCAGCGCCATGTTTGTGGTGATGTATTTAAATCGAGCGCGTTTGCGCGATGCGTGTTTTGATAGCAAAAGTACGCAAGCAGCTGGAGTAAAGTGCGATGGTTCTTGCGCTGCTTGTAGATGTAGAAAAACTGGGTTGAAGATGAGGATGAAGGTGAAGATGAAGTAGATGAGCAGGAAGAGAGGAAAAAGGAAAAGAGCGAAAGGGGTTAAGAATGCAGGATATAGAACTTGTCGCGTTGCTAGGTAGGCAGTAGCGGTAGACCAGGATGAAGAAAGAAATATCTATGCAGTCGCGGCAGGAACCCTTAAGGACTGCTTATTTATTTTTCCAAGTACCTTACCCGGCAGGTATAACTGGGTAGATGTACCCAGATGTATGTGAAAATGATATTAAAAGGGAAGGAACATGAGACACTTGTCGATTCCCTCTGTTTACATCCACGAACCCTGTCTGGCACGTTTAGCCCGGCATACCCGCCGTTTTCTTGGTATCACACACCCAGAGTATAGGTATTGTCAACACTTGTTTACAGGTATTTCAGTTCCAAGAACAATTCTTTAGCATTTGGAAAATGCATCTAATCACTTAACCTACTAGGTACCAAAAGACCATATATCAAACATGCTGAATATTCGATATACTTATTACTAAAATACCAGCATTAGGTAGTTAGTAGCTAATGAAGACTAGTCATAACGAAAGCAACCTGTGCTTTTTCAACTGTAGCGCATGACTATCTTTTTTTATTAGACCGTCCCGTACCTTAGATAGACAGTGTCTATATGGATGTATTTGTTACTAGTTTATAATGTGCTGCGCTGTTGTTGTTTCCGTGTAGGTATTTCATGCGCGGAGATTTAATTAGTGGGGCGAGGGGTTCAGGAGTTCCAAACAATCGAGGCCCCACGGTAGCCTTTTCTACCCAAGTTTAGTAAACCCCTGGGCCTACGCTATTACTTACATATGTATGCAAGTGGTGTACTTAGGTAATATAGAAATGGATCTTGGATAAGATCACTAGACGAGCATTGCACTAGATGTACTTTGAAAGAGCCTTGAATACTATGTACATAGACTGCATATAGACTTAGAGAGTCTATACTGAATACAAGTGAGTCTCAAACATGAAAGTAGGCCATGTTCAAACTTGACCAATCTCATAATATGCAGTATTCTAGGAATGTAGTATGTTTCAGTCTTGCAGGGATCATGACCGTTTCAAAAGAAACAAAATAATGGGTCTCAGACCCAACACGGTAAGAACATATTACTAACAGCGTTTATAGAATATTATCAAGTTATCAAATAGTAATATGCACTTCGCTGCTAAGATGCCACAGTATTTATCACATTAGCCCCGCCCGGTCTTGTCTTCACGTCATATAGTAAGTCGGGTATTTCAAGGAGCCAATTTTTGTGGCCTTTGCCATACAGCTCTATCGTCATTCCTAGGTGGTTAGCATACTCGGCATCAGCCCTACGTTCTCACAAAGTTGTACTTAAATGATTCATCTCTTAGTACCTTAGGTAGGTACGAGTTTGATTTACCTACTATGTAGTATGGACTTGCCAAACTAAATTTGGTGGTTTCTCTTTCCATTGACAATGTAAGTGCAAGCTGTTTCTTTGTACCTACTCACTACTATGTGGGTAGTAGGTACAGGTACCTTCTTGATATCTATTTGAGCCACAATCACGGTACCTAAAGTATGTGTGGCGAAGCGCCGAACCAACCGAGCTGAGCCCCTATCAATAGACTATTGGTGGGTATTAGTGCTACGTAGGCGGATACTTGTCCCAATGTAAGAGCAGCTACGAAATGGAAAGTCGCTACCTCCTGGATGTCCGCGCGGCGCATCTTCAAAGCTGAGACTTTCAACTCGTGTACATCATCTTAACTAACAATCAATGACAATATTGAAGAAACCAAAACAGCCATCAATTTTCTCTCTCGAGTAGTAAAGAAAATACCTCTTTCATCATACCTATTAATCCTAGATACTTTATTTCTCGTGTTATCTAGTGATACCAGCTACCAGCGACCTGTTTCTACCTAGGCAGCGTCTACTAAGCTCGAAATACTTCTCCCTCCAGCTGCGCCCTTCCATATCCGCCTCTATCCATTTCGAACCCTCTCTACGCAGAACAATAAATACTTTGTCATGATCTCCACGTTGTCGTCAACAACCACGCAACCATGAGGGCCAGGGGAGCTTCGGGGGCGGCAACCTCGCTGTGGTCGTCCGTCTTCTTGTTAACAGCTCTTCTATGGAGCGTCCCGACTGCTTACGCAAAGAGCGGACCGAACATCGTCGTCAAAGAGTTCGAAAACCCGCCGAACAACCTGAACTACTTCAAAGGTTCAAATGTCGTCCTATTCCAAGAAGCCTACGGGCACACCATTTGGCGTTCGACTGATGGCGGCGCAAACTGGTCAAAAGCCGAAGGAATCGAACACGATAAGGCCGCCGCCCTAGTCATGCACGAGTACGATCCGAAGCGCGCCTATGTTTTGACTCGTGGTAACGTCCACTGGAAGACAGATGACCAGGGAGAGACTTGGAAGACCTTCTTTACCGACGCCTATACGAGTAATTTCATCGATACTATCGGCCGATGGATGAATTTCCATGCCGATGACCATGACAAGATTCTATTTACCGGTATGGATTGTCCGTTCCCGGAGCTCTGCGAAGAGGTGGTTATGTATACCGAAAATAACTTCGAGGATGATGCCAAGTTCTTGCGCGGACGTACTCAGGGCTGTTGGTGGGCCAAGTCGTCGCCACTTTTCACTACTGGCGATGATGAGAAGGATAAACAAAGAATTTTGTGCATCATCAGAGGCGGCATCTTCTCACCCCAGGAAGACAACCGCCTTCTGATTTCCGACAACTTTTTTAGCGCCGAAGGAGCCGACGGAGTCATCCAGGAGTACGAGCCAGATTTGAACGGCAATGGCGCTATCCAGGGTATTGTGAGCCTAGTCGAAGTCAAGAAATACCTCCTGGTAGCTGCCACCTCGCGTAATACGGCTGAGATGACTCTATTCGTGAGCGGCGACACCGTGAAGTGGCATCGCGCCGTGTTTCCTCATGACCATCCTCTCCTAGAATCCTCGTATACCGTATTGGAGAGTACCAACTATAGCATCCAAATCGACGTCAGAACCAGCAAGCGGTTGTCCAACCCTATGGGCACTCTATTGACTAGCAATTCGAACGGCACGTATTTCACCAGGAACGCTGAGCATACCAACCGTAACCTAGAATCCTACGTCGACTTCGAAAAAGTCTCCAACATTCAAGGAATATTCCTAGTCAACCAAGTAGAGAACTGGGAGGAAGTAGAGGAAGGCAAGGCGGGTAAAAGGGTTAAGACGAAGATCACTTTCGACGATGGCAGAACTTTCGAGTCTGTCAAGACAGGTGATGAAGAAATTCACCTACACTCCGTCACGGAAATGAACAATGTCGGCCCCGTCTTTTCAAGCCCTGCTCCAGGTCTCGTGATGGGCAACGGTAACCAAGGTAGTTATCTTAGAGACTACTGGGAATCTCATCTTTATATATCCGACGATGCTGGCAAAACGTGGATCGAGGGGCCAAAGGGACCACACAAATACGAATTTGGCGATCAGGGATCTATCCTCCTCGCTGTTAGAGATAGTGAGGAAGCTGATGTAAAGGAGATTAAGTACTCTCTGGACCACGGTAAAAGTTGGGAGACGGCCGAACTGCCCGAAGGCCTGAGTATCTCTCCTTGGACGTTGCTGACTGATCAAGGCTCGACCGGCCTCAAGTTTCTGCTTACTGCTAGAAAGGGGTCGAGAGCTTCACCTACTGGCTTCTACGTCGTCTCCATTGACTTCGAAGGTCTCCATGAGGATACTTGTAAGAACAGCGACATGGAGGACTGGTTCGCGCGAGTAGGTGACGATGGCAAGCCAAGCTGCGTGATGGGCCATACACAGAAATACCACAGACGGAAGAAGGATGCGCAGTGCTTCATCAAACAAGAATTCAAGGATCCTATTCCCGAGTCATCTCCGTGCGACTGCACCAACGCCGATTTTGAGTGTGACTTTAACTTTGTGCGGGATGGAGACGAATGCAAGCCCGCTGGCCCGATCCAGGCACCCGAGGGCGCTTGCAAGAACGATAATCCAGACGAGAAGTTTTTGGGGTCATCTGGTTGGCGTCTCATCCCCGGAAACGAATGTAAGCGCACAGGGGGGGATCAGAAAGATAAACAGAAGGAGTGGAAGTGTTCGGACGCTAAAAGCTCGCCGAACGCACCCGGAAGTAATGAGATCGAACACACTCTAGTTCCCTTTGACGGCGAGTTTGATCGCTTCGATAAGCACTACCTCGAGCGGGGTGAATTAGATCCCGAGGATGGAGAGACAATAATCGCCAGACCGTATAAAGCGCTCACCGGCGCGGCGGGTGACGTTTTCATCACGCATGATCATGGCAAGAATTGGACGAAGGCTAAGTTGCCCGGAGACGAGGGTATTTACGCGGTTGTCACACATCCTTATGTTAAGGATATGGCATTCCTCTTGACCCGGGGAAAAAAGGTCTTCTACACTGTTGATCGTGGTCGGCATTTCAACTACTTCGAAACACGAGATGAACCAGATACCAGCTTGGATAGGTTACCTCTTGCGTTTCACCCAGACCGACCAGACTGGCTCATATGGCATGGAAAGAGATGCACTGGCGACAATGATTGCCATCTTGTAGCCACCATTTCTACTGAACGCGGTGAAGACTGGAAGACCATCAAGCGCAATGTGATCAAGTGCGAGTTCACTGGCTCATCTGCATACAAGTTTCGCAATAACACACAAATACTGTGTCTCGCGAGGGCGCATGAAGAGACCAGAGATAATGACCCCCTCCAACTATTGTATAGCGACGAGTGGCCAAGATATGAGATGAGCGTGGCCTTGCAGAATGTTAGCAATTTCGCCACTATGGCTGAATTCATCGTCGTCGCCACGGAAAATCGAACAGAGGGGACGCTCAACGCGCTTGCTAGTATGAATGGGCGCGATTATGCACCAGCACATTTCCCATTCAACTTCCAGGTTCCGCATACAAATGCATATACTGTCCTGGACAGCTCGACTCACGCCGTCAATTTGTTTATCGTTACCGAGGACGAGGAAAATCACCGGTACGGGTCGATCCTCAAAAGTAATTCGAACGGAACATCCTATGTGCTGAGCATTGCGGGCGTCAACTGCAATAGGGGCTATTATGTGGATTTCGAAAAGATGCTCGGCTTAGAAGGAGTTGCACTCGTCAACACGGTAGAGAACAAGGGCAGCGATTCGGAGCCAAAGAAGCTTACTACACGAATAAGTCACAACGACGGGGCCGAGTGGGGATTCCTGCCACCTCCCGAACGAGATCTTGACGGCAAGGAATTTAGCTGCTCTAGCAAAAATGGAGATGAATCATGCGCTCTCCATATCCACGGCTATACTGAACGAGCCGATTTTGGGAAGACCTACTCGTCAGAGTCAGCAGTCGGCATCATGTTTGGCGTCGGTAATGTTGGTCCGATTCTCGGAGATCCTAAAGACGCCGACACCTTCATGACGGCTGATGCAGGGCTAAGCTGGAAGATGGTGAAGAAGGGCAGCTGGACGTGGTCTTTCGGTGACCAAGGATCGATCGTGGTTCTCGCCCAAAGAAATACACGATCCAAGTCCATATCCTACTCACTTGATCGGGGCGATACTTGGAACGACTATACATTCACAGATTCCGAGGTCGTCATCACCGATATTACGACGCTACGTTCTGGTTCGTCGAGAAACTTCCTCCTCTGGGGTCACCAAGGGGACAAGCTCTTCACCGTGAATATCGATTTCTCGGGCTTGGCAAGAGAGCCATGCAAAGATGACGAAGACCGGGAAAAATCTGACTACGAATTATGGTCGCCGCAGCATCCTTTACAGCCGAACGGTTGTCTATTCGGTCATAAAAACCAGTACCTACGCAAAAAGAAAGATCGGAAATGCTACAATAGCTACAAGCTTCAGCACTTGTACAACGTCGAGAATTGTGAGTGTACTCGACAGGACTTTGAATGGTAAGTACAGTGAGATAGCTGTCTACGAATTATGTTCCGGGTACTAACTACGTTCCCGTAGCGATTATAACTTCGAAATGGATAATCATGGGCACTGTGCACTCGTCGAGGGTCTTAAACCCCTGGACCCCGAGCAGGTTTGCAAGGAGAAGCCCGATGAAATCGAGTACTACGAGCCTAGCGGCTTCCGTCGAATCCCCTTAACAACTTGTAAAGGGGGCTTCGAGGCCGACAAGGTGCTTCAGGCTCACCCTTGCCCTGGCCACGAGGAAGAATTCGAAAAAGCACGCGGCGTCTCCGGCGTCGGTCTTTTCTTTGCCATCGTTCTTCCGTTCGGATTCGCATCGCTAGCCGGCTGGTGGGTCTACCGCAACTGGCAAAGCAAGTTCGGGCAGATTCGACTTGGTGAACAAAGCGGTTTCGACAGCGATTCGCCATGGGTCAAGTACCCTGTGGTGACAGTGTCGGCGGTAGTAGCGGTTATTGGCGCGATGCCCCTTCTGGTAGGAAGTCTGCGGCGTAGTGTAGGCTCCGCGATAGATAAATTTAGGAGCAGAGGAGATAGCGGCGGTCGGTATAGCTGGCTGCGGGGAAGCCAGCGAAGGTACACGACGAGAGACAGCTTCGCTCGAGGCAGAGGTGACTATGCCATCGTGGATGAAGACGAAGGCGAACTTCTTGGCGACGACAGCGACGACGAGGTGTGAGCGACGAAGGGTCTTACTTCTCTTATCACATGTAGTGTGGGAGGAGAGGAATTGAATGTATTTTTTGCAACTCGGGAGGCGCATAGGCAACAGGCAGGGTTTAGGAAAATCGTGATGATCTAGGCGAGGGATGGTGTAGGCAAGAATATGAACCATTCGTTGCCGTTGTCTACGACGTTATCTACAATCACCTAGGTAGTCACTGTAGCATTGTGCGATGGAAGAGACAGTTTTAGCTCCTTTTTTTTTGGTTAGCATCACCGCCGAGGTCTAGGAGTAATAGGGGCCAGTGTGCTTTGTGTGTGTGAACTTGTATTGGTATTAACGTTCCTCGTTTCTAGCGGGATAGACAAGACGAAGTAGACTAGTTGATCCCGTCCGAGTCTATCCGCTCTACCGCATGAGAGCTAGGTAGAGGTTTTACGACATAGGGTGAAAAGTAGTAAGCAATTTCTAATTCAGCCTACAATTTCTCGGAGTGTCATTTCAAGTAGGCGATATGGGTAGCAGCCTCGGATACCTAATGGTATCTAGGTATACCGTACACTTTATTTATATTAGTCGATATGTCTTCTCCTTCCCAACATTGTATAATCTGAGACAGGCAAGCATGTAGTAATATACATGAAATATTGGTCAAAGCTACCTTATCTAGGCACATACCCTAATACGAACGATGGAAGGACAACTCACTGCCATTTTTGTCCGTCTCCCCTGACGAGCGACTCAGCTGCAACAAACTCATGCACCATGCTGCGTGCTCGGGGCTCGGGGCTCGGGATACAACGTCAGCACGTCAAGTTAGACATTTCTATTGGTCCTTTTATTCTTGTTTCCCCTCCTCTTATTTAGTTCCGTGCTTTTTACAAAACAAGAGAGCATCCGCTTATCTGGTTCCGATTCCCGTCACCGTCACCATCGCTGTCCAAAGTTATTGATATTCCATGTAATAATAATAATAATGATGATAAGACTCGAGTCCTTCCTTATCCACGTCATAAGTTGCAAGTCCGGATTTCTCGCCCGAGAGTTATATTACACGTTCATGCTACCCAGAACGGCAATTCAACCTTCTACGTATCGCTTCTAGAGGGTTTCGGTTATATTTACGACTTTTAACTAACTTCTTACAGACCAACTTATGTTGTCTGGCCGTCTGACCTTCCGACCATACTACAGACGTACATAGCAGAGACTCATGGACGAAAAAGAACAAGAAAAAGACCGACAGCGTTTGATCTAAAGCGACGCCAAGGTCAAAAGCTAAGCACTGTCCCCAATGGACGCCGACCCCAAAACGAAGCTAGTTAAATCGTCACATGGCGATACGCGTACCTGCAGGGGAAAAGTCGCTAGGTCCGTTCTGTCGGGCGCCTATTAGAATACAAGAAGGTCTCGGCTCTATTGTAGCTAGTTATTATAGTCTTGATATAGCATGGAGAACTAACGATAATCTAAAGAAGCACCCGCGCGCTATAGTGACTAGCTAAGGCGTTTACGAGAATCGGACTTAAGCTTGCTTATATTTTCGAAGACTATTTCAGCTCGGGCAAGTTGGTATTGGTCTGTCTCACCGCTCAGACCCCTCGTGGATCAGCGCGTCCCGCATGAGTCCAAGTCAATCTCTATGCAAGGTCTACCTACATTGGTTTAGATACCCTGCACTATTTCGCATATCACTCTTGAATCATCAGTTTTTGGGTGCAAAGGAACTGAAAAGATGGGGACCGGCCGGCTCAAAGTGCCTCGGCCTGAATATAATATATTTGATCTAGACTGGGAGTTGCAATGATATACATCTCCTAAATCAAATGAAGGGTAGTAAAGGGGAATGTGATGTTTCCATTGCATTTCGTGCTTCCGCCAAACAACTCTTCTCCCAGCGCATGTCCCATAGTCGGCTGCAAAAAAGGGCCTCTGAAGAATAAATAACATTTTGAATACCTCGTCAATTGCTAAAACACCACAAACCAACACCTCGTAACTCCAGGCAATGATCGATCCCATGTACATAAACGCCAGGGTGGGCATAAGTATCACAATCCGATGTCATCAGTTTCCTCAACGCCCTAAGGCGTGAGGAGTCGTATGTTTTGTAGAATAAAGGAATCAAGGGTACGGGCCCCACATAGAGAGAACATGACTCGAATGAGACGGAGCGAAGAATATGCCGTAATAAAAATGAGGGCTATATCGACGAGGCAAACTGGAAGCCCATGAAATTATGAAACTAAGGCCAGTCGTCCTTTTGACCGATCGCCCTTGTTAGAACTGGCCGCCATACTGTTCTCTCGATTACTTAGCCTCGTCGCACTCGATTCCAGATGCGCTTCATCACATTGTTATCTGTGGAGGTGGGAGGGCCGAGCTCCTGGTCGATGTCGGCGAAAATCTTCTCTATGCTGTCTTTGGGACTATCCCTAACGTATGTCGTAGTCGTAGATGTAGGCAATTCGTCCTGCAAGGCCAAAATCTGAGCTGGTTTACTTGAATACTGTCGTGATCCCTTCTGCCACCCGTATATTTGGTCTTCGCAGGCTCGTAAATCCGGTCGCGTTAGCGTCATACGCAGCGTCATTTCGCGGGAAGCTGCAGGCACTTGCGCATAACCTTCCGAAGGTCTCGAGGAGTAATCATCGGTGGCGGGCAGCTGAAGAGGTTTCACATGCTTATCTAGCGTATTTGGAGTCCTGGGTGACTCCGGGTCCGGCAGTGATGCATCCTCGCTATAAGTAGACGATCGATCATCCGAGAGAAACGTCTTGAATTTTTCCGAGTCTGGAGAGAACATCAAGCGCGATTGGTCCTTGGCGCTTGGAAGATCTCTATATGCACCAGCTGACGAAGGGTCATTTGATGGAAAACCAAACTCTATTGCTTCGTCGAATTTTTGGGGTGAAGCCAGGTAAACTCGTAATTTTAAGCGCGCTTCGGGATCCTGATAATGAGCCGCGCCAGGGTCAATTGAGGAAATCGACTCGTGAGCGGCATGCTTCGGCGTGATGAGAGATAGAGCCCTGGATTTTCGCCTTACAGGTGGCAGGTATGCGACCGGACTGGGCGCTGCCGAGGGGGCGGTAGGAGGTGCCGCATCCTTTGTTGCGGGCCGACTCGAAGAGATAGACGGGCGCCCAAATGGGATCTTGGAAAAGGATAAGTGACGACGAAACGAAGGAGGTCTTGATTCCTTAGGAGGTATAGGCACAGACTCTCTCAGGTTCACGTGATAGTCGTCAAGAGCGAGGCGGAGGTCGAGTTCTTCGTCTTCATCTAGCCATCGAAAGCTATCGTAAAGCGCATCGTGCGCCTTGAGAGAACCGTTATCGCTCGCCAAAGACTCCATGCTTGGCCGCGCCGAGGAATATAAGGTAGGTGAATGAAGTGGAGGGGTAGGGTGTCTGTTCGCAAGACGGCCCGCCTTCAGACACGCTTCGTCGGCAGCATCAAGGATAACGCTCTGGCGCAAGCGTTTTGCGATGACGACCTGCTCTTCTCTACTAAGATGCTTTTCCCTAACCTTGGCGGGAAGCCTGGCCAGGAAGGCCAAGTCTACAGAGGCTGCGTGGCCCCGATGGGATGGAGCGGTTGTGGGACGTTCCAGTGGCTTGCCGGGGGCAGCGCCGCTGAGCGAGGCTCCTCGGAATTTATGATGTCTGAATGCGTCGGATGGGGGGTCCAGGATGCCAGAGGTTTGAGCGAGACGCAAACGTTCCAAGGTGGAGAAGTACTGTAAAAAAGAGGGGGAGGGAGGAATTTAGTAAAGACACTGACAGAACGCTTTCATATGTATAACAACAAAACAACAGGGTTGAATAACGGAGAGGATAGGGTGAATAGGGAGAATGTGTGGAATGGGAAGAGTGTGCTCTGATGCAGGAACGGGCATAATACATAGTAGATGGTAACTATATGCATGCATGAAGATTGCAGAACCTGCACTCGCAGTGGCCCAAAGCGTTGCAATATCCAGGGCTATACAGGGGTAATATATTGCCCAGAGCTAGTTTAAACCAGTCTAAGCTTGGTCGCCGCCGATACTGCTTTGTTTAAGCAGCCTAGCCAACCTATAAGCGAACAGCCACGCAGCTTCGTTGGCTACCCTCCTTACCACCAACCCTTTCCAAGGTCGGTGCGAGCCTCCCAATTGGTAGAAGGGGCTTGCCACTACGAAGCTGCGGCGGCGCGTCTCTGCAGCTTAGTCTCTTTGCGGACTGTCTAATCCGGGAAAAAGAGATCTGACTGAGGAACTGGTGGGAATAAGTGTGAAATATCATATCCCCACACAACATGACACGCCGAAGACGTGCCAGCTTGTGAGAGGGGGAAATCCAGCCATGTAAAGAAAAGGGTAGATACTATGTATCAAATAGTTTTCTTCTTTTCTTTTTAATGACGGAAGATGAAGTGACGATGGCAGACGCAAGGGAGGGAAAGGCAAGGGGGAAATAAAGAAAAGCACATAGAACCTAAAAACCATAATGAAAAATAAAAATAAATAAAACTCACCTTTCGTCTGATAGCTACTGGAAGAGCCTCAAATTCCTCGATATCTCTCTTGGTGAGATGTGGATGTGGCGGTGACGCCAATTCACGGTTGTTGTGATCCTTCTCATTCTTTGCCTTCTTGTTGCATCCCCTTCCTGTATTGTCGCTGGTTCCCGAGGTTCGCTGTCTCTTAATGTTGGACAGTGGCAGCCATTGTCGAATCGAACCAAGCGAGTGATTCTGAGTCGGATGGCACTGGTGCGTATGCGGTCTTTGGGGTTGCTCCGACTCGTGTTGCTGTCGGGCTTGATCGAGGAGGCTGTTGTGATAGTCTACCGTGCTACTTCGGCCAGCTGCATTGAGGCGGGTCACTTGTAGGTCTGTATGGTTCCCGTCGCTGAGGTTGGTACCAGTGCAGTGCCGCATCGTTGGAGTTGAAGTTGTAATAGACGAGGTTGATTGGGTCAAAAATCGCCAGGAAACATTATAAAGTTAGGAGCTTATCAAGAAGAGAAAAGTCAATTTCAAAAAGACATGATTAGTATTGGAAAGTGCAAGTTGCAAGTTGCAAGTGCAAGTGCAAGTAGCAGGTGCAAGTACGGCCGTTGATAGAAAGCATAAAACAAGAGTCAAGACTTTCCAGAGCGACAAGGTTTACAAGGTCACTAGGCCTGCACAGGTCTGCAAGGTTTACGAGATTGAAAAGGAGGTGGAAGTCAAGGAATGTTCGAAAACGAAAATATACCTAGATACTTGGCGATAAATTGAATTTCGTGTTGGTGTTCAGTGCGCATTACCCGGAGAACGAGGATAAATTCCACAGCACCTGGCTGGCTACATACAGTATTACTGGCCCGTCCTTGCCATCACATACATCCATGTGCACCTCAAGCGCTACTATCATCATACCTGTCATACCCATCATACCTGTCATAGCTAGTACTAGCAGACTCCCCAGGTATGAGAATGAAGCTTTCCACAAATAACAACCCAATAATAACCCAATAATAACCTGGCAGGTGGAATTCTCGACAGCCCTGACAGCCCTGGGGGGGGGGGGACGTGACAAAGTACCTGACATAAACGGTTCCTGAATGCTGGGAATGTTCAGGATCCCGACCCCGACCCCTAACCTAACCTAACCTAACTTGACAGTTTGACCCTAGACTTGGCCGTTATTTGCCGTTACTGTGTAGTAGTTGAGTGAACTATCAACGACACGGGACGAGCCATTAGGCCCAATCTGGCTAGTCCAGGAACCACATAGTCTGTATCAGGGAATAAAATGGGGTGGCGCCCGCCAGAAAAAAACGTGGCTACTACGTACCTGACAGTACCGTACCTACCATGACCCAGTAGGTAGTACACGATCTCCCGTACCACAATCCATGATTGCATTTTATGTAATTTAGGCAAACCTTGTGCTTCAAGTCCGTGCTTTGGACTTTATGTTAGGTTGTCCACGGTGTAGTACATACCTAGGTATGGTCTGGCCCGAGCACATCCCATTTCAACTCAACAACGACAACATGTTACATCTGACACTTAGCTGTCTGAGTACTCTTAGCATCGAATAAGCCTTGGCTCACCCATGTCGTCACAAGGACACAATAGCCAACATTGTCACATTGTCACACTGTCGTTATTAGTTTTATTAACTTCCACGTTTATTCGTTCCTTGTTGTCTCATGAAGCCATCGTGATCATCTTTTTACCCCGATTTATCGATACTCTACGTCAGTATGGAAAAGACACATGTGAGCTATATCCTGCATGGGTAAGGTGTTCTAGATAATCGTCGATCTTGGGAGCTGTTCTGCAACCACCTTCACATAGTATACCATTAGTCTCGGGCCTTGGCGGTATGATCGGCTCCGCAACTACTACGTACATAATTCCTGAGTCCTCCACGGTCCCCGAGCGTTAGACCCTGTCTGCTTGTTCAAGTACGGACTTGTATCGCTATACTCACCGTCAGCTGTCTAACTACTATTAGTTACATACCTGACATAATAGCCCGTGATTGAATTTCGAGACCTCATCCGAACCCCTGCGTCAAGTTGACATGATATCTTTCCCTCCTCAAATCAAACATAAGTACAGCCGAACACTGGGAAACAATAAGGCCATGTCCTAGGCAGGAAGATACCGAGCATCCACTTCAGCCTTCAGCTACACTATAGCGAATACCGTTCTCGGTAATGGCCAGAACTTAGCTTCGGGAACGTTCTTACACATCATACCATATACTATATTAAAGCTCTTCTCCCCGAGCCTATCCATCGATGCCGGCTGTCACGTTGGATAATTTCGCCGCGACTCGATATCAGGCAGTTTGCCTACCGGAAATACATAGCAAATAAGTTATGTAAGGGCAGGTACTCTGTATGTCACCGTGTCGGTGAGGGGACGATCACAGGCACTAACGAGCTTGGACGGGGTCTGCTCCTGAAACATGCAAGGCCCCCAGGGTATCGGACACATACGGACATATAGCTATACGCTACTGCACATCTCCCGCTTTATTTGGCTCTGCTCCTTCATCAGACCATGCTGGACGTGCATTACGTACATACACAGGCAGGGAATCGACCAACCAAGCTGCAAGACCAGGGACGGTACTTTTTAAGGCTCGAAGGCCAGAGCACTTGGGCTATAGGTACCCGGGTATTCAGAAAAAAATGCTATAGCTACCTACCTACATACGTCCTAACCAATAATTACCTGCTATCTAGGTAGTCGAAGTAGGAGACTGAAATTCTAGGATCCTGCCTTCTGCCTTCACTCATCCCTAACGAACCCAACTTCAGACAGGAGTTTGAATAGGGAGTAAGGTGTCCACCGGGTCGTAATATTTATATACCTTATCTTCCCTGCCCTTGCCTTTAAGGATTGGTTGTTTGAATGTGGAAACGCCGGTCCTCCGGTCGTAGGACTCGTGGAGAGACGCCGGCCGTTTACCACCGCCGCCAGGAAGATCGACTATACACTTCGGAATGAAGAACCCGGCGACGGCCCCCTGGATCTGCGATTCAATATCAAGTAGAGTCCGCAGGGGCGTGCGCAGGTGCTCGACCTTCTTCACCATGTCACCTTGATATATGTAGTACTGACCAAGTGGTTAGTTCGCAACTGATCGGTTTCATCTAATGGTTTAATTCGTGATTCCTTACCGGTTGAATCGCCATCTTGGCCAATTTCTTGATCAGGGTTAGCATGGTATCAACGTTGTCGTTGATGCCACGAAGTAATACCGACTGGTTGCGTATAGTCATGCCTGACTGCACGAGCCTGAGGGTAGCTTGTTCTGTGATCCAGGATATCTCGCTCGGATGGTTAAAGTGGGTGTGCAAAGCCATGTGCTTGCCTGCCCTCTTTGCTTTGTCCGATACGCGGATCAGAGTATCTGTCCACGGGTCTTTTCTATCGAGGAATCTGTGCGGTGCCACTGCTAACCCTTTAGTTGCGAAACGGAACCTTTCGATGTTCTTCGCTGCGATGAGTCGATCCCCAATTTCCTCGAGGAGGGACGGCTGGATGTAAAAAGCATCTCCACCGGAGACGACTATATCGTGAAGACCTTCTTGACTTTCGATGTATTTGAAGGCATTATCGATCTTTGCCCTTGACATCTTAGGCGGTTCTTTAGCTACTATCTCAGTGTCCGGTCCAATGCCATAAGCCCTTGTGCAAAATATGCAGTATGTCGGGCACACAGAGGTTGCTTCGATATATTAGTGTGGCATTTGCAAGGATATCAAGGAATCCATACGGAGGAAGAGCGCTTTGTCAGGGTAGCGATGTACGAGACCCTCGACCGGCTTGTCCAACTTTTCATTCAAAGAGTCCATCTTGGCCATAGGGTGATCCTCGACCATTATCGATCCCAACGGGATGAATTGTTTAAATATTGGGTCGTTGGCTGGATCGCTCCAATTGATCCTACTTAGTAAATAGGGCCTATATAAGGTCAGATGTCGAACGGCTCATTAGCAATTTAGCCCTCGATGGGAACACTTACATGACCCTTACAGCCATTGTGGCTTTTCTGATGCCGCTGATCACGTCACCTACAAACTCATCACGGCTCTGCGGACCGCCGAGACCATATGCACGAGGGAGCTCATCCGGCACCACAGCATAAAGGAATTCTGTTAGTTTATCCTTCCTTTTCGTGTTTGCTTCGACGACGTGCTATTACATTTTAGTAAATGCTATCTATAGAGAAGGGTAGATTTACGTTGACAGCCCATTTCCAAGATAGAAATTCGTCACTGGGCACATCCCTCCATTGCGAAATTTTGCGCCAGAAGTCGTCTCCGACGTCTCGGTGAGGTTCTGACCATAACGGGGTCGGCGCGGACGCAACAGGAGGTATAGGAGGATGACCTAGTATGATTCCTTGATTGGTATCTGCTTCGAGTGCATGGCGAGTTGTAGAGGTAGTTAATCCTCGTACGGGGTAGGGTGATGTCCCTGGCACGCCTAGGCTTCCTCTACCACGAGCGAGAGCCTGACGAAACATCATGAATTAGGTCGGTTTCTTATATACTAATGGACATATAGTAGCTAACATTAAGTATAATGATTAAACGTTTATTTTGGCTAACTATCAGTTTAGGTGTTATGAAGGGAGGCCTGTCGGGAGTGTTATATACACACTTGGCTGACGCAACAGCGCTTACAAGAGCTAGCATACACTGGTTCTAGCTCCAGCTCCAGCTTTACGGATATAAAATCGAGATTCATCGACTGATGCTCTTGGCCTGATCGACCAGCGTAAACCGAGATATACTCACGATTGATGTAACGCTGTACTATTGCCTCTAATGCTGCCATCCCACCGTCTCAAGGTTGGTCAGCAACCAGCACAGTTATGTAGACTAGAGCAGGCGATTGTTTCATGATTTCTGGCCTATAACAACTCTGATTCTAACTTTCCAACCTCGACTTCTGTCTCTAACATACATAAAAGAGAGCTCGAGGTAGTAATATGTCCCGTCCCCAAAATCCGATCCGGAGGTCTGGGCCTATGAGAGCATGTCTATTCGCCGAGATAATGTATAGAACCACATACGGGATTTCTATGGAGTCCATTATATGGTAATCACCATGCATCCCCGCTTACAGACAGCCCAAATCACCGCCCACCCTAGTCGTGGATGGCGCTGACTATCCATATCCGTTGCACGTGGAACCTTCACGGGGCCGAGGGATAATATTCCGGGGCCCCCTTTTGCATAGTCACTTACATACAGTAGGTGGCTTGGCTTTTGTATCTGTATATGTCTAAGGGGTTTGCCACACACGGAGGCTACTTATGTATAAAAGAAGCCTTCTCTGGCAGTCTATGTCATGATGCATATTAAATCCAACTCTCTGATGACCGGGAACAGGGTAAAGCCAACAATCGGACTGGTTTGGAACCACTGATACCAAGTACCCTGTGAGAACCATATGCGAATTGCTCCTACTTCGATGCTACGGTATAGACCGACTGAAATCTATAATTGTCTTTGCCCTAGCTAGAACAACAACTGATACTGCTGTGTTATTAGGTTGGGTTTTCAATTTCACAACCCCTTCACCTAATGTCTGTCAACTATCCATTCTTCTGGCGTGATACTAACGTGGCTGTCGCATTTACCAACCATTAGCCACATATTCCCTAGGCATAGCTACCAAATGGCAACTCCGGTGTTTCTCGGTAGCCTGGAGAGATATCACTGGACGTAACTAGGCGGCCTGCTAGTACATTACCCCTGATGGGCCCTCAACTTGAGTGCTGATGCGATCTAGGTCACGATTAGCTTCCTCGTTGGGAGTATGAAGTCTAGAAGTAAGACAAAGTGCATTAGTGCGACTTGCCGCCCATCGGGGCTGACGGCGGACACCTCCCTTTTACACTTGGGGAGCCTATCTTGTCATTTTAAACTGCTGATTGGTTTCCATCCACGTGGTAACAACGCTCACGCTCGTCGTCAATCAGCGTTGGCTGGTAGAACCAACCATCATGAACTCCGAAGTTCAACTGGGAACAACCACATACTTGTATGCCGGCGTCCTCTGTTGCATACAGCATGTTGGTTATGGGGAATTGGTTAGACATTCCTACCGTTGATCTGGGAACCTGGTATAATTGCTTTTCAAGTTCCATGATATCTAAGTATTAGACGGACCGGTTCACGTACATATCCATGAACAGTAGCTAATGTGGACCATCCTCGTCATCACGGCATCTGGTCCACTTTTGTGGAAAATCCTCAAGAGTTAGTTGACTTACCACCTTACTACTACTAATTAGCTCTGATTGATAAAGGTATTATGGTCATCTTACTGCAGCATGATTCAACCCCTGTTGCATATTGGGGATTCTCGCTAAGGGAATTATTATGGCATGGTTATGAAGTACGTATGCATATCTAACCAATGGTTTGTTGATAGCATGGCTAGAAACCACTCTAGCGAATCCTTTCACTTGGTCGAGACATGTTTAGATCGCAATGATTGACGACAAGAAGCCACCATGAAGAGTCACACCGCACGGAGCTTGGTCTTGTCACTTTCGGCTCCCGATTTACGGCTGAGCATGGGATTGAATTACCCCTTGGGGCGAAGTGGCTTGAAAGATCTCTGCAGGTCAGACTTAGAAAGCAACACAACGGTTTAACGGAAAGAATCAAATCGCCGTACGGTGTGTATTGATGAAGAAAAGACCTGGTGATTTGTGTACTGTAGGAGAAAGGAGCCGCATTAGATGGCTCGATAAACAGTATCCCGGCCGGACTATTACGAACAGCGAGACCAACTCTAGCCTAAAAATGAGCATTCTCATCCGAATATTGCCTGGTTATAGGATCTTCATCGGTGGAGAGCCTGCCAGCAGAGGGCTGCATACACGGCCGAGGACGGGGTGTGATATGATTCGCTGATAACCGGCCACTATACGAAGTTATTGGCTCTACATGATTGGGTTCCGTTCTGTCGGGTCAGTAGCTTATGCCAAGATACCACCCAATGAATAAGTGCTACGGCACGGTAGTATTCTAACTTCATACCCCATCATGTAGTAGCCGACTATGTACGGGGCAATGTAAACATGACTTTCCCGACCACGGGTTCGATGTCGACAGGCCGCATCCGAGTTTGCGATGAGACCATCGGTAAAGCCCTTCTCGGTAGAAAATGACTACGTTGCATCCATCTAATACACGTAATAGCCCTGACTATAAAGAGGCACCAGGTAGATTGCCATGGTTTAGAGGAAAGACATATGTCCAATGTATGTCCAATGTATGTCCTCTGGCGGGAATTGCGCGCACAAAATTATCTAAACCGGGGCCCCATAGATCGATCATCAGCGCTTGACATTGAATCAAGAGCTCCGGGCGGTGCGGGCCGCTTCTATACCAGGTTTTTCAAGGGTTCCTCCCAGGCCAACCACCCGCCCCGGCAGTCTGGTACCTATAACGAATCGTCAAGAAACCATGATATGCAAATGGATCGGGCTTTGCTCAGTCTTCCTCTCTTCGCCTTCCCCGTCACATCCCCAACAAGCAAAAGCCGTATAAATCAAGTGATAGTGACATCAAAGGGTGCGGGTGCAACAGCGAACTTGTTCTTATTTGCATATAAGTCGCATTAGCGGCTCTTCAGTACCTAGTGATGAAGGAATCATAGCCGTTGTGTAGAATGAGCATGTGGATTTACTCCATGGTGCTCTGGCCTACCCTATATGGAGAAGGCTTATTAATCCCGATTAATGGGCACGAATCCTAAGACTAGGTACCTAGTCTTACTCACCAGGAGAAGGGAAAAAAAGGAGAGATAAATGGCGTCGTTGGGTATGTAGCGCCGGTGGATCAACCCCCACACCAACATGACACAGACGCGATCCTACCGTAAGGCAGGGTTCAACGAATATAGCTTAAAGCGAGAAATACTGGCAACTTTGGCGTCAACATTCAAATGCCACTGCTCGAAATGTGTCCTCGTTTGATTGGGGCATGATTATATGCCTTGTAATCCCGCTGACGATGATCCATCTGCCCAGGCCTTTGTACCCATTTCATCCACGAGCTCATCGACGATATGGCGACAGGGGTAATGAAGAGACTACCATGAATATTGTACCCCTTTGGATAGGCAGAGCACCTCATGAGCTCGAAGCATGAGAAAGCCGACGGCTCCTCTCCAATGACCCTCCTATGCGGACTGGGATTTTGCTGAGAGATAGGAGCTGACCCCGGATGATTTTGACGATACCTAAGTCTTACCTATCATCACTATGCTGTAGAAAATCACGAGTCTGGTTTGTACACCTACGACTGATATGCTATCTAATTGTCGACTTCTTGTTCCCTGGGAATATACTGATTGGAGCCGAAGCCCATCCAAAGGGTTTGTAAGCCACGAGATCTGAAGATATTCGACAAACTCGAGGCTTCTATATGGAGTGCGGGAGTTTTGACCTCGCTTATTTGGACATACGCCAACAAGGTGACAACCTTCTTCCGATAACTCTCGCTTATTATCATCAGTTTGGGAATTGCAACCCTATCTTCCTCATTTGGACTTCGCCCGAGTTCCCTGGATCGTCCGTATTGGAATACCTACTATTACATTACTTCCTATGATAACAGAAGGGTAATGGTTTCATCGAATGAGAGAGGAGCTATATGATTGGGAGAATTAGTCCCGTATTTCAATGATATGACTCCCGAGTCCACTCTGATAAGCGCCCCCTTTTATTGGAAAAGTAGGGTGGCTAGGGCCTAGCTGTCAGAAGCCTCCTCTGTGAGGGCTGATAGCCAGAGGTCTCGCCAGGGTTAGCTAGTAGCCCAGAGGGATCGGGAGTCGAGGCCGCCCTGTTGGCAGTTGGCCCTTGGCTGTAGACAAAAGAAGGTCTATGTATGTATACCGCATCCCCTGAAGGGAGTAGTTAGACCTCTTTGCGCAACAACGTCGTTATTCCTTAGCCCTTTGGTTCCGCCTCGTGACACTAGCAGCCATTTGTACACCTCAGACCTAGAGGTGCTCGCTAGTATAGAAAAGTGCATAGGATGTGAAACGTTTTGCGGTGAAGTCATTTGTGATATTCTTAGCTGGGTAAAGTCCCTATTGTACTTCATTCCACCAATATGCCTACCTACCAGTCAGAGGACTTTCTAAGGTCATAACCGAAGCCCCTAATTCCCTAAACCTGTCCAAGATAATACACAATTATTAATATCCGACCGAATTCGCCCGCCATAACCATAATGTGCTGACATCCCTGCCGCAACGAAGCTCTGATTATCCCCCGAGCCTTCAAAACATCGCGGTCCTACCAAATCATCGGACTCTACTACGGTCAATCCAACTAATGACTGTCATCTCCGTGTCGACTTATCCACTGAACAATTTCAAAGTGTATGCTACAAAATCAAATCCTTAAGTCTCTTCGAGGAACGGCCTTGCCTTGAAATGGGATATAGATGGTTGAATAAGGGGCTATGCTACTACAAGGACTGAACAGAGTGGTGGCGATGAAGTGGGTGCGTAAGGATTTCCAGATCACTGTCTACGTATAACTATCCTCTTTGTCTGCGTTATATTAGGTCGTCATTAATACTACTAAGGTAAGAAACCAGACTTATAACGGCTAGCTTATAGGACGATTAGGCCTCCAGCAGGCGATACAGCAGGCCTACCACGTCAGAGGAAACAACCCGCAACCGCCGCGGAGTGGATTATGCATCAAAACAGTCATCAAAGGTAGGTGTTTGGAAATTTTATTTTATTTCATTTCATGAGCCCAGGCTAATATGTGCCTGTGAAGTTCCAGAGCCTGTTAAACATTCGGAAAGCGGCACGTAGCTTAGTCTTCCATATCCGAGGTGTCCATGCTCTCCCACCCGTCCGAACTACTAGACACGCTATCCTCGCTATCCGTACTATCATAATAATTGTGATCAAAGGGGTATTTGACCACACCTTGCGGGTTTGTAACCGCAACGATCGGGACATTCGGCGGCGTCAGAGGCATGGATAAGAGTGACCATACGCATCTCGGCAGTCTAGGTGCGGGATGACCACCGGAGGGTTTAGGAGCCGTGAGAAATCTCCCGTAGCGGGACAACCGGGATGGCCTCGCTCCACGCGTGGAGGAGTTTGTCGATCTCTTGTTCGATGACGACCCAACCCCATGTTGGCCGATTTGGCGCCTCGACTTTTGAAGCTGCTGACCATTTGATCTGGTCTTGACATGGCTCCTAGTAGGAGAACCGTGTAGATCCGTGTCAGTGGTAGGTTGGAGGCCCTTATTAGTCTTTAGCTCTTCTAGTCTGGTCGATTTCTTCGTACTCGTTGTAGTAGTAGCCGGTCTTTGGCTCTGTGGACTACTCGACTCACCCGTGTTCTTGTCTCGGTGGTCTTGCGTACACGCTTCCAAGTTGCTGTCATACCGAGCCATCGTTGAGGTTACTGAGATTTCCGCTTGCGGAGCAGTAACGAGTAAGATAAATGTACCACACCGGTCCTCATCAAGGACGGACTCGGGTAGGTAGGCTACTTGAGGTACTTGCTACTCCGCATCAAAGTTCTTTAGTCGTATCTATTGCGATAGAAGGTCCCTTCGAGGATTGTGGTAGAGCAGATTGACTCCTGGTTATTTGCCGGCGTGGCTACTAAGGAAAGAGCTTAAGGAAATTGTACTGACGATGAATGTAGCGATGGCTACGTGAATGACATTAATTTTATATAGTCTGTATTTGAGATAATTCAGTATGAAGGGAAAGGGAAGAGGACCCATGAGAGTAACTGCTTAAACGGCTGAATAGATAGATGACTAGTATCAAGATTCTAAGATTCTGTTACTAAGTGAGGAAGGTGGAGAGTTTCGGATTGCTTTTAGCAAAGGTGAATCATCTAAACTTGATGAACAATCTGAGGAGCAATCATCCTTACTCACTACTGCTTACCTCGGAGACAGCTCCCCTGAGCTATCTTTTCAATATTGTTTCGACATAGATTTTGGGTATCAAACACCATAATTTGATCTAGAGTACACGAAAACGCACAATTTGCCCAGTGCCACTGGTCTTTTACGCTTTCCCACTCGAGTGAGTCCTTGGAAGTAGTGAATCAGTAGTATTTAACCCATTTACTGGATCGTTGTTAGCATTCATCACCTTAAGACTACACTAAGGGACTCAAGACCGACGGTTTATCCGTAATAGGCCTGATGCCAATTTATTATGCCCAATCTCTGAAAATTTCGTGAGTATTTCAAGTGCGGCCGGAGTCCAAGACACCAAGTACTAGAACTCGGCGTCTATGAACGGTAGAAACAGCCCGTATTTCCAATCAGGGCTGTATACGTATAATGATATAATCCTAAGACTTTGATCAGCCATTCCTTGCGGGCAATTTGCTCTTAGAGCGCCAACAACGTGTTATGCGGAGTAAACTGATCATACGCTGTAGCAGATGCAGAATACTAAATACCGTGTAGGCGACTAACCTCCTAGCACGTCCAAAGCTCGCGAGACTTAGGTGCCCAAGACTGTCTTGCATATATGGGGTGTCTACGTAGGACTACCAGTGCCAAATTCATCAACTAGGAAACATAGTCCTATCCATTATCCTATGGTGTATATTCCCCGTATGTGTGAACGCATTTCTGCCTCGCACATACGGTAATACCAAGTACAGAAAAAGACTCCGCGGTCAAGACGTACTGGGTGACTAGTTCTGGAGGGTCCTGTTAGATGAGTTGTTAGCATCGATGTTGCGGTAGGTCAAGGGAAGAGGTAGTAAAAAATACCCGAGGTAGTCCTCCTTGATGCTACCGATGGCCCAGAGCTCACCAACCTCGGATCGGGTACCAATAATCTTGACTCGAACCTGAGTGTTAACCTCGATGGTGGTGTCTTCGTTATTGGTGAATTGAGGAGGTGTGGCGTTGGGGTCCCATCTGACCTCGTTCGGGATCAGCTAGGTGGGATATGTAAGCTCATACTAAATAAACACATTATCAGTTTCCAGAGGAGTGCTCACATGGGTGGACACAAAGACTCTAAGCGGCCCAGCTTCAGCAAAGAAGCCATGCTGATTGACTGAAAAAACCCTGGCATCGATCTGACTTGATTAGTTCCAGCTTACGGAATTGGAAGCATAATCAGAAGCAGACAAGGGCATGAGGAACTTACCGTTTCGCCCTTGAAAGGCCGCCAGACCACAGCTCGGTATCCAACCATAAACTCGGCTAGACCACTTCCTGGAAGGATACGACCCTCTGAGATATCAAACGTGTCCATGATGGAGATGATATAGTAACTGCCGGTACATGTTCCTTCAACATCCTTCAAGAGCTTGCCCGTAACAAGCTCGTGCATATTCTTGCCAAAGTACGACGGATGCAGGGTAACACTGCGCTCGAGATTGTAGAGGAAGAACATGGTGATAATTCCTAGTTCAACGGTCGTATGACGTTATCGGCCGAGGTATTGGTAGAGATGGAAAATGGTAAGGATTAAGAGAGAAGATTTTATGGATTCTATGGCGATATGAATGATTTATTCAGGATGTTCGAATCGGTTGGGACGTAGATGGACGGGCGCAATGGGGGAAAAGGGCGATGCCTGAAAGGTCCCAATTCGACAGGTGACGGGGTTAAGAGTATCAAGTCGCGACGCGCGGTGGGTGCTGAAGTGGTGGGTAGCTGCTTGTCGGGAAGCCCACGCAGGCTGAGGTGGTGAGAACCTAAGCCTCAAGCCTGCTTAGCGCATCTAAAGAAAAAGAGAAAATCTGGCTAGAAATCTAAGGGTATCATATAGCTTTGTCAAGAAATGCAATAATGAATGAATGAAGACAGTCCTATTCACGACTGCGCTGTGCGAAACTATGTCTTGACTACCGTCATGGGTGATGCGATGGCGAGAATTGAGTAGAAAGAAAGTTAGTCGCAGCCGCAGTTCTAAAGATGATAGAAAGAGACAAGGCGCGCGACGCGGCTAGCAAGTACGTACCAAGTACGTACCTAGTAAGCTGCAGCAGTAACAACCTTGACCTTATTTTTACCCTACCTTTCATCTTAGTGCAAGCCGGGGGTCTATGTCCCATTTATTTTCGAGGCTAACTTCTTCTAGGTACATAGGTATCTGCCGCACCTGTATCAGTGAACTTCAATATAGGCAATACCTCGGGTTCGGTTAAGTGCAAGAATCACCGACGACAGCCTTATTATTCCTCCTATCTATATACATGTACATAATACCTATTGTGTAGGTATACATCTCAAATAGTAGATGTACCTAAGCACGCGCACCAGCGCAGAATTGGAAGTGGACATACATGTTGGCAATGTTAAGGCTGAAGAACAGTACCTGGATACGCATATACCTATATATGCATATGCCTTAGCTCATGAAGCTCCGATGTTCTGACTTGAAGCTTCAAATGCTTAAGGAGATTTGTACCTACCTACCTAGAACCTTGAACGTATATTGCCCCACTTCTATGCTCCTCACCTTCCATTATGACCGGCAACTAAAAAGACTATGTATGTACTTAGGTACAGAACCGTTACCGTTACGACATTTCGAACTCTTTTTACATTTCAATATTGATCACCACTTTTCCTCCCTCTCCCCTATGCGGGTGCCTGTAACAAACACGTCCATTGACACCGGTACTTTCCCTCTATACTCCATCTCCTCTGATTCATCGCCATGACGCTCAACCTCGAAAGGCAACTCATTGTTGTGAGTATACCTAGGTAAACCGATGCGATCACGTAACCGAATGCTGACCGAACGTTTCCAGTACGGCATCTACCACCGGAATGAGGCTAATATCGCGTTGCATATGATTTGCGTGCCTTTGATTCTATTCTCCGGATTCGCATTGGTATATCAGACCCCGTCAATCATTGTCTTCTTGTCTCATTGCCTCCGTCGCCCCCCATTATTTGATCATTGTTAACGAGCATAACCATTCGTCGCAGGCCGCAAATACGGGCACTCTCATTCCTCTACCCAAGGTCTTAACGATACCCCATCTCGAACCTAACCTTGGTACATTGGCAGCCTTCGTATGGGCCAGTCTATATGTCCTTCTTGAGCCGGTTGCCGGAACTATTCTGGGTCTAGTATGTCTCGGGGCAACCGCGTACGCGAATAAGGCCTTGTCCGAAGATCCGGAGTTGACGAACCGAATTGCCATTGCCGTACAAGGAACATGTTGGCTTCTTCAATTATTCGGGCACGGCGTACTCGACGGCCGAAAGCTGTCCCAGTTCTTGGGTAACTGGTCCCAAGCTATATTTCTGTCACCCCTTTTCGTCTGGCTTGAGCTTCTATTCAAATTCGGCTACCGACGAGAGTTGCAAGACCGCATTGGGAAGGCTATCCAAGCTGAGATTGACAAACTTAAAGAACAAAAGCATGGGAAGAACCAATGAACGATGTCAATCAATAGAGAAATCCACGTCAACAACAGTCTTCTCTGTGGGAAAGAAGGAAGAATGCTCAGCATTCTAGCGTTATAACTTTACGCGCCCAAGGCGAGACGCTACCTATGATAAAGGCTCAGGAGTTAGTTTTACTGCCTGAGCCGGCAATATCTATATTCATCCAGAACTAATAGCTGATGGCGTATAGCAAAGCTTACCTCGCATACAAGCATGCGGTTCGTGCTAGACTGGGGAGGTTGAGTAACGATTCTCAACTGACTACCCCTAAACTGATACCCTTCTATTTCCGACACGGATGTATATAGAACTAGAGGGGTGGTATGCCATAATATATAGTCTAGGCTAATCACCTGAATCAGTACAAAACTCTACACGACTTAAGAATGGAATATACAGCTACTGAATCAAGAAACTTTATATTATAAATTATGTAATTTGCTCTGGGCTTCGGAGGGATCTTAGCTTACTAGGTATGGTACATGTATATATGCATATACCAACAGCTCCCGTATGTCACTCTACCCCCTATACAAACCTAAGGTTATAATGAAGCTTACTAGGGATGGAAGGAAGGCTATGGAGGTGAACATTTGGTATATCTAATTCACCTTCCATCAACGTCCGACACGCCTTTGGTCAATCTCTTCGAATCTTGGCACATAAAACTAACATCACTTATAGCTGAGTCCGGGCTAGACGGTGCAATTCCCATCATCTTCCGCAGTCCCGAACTTCTCAGCCCTTCTGCGACATGGCTGTGTTTCTTCTTCTTCGGTGGTGGTCTAGGCAACTGTTCTACCCTTCCGAAATCTGGGCCGGGATTCCTGAGAGCGTTTAGATATACTTGATACGCAGGCGGCGGGACAGGATTCGGGAGCGGCTTTGAAGAGCTAGTATTGTAGGCTTGGCCTGCGTTTCGACGCAAGTCTGGGTATTCGCTTGATGACTCCGACCTTGACTTCTCGATAGGTCGTGGTATAGATGGTAAAGGTTTGCGAGAAATGGCGTATTGTTTTAGCTCCGGTCGATTTCCGCCAGTATCGCACCTTATCCGCTGGCGCGGTGGCTTAGGAGGAGGTTTCGGGGCAGGTGGTATATGCGACCCATCCCCGACGACCTCCCTACGACGCTGGTAGCGATGCTTCGCTGATGGGATTGCTGGCCCTTGGGGACGTTTTGAGTGACTCGGGGCTGAAGTTCTGTCCGAGGGGCCACAACAGCCGTGCTTACGATCATCTTTCGACTTCTGCTTCGAGCTCTGCTTGTCAGCTTCCGGCTTCTTCACCCCCTTTACGGGTTTACGCGAGCAATATTTCGGGTCGTACAACTTGTTCGACCGCGAAGTACTCATCGGCGCCGCCGCTTCTGTTGTTCGGCAAGTTTTCTTCCTTGCCAACATCTCTGGGTGGTGATATAACTCAGGCACCCAAACTGCTACGTTTTTTGGCGTATGCTTGCAATGCTCGACATGCCTCTCTGGCCTTTGAGGCGATATTTCTGCGGCCTGCTTACGTTTCTCGCGATGTTCCTTGAAGGGGCGGCGGAAGTCATTTTCCATGTTTGGTCGAAAGACTTTCAGCGCCCCCTCACCGACGTATTTAGCCCGAAGCTGGTCAACTCTGACAGTGCATTCGGGACAGAAGGGTCGCGGGTCTGAATGATGGGGGATGACCCGACCGCAATCTTTCCTATTCTTGACGGTGCTATACAGTAGGCGACCAAAGAAGCCCTTCGCCGAGCTCTGCTGTTTGTAGTATGTGGGACAGTTGATGAGCTTTCTAGATACGTGGAAACACTCAGTATACTCCTGGCTCCAGTCGTGACACATGATGTTCTAGACCAACTCTGGTCTCAGTCTCAAAATTCTTGGTCAAGGCTAATCGCCCTGTTAGGGGGGAATTTCCACTTCGACTACAAGATATGTCAAGGTGGACAATATGATTTTTATTGGTTCCGCGCTCCTTCTTGCGCGGGTAGGCAGCGCTGTCTACTTAAGTATATCAAACAACTGAACGCCTTTCGAAGACCTTTCGAGAACATGCTTGTCCAGAGAACAATAAGCGGCTTCCCGGAGACAATGGAAGTCATTGTTCAGATTTCTTTGAGCCAACAGCCTGCCAGGTGAACAATAATCGACATATTACAAGCAGGGCAGCAGAGAAAAGAGAAGTATATTCCTGCTTGTTATTACAAGCACGTGGCTACGGCCATTCTGTACGAGGATACGTACGAGGATAATAATCATCATCCTGTTGTTCGTTGACAAGAGTATTGTTCGCGAACAATGGTAGGATGGGCGTAGATATATAATTGCTCAGCCACGCCGCCGATGTCATTCATTTCTTTTTTTCCACCCACAATTCTTAGAATTATCACGCTATCTTTTCAGAGGTGGCGTGGCCTTATATTGACATTTGAAAGCTTTACTTTAGCTATACAGAATGGGGTGCTTCGGTATCTTCCATCTTCTCCGGAAGAAGAAGAGCAAGTCGGCTCTACCAGCACCAAACAATGATCACAGGATCTATGCTACTCCCAATGTACCTGTGCAAGCTTACCAATCCCGAGGGCGGACCGAATTATATGAAAGTTCCCAGTTCCAGATGACAAGGAATGGTCTTGATGTACCGCAAATTGCACATTGTGCGTCTCGCAGGATTCTTATCAAAACCGAACCGGAATTGAAATGTCCGAGGCTACCTCGCCGGGCGTCAGATGATTCTAGCCGATCCAATGTGGCGAAAGACGAACGAGAGTCTTCCAAGACACTAGTATCTCAAAGTGTAAAGCCTTGGTTGGACTTGACTAGCCCGGAACTTCGACGCGAGATTGAAAGCTGTCGTGCATCTCATATCGATTACGACTTCCTTTGGCGAGACAGGCGTGACAGTCTAGAAGAAGAGTCTATCCTCGCAGCCAGAGGGCAAGTTTCATCTCAGCCAAGACCTCGAAGAAGTTGCAAGCCAGACTGTCTGTGCCCTCGTTGCATCGCTCGGCTCTTCAAGGAGCATAAGAGGCCGCTGATCAACATCCAGTCGCAGCAGGATGTCCCTAAGCCGTCTAGAATCCCAGGACCAGCTGCGAGCACGAGGAGAGAGTCCTATTCTTCGAGCTCCTCTTCTAGAGCCTCCTCCAGAAATTCTAGCCCTGACCGTACTAACCGAGAGGCATATAAGTTGGCGGTTCGCAACAGCAAGGTTCCGAAAGTAAGCGACAGTGAATCTGCGAAAGGGGAGCATCAAGGTCGGTGGAACATTAACAGATATTCAGGGGGATGCGATAACTCGCCGTAAGTAAACTTTCTTTTCATTTTTCCCTTTACATTTTTGGGATCCGGAAAAGTTTTGGTTGCTTACCGCTACATATATTATCGCTGTATATCTTTGTTTGCTCTGTTTTATGTTACGACACATTGTTTTGGTTGTTGGTTTAGATCCTTTATTGCGGGTACCTAGAAAAGTAAGTCATCAATCGAATTTCGTATAAAATCCACTAAAGTTTGAATAGTGTGTCGTGATAATTACAATTGTCTTTTAGCTACTATATTTGTTAACTACCTAGTTAACATGTTCATCTCAACTCTGAACGGCCAGGGCCTTTATTTTGACATGAACTTGTAAAAAGGAAAAGGTACGTACGTGGTAATTTATTGTAGAACACCTATAGTACTACATAGTACTACATAGGTACCTAGTCTTCGCAACCAAAACTATCGGTGGAGGATCCAAGTCCATTATCAATAGAAGAAAATTTTTAATTTTTGACACGGGTTGATACAAAGGATATTTAACTGGATTTATTTGGGTGTAAAGTACACTGACGCCATGCAAAATAATTCCGAAGTCCCAAAAGCATAGGATGCCTTGATGGCACCGTAACCCCTAGAAGTCCCCACAAGGCTGGAATAGGTCACTGAACTTTTCCCGTACCTCTTCCTCGCTTATCATTACCCCAGCGGCTCCCTACGACTGGCTTCTTGTAGCACGCTTGTTAACCTCCGCCTTCACATTCTCGGCACCAGTTGAGACAGCCTCGGCAGTCTTGTCCTTAGCCTCTTTAACCTTCTCCTTGGCATCGGTGCCAGCCTTCTTGGCTGCCGCCGGTGCACTACCTCCCATAGTGAAGATACCAATGAGGGAAATAATTAGGACGAGCAGGCCACCGACGGCGGAAGGAACCTCAGGAACGAACTTCATGGCCTGGATAGGGTCGTTCGCGGCAATAGTCATGAACAGGTCAAGCTTCTCCTTGATGTAAAGAACAGGGTCATCCAAGAACTTGAGGTCTGAGGGAGACTTAGGCTTATCGTCCGCCTTAGGCTTCTCAGCATCTTCAAGTGCCTTCTCGATAGCAAGCTTCTTGAAGAAAGTCTCGTTGGCGAACTTCTCGGCCTCCTCAATGGAGTGGCCGATGTAGATGTTGTCGAAGAGGATATCATTTTGCATGGTCCAGAGCTCAAAGCCGATCTATGTCAATACGTTAGTTAGGAATCTCTTAAGAGCAAGATTAAGATCATTATAATTACTTACAGCACCAATGGGTTCAAGGTTGGCAGGGTTCTTGTCCTCGAAGTAGTTGGGGTTTGCAATCTTGCGAGGAGCCCAGACACCCTTGTAAGCAGGGTTGTCAATGTAAGGCGCAGTCCACTTGCCCTTGTAGTCGGGGTTCTTCTTCATGGGCTTAGTCCAAGGACCACATCCAGAAGCGTCGGCGCACTTGGGGTTAGGAACAGTAGGGGGGATCCAGTCACCATCCTCTTCGTCGTCCCAGTCTTCAGGTTTCTGGGCTTCAGGGTCAGGAACGGTGAGAGGCTCCTCCTCAAGCCAGTCCTCGGGCATAGTAGCCTCCTCGTCAACAATCTCGAAAGGAGCATCCTCGTCCCAATCCTCAGGCTTCTTAGCCTCGGGGTCAGGGATACGGGACTCGTCAACCCAGTCTTCGGGCTTCTTGTCATCAGGGTCGTCAATCTCCTTCTCAGGGTTGACAGCCGGGCTGAATTGGTCGAAAAAGCTACCATCGCGAACAGACTCACCACCCCTCTTGACAGTGAAGGTGTTGTTGGGTTGGATAATCAAGGTGTAGAGCTCGCTGGTCTTGGAGATGGTGGCCTGAGGAGCAGCCATCAGATGCTTCTCCTCATATTCACCCGTCTTGGGGTTCTTGTGATTGAAGATGAAGTGGACCTTGTTGGTAGCGCCGCACTTGTCGGGGCCGAACATGATGACGTACGGCGTGGTGTTGCTGAACTCATCCTGGTGGAGAGCTTTGGTGTCTCGGAGGAGCTTTAGGTAAGCACCACCACACTCAAGTCCCTCTAGAGGCGAAAGCATTAGAAATATGACATCACGGCGTTATCTAGATCAATTGACTTACTCTGAAGCTTGACTTCGTATTGGACGACCAAGGTCTTGCCCTTAGGATCGATCTTCTTGGGGAACTTGGCGGAGATGGCATGATGGGCGGCGGGATTCTTGACGACAAGACCCTTGTCGCCCTCAATGCCCTTGTACTTGTAAGGCTCTTCAACCGCCCACTCACCAACGTAAGCCCACTCCTCTTCCTGGCCCTTGGTATCCTTCTTGGCGTGAGAAGGCTTCCATCGTGACTCCCAGTCATCGGTGAATTGCTCTAGGAAAGGAGCTTTTATGGTGGTGGGCTGCGAAAGCAAAGCATTAGTTAGGGTCTAGATGTAGATCGACGACATCGCCAATTGAATGAAAGAAGCTACAGATTTAGAAGAATGTATACTTACAGTGAAGGTAGGCACCTCGACGGCAACGGAAGAGGATGGTTCGGTGCTGTCGGCCTTAGAGGCATCATCGGCATGGACGCCGGTGGCCAAAAGTGCAGCCGCGATAGCAGAGTTCAGCTTCATGGTGAAAAGCTAGCAATGCTTGCTTTGCTTTGCCTAGCTTTACTTTGATCTCTTGCTTGTCTCTCTTAATCTCTTCCGTCTACACGGAGTTGAATCGAGAGTGTTGTTGAGAAAGAACTCCCAGAGCTCGACGAGAAAAAAATAAGAAGGAAAAGATGGACTCGGAAAGAAGCAATTGCAAATGCTCGTCGTGAACTTTTAATTATTGGCCGGACCTTCCAAGTCAAACGTGGCCTAAAGTCAGTACGTACCTTTCTCGGCGAGCTAGCCCCATCCTTTGATTGGCTGGATTCTCGGGATCAGAAAAATTGTAGGTACCTGTGTTCACGGGTGCATTAGAGTGCGGGGATATCGATAGAATCTCTAGGAAATCTTCAGCTGTCCTTTCCCTGAAATAAGGCTAAGATACAGGTCAAGCTGCGCCGCAACTTTATGTACATACGTACTTCAGTAAGTCGACACGAACATCGAATCTTGAAGTACCGTGCTTGCTCTCACTACATACCTACCTACCCATGGATACAAAGTGTTATATCGATGGACTTACCTTTGTGTTATTAACAGAATGTTGGTTTTACATATTTCCTCAATCATCATTTTCTGGAGTTACAAATGCAGACGTGTGTTATGACAGAGGATGTACCCACCCACTAATAATGATAATTAATGTAGAAAAGTGATGAAACCTGTCAACAACTTCTATCAGATATCACCTAGGTAGTGTTACGTTGTACTATATTATCTGGTTTATGCTATGTTTGCAGCATACTAGGTAGATGTTATTATGCGCACTTATCTAAATAGGTAGGTATTTGTTATCCCTGGGAAATGGCATTGAACACGACGGCTTTGATGAACAACAATTGCAGTTCGTTTAGAATTTAGCTAGTGGTAACCCATCTATATGTACCTAGCAATTGGACTTGCTGCGTTATATAGAGCTATGATAATAAAAAAGAGCATTGATATCTAATGCACAAAAGACGACTGCCGCTCTGGAATATCGCGTTTAGATAGGTAGTAGCCAAAAGAATGCACACGTGGAAATGCTTACTTGTATTGTGTTTGTACATGGTACCTACCACTCTCCAAGCTTGCGTGCTTTGCTAAGTGGGGAATAAGATTTGGGTTATGATACTTGACTTTAGCCTCATCAACTTTATTTGTTAATTGGAGATCAAACAGTTTTCCCCCTCCCAATAAACTTCTCCTTTACTATATCTCACTCTCCTCCTCTCCGAAAAGGCCACTCTGGCCTAATCATATTAATCAGTTTTGATATACTTAGCCTTTCAGGTATAGCTATTGTAGTATACCAGGAAACCCTGAAGCAAAAAAGGAAAAATGAGTGACGACCATTACATAACCTCCGACGATCCTGACCACCCGGCCAACCTCATCCCATCCTTATGCGCCAAATTTTGGACTTTAGGCTGGGTTACAGGTACGGGAGGAGGATGCTCTATTCGCAACGAGTAAGGCTTCACTATTTCTCTTTTGCTACGGCTTAGTTGGCGAAATCCGCCCTGCCAACGTATTATCGCTCATATTACTTCTTTACTTATTCCTCGTTCATGATCATGTAGCTACTATGCGTATGAATAGAAGCTCGTTGTCTCATAATTTTGTGCTCTAGTGACCTGGTATATATCGCGCCGTCTGGTGTCCAGAAGGAGCTTATGAAGCACACTGATATATATGTGCTTGCCCTGTCTAAGCAGACGGATCTCAAGAATCGTGTCTATTTGCGCTCCCCGCCTTGCGGCAGACCTTCACAATGCACACCGCTGTTCCTGGCTGCTTTCACTAAGCGGGGAGCCGGTTGTTGTATCCATACGCATTCACATTGGGCCGTGCTGGTCACCCTACTCCTTGAGACCCATGGCCCCGGCAAGGACAAGCTGTTCGAGATCAACAACATCGAGCAGATCAAGGGCTTCGGCAAGGGTTTCCAGAAGCAGGGTAACCTGGGCTACCACGACACGCTCCGCATTCCGGTGATCGAGAACACGGCCCACGAGGAAGATCTCACCGAGTTTCTAGAAGAAGCTATGGAAAAGTATCCGGACACCTATGCGGTCCTAGTCCGTAGGCACGGAGTCTACGTTTGGGGCGATAATGTCCACAAAGCAAAGACCATGTGTGAAAGGTAAATCCTACCCCGCCGCAGATCAATGGAGATAACTTACCTAACCATGATCGCCTTCACAGCCTGGACTACCTTTTCCAGCTGGCGGTGGAAATGAAACAACTTGGTTTGCCTTGGCTGAGCGACGTTCCAGTAGTTGTGCCAACTTCGCAACGATAACAATTTCCCCATCACGATTCAAAGAACATATAACCGCACTTAAAAAAGAAACATACAGGGCAAGACAAGTTGGCCGTCAATAGCAGATTTATATTCGCGTCTATGTAGCGTGGTTACATATCCAATTAAATATCGACGTCCGAAGGCATTAATAAAGCTTTTTCCCTTCACTCCACTTTTGCGCCCGCTATTAAAATATCGCCCAACATATCCATAGCATTATGATACTGATATTGGCCCCATCCCGTTATCCATAGCGTCCATACTCATCACTCAGCTAGCCACCCCGCTTATAGAGCGAGGAAAGCGGCCAAGAAGGAGAATAGGCCAATGCCAGAGCCGACAGGAGAGAAGAGCATATCGGCAGCGGCTGATGAGCTGGAGGTAGAGGAAGCCGAGTCGGCAGAACCGGTTCCGGAAGCAGCAACAGTGCTCGAGAAGGAGGTAACGAAGGTTGATCCGTCAGAAGTAACGGTCGACTTAACCTCGGTGACGCTAGGGGTAGCGCTGGCGCCGCTACCGCTGGCACCGGTGCTGGACGCAAGGTTGGGAGTTCCCGTTGTGGTGTAGTAGTATTGGGCAATGCACTCGTTGACGCAGTTGGCGTAGTTCAAGTTGTCAGTGGCGGTACCGTTACCCTGGGGGCAGGCAGCAACACAGTCGGTGGTCTTATTCACGTTCTGGGTGTCAGGGCTGGGCACAGCAATGCACTTGGCTTGGCAGTTGACATCGTCAGCAGAGCCTGTTTTGAAGGGTTAGCTGCCAATCTCAAAAGAAGGTGGTTAGGATTTCCACTCACAGGCCTTGAGGCAGTCGGTTATGGCAGCCTGAGCAGAGCTCTGGGCAGGGTCAATGCTGACGGAAGTGAGAGAAGCAGTGTCTACGGAAGTAGACGCGACAGCGGTTGACGAGGCACCAGATGCGGCAGAGGTGATGGAGGAGATGTCAGACGCGACGGAGGACTCAACAGAGGAGGTCTCGGACTGGGCGCTCGCGACAGCGGCGAAGAAGCCGGCGACAACTACGGAGAAACGCATCTTGGTGGTTATTTGTACAGCTCGCGTTGATACAATTAGGTATTAATAAGTAGCTATTGTATGAGGAATGTTGGAACGAGTGTAGAACGAAGCCTTCTTGCTGAATGGATTAACGAGCGAGTGACGAAGTCTTTAAAAACAAGAGCGGACGGGGAAAGACAAGAACAAGAACCAAAATATCAATAACCTTGGGTGAGCCTCTATTTAACAAGAAATGAATGCGAGACGGGTCTCTGTTAGCGTGCCTGGGGAAAGCCTGCTTTGCAGCTTGGATCGTCGCCGCTGGCCGACTGGACTAGGGGTAGGTAGATCCAAGAAGAGCGCTGAGCGCTAAGACGCCTCCATACCTCGTCATTGAGCTGTCCAATTTTTCGTGTCGGCCGTCGCGTTGCCATGCATGACCATCTAGACTGACCAATCTAAGTCAAGCAGGGTCATCTCTGCCTTGGTTGGTTGGACCGGATTTCCAAGCCGGCCCAGGGGTGCAGCTAAATTGCTGATGGGATTGTATCGGCCAAGCCTCAAGGTACAATTAAAATTACGACCAACTTTCTATGCTGTGACCCCCAGAGAAATTATCACAGCAATCTTGATCAGATCGAGGCTGGAATCACTTGGTAGATACATACTATAACAGTTGAACTAAAGTCTAACGACTATGTAGAAGAAAATAGAGCCATAAGCAGTTGATAGACGGGCTGACGAGGCATCTGATTGTGGTATGAGAATCCATTCGACCCATTTCTGCCCATTGTACCGTTCGCTGTCAAAACTGTTTACCAAAAAAAAAAAAAAAAGGGGGATCCATTTTTGGAATTACTAGGGTTGGATCTGACCACCTATTGGCTGTGTGGAGACATGAGAAGAAAAAGGAAAAGAGCAATAGTCGAATACATATTACTAGGTAGTAATATCATCTCAGACACATCATGTTGTGTCTGACAAAACATTGATCTTTTTTCGGAATCAAATTTTCACCTTCTACTACACACTAACCTCACCGAAGTCTGCAAGTAAGAAAGTTGCAACTAAGAAAGATTTCGCGTATATACCTATAGTAAGTGAAGTTTCCTCGTATAAATGAGACCTACAGAGACATACTAGATAAGTATATATCGTTAGCTTTGGGACGCTTCCTACATTCCAGTAATATTGTTTATGTATTGCTCTACAGTGTAAATACGTCAATATTTTCATATTGCAATTCCAAACCATACCTAAGTACTTGGATTTCCACAGCTTTCTTCCGAGAGCCGTTGACCCGCTTCGTCGCTATTCAACTATGGGAAAAGTATCGTCGTCGGCTACCTACTTATCTTGCCTATGACCTCAGGTTCGAGAAGTGGCTAGAAAGGCCCCGTTTAGCTCGTTGAAAGTAGTACACTGCCGTTGCGGGTAGTACAGCAGTCTAAAATCGGGTGCGGCGAAGGTGTGGCATTAGTGGTATTCACCATTCAGACAGCCGGGGAGAATACGAGGTGCGATCTTCTCCGATGCGTTTCAAACTGACGTTGTCCAATGCCATCTCATCGTATACGATGGCCATGTGGCGAACACCTACGGTAGATGGTCCTGGCGACCCTCAAGTTCGGGCCTTCGCTTCGCTTCGAAAAAGTGGCTAAGCAGGTTAGGGTTGATAGCGGTGAATTGGAATGTTTGGTCCGTTGTTCCAATGTTGGAAATTTATGGCTAATACCTACTCCAACTGTCCAAGTCCTCGACATTCGATCCCAACCTCGGTAGGCAGAAGATCTATTTGTGGCCAAGACAGCCTAACTAAAGTGGGAATATATTCAGGTAATCTTAGGTAATAAACGAGACTTACATGTATGTCATAACTGTGACAGCTGTAGGGCTCTTTTTTCCATTTCATCTTCCTTCACCTTGTCATCGTGTGGTTCACCTACCTGTATCGCAGTATCTTACCATGATCGCGGAATAGTCGTCTAGTCGTTTAACACCAACCAGAAAATTGGAACTCAACTACGAACTTGACAACATGACTCTTGAGTGTTGAGGCCCTGTCCGTGCGTAACGGATACGCCTGGGGTCTTTGCTTTCACTCGACGATCCGGAATCAACCATAGCTTTTGCGATCGTCGGTATCATGATCAACCTTTTTTGAACTGGGTATCCTGGAAGCTGTTGGGGGGTAGATCTCGACCCTCGATTGAGCTCTGAAGTAGATTTGACAGCCAACAGCATTTACAACAATTTGGCAACCCCCAAAACAATTTCCCCACGATACTTACAATGCTGCATGTGTAGATCTGGGGAAATGCATGCCTACATGGCATCTTCTCAAGAAGTGCATAAACTCGGAAAGTCATACTTGTCTTATTTCTACAAAACCTCATCATCGACAAGATTGACACATACATACAGAAATAATAACTCAAACCCATTTTCTATATTTTCTATGGGCCACAATTCGGCATAGGCTACCTAAACAGACCACATTTCGTCTATCTACGTCACTAACCCCAATTGCTCTGCAGTGATTTGTGCGATTTTCTGCCTCACTTGTGATAAGTATGAATCACATCGGAATCAACGTAAGTAAAATGAGCCATTTATTTCTGAGCGATATTTAACACAATTTCAGTATCTTGGTCAGCCTCCAAATTGCACCTCGATGGTGGGCCAAGTCCGCGGTGACTTCTCCGTGAGAAGCCCGTAGCCTGCCTAGGATCGAATTGCATTGTCCCGAAATTCGTGGCGCTGAAGCTGGGAAAGAAATTACCGCCGGTGCGCAAATTCATCAAGTCATGATGTCTTCCTCGGAAACCCGTCTATGATAACCGCATGTAATAAGACGCTCTTCCGAGAACTGAGTCGGCCCTTGTGTAGGCTGACTTACAAACCTTCTTCGACTTTCTTCAGTAGCTCGGGGAACTCCTTCCAGTCGTACATGATGGCCTTGGCATGGCATTGCTCGGTTAGAAGCTTCGCCATTTCCTCCATCTTCTCCTTGCCGTCCTCGATACCGTAGACACCAACGTATCCAATCAGGGGGATACCAGCGCGCATGGCAGCAGTAGCACCGCTCTTACTGTCCTCAACAGTGACGCACTCTTCGTTCTTGACACCTAACTGTTGGCAAGCGTAATTGTAGATAGCTGGGTCAGGCTTGCTTGACGGGGGGTTCAAACTGGTAGCGGCGCTGTAAACATGCTCGTCCGGGAAGTAGTGGTCAATTCCGACCTTTTTGATGCTGGCAACAACGCGGGGCTTGGCTGACGTGCTGACAACGGACATGGGGTACCCGGCCTGCTTGAGCGCCTCAAGCTGCTCAGGTACGCCGGGGCAAGGCTGGCACTTCTCGCTCAGCTTTGCAGTCACAGCGCCGAGCTCACGGTCAACATAAGCATCGACTTCCTGCGGTGTCATGGTGAAGTCATGCTTTTTCTGCAAGCCATTGAGCATGCCACGGAAATTATGGCCAACGAAGTCCTCGAGGAGCTGCTCGACGGTGTAGCGCTCCGGTCTGCCCCACTTCTCCAAGACCTCGTTGGTCAAGTCGGTGCAAGCCTCGAAGGCCAACCGCTCTGATAGACAGAGGGTGTTGTCGCAGTCGAGCAGAATGTACTTGGCCTATTCAACCAGGACATTGAGTAAGTAAGATCCCTAAAAGGATATGGATATTACCGTAAGCAAGTCTATACTTACACGAGGCATGTTGAATGAATGACGAGAGAATTGCAGAATGAGTCGTGTTAACACTTAGTCAAGTTGTCTCAGAGTCAAAGGACGTCGACGTTGATCTGCCCAAGGTTCTGGATGTTGTTCTAAGTTTGTCTAAAATGACGAAGTGCATCACAGGCAAGGCAAGATCGTTGCGGGGAGCTTCCCTTTACATTGCGGGGTTTTTTCAGCGACGGGAGCCGTGGTAGCGCACCTGTCGCACCTACTTCATGCACCTGGGCGCCGCTAAGGGCAAGCGGCGGCAGCTTAAGGTTAAATGGGGTAATTACCTGTACGGACCGATAGGCGTGGGCATCATTAAGGTACCCCCGACTGCCCGAAAACTATAATCCATACGGGTTTAGAGCATAATAGCTGTTTAATGCATAACGAGTACAAGACCCACTCGGGAAGGTACTTCCGTGGATATGGCACAAGTTATGTAATGGTTAATGGATTGGATTGAATGAATTAGATGGACCCAGTCATTTACTCTAAACACCATCAATCATTTTCAACAACCATCACCTATATGTCATTAGGTGTACACAAAAGATGACTATGATTTCTAAGTTAACAACAGCCTTCGGGCTGGTCCTATTAGCAGATGCGTAAGAGCTCAAATTTCTATCACTGTTGGACAATATCGTAGAGTACTGTAGCTTACAATAGCCGGCATCTTTAGCTGTTACTCGGCTTATGAACATTCTGTTCTTCAGGCGCACCGGGCCGCATCCCTCTCTTCCTTAACGACATCGCATAACGCCCCATCCAGCACATTACCTATTGACATCACCATCGAAACCATTGTCGCGACTCTTGTCGTCTGCCTAGGAATGGTGCTGGGAACTTCAAATCTACGTCCGATCCAATGGCGCGTCTGGGCAGGGAAGATCGAAAGAGAAGGTGAAGCTGGATTTCTAGACGGCAACGGAGAGCTAGAGAAGGATTACGTCGGAAACCCATTCCGCTTATTAGAGAGTCGGCCCGGATTCGTCGATATTCGGAAGCAGAGGAGAGAGTTTGCCGAATGGGTTAAAAACAAATAGACGGGTTGAGCGGCCAGTATAGAACATAAAGGACATCAACATTACAATGGACCTATTATACCGGCCACGAGTATAGAGAATTAGAGGTAGAATTATATGCTTGAGGCTACCTACATATACCTACCTACCACGACTTTTGGCGATTTATACGGTTATCTCCAGCTAGATGGGTTCCTAGGTATCCGGGTAAACTGGTAATCACTCTCTGTAATGCTGATCCTGACAAAGTAGCTGGAGAGATAAACAAATATTCAACACTACAGGTCCGTCGAGGGTACGTCTTTACTAGGTCCCTACTAGGTTTTCCGTCCTTGGGGGCCATGGAAGCTACGAGGGATGAAGTTAATTCATTCTCTTGAGAAGTTGGTTCTTTCCTATCCACACAAACACAAGGAACCGCCCCTTCCGCTTCGAGTACACCGTGTGTGGAAGGGTATAATTAACTCCGAGTTAGAAAGCCCAACATGATTCTCATCACCATTTTATCTTCTTCATCTCAATGCAACCTGCTTATATGGATGGTGTCCGCTGCACTCTGCATTGGTAGTGAAGATACAACCTTCCAAAAATACTAGTGCGATATGTCACCTAAACAAAGATACAAAACTCCGTCGAGAGCTTCGTCATCGTCGCAATCTGCTCATACTCAGCACTTCACTCAGTCTAGCTCTTTATTTGTTCGGTCAACAACAGATGGCCATGTCTTCTCTACTCCTAACCAAAGACAAGCTGCCCCTAATTATCCCGACTCGTCAAGTACGAATCAGTCGAGAAACTCAAGCCGTACAAACACAGGAAATGTAGTACCACTTTATCAGTCTTCTCCTCAGCTCCCACCCCACCCACAAAGACAAAGGTTGTCCCTGCGTCCCCCGTCTAGCCGGGCATCTTCGGATAATTCAGGTCGTCGTCAGGGAAACGACGATGATTCATGTCTTGAGGATGTGCTATCTAGCGAAGACGCAGACGCACTAGGGGAAATAATTATGGCGGTTGACATGAGAGACAATGGGAACCTTGGCTGTGCTTATTACGTTGCCATAGATGAGACCATGTTCCTCCTTGAAGACGTACCCATGTCGGGTATCGACCTTGTCGAGACACTTCTTCTCCACGTGAACCCTACTACCATCCTCATATCCGCGAGGGCATCCGAGGCGCTGGCAGGCTACCTTACCAAGAGAGTCCAAGGCGTCGATGGGAACCAGGGTGAGATCGAAGTTCTTGATCCTAGTAGATACATATTGGACATTATTAATATATCTTCTAGGCGATTTACGAAGTGCCTTTATCCTAAGGAACCTCAATTCTGCTGACTTTCGCTATGACGCGGGAAAAGCGAGGTTACTGGCTCTCAACCTCGAAACGCTCGGCCACCAGAGCGTGCTCTATACGTCTATCGTTGACGAGGCCATGGATGAAGGCGATGGTTTCGGTGGGGAAGAAAACTCAAAACAGGCCCGCCTAATGCGTCTTGGGACTTCAATAAACCTTGACAGTCGACTAACGGTCAGTCAGACCTTGTCGTCTAACTGATACCTTGCCATATTTCTAATATGTAATAGATCGGCTGTGCTGGAGCGCTGCTCGGAGACCTGCAGCGAAGGAGAACGGCCCATTACTTGCCAAATGACCCTGATGCTTTAGTTGCATTCAGGATCAAATCGATCGAGATGTTCGCTTTGTTTGATTCGATGTTCATTAACGCCGATACTTTGGTGTCCCTTCAGATTTTACAATCGGAGCAACACCCGAATAGTCACCAGAGAGGTCCGAGTAATTCTGGTTCTGGTTCCAAGGAAAGTCTTTCTGTCTACGGACTATTTCAACATCTAGCTCGTACTCCCCAGGGGAAATTGAAGCTCCGCCAAATCTTTTTACGACCAAGCACTGACATCAATTTAATCCATATCCGTCAGAAGACGATATCTTTCTTGTTGAGACCAGGGAATACCGAGGTTCTTGTACAGCTAAGCAGTGAGCTCAAGAAAATTAAGAACATGAAATCAGTTGTAGCTCTACTAGAAAAGGGTGTTGATATTCCTGGTCGTAAGATATCTATAGCCAACAATGTCTGGGCTTCTCTACAACGGTTCGCCGCATATAGTTTGCGACTCAGAGATTCACTCCGCACCTTGCCAGGATCAGAAAAGGTTGAAATCATCAGAAAGGTAAGACACCGTCTGTTATCTAGGTTACAACTTGACTTATGGTGTCAATAGGTAGTAGATGCTATTCAGCCACTTGTCCTCTGCCAAGTAGGCGAGCTCATCAGCCAGACCATTGACTTTGAGCAATCCGTGGAACGCGGAAGGACTGCTGTCAGGCATGGCGTTGACGACGATCTAGACGGACTGAAACGAAGTTATGATGGGATGGAGGATTTCTTAACTAACGTCATAGCAAAACTGCGAGGCGAGTTGCCTGAATGGGCTAGGAGATATGTGCAAAATTGCATTTTCTTTCCGCAATTAGGATTCTTGACGGTGGTTTCGCTCAACCCAGAAACAGGGAAAGGCAACTACGATGGTGAGGGCCTGAATGATATGTGGGAACGTATGTTTGCAGCTGATGGCTGTGTATATTATAAGAATCGGCAGATGAAGGAGATGGATGAACATTTTGGAGATGCGTATTGTATGATCATTGGTAGGTGCCCCCTCCCCCTTTTCTGCATGTCATTGCTTTGGTTGAGCTCGCTTATACCTAGTAGACCGAGAGATCGAGATAATCCACGAGCTCGCCGTCAAAATCCTGGCACAACAAGAAGCCATAATTACAGCGTCTGACGTCCTCGGTGAGCTTGATAGCCTGTTTGCGTTAGCAATTGGTTGCGGGCAATACAACTGGGTTGCACCTAAAATGACGAATCAAAATGTCATCCATATACAGGGGGGGCGCCATCCTTTGCAGGAATTAGTGGTGCCGTCATTTATTGCAAACGACTGCTATATCTCCGGCGGACCTGGAGATCCGGACGAAGGTATCTCAAACGACAACTCATCTGAAGTCGAACGAAACTCGATAGAGCATCCTAGCACGCTCGTATTGACGGGACCAAACCACTCCGGCAAGAGTGTATATCTCAAACAGGTCGCCCTTATTGTATATCTAGCTCATATCGGTTGTTTCGTGCCCGCTGAACAAGCGCAGATTGGAATTACCGATCGTATACTAACGCGTATTGCTACACGTGAGAGTGTGGCAAAGAACGAAAGCGCATTCTCCATTGACTTACGCCAGGTTGCTTTTGCGATGAACTTTGCAACTCGCAGAAGTCTTGTGCTAATAGACGAGTTCGGTAAAGGCACGAATAATCTAGATGGCGCCGGCTTAGTTGCGGCAGTATTAGATCATTTCACTTCTCTTGGTCCTGACAGGCCAAAAGTTTTAGCAGCCACACATTTCCACGAGATCTTCGAGGGCCAGTTTCTGACGGAAACTCCGAAGCTAGCCTTTGGGCATATGGATGTTCGACTGGATTTCGATGCTCCAACTATGGAAGATCAAGTTACCTATCTTTTCCAATTGAAGTCGGGCCGAAGTATTGCGAGCTTTGGCAGTCGTTGCGCGGCGATGAATGGCATCGATGAGGCGATAGTTGAGAGGGCCGAATCCATCATGCTTATGCTCGTTAGAAACGAAGACCTTGAAGTGGTCTGTTCAAAACTCTCGGATGTCGAGACGCAGAAGCTTGAGGAAGCTGAAGCCGTTGCGCGAAATTTCCTTGGGCAAGACATCCAAACACCACCTAACAATGGAATAAGGGCTCAAGGCAAACGGTACCGGCAGATTCTCGATCAGATTTCATTATTAGGTGACTCAACATCAGAATCTTAGCTCATATGTTGTTCGGTAAACTTTGATCTATAGTTTCAGAGTATCTCGACGACGATTCGCTATAGGTACCTACTCACGTATCTCTGGAGCTGCTGCTATTATGGATGCTTAAGCCGTACTTAAATCAATAGTTATACTTCTGAAACTATCATTTCTATGCCACAAGCCGATACTAATTATTTGCTTCAAGAACTGATCTAGTTTTGTATGGAGTGGAAAATGTCTGTCATGATCGTATTTTATTACTATTTTCCACACCCCCTGCCTCCCCCTTTTTCTTATTTATGAGAAGGATAAGCTACTATAGCCTCTAACCCAGCCTGTAATTATCTACCATTTATGCGTCCTACATTTTACAATTCAACCATCACGTCGGACCTAGAATATTGACGGCAAAACAAAGAACTATCAAGGCCAGCTCGTAATTTAGGTTGATACGATGTCAATCGTTGATTGAAGATTTGTAATTTGGGGCCACTTACGGCCAAACGGCTTTTCAACTAATTTCCTCTATTCTCCCAATACTGCGCGACACACCTCCACAGCCAGTCTCATCCCGCGGTGTAAACGTCTATACGCATTACTTCCCTTCGCCTCATCCTTACCACATCCTGTCTCGACTCTAGCTTGTGATTCGTCCAACAACCGGTACGACAGTGCCCGTCGTGATTCCAGACGTTCATCCAGTATCCATTATACAGCGTACAGACTCCTCCCAATACATACAGATAGAAAATTAAAGCTTAGACCTCCCCAATAAATACACAAGGGGGAGATAGGTGGAGATAGGGGGCAGAGATGGTGTTTACCAGCCGAAGGAAATAGCGGCACCAACGGCCAGTACGGCAGCGAGTAGAGAGGCCTGGCTCGCAGTGGCGCTGCTGTCACCAGTGTGACCACCGGCTGGGCTACCGTCGGACGAGCCAGAGCCATCATTAGAGTCCTCGGAGGTGGAGGTGCTGGTTGCGCTGGCGGCGGAGGTGAGAGTGGTAGCCGCGACGAGGAGGGACTCCGAAGCATGAGAGGTCGCCGTAATAACGGCCGTCGAGTCCGAGTACACGGCGCTCGACGGGCTACTAGCCTTGGTGGCGCTACCGGTGACCTGAGGCGCGGAGGTAGACCCGTCGATCTTGTTAGGCTCGCCGACGCTCATAATCATGGACACCGAGGGGGACGATTCCGAACCCGTGGAGCTGGCCTTCGAGGTAGCGGAGGGGGTCGAGTCTGAGCCGGTGTCGAAGCCGGCCTTGGCCTCGGCGGCCGAGATGGCGGACTGCGGCACGTCGCACTTGGCCTGCATGGGCCCGAGCAGGTCGGAGAACTTGGTGCTGGCGTCGCACCACTGGTTCATGCAGATGACGACGTCGGACAGGAAGGTGCCGGACGCCTTCTTGCACATGCAGTCCACGTCGGTGGGCGCGCACCCGGACTGGCGCACGCAGCTCGTGACGCAGGTCGGGTACTGGGCGGCGGCCTGCGCGACGAGGGCGGCGAGGAGGATCTGCTGCTTCGCTAACATGTTGATGGCTTGGAGATTATAGAACGAGAGGCGGGAATGGAACCTTGAATGTAAGGATCGTAAGGGGTCTTTTTTAGTATTATTATAGTATATGGTAGTTTATACCTCGAAAAAGAGTGACGGTGAGAATGAATGAACGAATATCCCTCCAAGGTGGCAGACGGACGAAGCCTATGTCGAGCGAATTTGAAACGCGGTGAACGAAAGAAGTGTGGATGCGAGGTAAAAGAACGAAGGTAGCAAACAACGTGGAACTGTTTGATATACAACTAACCACGCCGGATTTCATCACGTTCGTGCGGTCCATATGTATAAAATAATGGCTCGGCAGCGAGGCCCGCCTGGCGGGTAGAAGATTGCCGGGATCATCCTCCCTTCGTGGGCGAATTTTATAGTGTGAAACATCGCGAGCTAGGGTCGTCAGGGTCGTCGACCTGCCAGAGGATAATCTCAGTCGGTTTCCGTGCGTGCCCTTGGGCCATCATTTAATTAGTTCGGGTCGCGGCGAGCAAGGCGAGCCAATCCTGCGAGCGCAGACGTCACAAGCTGCCTCTTTGAACGCATTGCCAAGACCGCGCTGGTAGGGAATCAACCTGTAGTTGGTCGGGTTGGACGGCCAGGTCGACGAAGGGTGGAGTTTCTTGGTGAAGATCTCTGGGGTAATCTTCATTTTATTTCACTAGTATTAATTCTTTTTTATGTTAAAGGGGAGAAATTGCTATGCTATGTAAAATTCGCCATCCGCCACTCATGAAATGGAGGGGGGTTCGCGATAATGCATGACCAGTTCTTCGAAAGACGAGTTCTTATGAGGATTGAATGAACTTCTGAATCCCCCTTCGCCGACTACGAAGCCGCAGCTCTTGTAGAGCCTTATGGCTGCGCTGTTTGATGCATAGACGACGACGCTCAGCGAGAGCTGTCTGTCCTGCCCCTTAGCGGAGTTGATGGCCTGCTCCGACGCGGTCTTGATCAACTCCTTAGCAAAGCCTTGGCCTCGAGCTTCTGGCGTCGTATAGACGCCGGAAATCTGAAATGACAGTGGTGAGACCTGGGCATTGCCATGCTTGTGGTGTTGATCGCCACCATTCCTCATTTCGGCACTGGCTTGGAGCGGATTGCTTGATGGGTCAGGGTTCGGCAAAGGCCCAATTAATGACGTAGCGGACAGAACCCTTCCATCGTGTGGCCGCACGGCCACGAATGTCTTAACCAGAGGGTTCTTGATGCGGCTAAGCCAGTCATCGTTAGTGAAGTTGATTTCTCTGTCGTAAGTCGAACCGAACGCTGTTGGTTTGTAAGTGGCCGAGCACGGACGGTCAGCTATCAGCCCCGAAAGAGTCCAACACGTATCACTTAAATGAATACATAAATGAATTACAAGTATTAAGCAAACCTACCGTCCGGATCTCTTCTCAAGGCAGCCAACCTGAACGGCTTGTACTGGTTGAGATAAAAATTGCATCCTTCTTCATCCGTCGATATGAGTTCGATCCTCCATCTGGCTAGATTGGACATGTTGGTGTACCTAGAAGCTGTAGAAGTCGTATTTATAACCGAAGAGTGATGATTGGCGTCGGAACCGGAGGGGTTATACGCATAGTATGGCTGTGTGGCATCCACTAGCTGAAACGCCTTGTTGCAAATCTTCAACTCTGGACGAAGATCGTAAGACATGGAGGACAATATAACGATACCTGCATCATTATGTATTATTTCGGAGCATTGATGTGAGTCACGATCTAGACTTTGGAGTCATATTGACGATGTTGTCTCAGGAAGAAATCGGCTAGTTTCCTAGTTTCCTACCTAGTTTCCTAGATGTATACTCGGCATACTACAGGAAGTCCTGGAGTACATAGGTAGCTCTAAGTGGTCCAGGTAGGAGCCCTCGCCTCGGGCGCCATCCCCATACTTGCAGCGGCTATGCACTTGCGATTTAGGTTCGAGTCCGTTATACCCAGCCGAACGGTCAGCCTTTAGAAGCTAAACTTTAAGGGACTACCCGCTCCAAACCGCTGTCCGGCGGCCTTAGCAGCTTCCAAGTTAGCCATTAACACAAGCCCCCGGCCGTGCTACCGTCCCCACCAATTCCGACGTGTCACCTGCATCTTCGGCGCGTGTCGCCTGCTCAACCGAATCCCTGTATATGATAAAACGCCATTTGATCAGGCGTTGGAGGGTTGAATGTTATGTTATCAAAGCCACCTTCCGTAGCCTCGTTATACTTTTGCTCTCTTTTACAATGTTAAAATATCATATACCTTCTCTAACCCATTTCCATATCATGACCATCTTCACGTTCTGCTTGTCTTAGGTGACGGTTAGTCATTTGTCTCCGTCTCAGGTTACTCGCATACCATCATGGCGTCCGACGACGAATTTTCTTCGGCAAGCTCCCCGATCGCATTTGAAGACTTCGATCAAGATGATGTCTTTCGGAAGGCCGAACTACACGTGAGGAATGAGGAAAGCAGAAATTTCGTAGTTGAATTTAGTCGGAAACACGCGCGAATCGCATTCGACTTGAATGATAATGAGATGAAGGAGCTACTTGATCAAAACCCTGGCGATCAGAGAGATTATCCTATTCGATGGATGTACGTTGCTAAGTGCAAATACTTGATGTATCATGTTTACTAATGAATGCCATAGTAATATTTGGGACCCTAGCGCGCAAAGGGATGTCATGGGCTCTATTGGCAAGAAATATGGTTTCTCGCCTAGGCTACTTGGTTTAATGTCTACACCAAGATCACAGCAGGATGAGGCGCGACGGCATAATCATAGGAGGAGGATTTCCTTCCGCCATCATCAACGATCAAACAGGGATCTAGAAAAAGGAGATGTCATCAATGGGAGCTTCCCGAAGCCTCTAGCGTCCGCGGAGATCAATGATAGTATAGCTCTATATCTGCAAGTGAAGGATACCGTCAACTACTTCTCAACGGATCAAACCCAGAAAGGTGTGTTGCGCTTCAGGCAAAAAGCCCATCGACTTCCATGCTAACACGCGCAAAAAGCCTTCTGCATCGGAGCAAATTGGCTTCATAAACGACCGGTACCAGTGCTTGAACATCCACGAATCAGCATAATGCCGCCCAAGCATTGGCAATGGCTTGCATTGTGTAATAACCGTGCGTACTACCTTATTGTCATTCTGCTGTCGAGTAGCCGCTAAAGCTGTAGGTAGACACTGTCTTGTCAATCCACGAGAAGCCCTTATTCGAACCAGTTCCGGAAAAGGAGGACAAGGTAAGCTGGCGTAATGAGGAATTTGAATCTATGAGGGCGCATATCATGGATATTCTCCGGCAGCTATCTACTAAAGGGGTCGACCTTTACAAGGGCAATCCACTTGCTCAAAGTTCAGTTAGGGAATCACTGCCGAACCCCCGGCAAGACCTAAGCAGAACACAATCAGGAGTATCCGTTTTCAATAACAGCGAGACGGGAAGTCCGGCCGACGAAGGAACTAGCAACCTTTTCTACTACTTGTTTGAAGACTACGTTGCAGCCGGCCCTCTCAAAGCCGCGGAACAGGAACTGGATGAGATGGTAAGCTGAACTTCTGTGATATGGAAAAGACGTTACTAACACCCGTCGCATAGACCCACAAGATCCTGGACAGTACAGTAAGCTAAATCTCTAGATATTCGTCTTAATTATCGCTAAGTATCGCAGCGTCGAAGCAAAGTGTCCAAGAGCTCCGAGATCATACCCACACTGCATTATCTGAGCAAGGATCTTCGAGAGTTTAAGCACCTATTCGAGAATTATAAGAACCTCATCAGTAAGATAATGGCTGTCGGCAAACGAGATTCACCTCAAAGCATTCATCTCGATGCGGATCATAAGGTGTTCCTAACGAACTCTGCTTTGTCCCGATTCGACAGACTAAGAGACCGACTTCAGTATCTTATGCTGAACACTATCGAAGGGTACTTGGAAGAGATAGCGGCGTTATCGACAACGGTAAGGGGTGGTAGTCGGTTGTTTTAACGTTCGAATACAGCTAATTACTGAACAGTACTTCAACTTGACACAACAGAAGGATTCGCAGGCAACGGCTAGGCTCACGAGAAGTGCCACGTTATTAGCCAAACTCAGCGTCTTCTTCCTGCCGATCAGTTTTATGACAAGTTACTTCTCGGTGCAGATCGAAGATCTATACATATATTGGACAGGCAAGACGTACTGGTACGCGTTTGCGGTTATCGCGAGCGTGTCCTTCGTGAGCCTGTTCTTCTTCAGCAGGCTACTTATGCTCTTTAGTGATATGATGGACGAATGGGCGGCATTTATACTAGACCGGGGCAATGACGTTTTGCAACGTATGAAATTGCTAGTGGGGTGGAAATCTAACGACGACGACGACGACGACGACAACGAAGGTTAATGGGAAGGGTTGATGTAAGTTTGCGTGGCGCTTTTAGTGTTTTTCCGTTGGTAGTGGAAATCTGGCTCTGGTTGAAGCTGTCCATTAGGTACCTGTTATATGGCTATACCGCATACATAGGTAGTAAAACCTCTTGAATGCCTTTAGAAGATACGATGGTAGTAGCTACATAACCCACCGGAGGTTTACAGTCGGTTATTTCATTTCCAGAAGGTTTATACGACTGGCCAACTCAAATTTTAGATTCAACTTTAACCTGGTGTCTAGAGTTGCTTACTAATTTTTAAGGTTCGTTAGACAGTTGGATAAAACTCGACGTATTCGTCATCTAGAAGTTCAACGTCAAACATTCGCTTTCACATGCCTCTATTTTGGACCAAGAGGGGCAACTGATCTCGTGACCTCGTTGTTTTATCTGAAGTACTAATGTAGGTACGTAATTCTGCTGTCGTGGCGTAGGATGTGCCTACATAGAAATCTAAGGTTCCCTTCTCATCTTCCTATGGATGATATTTATGCCATCCATGAATTTATTGTAGCTTATCTAGAGCCTATTGGATGTTTCCTTCTGCAGGCCTGCAGTAGGTACATCTGGCTATTAGAAAAAGAAACGTTGGGAAGTTGCCACCACGCAGTTCCCAAGATTCAGTTGTTCTAGGGCTGCAGCTAACCCCTGTTGTCCCTGATTTTAGTTCCACCCATTAGCTGGTCCCTGACCACTAACGCTAGCCAGTTTTCTGGTTGATCACTTCCTTCGCGCATCTTGTTACACCACCTTTTTTTCCTGCACCTTGCCTTACTTGCACGGCAATGACGTTTTTGTCGCTTGTTTTACATAAAGTGTGCTTATGACTTTCTTGATCATACTAACATTAATAACACATCAACCTTCTGTACAATCCATTTCCGCGATAATGTGTTTGCTTAGCGCTTGAGAGTTAGACGATTCTTAGATCGTTATCCTTTGCGACGCATCCACTAATCCACCTATGATAGTCTGTCACTTGCGCACTAGGCGGTGAACTCGTCCCTATTAATTGAACTAGTACTCCAAAAGATAAATAACCTTGGAATCTCAACTTTCCTGATTTCACGAAACACCTATGACTCTACACACCTGTCAAGGAAAAAGCAACGAGTAATCGATCGGATACGTGAACACTATGCATCTCCAAAATGCTAACGGGGTTGCCAATGGCCAACTTGGCCAGTTGCGACACATTCCTCTTTCATACGACAGCGAGAACCCTGATTCCTCTGCCCGTGCCCTCATCCTCGCCCTACGTCCTGAATGGTCGAGCCCCGACTCTAAACTCGAATTCATATCATTCAAAGACGGCATCACAAATACATTATTAAAAGCCATCAATAAGAAAGAGGGGATGTCTGAAGATGAAGTAGACAAGGAAGCAGTTCTGCTGCGAGCATACGGACATGGAACCGATGTGCTCATAGACCGACATAGAGAGACACAGAATCATGAACTTCTCATGAACCATGATCTGGCCCCGGAGTTGCTAGCTCGCTTTGACAACGGCATGATATACCGTTATATCAGAGGCACGGTTACCCAGCCCGCCGACCTTAGGGAACCATCGATATACTTGGCTGTTGCAAGGCGACTAGCACAGTGGCATGCTATCGTTCCCTGCATATACGAAGCACATCCGCTAAAGAACAGGATGAACGGTGTTAATGGGAATGTCAACGGTTCTCGTAATGCGGCTATTGAGCATGCAGCGCCTGGGAAACCTTCTCCTAATGTATGGACGGTTATGCAAAAATGGATATTTGCCCTCCCTACCGACACCGAGGTTCAACGTACTCGACAGGCAGATCTCCAGCAGGAACTTACCAAGCTTATCGAGGAATTGAGTGAACGGCCTGGGTTAGGAGAGAATGGCGTAAGTAACATTGTCGGCCAGCCCTAGTAGTAACTTCCGAGTGCTAATCATCTACAGCTTGTCTTTGCGCATTGTGACCTCCTGAGTGGAAATGTCATTATTGAACCTCAAAGTACATGTGCCAAGGAAGGGGAACACCAGAAGAAAGTCAGCTTTATTGACTACGAATATGCCACTCCTTCGCCCGCAGCTTTTGATTTGGCAAACCACTTCGCCGAATGGGGTGGCTTCGACTGCGACTACACTGTGTTGCCAACACGTGCACAGCGGTTAGAGTTTATTCGGGAATATATCCGCACTTATTTTAGCCTACTTCCCGAAAAGCCTAGCAGCATAGACGAGGAAGCCGAAACGCAGAAACTGCTAGCTGAAGTTGATATATTCCGTGGTGTGCCTGGGTTCTACTGGGGGATATGGGCTTTAATCCAGGCAACCATTTCACACATTGATTTCGACTATGCCGAGTATGCCGAGATCAGACTAGGAGAGTACTGGGGATGGAGAGAAGCGACCAAGAGTACGGAAGTTTTCTCAGGCAAGGAGTTGTCGCTGCGAGAAAGGAGATGGGCGCAACCGGAATAAATCCGGGCTTGCAAGGAGGAAGAGCCTTGGTTATTCACGACAGCATCGTAATAGATACCATTTTATGATAGAGGGCGTGTCTGTAGACCTCCCGCCCGCACGGTCAAATTAATGAATGATGTTTTCATGAAATTTAAGACTAGAGAGTACGAATTTTTCACACCATCGGATACTCTTCAAGATACCTTGCAAATGGATGTTACATTTTCTGTCAACTATAGTGACGAGGATACAAGCACGATCTCAATCAGGGGTGTCGGCTTGAACAATAATAATTCACCATATGTGCCATTTAGTTCAATTGATGAGAGAATGCCATACAATCTCCTCCATTTGAATACGAATGGTCCCATACAACCGCGTGCTCCTACGGAGTACTACCAAACAAGGCTATCCCCCTTTCCCCGGTATCCAGTGAGACGGATATCATCTTATGAGGAAATAATTTTACCCTGAATATTTATATACCCATTTATGATATCGGGGTTCTATAATAGAGAGCCGGTCTTTTCTCCGCTTGTTCAGCTAAACGTGTGAGAGCATCCTCCAAATCATCATTGTACTTCATCTGGGCGCCCCGGAGGATAAACCCAAGACAACGGCAGATTCCAAGAGACGTGTCCTGGCATTGTCTGTATTATCAGTCCGTCCAAGAAGTGCCCTCAGAGTCAGTGAATATGCCAATGGATTGCCCAGAAGCGTATCAAGGGCCGAGGATAGGCCAACACAATCCACCTTAGTGTCTTTAAACCGAGCGCCAACACCCTTTAGATGTTGTTGTTGTTGTTGTTGCCGGCTTTCCTCGATGTGTGCTTGGGTATGGTGGTGCGGGTGCTGAAGGCGGCGAGGTGACATTGTGTAGCCAGGGTCACGAGACTATGCTGCTAATCAGCTTTCTATTTTGCCCATAGTTTATGATTGATATTCTACCTAGGTATGTAAGGTAATGTCCCGGTATGTTGGGAGTATATAGATTGTGAAAGTTGGTTGATTGGTATGCGTATTCAAAACCGTGACGAGGGAGATGTATAATGTTCATATGTTCTGTTTAGTCTAGTAGTCTTTTTTCCCTTTGGGAAAAGAAAAGGATTCAAACTGAATATAGCGAAGGTATAAAAGCTCATGAGGAGAAGCCTGATTTTTAAAAGTATTATAAGTTGATATTTTGTAAGGAGCAAGTCCGGGTAATGACGAAAAGGCTTGCGAGGAAACAAGACTCGTAACATTGACTATGGTAGCTAAAATAGAAGGCTTGAGAAGTAGCTACGCATTGTAATAGTACCTAGATGTTTCAATGCTGGAAAAGGAAACAAGATAAACTTCAAGCGTTAAAGGAGAAATCCGTGTGAGGTAGGACACACAGAATCACATCTTGGGTTATTAAGAGAAGCAGAGGGAAAACAAACACTGGTCGCATGAAATATAAAACACCAATTCCTAGACAAACAAGGGTATCATGTAGGCGCCATAACTCTATTAGGATTGCTGCCACCTGTAGTAAAGGCGAAATTGCCAGAAAATGCTGGCTACCTGCCCAGGTTGGAGGTGAAAGGGGGTGAGTTGGCGACAAGAGTAGCCATTGGACAACAACGTCATGCCGAGTGAGATATTGCGAGATTACGTATCTCACGAGGACGTAGGTCGCCTACTCTGGACATATATGATTCACCATAGACCATTCCAAGGCTCGCCAAGTTGAATATCTGATGTTGACTGAGGACATGGGATTTTGTCACATCACCAAGCGTCCGCGTTGTAGATGTCAAGAAGGTCAAGAATACCAAGAGTCCGAGGTTATTGATGTATGACCATATCGGTTTTACTTGTCTCAAGCAAACGGTGCCGAGCTAACGGCTTGTCGTCGTGCAGAGAAACGGGGATGTTCTGGCATACTTTTGGGGGCCAGCTGAGGGTAAGGCAAGCTGAGACGAGGCCTGAAGACGACATGTTGGAATGCCGCCTCTCGCCTTATCGCCTTATCATAGCCTTAGAGCCCTGCTAGTGCCTGTACGCAATGCGCGCGACCAGTCAGCTATGTACCTAGGTACTCCATCCTCTAATGCTGAAGGAGGGAACCGGAAACGGGGAGAGCTGAAGGAAGCGGCAGGCTTCGCAGCGCTCCGAACGCACAGATAAGAATTTGCGAACCATCTCAAGGCGTTGAATGGGGTACCGCTATAGATTGACCAATCAGACGAGCTCAAATATTTCAAGTTGCAATGCGAGCCAGAAACGAGGGAGGGGAAAGTGGAGCAGACCCTACATAGAGGTAGAATTGAAGGGCGTACTTGAGGAAACATCGAAGTACACACGTATATACGTACCCATGTAGTATGTACATGAGCATGTCGAGGTAGGTGCATACCTGTATCAACCTTGAATGGAAATTGGTTGGGGAAAAGGAAAGAAGTTGTAACATTGGAACTTTCCCAGGTTCATATTCTCTCATACATACAGCTAGGGGACTGGAGATATTCTCGATCTCATCGTGCCTATCTCGATTCAAACCAACTCCCATCATGTCGACGTCGGCCTTTTCAAATCAATGAGTGAATATCTATCCATCTATTCACCTGCAGAGAATTCTTGGCGACGCGCAATCCTAGGTGTGACGAGCTTGTTCCGCGAACCATGATTCGAACAGAGAATGATTCTGATGCCGCCGGTACTCGTGCTGGTGCTGGTGCTGGGTGAGCTTTGCATGTTGCCTACATGTCGCCTAGTTCTTGACCGCCTCTGCCCTTGCAATTCTGTCATTCGCGCGCACGCGATTTCGCTCGTTGCCACCTCATCCACCTTTTCATCCCTCCAGTCCCCTTCGCTCCCTCCGCCGGCCCTCTCAACTCTGCCGCCTTTTATAACCCGACATGCAGAAAGATCTGCGTCGGGGAATACCTGCTGAGCGGCTTTCCCTAAACGGCAATGCAAAGTCGGAGTTGTCGATACGTTGATTATTAAGGGAAAGTGGTTTCACCAAGCGCTGAAACCCTTTTACCCTCCGCACACTCACTTGGTGTTTCTGACAGCATGTATCCCGTATCTGTGCGGAGGATACCTATGAGGCAAGTCACGGATTGCATAGTAGAACGAACGACGGAGAGAGAGGAAGAGCAAGATATGGAGCCTGCTTCCCCATCTGCAACGCTCAATTAGCCCACACATAATAGCCTGCTCCCCAATGAGCGGCGACGGTGGACAAGACGAAGTTTCGCCTAGACCATCTCGGCACTTATCAATGCACTTAAGAAACATGATGTTCCTGTCTTGGGAAGTGATCAGCAAAAAATTCGATGCATGTGCCGGATCATATGGTCGACGTCCGATCCTCTTCCCGCATGGCTTAGGGTAGAGGCAAGTTTTTATGGTCTTCTCATTTTTGTCTTCTAATCTTTTCTTGAGAATAACCTTACACCCTGTTCGTTTTGATGATGATGGTGTCTGATCACGCTTCAGACAAATTATGGTATCCGCCATGGTTTATGGGAAAATCTCATCGCTTTGATAAGGCCATTTCCTTTCTGGACCGGTTGCAACCGCATCGATTTTTTTTAAAATTAGGGTGGGCGAAAAGAAAAAAAAGTGATGATAGAGAAGAGGTGAAGCGGAGAGGGCGGCGCGGGATGAGGGTCTAGAGCGTGTGGGAGAGGTCAGCCGAAACAAATTGCATGGACGGTTGTTTTGAGCTGATGCCAGGCTGTAATTAGCGGCAAGTAAATTACCGGGCTGAGGCGGTCGGGTGGTTCACTATGCGCTGGCGTTGAGGCTTTACTGGCTGTGAAATTCTCGAAGTTGGGGGCTATTGGAGATCATCTATGGGTACATTTGGATACATCCGTCCTGCGTACTACCTATTTGCCTGTAGGTATGCAGATTTTCCGGATGTGCCCCCGAGGAAATCTGTTCAACAAGTGATCGAGCGAGCCTGCCTATCAGCTGCTTAAAGCGCTGGTAAAAGCCCTGCCGTCATTACTTACTACGTACATATCTACTCTAACTCATATGACTGCAGGCTGCATCTCTTAATACATACATAAGCATAAGAAGATACTGCATACTGATTGCCGCAGCCACTTCTTACTGGCGGCCTCGATCGACCTATCAAGGGGTACCCCATGCCAAGCCATCCTCCGGCTCTTATCCAAAAGTGCGAATGGGGGGGAATCCTATTCAGATCCCATATCTGACTAGGCCGCCCTGAACTTGATAGCTCGGCTCCTACGGCGTGGTATGAGAACTCAGGCAACATGCGGTACGCGCTAGGTATGGTATAGCTCATCCTTTTACACGACCATTCCCGAGCCTGTCCCTTAACGTTTTTATGAACTACACGGAAGAAGCTAATACCTATCCATCGGCTTGATGCTACATATTGTCTGTATGTAGATAAGAGGAACTGACTGGCATGGAGTCGGTGGTAACGTGATTAGGTGGTATCGTTCATTGGCCCATGTCCTTAATACCCCCGGTCACTTTTTTTTCTTCTTCTTTGCGCTCATATCGTTGTGCCACCATAGCACAGCTCAACCATTGTTAAAGTTGCAGTCACTTTGTGAGCACTAGCAGTGATCAACATGGTCTCGAGCCAGAGCTGGACATCCAGCCGAGCCAGCTCTGGGACTGTGAAAGTTTCCCGCCTGACATGCATGCAGCTGCGGTTGATGCAAACCGCGTACTACCTCACGTTATAATCCACATATGTGTCCAATGGCTTTCGGCTTATCCCACTTGGAGACTCGATGGAGACTCGACTACCCTCGCTCGTAAGCAATGCTTAGCCGCCTGAATCAAGATATTCGGATAATGATAGGTGGCGCGCGTCCAGCACTGTTACTCTTTAGTGCTCACTATCGTTTTGCGGAAGAAGGTGAACCAAGTAGATCTAGTAAGACGTTTTTGCCAAGTAGAAAGGGATAGATGGCGTAACCAAAACACTCGACTTACGAAGCCTACTAGGTAGTCGCAAGTTCAAGTCCAAGTCTAACTGTCTAATAAGTACTTGTACAGTCTTATTCGACGTACCCCCGAGGGGGTACTGCGCTTTAACTAACGAAATGGGCAGAGAGTTGCAAAGTATCCGAAGATTATCCTATACCTTTTAGTTAAATAAAATAGAAGTTACCTTGTTGCATTATAGGGCTTATAATAGCTGTTCTACTTATAGATAAATACTGTATGTAATAATAAGGGCTATCTACTTATACCTATATACATGGTTTTAATAGTAAACTCCACCCATCCGGAAGTATTTCGGGTATTTCGCAACTCTCTGCCCATTTCGTTAGTTAAAGCGCAGTACCCCCTCGGGGGTACGTCGAATAAGACTGTACAAGTACCTGTCTTAAGTGTGTACATTACTTACTCATCTACTACCACATACCAAGTAGTAGGTAGTATGTAAATATGTACTATAAATGATATGATATACCCATACAAGGAATAGGAGCTACACTCTTTATAATTGTGGCCAGAAGCACAGCCATGATAGCATCGTATGTGTAACCCTTGGCTATCAAGGTAGTAGTTAACACGGTGGTCCGTCCCAGTAGCACGTTGTCGGAAGAAAGACGACGCAAGAAAGGGCCCCATCTTATTAGTCGCCTACCCTACTATGTACCTAGTCGAGGCTTTAGCTGGATCATTAGTCCGGAATTACCTAGTCCAGATTAGCATAGTCGACTATAACCAACGCAACGGCTTTCGGCTTTATTTCTGGTCTCTTGTCTCTTGCCTCTTGTCATGTCTCTTGTTTTATTAGGTAATAAAGGTAGTCGGTACCTAACTAAGGCAAGCATGATTCTATACGCCATACTATGGCACTATGTATCTAATAAAGGGACTCCGTCTCCATTCTAGCAATCCACATAAAGTATTAATCCACATCCGCATCGATGATCTTATTATGTACATACGTACTATTTTGTTCGCCTTGTCGTCGTTGTTCTTATTTCAGCTAGTCACTGTAGGCGGAAGTGAAATTCGTCAACGCTTACCATTACCATTGAACAAGGCTTACGATCCTAAACCCTATAGATCGATCAGATTCGTACATTAGATATTATACATATTCGATAAATGATAATAGATGATATTACATATTACGTGAGTTATCTTAAAGTTACAACTCCGTCTCCGAATGAACCTTGAAGTGATCCGGCCAACTTATCAACATTGAACTTACATACCCGGACATATGTACCTGCTAGTAAGTATGTAAGTAGGTATGAGGAAAGGAATGATGCGATAGGTACCCTGAATTCTAGGTAGCTGTACCTGTCGAAGGGTCAAGTGTCAACGCTCCGCACCGACCTCCCGAATACCCCGGCAGCCCGGGAGCTATAATCCCTGCAAGGCGTTGCACCTTGCTTTTACACCTTGCACTGCTTGCACCCCCTTCCAACTTCATGTTCGAAGAGTGAGAGAGTAGGTACGGTACGAGCCATTTTGCCCTGTTCTTTCCATTATTCGCATTGTAATCTCTTGTATCTCCCTGGGAATAATTGTGCAGCTAGGCTCCATGTGTGTGTAATCTGCCGTTGTAGTGGTCGCCCCACCTTCTTGTCTAGCCAGCCAGCCTTTTTTTTTACTTAGTACTAGGTATCTCGCCTGTCTATCAGTCTACTTTTTCATCGATCGCGACGACCCCAAAAGTTATTAGCCAATTTACCTTCAAACCCAAGTTACTTTACTATCTCATTTTTTTTCTCTTCCTCTCTTTCCTTGATACCCTTTCCTTATACCGAGACAATTTCTCGAAAAAAGTAAAACAATTATTTTTATTCCTTCCATTCTTCTCCTCTTTTATCCTTTCCCCCCCACAAGAAGATAGGAAGCGAGAGAGAAAAAAAGAGAAGAAAAAAAAAAGTCGGCCAGATGTTCTTCTAAAGTTCACCATCCACACCCCTCGCGAACGTAGTCTCTCCGATAGGCGTCCTGCAGCCAATCTTTAAAATTTGCTGATGCTATTGGCTCATTTCGTCACGAGGCGCAGTCATTAACTTTTTTTCCTTCTCTTAACCCTTCCACCCTTCGGCCGACGTTTCCGTCATGAACATCTTGTTTATGTTTATGATTGATTCTTCGTCCCTCATAAACCGCAGTTGATGTGTACCGCCAAGTCACGCGCGCAAGCGGGAAGTGAGTCTGCGCGCGAGCGAGAGCCAGTAAGAAGAGTGAGCAGGACGAGGCGGAGAGCGGCCCAGCCCTAGTCTCTCCCGCCCGCTTTCTGCGGCACAGTCGCCGGTCCGTATTATATATATATGCGCGGCGAAGGCCCAGGATCTATAAAAAGGAGGAGGGTAGAAAAACAAGGGAGGAATTTAATAACTTCGGAAGATTTCCCGTCCCCCGACCCAGGATTTTGGCGCAAGGCGCAAAAGGAGGAGGAGCAATGGCCGCCGACTCGTTAGAGCCTCGACTCGACCGTCGCGGCTCCCTGCTCGAGGGTCGGGAATCTCAAGTCGCACCCGGTTTTGACCCGTCTTTGGACCCCACGATTAGACAGCTGTTCGAGCAGCAAGCTGAAATCCAGGCGAAACTAGCAGCTCTACTTCCAGCCAAATATCTTCCTAACAGTAAGCTCGAGCTGGACATGCTCCGTCGGAAGCTCAGAGCACTGGAGGCTTATGTGAAGAATCAAAGTGAGTTGCCTCCATTTTAGTCTTAATCGCGTAGTGCGACGTTTTGCTGTTGGACGGAATTCTGATATATGTAATCCAAGACCTGCCAGGGACCGTTCCAATATTATCTGAAGTCGAGGATGCCCGCGCCCTGCAGTATAAATGCGAATGCATCGAGAGCTTTTTGATCGACCAAGGTATGTAGTTAAGCCATCTCGTATATCCATCCCTTGCCTAACGTATGCCCTGTCGCAAAAATAGGTTTAGACCTTCATGACGGGCAATTCTTGCATTCCTTGAAGTTGTACGGCCAGGATGATGCGCCGTCCGGCTACGATGCTTGGCTGGATAAGAACATCTCATTTTATGACCCCATATTCCGGGGATGGAGGATGAGAGAGACAATACCTTTGATTTCTAGACGTCAGGCTTCCTTTAAATGTTGGGATGACCGATGCGTGTATTATATATATGGTTTTTCTAACCCCGAAGATCGGGACGAACATATAAAGCAACATGCCGGCCCTCCGAAGAGAGACTCGGGTCTTTCGGTGGGCACTATTCCCCCAATTACCTTCTCAGACCAAGCGTCGTCGCGACTATTCGGCACCGACCATATAAACCGAAGCTCTCCAGCTGCTTTGCCACGGCTTTCTGTCCCTCCATCTCTGCTCCCACTAGCCACTGCCAATCAGCCGAGAGACCGACGTGAATCGACGATTGGGTATCCTTTCGCGAATGAAATTCCTCCCCAACCCAGGGGATCGGTCGATTCTGAGCCCGACTCTTTGCTTCCGCCCCTGAAGCGAAGCAGAGTCGGGCACGGAAGGCTTGAATCAATAGGTGAACTTAGGTTGCCACGCGACGCCGGGCCATGTCTCCGCTGTAAAGTTCAGGCGAAGCCGGTATGAAAACTCACTTCTTGTAGACCGGACTGTCACTTACTCTCATTAGTGCGATTCGAAAGACGACTGTGCGTTCTGCGCCGAACCGCCAAACTCTGCTAATGATGAATTCTGGAGCGTGCTTGGTTGCCATCGTGGCCCGCTGGTCGCGCTGGCTGATTATATGCTACCAGGTATGTCCCCGTCTTTCTGTATCAGTTAGTTGATTTAGAATAGAGTACTCACGTCCTAAGCAGAAGCTCTATCACCGAGACAAGTGCACACGCCTGTCACTTCACCCCTAGCCAGGCGGCGTAATATGAACGAATATCTCGAACGTACTTATTTAGTGACCCAGACCATGTCTGATATGGTGAAGTCACATCTAGATTTTGATGACGGCTTCTGGTGGACTGAAGATCTAGCGTCGTTGCCAATGCCCAATCCTACTCTAGCGAACTATTCGAAAGACCCCAAAGATAAACCGCCGCCTGTACTGAAAGTCTTAGCAGCAAGTTGGAACGCCGAAGGAGTCCCCTTTCAATTCTGGGAGCTCTTCAGATTGACGGGCTTTATGTCAGAGAGTCGGGAACTAGAAGCTGTGACTTATCCTGTGCTTCATCGGGCGAAATTACTTCTAAGGGAGATACTATTCTATGACTTACAGCAGCCCGAACCATCGATACGAACCGAGGTCAACTTAACGAATGTAACGAGCGCCCAAAACTCGCCCGACGATATAGACTACGAAGGGCGAAACCGACTAATTTACAATTGCATGGTTCAATTCTTGCAATCTTTCGAGAGTACGACTATGCGAAGAGTCATTTCGGATCCAAAGAGCTGGCTGGCTGTTTTCGTTTCCCTTTGTATATTTAGTATTGTGAGAACGATCTTGGCCGACCTGATTTCCACGCCGTCACGAACCCTTACTCCTCAAGCCCAAGCCGGTTTCCCCATGTCCGCGGGCGCCACCGCTATGCACAGCGTTTATAAGGCGTTGGTAAGCGTATTCGCCTGGTCTACGCCGATGATACTTGACGACCCTGCCCAGGAATTAGATGGGAACGATCGCGCGTTATTTGCTAATACTGTTGCGGCTATTCGAAAGGATGACTGGCTTGCATTAGGTATCCGCTCGTCTAGGGAATTCCTCCTTGGGCTCGGGAGCGGCTATCTAGATGGTAATGCCGGATTTAATGGCTTCTTTAGACAACGGACACCCATTTATCGGCACGTCTCGTACCAGCAGCCTTCCCTCATGGGCCAAGCTGCGGATGTTCGAAAACCCGTTTTCCAATGGCGTCCAATTGACCCATGGGCAAATCGAAGCGATCAGGAAATGCTGCCTGCAACATATGCGATAGAAACTCCCGAACCTGGAAGGCGGCATACTGTAGGAGAGAATCCTGTTTTTTCGCGCGCAATCGCGAGAGGACTTAGCTCTCCTTCAAAACTAAGGACTTCTTACCAACGGCCACCGCTTCGGCGCGTATTTTGTACCAAATGCAATGAATACCCCGAGGGGTTCCGTGGCGAACACGAACTTCGAAGGCACAATGATGCTAAGCACGCCTCTTTGGTTAAGAGATGGGTTTGTACGGAACCTCAGAACGCAAGTCCTAACAGTCCAGCACCCGTAATACCGCTTTCGAAGTGCAAAGCTTGCGTTACGCAGAAACGATACGGTGCTTATTACAATGCGGCAGCTCACCTACGGCGGGCACATTTCCACCCACACAGGAGTGGCAAAGCTAGTGGCGATTGGCCTCCAATGACTGTTTTGAAGGATTGGATGCGCGAAGTACGGCAGTCGATTGACATTAACGAGAACGACACATCGAGCGGAGAAGAAGATAACGACGTACGAATGATGGAAGATTACGCGTTGCCTCGACAGTCGTCTTTCTTGGAAGCTCCACGACTTGCGCCTGCGCCACCACAAGGACCATTACTAGCACCTTCAATAGCGCCGTCTTTGGATAGCACTGCACATAGTAGCCCAGTCATACCGAAGGCCGAGGACAACAGAAATCGATGTCCCCATCCGGACTGCGGTCGGGTATTCAAAGATTTAGCAGCACATATGCTGACACATCAAGAGGAGCGGCCTGAGAAGTGTCCGATAGAAAGCTGCGAATATCACACAAAAGGGTTCGCCCGTAAGTACGACAAGAACAGACATGCGTTGACACACTACAAGGGCACGATGGTCTGTCCTTTCTGTCCAGGGCCAGGGACGGCATATGAAAAGGCTTTCAACAGAGCCGATGTGTTTAAGCGGCACTTGACAGCCGTACATAATGTTGAGCAGACTCCTCCTAACAGCCGAAAGATGATCATCACCGGGAACAGTTCTCGGAATGGTGGCGATGCTAAGTGCTCTATCTGCCAAACACGGTTCTCAACGGCGCAGGAGTTCTACGAACACTTGGACGATTGCGTTCTAAACGTTATCGTCCCTACAACGCCGAAGGCTCTGAAAGACAGGGTTTCGACGCCTCAAAAGAACGACGAACGGAACATCGTCGTTGCGGTAGAGGATTCCGACGAAAAAAGTAGGGCTGAATCAAAGGGGGCGATGGACGCCTCTTCCTCCAAAGCGATATCGATATCGCCGACACGAGGGGACAAGATGGATCTGGACTCGGACAGGGATTAGGATTAGGAATGTGAAAATATATGGGTAGTGTATATACGATGGAACGAAAGAAATGAGAAGGAGTTTGGAAGATATCATGGTGCTACGAGAGCGACCGTTGTATTCGTGTATACAAACTTGGAACGCATATCAAGAACTTGAACGACATAGGCTTACACGCCCTACGACAGCAGTGACCAATTGGGTGTGAGGACCGCGATGACAGGCTTGTTCGTCTAACTATCGAGTTCGTTGGTGGTAATGATCGACGAGGATGAAGCCGAGGCCCAGAGGTCGGAGAACTTTGGGAAGGATTCTGTGCTTAGCGAGATGCAGGACCCTTTCGTTTCCAAGTTAGGGTATGGAATCTTATCGGGAATTTAGCTTGGGATCTAGTCTAAGCGTGTCCTTTTATGAGAACGAGTAGTGTATCTGGATTAGTCGTGTCATGAATATCGACACCGAGGCACTCGAGTAATTATCTACATGTCAGACTATAATAACGCCATTATAGTATCATATCTACCTACACATACCTAGGCAAATATTCCAACGATGTTCTTCCGTACCTGAAGGATTCCTCCCTGTGCAAGGTACATGCAAGGCTCTAGGGCCGAGGTCTGCAGTTGTTATTATACTTCTGCGGCAATAGTATGCAAGCTACCTAGTCTCATATGGGGATTGCGAGAGCGGCACTCGCATGCTTCCGCATACATATCTACCTACATATATTTATACCTATATTCATGCATACCTCGGATCGGCTCTCGATATTCGCATTTGCGGCGCAGCAGTCCCATCTACCGAGCCCAGGCTGCTGCTAGGAGCGGGAGGCGTAGGACTATCGGCATTTCGCGATACTAGCGAAAATCCTTCCGTCTGGCTTCGGCTCCTTCGCCTCCACCCCTACCCCCCCGTCTTCACTATACATCCCATCGGGCCTGTGTATAGGGTACATTGGGACCAGGTACCGCTCTATGGATGGGAGCCCGTTCCTACGCACGTGGCTTGATAACTCCGCTAGAACGTACGTCTTGTTGTCGTTGGAAGAACGGGTAGGAATAGGGCTGGGCGGTGATGGTCCTGTCGCGTATCGCTGTTTAGTAATATAAGTCAACGTGGTTGGGACATTTGGGTTGAAAGACACCTTCTCTAGTACGTGGCTAGCATGGGGCATCACGATGTGATGCAATATAGGACTAACCGTGCGGGGATACTAGGTTTCGTTATATTACGATTGCCATTGCAGATGGACGACCCCATCCGTGCTCTACTCTATAGTGGAGGTTTCAAGCTAGCATGTCCAGCATGTCCTATCTGTTCGAGGCCTTGGCTTTGCTGGCTATATTTGAATGCGGAAGGTAGTTTCGAGGGACGAGTATTATCGTAGCCCGGATAGAAGAACATATGAGATATTAAATGATACCCAGATGACCGTTATTTACTTGTCAAGTACTAAGTCTGACATATCTATTAATGCTATTGTGTATGGGAACCCTGTGTCCTCTTCAATAGCGCTGCCTTTGAGGACAAGTGAGAAAATAGGAGGCTTATTGAAGATGAAAATATATGATATTGCCTTTGAAGTCTCTCATGCTACTCAACTGAAGTGATTATAGTGGATGTCAATATATTTCAGACTGAGGGGGAGAAATGTCTACCATATGTGAGAAGGGAGCGATAAGGAGGTGGTATATAACTTTTGGGATCACCTACATATACGCGCCATACATAAGATACTGACATCCAAAGACAAAATCAACACGAATCAAACCAAATACGTTAAACCAATCTTACATTTTACACAAGTACTCATGCTTAGCGGAAGATATCCCATTCTCTAGTATATATTTTCCCTCCCAATTTCCGAACGGGGTATCATCACCAGCCATACACGCACCTCATATCCATGCATACGTCCATGCGTACACACATACCCGTAACCCAACCGCATTACACATAAGAGAATCCCCTTCCTAATCTTATAAAGATCGATTATACTCCCCCATTAACAGCCCGTAACCCTTTATTTACCCTTAGTAGTGGATTGGCCAACCTAACATTCGGTAGGCTTCCTAGCATATCCGTTCAAGCACCTAAACCCGGCGCCAACTTTCCTCCCCTCCTCAATAACCTCATGCACGCCATCGAGGCACTTGCTCGCCTTCTCTCTCTCCGCTTCCACCTCGAAGAATCCGAGACGTTCTTCACTCGCCACCTTCTCCGTCTCACATCTCAACAGCCACCTCTCCCACGCCCAGCTCCCTGCTAGGCCCGTAACTGAGGCCGCCGCCTCCGTGCTGCCGCACACCATGGCCTCAAGGTCGAGCGGACGCTCTACTCCCGTAAAGCTGTCACACACTACTCTGCGGTTACGTCGGACGGCGGGGTCCGGTCCCATAGGGAGACACACCCACGCGCGGCGCACGCCTTCGAAACCAGCGCGGTTAAGACGGCTGATAAACATCCGGGTTGGGGACGAGTCGTAGCCGAGGGTTTTCAGGGCAAACCCAAATTCGACGGACTTGGCGAGGCCAAGTGGGCCCGCGTTGGTGATGTCCGAGTCGAGGATCGAGAAATCGAGGTACCCACCGGGCTTAAGCACGCGCATGCACTCGCTTAAGCAGCTATCCCACTCATCTTCGCCGTTCTCGCCGATGAACTTGAGAATTGAATGTAGCTCGCGCGCTGACACTAGGTCAAAGTGACCGTCGGGGAATGGCAGCTTCGTGAGTCTCTCTACTGCGACCTGTCGATGGTTGGGCGGGCCTCGGATGTTCGAGTTGGATAACTGTCGGATCGCCTTGGTTGTCACCGTGTACACTTTAGTGTTGGGGTACGTGATAGCGCAGTGCCAAGCCCAGCCGCAAGCAGCCTGACCGCCTAGGTCCAGGATACGCGCCCGGTCTTTGGCGCCGCCAATGCGGGAGAGGCGGGCGAGACGCTTGGCAATAGGAGCGGAAAATAGACGTCCACCGTTCAAAGCCTTGATTGCGCCGACGTGCCAGTTTGCCATGGACATTTGAGTTAGTGCTTCGTGTTCCTTCTCCCGCTTCAGTTTCTCGGGGTCATCGACGAGAATGTCGTCACCACGGGCTACGTTGGCACTCATCCGCTTTTTAGCTGACTGAGGCATCACAGATAATTGGTACTTTCCAAGAAGCTGGTTACGATGAGTTTCGCGTAGAGAGACGCGCTGAGCCTGCAAGGCCTCAAAGCGAGGAAGACGATGGACGAAGGGATCATGATTGCGGGACCTAATGATATAGTCCTGAAAAGCACGATAGTAGGCCGATTCTTGCCGTGCAAGCTTGGGCGGTAAGGTCCTTGGGATATCAGTCTCGACTACAACTTCGGAGAAGCGAACCATCTTCTTCCTCTGCGATGGGGATGCCACCTCAGGTTCGGGTTCTTTTGTCTGTGGCTCTTCTTCGACATGGATGTCATGCGTCTCTGGTTTAGGGTCAACTGTTGGTTTGACTTCTTCCTCTGGAAGAATGCCCTGCAGATAGGCCTTTTGCGCCATGAGCCACAATTCTGTCCGGTCCAGGTTGGACAGGGCAGCTTCTTGTTGCTTCTTGGCATATTCAGGATCGTAGGTGGTTACAATTTCCGTGGCAGTAATATCCTCGTGAGGGCTTGACGGCTCATAGAAAGCGGTAGGGGAGACTAAGGGGTTTCTTGGCTCAATGCGTCGCGCTGTGATTACTTCTTCGGTAAGATCACCCCTTGCCTCAAGAACCTGTTCTAATACAGCTGGCCTTGCGGTTGGAATGCCATCCGACATTGTGCCCCTGATTTCTACGAATTGCTCAACTGGTACTGATGGGAGAGGCGTGGCAGCAAAGCGCTCAGGTCGTGGTGGAGGAGGAGGTAGAACCGGAACATTTGGCAGAGTTGGGACTTGAGGAGTAGGCTCATTCCACGGGCAACGATAGAACTGTTCTGCAGTAGTCGAAGTAGGAGGCGCATTCTCATCAGGTGTCATTGTAGGTAGGTGCCAAGTGTGCCTCGTGCGGGGAGAAAGACCAGAGAAGAAACCTCCGGGAGAAGGAATCTCAAGTCTTGTTAAACCGTTGAGGGAAGGCTGCTGAGTTGATACCCTACGGATCGGTCGTGACATGGAAGTGAGCAGGCGCGGTGTTTGCTGCGACATTTCCGGTCTTCGTTCTTCCGTAACTTCGATAACCTGCTCTGGGTGATACTCTTCCTCAGAGTCCTCGCTTCCCGACAATGCTTGTAGCGTAGCCAGAGCAGCAGGTTGTAGCTGGACTCCAGACCAATCCGTGTTAGTGGTACTTTCTTCCTCTCCAATGACTGGTGTCGGCGGAGCAGACAGAGCAGCCATTTGATCGGAGCTCAAACTTCCATCAAGGGACGGTGGAGCGGAAATGGTTGGTACCTCCTCAGATTGTTGGGCCTGTAAAAATGAGATCACAGCTGGTGACATTTCAACCTTGGCCGGTGGCGTAGGAGGTAGAGGCGACATCAGTCTCTTGAATTCCGGCCTACCTGACAAGCTCTCGGCATTTTGTTCTTGTTGCGCCGGGATGACTAGAGGCGGGAGAGCCCGGTGTGAGGCCGAAGATTGAGTTGCGGTTCGCTTTAGCATCGTGTTTCGGGAGCTGTTCCGACGCTTTATCGAAGACTTCCTCGAAATCCGTCGAGAGTCTTCTTCGTCTGAGATTTCGTAGATATCGTCAAACTCTGTCACGTCAGTACTTATGCTCTCTCGGTTCCAGGGGTCCGAGGACGTTATTGACGGCGAATTGCTTTCGTCCACAGAAGCAGTTGACGGTGACTCAGGTAGTATTGGAGCTGATAGGAAGTGAAATCCTCGCGGAGTCGGGAAATGGTCACTTCGTGGTGATAACCATTGTACGATTTTCTCGTTGGATGAATTGGCTTGTATTTTACGACCCCTCGACGCCATCGACCTTTGCGACCCTTCCGGCTCCTCTTCCATTATTGTATTAAGTGACCTCCCCGGTCTTCGTGCCAGCGAAGGGGACGGAGGTGTGTACGTGCTAGACGGTAAAAGTACTAGCTCAGGCATGTTGGTGGTGTATATAAATATGCAATAAGTAAGATTCTGAAGGAAAAATAGACCGCAGCTATTCTGGGTGTTGCAACGGTAAGACGACCTAAAATATGACGTCCGGCGTCGTTGAAAGCAAAGGCAGTGGAAGAAAATGCTTTAACGACAGAAACGCTTCGTTCAACGAAAGCGAAGTATGAACTGAGGCAACCACAAGGAAGCTTGAGAGAAGAGAGTAAAGGAGACGAGACCTACCAGGTGCTCGGGAGCAAGTAGTTTTATGACTCTTACCTTGGGCAAGGCAAGCGGCTATCGCGTGGGGATAGTCTCATCGAGAAGAAGGCAGCGCTTCCAAGCCAGTGGTTTGCCATGTTAATGGGCGGGTAGTAACAAGAAGTTGCATAGCCATGGTTCCGTACTGCAGAATTGACCATACACACCACCTCTTAGAGCCGGTTTGGGTATGAATTTGTGATAGCGGTGCCGGAAGAGGACGAAGAAGACTGGTCTTCGGTCGGGCTACCGATTCTAACACCCAATCATGGTTCATAGCCAGACGGTCGGCGGTGGTATAATTTTAGAAAACTCCGCAATGGGGACCAATAGTGAGACTGGCGCGCGGGAGAGGTGGACGGGGAAAAAGTCTGATTGGGAATATATTGCAGGCTTCCAGGCCAATGAGGTAAGGTTACGCTGAACTGAGCGCTTAACCGCCCTCTTCGATTTGTGACGCTCCGTGATTGGACGATTCGCATTCCACGATGGGATGAATCGTGCATCGAAACCAAACTTCCAGAACACAAGAGAGAACAAAAGCTAGATAAACGTCATAAGAAGTGATTCATGGGCAGTTCCATGTCAATCCAGCCGACTTTTGTTTAATAAATGGCGGCAAGAATCGATAACAGCAGATGACCCTCTTCGAATGGGCATATAGGACCGATGTACCGTACCCCTGGGATTAGAAAAGAAGCATTTTCCTTCTTAGAATATTATATCGGTTGAGAGAATACTTGATGGCCTTGACAATCGTAGGACACTAAAACCAATTGTTTGCTTTCGTGCATCATGCAGGTTGCCGATGTGTTAACGCTCTCGAGTCTTGATTGTTGCAGCCATGCTACCTCTCATCGATACTGATCCGACATGTTGAGAGAACACGTCGACACATGCAATGCGTGAAGCAATGTAATGCCACCAGGCCTGCGGAGATGAGACCGGTTCTGGAGGACTCTAGATGCATGTAAGACCTACATGCAGATCGAGAAGGCCGACCGTCACCCATCGACAGCCATAGTCGTACGTAGTTCGACAGACGTGACCAGGTTTGCGTAGCGCAGATGAGAGGGGACGCCGAGAAGGCGTCTGATTTGTATACTAAAAACTACGGACATCCATGATTGAATAAATGGTCGATGTCCGAAGCCGTTAGGATAGTGGATTTAGGGACCATTGTTGGCCTCGAACGTTGTATAAGTAACCCCAAGGCGTTCAATAGATTAAAATATATGAGAAGCCGACACATTTTGACCACCAATTATTAGATGAAGATAGATCAAGCTTCATGATATTTTCCATTACCTATGTGATTGATGAGAAGGGGTGAGTTGTAATAGAGAAACATTGAAGTTAGCGATGGCCATAGCAAAATCAATTCAATCACTTCCCAAAGAACTGTCCTGATAACTACGTACTGTGGCGTAAACTCAACATGAAATCAAGAGGCTGTGCTCCGTGGCTTGTGAGTAGGTACCTTAAGTCTTTCTCGGTTCGCGCCGTCTTCGCGGGCCTGTGGAACGTTCATGCTTGTACAAAGCTGCAATAAAGCAACTACCCCACCAACCCACGTCGAACAACCCCGCGCTGCAAATACATAGTTCTTTGACAGCGGCCAACACGATACTCCCCTAGCTATCGAACTACGAAACACCACCTGTTTCCCTACATCTCCGTTGACTACTAGGGAATGGCAGACGTAGAGCAGGCGGAAGCCCCCAGCGAGCCCCAGAGTCGCCATGTGATCTACTGCGGCGGTAAGTCAAACAAGAAACAACAACGACCAGGTCCCCACCAGCGGCCTGGCAGGGGGTGTTCTATAGGAGGTAGTGGCAGAGTTAGAGAGCTTTAGCTAACAGCATCTTTTCTATTGGCATAGTATGCACTTTACCACCAGAGGTACGACTCATTCATTGATCTCAGATAATGCGATGCATCCCTAGCCTGCAAATTCGCCGACTGGAGTTCGAATAGTTGTTGGTGGAGAATGGGCGCGAAAGTACATGAGTGGAAGACTAATTGCTAAGCAAGTAGTACTGCGAATATGGCGGCACCGTTAAGAAATGCCAGGACTGGCTACAGAAGGCCTACCCGTCTTTATACGAGCAGATATGGTCTCCCGGTACGTGGAATCTCTCTTCATGACTTGTCTTTCCAATTCCTAAAGATATGGATCTGCAAATTCTCAATCCTAGTCCTTAGAATACAACACTAATACAGCCCAACTCGCATCCACAGAAGCCTTAGAAGCCGCCACCGCCTCCCTATCCGTCGAAGCCCAAAAACGAGCCGCAAAGGACGCCCAAAAGAAGGCCGCTCAGGCAGAAAAAGCGGAGCAGAAACAGGCAGACAAGATCGCCAACAGCGTTGTAACCATCAAGCGCGTCGAGCGAAACAAGCGCAAATACGTAACTGCCGTATCCGGCCTCGAGGCATTTGGATTGGACCTGAAGAAAGTTGCCAAAGAGTTCGGTAAGAAATTTGCCACTGGCTCTTCGGTGACCAAGGTACCAAGCGGTGGAGAAGAGATTGTAGTCCAGGGCGATGTGAGTGACGAGATCGAGGAGTTCCTGCTAGAGAAGTATAAAGATATACCGGAGGACAACATCGAGTTAATAGATGACAAGAAGAAGAAAGGCGCCAGTGCTGCCGGTTGAGCGTGTTATGTCACGAAGGAATCACATGAACCCTAACATAGCAGATTAGGGGAGACAGGAGGACACAATCCATGAAGTAGGAAAAAACAACACAAGGATTTTCATTGTGACCTGAGACCTGATTGACCCGATTCAACCGTACCACCATTATCCTTGTTTGCCAACCGACCTTGAACTCCATGCAAAAACCAGACCTCAAACCTCAATTACACATTATGATCATTGGAGACTTATGCTCTCTTTCTCAGCGTTCTTCCAGTGCCTGTACCTGTGGGTGCAGTTGTAGCTTTGGACGCTGGAGGCTTCTTAGTAGTAGCTGACTTGATTGTGCTCATCACTGTTCGCTTAGCCGGAGGAGCAGTGGTCTTAGCAGCTCTTGACGCAGTTGTCTTCTTGACAACAGTTGTTGCGCTTCCGTTGCTTGTCTCACTTGCAGCACTGGCCTTGCGCCGACCACGCGTAGAGGCGGCAGTTGGTGGACGAGAAACTGCCGCAGCTTGTCGCGTGCGGGTGGTAGCTGGGCCGTTGTTCGAACTTGTCGTAGATGTGTTTGTAGCCTTGCGTGCGCCCGCTGCAGGCCGAGTTCCTCTGACCTTATCTGCCATACCCGACAAGAGGTTCGACGGGGCCTTAGGGGGCGGGCCCTTTGTAGGGGATGCGGGTCTACTTATCATTGGCTTCGTAGGCGATGCAGGGCGTTGGCGGGGGACAGCTCGAGTATTGGTGTTTGAAGACGTAGGCGACAGGATGTTAGCCGGTTGAATGGGTACGGGCTCCTTAGCAGGGACACCACGAAGTCTCTTCTTGGGGTTCTCAACAGCATTGCTTCGATTCTCCTTATCGGATGAAATCTCCGTACTACATGTTGTTAGTTAGACGGTGGGAACAGACAGAAATTTAATCCTACCTCAAGCGCTTTCGTCCGACTGCTGCTTCGCGTGCGGGAACTGGCTTGCGGGTAACAGGCTGGGGTAATTTGCCGTCCTTAGGTGGAACTGGCGGAGCTACATACGTTGACTTGGTTGGTTTAGGAGGGCGAGGGGGTTGTTGTGGCTGTAGGGATTTGGCCAGGAGTTCTCCCATCTTCATCTTGCGTAGAGCAGTCGGAATTCGGTTGACGCGCATCTCGACGCGTGATCGTAGTTGTTGCGCCTGCACATTATATTGGGCTCGTAGTCGTCGAGCACGTTCAGTGACTACATTAATTGTAAGTTAGTATCGTGTAGTTTTACAGAGGTTTTTTGTCGCGTTCATACCTTCCAGCCGGCAGTTGTCAATGATGGCCTGCTTCTGCTGAAGCGTGAGGCCTAGCTTTCGCCTCTTAATAGGACTTCGGTGCGGGCTATGCTTCATCATGGAGATCTTGTCACCGATAGGGCTTACTGAATGATTCGACTTGCGCTTTCGCGTCGCCTTAACAGGTGCCATGTTGTTAGGTATTTGTATTTAACTTGGTTCAGTGTTGGATAGGAGAATAAGTGGTGAATTTTAAGACTCAACGCGTTCGTCTTGTAGTGCCTTTTTGAATATGGGGTACTATGGAGTACAATGCAGGAATGGTGTTGATGAAACTAAAGATTGTGCAAGTAAACAAACCTGGGAAAGATAGAGAATACAGGTTCCTGAAGGTTGCGGGTGATTCAATTGGCCGATCCAGATAATGGTGGGGTTCTAATGCCTAAAAACAGTAATGGCGGTAAAGCACATAAGCTCCAAGCTCAACTGCAACTAACTGCATTAGGTACGGATCATGGACGTTAGCACCATCATAAACACTTACTATGTATGTAGTATGTACCTTGTACCTACCCAGGCTGCACCTGCCTGACGTTTATCTGTTAGTAGAGCTCAAACTCCGATTCTAAGCAATCGCAATTGCACCTTGCACCTTGCACCTTAATTCATTACTTCCAATCCACAACCTTAAAGCTGTTCCCAAATTTATTTCTTCCCTCAGCCTCATACGACCGTCAACATCCTAATTTCCACATATCACCTACGAAATAGTCCCAACGCAGAAACATCGCCAAGATGCCGTTGCAAGCAGTGATGATAGTTGTGGACAACAGCGAAAGCAGCCGAAATGGAGATTACCAACCGTCGCGATTCGACGCCCAAGCCGATGCTATAAATATCATGTTCGAGAGTATCACCCAGTCCAACCCAGAGTCTTCCGTTGGTTTGATGAGCATGGGTGGCAAGGGGCCCGAGGTCCTGTCGACTTTGACAACGGAACGAGGCAAGTTGCTCGATGGCCTGCACCGAACGAAGAAGAAGATCTCGGGCTCTTCCCATCTCGCAACCGGTATCCAAATCGCTAGTGTATGTTTAAACTTCATGTTCAAGAATGCGGTAGAAAGGGCGCTCAGGCTAATGATATGATTCTTTTACCTAATAGCTAGCACTCAAGCATCGACAAAACAAGTCTCAACGTCAGCGCATCATCGTTTTCGTGTGCTCTCCAGTGGCCGATGACGAAAAGAAGCTTGTTTCTTTAGCTAAGAAGATGAAGAAGGGCAACATCGATATCGACTTCGTCCTATTCGGCGATCTAGATGACGATGACGTACAGAAGAAGCTCGAGGCTTTCAACAATGCGGTTAAGACTAACGAGAACTCACACCTTGTTGTTATACCACCTAGTGGAAAACTTCTAAGCGACCAGCTCATTACTACACCTATTCTACTTGGCGAAGGCGCTGCTGGTGGTTCAGGTGGCATGGCCGAAGGCGGTGGTGACTTCGGCGATTTCGACTTCGACCCTAGCGCGGATCCGGAATTGGCCCTCGCATTGCGCATGAGTATGGAGGAAGAAAATGCCAGACAGGCCAAGCAGGCCAGGGAAAACGAAGAGGCTGCCTCAAAGACGAATTTGGAGGGCATCCAGGAAGAGGGTGAGAACCAGCCCTTGCTAAACGAGCAGGGAGAGCCTAGTGGAAGCGGATCTTCCAAGGACAACAAGAAAGGCGACGACGATAAAATGGACACGTCTTAGATGTGTTCATCTACGTGCTGTTAACTCTATTCTCATCAACATGGGATTTCGGAGTTGGGCTTGTACAGTAATGATAGACTAGCGGCGAATTAAGGGGGAAATGGCAATGACATTCTTGCAAGGCAGCGCAGTTTCTTCTATCAAGAAGTAGGGTTGTTGCCTTGCCATATTAAAACCAAGTCTCTTAACTCCAAACGCCATGCGATGATGCAGTCCTCCAACCCTACATAGCTAGTTCATGATCCCGCCATATCAAGGTGACAGGATTTCCTCCGTTCCTGGTGACGAGCTCATAATAAACATTTATCGAATAACCTGGATACCCTTCCCTTCTATCTAGAGCTATTGATCTCCCTTATGTAAGAATGTAACTTCCTATCGAAGGTCTCACAACGAATAGGCATCTCGAGTTGGTAGAAGGGATTCTTCATGACGTAGTCGGAGTACAGGTCGTAGATTTTACGAATGGTCAAATCCACGTTAGTCTGCATTGTGTCGGTAAACAGCAGGAACTTAGTGCCGGTCAAAGTGTTGAAGCATTGCAGCCGAAAGTTCTCGGACTCTAGCACCTCGAGGCCGGACGGTGGCTCTGGCCTGGTCGGTATCGGTACGCCACCCGCAGTGACAGCTACTTGCTGTTGAGAGTTCATTATTCCCTTGAGTGGGTTGAGCCGTGCTGTAATGGCGTGGACTCTGTTATCATTATAAGATGAGATGAGCATGCAGCCTCATGGTAAGAGCCAGTGAGATTTTAGGAACGAGACAATGGAGTGAGTCTCACCCGTGAAAGGTCCCAGCAAGAACGAGGTAGTCATTTGTATTAAGCTGGTTGAGGCCATCTCCAAAGGTCCTGTTATAGATAAGACCTCCAGCCTTGTTGATCACGATGAGAGCCAAGACGCCCCTATATGAGGGTTAGTACCTGGTGCATATATTCTGACTGCTTCATGCTTACATTGTGTGGAAATAGGTTATGATTATGGTGTGATCTTATTCGTGGATGGGCGTGGTGTATCAAGAATTTCAGGAGATAATATTTCCCTGTTCATTTCTCATCAAGATATCGGTTATTGATACCTTTAACTCAATGTAATATTTCTTAGCACACAATAGGTACCTAAGTATACCTAAGTCCAGCGCTGCAGGTGGTCTTTATGAATCCACGCTTTGAACCTTGGCCCTTACGTAGTCAAAACGCCGAAGTTTATCCAGGAAAATACTAGCTCATTACGATAATTGGTTAGTGGATTTTTACAAAAGCTTCATTGTCTGATTGTTCCCCCAAATCCCCACAATTCACAACATGCCCATGCAAAGCTTGTGCAACCTTGTCCATCACAGGCAGCCGCATGTCTAACAAGCTGACTTACCTTTCTTTCCTGTCGCATTTTCGCAGTTCCATTTTCCAACCCGCCGCATCACCGCGTCGTTGTTTTGCGACAACCAAGACACAAATCAACAATTACCAATTATCGGCATTACCAAGTACAAATCTCTCTTGATATCTCAATCAATTCTTTATCCTCGTGCGATTGCTATCGCACAGGGTCAATCGGTCAAGCTTGACGATGTCTCACCACGCACCCACGTCACGATCGAGGCCAGAGCCTCCTGGTGCCGAAGAGGCCACCACCGTTCTCAAGCTCGGGGAGTTCGAGGGTGTCGATACCCTCACGTTGTCCGAAGCTGCTCTAGTCATCAATGCCCTCGTGGCCAAACGTCGCAATGATCGCAAGAACGTGAATGAGACAGAGTACGCATTTCGCCCTTTGATTCCTCTTCGATAAACGATGGTGATGAATAAAGGAGAAAGAGCGTGCTGGTCTGTTCATGGAGAAATATGCTAACTTCGCGTTCTTCAGTATGCTTATTAAGACTATTGACTATCTGGACACGTTCGCGCGCTTCAAGAAGAAGGAAAGCGTTGAAGCTGTTGAGCGTCTCTTGAGCTCGTATCCCAAGCTGCACAAGTTCGAGCGAGCACAACTTGGTATGCATTTCCACATTTACGATATATATATGCTAGCCATTGGTATTAGTTATGGGTAGCTAACACGAGAGTCACGCGTCTTAGGATCACTCTGTTGCGAGACAGCTGAGGAAGCCAAGTACCTCATCCCTTCGCTGCAGAACAAGATCTCCGACGAGGAACTCCAAGAGATGCTCGACGAGATCTACAAGTTAATGCCCCGGTAATCCTATCGACGGGGCTTTTAGATATCCCACCTCCGCGATTCTCCACGATTCGTCAGATCAAGACCATAGCAATAGAACGGACCTACGACGGGAGTGAGAAGTGGTGATGATGGGTTTTCAATTCAGGGTGGAATAATACAGATTTCCTTTGAGGCGTTTCATTTCAACTAGACCAGAGGACTGGTAATTGCACATGGACGGCGTAGGATAGGAAAAGACTTCTGTTTCCCTTTGGTGTTCTTCTATACCCCCATAAGATCGGCAGATAAAGGCAGACGCAAAAATGGCATTTGATTATTTCCCTCACAAGTATCCGGGATCCTTGTCTTAGGAAGTCTTGCTGGTTTTCGTAAGGTGGCATTTAGGGTACTCAAAGTACGAGCCCAGTCACAGCTCTATTGCCTACATTAGGGAGGAACACTGGTTGGTGCAAAATGCGATTTCTTTTATATAAATCACTTATAAGCTAAATTTGCAACTTTCAGCCGCTAATCTTGAGCGACTGGTATATAGGATGCAGCGTAACAAAACTCATGAGCAGAGTTGACGTGGTGAAGGGTATCGCCATGATATTCCTCCAACTCCAGCGACTGACTGAATCACCAAACTATCCTCCTTCATTTCAACCAGCTCAGTCAAATTCCCCCACAAACCATCCCTCATCTTCCCTCAAACATCGCTCGGTCCTCATTTGCAGTCTTCTCCTGTTCATCCACCACCGCCGGTCCCACAGCCCTCAAGAACGAGCGTCCGACCAACCCCCCGCTCTACCTTCCCCCCCTACTCCCGTCTCTTCCTCATCCCCTCCCTAGCTAGGGCAACTCATACAGCCCCCTCAAGCCAGTATTCTTCCTAGCCTCCAATTCGTTCACCTTAACTTCCCCGGTCTCCCTAGCCGCTCCCTTAGCCAAGCCGTCCTGGACCTTGTCATCGTCCCCCTCGCGCCACATGGGGTGGTCGGCCATGAACCCCTCGGCGTCCCTGGAAGAGAACGCGAACGGGTTCGCTGCGGGCGCCCGCGCGTTGCGCCGCGCGATGCGGTGGCGCCGGATCAGCAGGAAGCCGATGAGGGCGAGCAGGGCGACGGCCATGGTGCCGCCTACGCTTATGCCGGCGATTGCCGTCGCGCTGAGGCGCGGGTGCTCTCCGCTGCTGTTGCTGGCGCTGGGTTGAGGTGCGCTCGTTGGGATTGGGACCCAGACGGTGGGCGGCGCAGGAGTTGTGTAGGGTGTAGAGGGTGAAGGAGTTGAAGTCGAAGCGGATGGTGAGGAAGACGATGATGGTGACGAGGTCTGCGGTATTGTTGCCGTGGTCGACTCTGAGGTGTTTTCTGTAGTGGCTGTCGACCGTGTGCTGGAACCGTTACTGCCGCCTTCCGTATTAGTGAAGATGGTGGTCGCCGAAGGCGTGACGGTGTTCGCCTTGGTCGACGAGTCGATATATGGGACTGGGTACGAAGTTGTCGTTCGCTGCCCCTCGGGACATTGGTCTGGACCGCACGCGTTGACGCGGCAGCAGCCCTTGAAGCCGTTGTCGCAGCTGTAAAACTGGAACCCGAACTCGCAGATCCCCATAGATGCCATGATGATGGTGGTAGGGGAAGAGCGATAATAAGGGTGTGAATAAGGGTGGTTTGATAAACCACGATGTACTTTTTGTTGTTATCGTAGGTGAATGTAAAGCTTCTGAAGGTGAACGACGAGGAGTAAAAATAATGATAAAGAAACTTGTGGTTAGACTCGCTCGGTCGTTCACCAGCAGATGGTAGGTGAAAATGGGTTGTCAAAGCGCACGGTAGAGTGGCAATGATTAAATAGAAAGTAGGAAACTAGATAGCAGAAACTCGGAAGCTTGGGCTTGACTTAGTCCAAGTACTTGGGTAGGTGACGGACGGCAAACCCGTACCAAAGAGCCTCATCTGAGGGGTCAGAAGAATATCAAGACGATAACGATGACTCCTCCTTGAGAACTAAAAGTCGATTCATGTGGGCCTATAAATATCCTTCTCTCCCTCCGAAAAATACCATAAGCTTCGCTCAACCCTCGAGGTTTCTACTCAACTGGGCTAGATGGGGGATCGACTGCATATATCTGACGACGGTAGTCGGACATCTCAGGTTACCCTGGTGGTCGTAGTAAGTGCAACTTGCTCTATATACTGAAGTAGAATAGGAAGTATGAGAACAATCGATGAACGTTTATGAAGAAGGACCGATTATTGAGGTTGATGAAGTGATACTTGAGCAAGATTGCCCACGCTCACCCCTCCTAGTGACACGGTATACATTTGCGCTTCTATAATACTTGAAGAAGCGTAATCGACCTTGGTAGAATCCGATGTGCTCCCCCTTAGGATATATATGCCGGCTTGAAAACGTCGATTGTGTAACAAGTCCTTCCCTTCATCTCCCACAACCGCAAACAACTACTAAGATTAGCTTCATGGGGAATTAACCAGGATGGTTGTTTGCTTTTAGTTTGAAACATACAGTATGCTTCTACTAGTTAGTTATATGTATCCATTCTCATTCCTCTACGCATAAGCTACTATAGACTAGCAAGCAGGTAAAAGAGAAAAAAATGTTCAAATTCTAAATCATCTCTTCATCCCATTACTTCAGACGAAAAAACGCATGCATTAGGACAAGCCAACGTAATTGTGAGGCAACCAAGTAGGTAGCAAAGGGTGTGCTGTGGAACTATAGCCACGATCAAACACGACATAGCCCGTGGAACAACTTATTTAAGAAACTATCATTGCCGCAATAAATAAGCCAAGGAGCTCAGACTGCACTTCAAATCGGAACTAAGCCACCACGGTTACTGCCGAAATGTAGACTTCAAAATTTGTGATACCAGGGCTGTAACAATGCCTCATTCATAATTCCGAAAATCCTATGTCTAAATCATGGTACGTATCTATCCCTTGATCTGCTCTAATAGCAGCTTCGAGCCCATATTACCAACAGGAGCCTCCTTTTTCGCTCCAGCCTTCTTGCCCTTTTTGGACGGTTTCTTCTCTCCATCCATCTCGGCGTCCTCTTTCGCTGCCTTTTGTTCCGGCGTTTCCTCTGTCGCCGCTTTCTCTAGTGTTTTCCTGTTTTTCTTCAGTATGCTCTTGAGTTCGTCCTTGTGGGAGAAGTCATCCGATTCTAGGAGGTTTAGTACCACAAATGAACTCGGCCCAGTTGCCCAAGCTATTATGTGATCTTTAATGATGGGATAGAGTATGTCTGCGAAGTGAAGGGGAGGATCAACTGGTATTATGCGACGTGTTGCCTTATCGAAATGGCCGCCAGCTATCAGCGTCTTGAACATACGTCCGCCGTGAGGAGCTTTTGATATGTGTTCTCGAGGGGTGAGGGCCGCCTCAGATTCTTCTATTTCGCTGGGATCTCCCTTCGCGGTGGATGCTACGGCCTGTAATGCTTCCGACTTGTCTCCGACGCAAGAAAGGAGGGCTTCAGTGACCATCTGTGATCCATGTGAAGTGGAAATCAAATCTTGCGGCGACGAAGCAATAGCAGCCAAAAGATGTGGTGACAAAGCTGCAACAAGCTCCTTTCGACGGACCTCGGGGTCCTTCTTGCTTGTAGTCTTTCGAATCTCCCAGAGCTCCTCGAGGAGCTTCAAATCATCGGCACGGCCAGCGTCAAACAGTGCCTTAGATGTACCCTCAAGTGGATACCGAATGGTGAGGCGCGCATTGGGGTCATTGATACTGATGACAATATTGGTGACCTCATCCTGCTCCGTCTTGCCTATCAATTCGGATATGATGGACTTGGAAGTTAGAACGGTATCGTCGATTAGGTCATAAGCAGCAAGAATAACCAAATGTCCATTGGGATCGCTTGACATAAGTTGGAAGGTGTCTTTGTATGTCTTCAAAATCTGTTTCCGGTCCTTCGCAGTTCCGTGGGCGAGAAGCAAGCACACCAGTCGGGCGCCAGATTTCGTGAACGCCATGTTCTTGAGTAGGTCGCCGTTCTCGTCTTCCTTGATCATTTCCATATACTCCTTAGCTTCTTCTGAGCCCTGCTTCACGTTGGTGAAGTACTGGTACATGGCGTCATGTAGCATCGTAAAGCCAGTCATCTTCTTTTGAATAAGTTGATTCGTTAAATCAAGTAGATATTTCATAATCGGACCCCGTTTACTTGGTTGTTCTGCAATGATTTGAGAAAGGTCCGCCGAAGGAGCGGCCTCGCCCTCTCCTGTCTGTCGGAAGATATGAAACTCGGGACCATACCACTCCCGTAACAGAATGGCCTTCTGTTCCTTAGTCGCGATGCCTCGGTATATGTCGTCTAGAATCCAAGAAGCTTCAGGGTGGTTGATAAGCTTTCGGACTCGACCGTAAAATTCCGGAACAATAATATCTCGGACCTCGTCGTCCCCTTTCACGAGAAGTTTGCCGATCAAAAATTTGGCATATTTGCTCTCAGCCAAGAGAGGGTAAGTACCTCTCAACTCCTTTGCAATCATCTTCCGGCGTTCAGGAGTCGCATACTTGATGGCGGTCTGAACGACACGAACAGCATCATGCTTAAGCGCGAAGTCCTTCATACGACCGGTTGTAATGCTGAAAAGCTCCTCGACAAGTTTTTGCCTCTCATCTTTTGGAACTTTCGATTTCAACCGCAATCTTTCCCAGAGCTTTTTCGTTCGGTGCAAGTCATCGGCTAGAGGCTTCTGGGATTTGCGCTCCTGGGCAAGTTGCCTCTGCTTTATATGGGATTCGCGAGAGTTTTGGCCTATATCGAGTCAGCAAACCGGCCATATTGTAAGCTTTGATCTCGTCAAAACGGACCCTTTTCGAATACTTTCCCAGCTTGGTTATCGCCATTTTTTGACTCCTTATTTTGCGGCTTTGTGTCGCTCAGGGGAGCGCCGCCGTCATCCGGATCTGAAAAGTCGCTGATTTCGCTACCATCGTTTTCATCCTCTAGCTCTTCTCGCTGTGGTTGTCGCTTGTCGAACTTCGGCTTCTTACTTGAATGATCTTTGCTTCGATCGACAAGCTTCCTTTTACTTCCATATGCTTCACTTTTAGGCGCCATTGCGAGAATCCACAACAGGGAGAATTGGCGACAAGTTGTTCAATGATGATGATGAAATATGATTTGAGGAGCGCGAGTAGCTCGAGGTTTGAGTTTGCGATCCTAGAACTAAAAAAGTTTTAGTGGAACCGCTATATTGCCGGGCGGTGAAGCGCTATCTTTACCATTATCTTCACAATCTTCACCCCGCGGCCCCACTAAATTGCTTAGCGCATGCATATACACGGCAGCTTTGGTGCAGATTACGCCGGTTAGGTAGGCAACTTCAGCATTCATTTGAAATATGAACTCTTCACAAAGTGTCATTCATAAATTAGTTTGACATTGCCTCCATTGCGCCAACATGGGGAGAGAAGAACAAATAGAAGAGCGCACAGTGGTTCTGGAATCCATTTTCCCAGACGAAATCACAGGTTAGTGACAGTATATCAGACATACGATCAACTACCCCGCCATCATATTGAAGATAATTCATCGCCGAACCTCCAGTCAGCAGCAAAAAAAAAGCAAATTGCTAGGACCGATGACTGGAGACCCGCCGAAGAATTGTATCTAACCAAAGCACAGACATATCTGACACCGAATACCGGATATCAATCAAGCTTGACCTCCCCGAGGAAGATGGAGAGGAAGCCTCTGAGCCCCCTACCCTCATCTTATATGTGCGATATCCGGAAAACTACCCAGACGAGGCGCCAATCCTCGATCTCTCACCTCCCCAAAATGCCGCCTCACACCCTCACTTCTCAGTGGCTGCCGAAAAGGAGCAGCTACTAAAAGGGCTCGAAGACACCATCCAGGAAAACTTGGGCATGCCCATGATATTTACGCTCGTGACCACTCTAAAAGAAGAGGCCGAGCAACTAATTGCGGAACGCAAGGAGGCCGCCTTAAAGGTGCACGAGGAGGCCCTACTAGCAGCAGAGCGCGAGGAAAACAAGAAGTTCCACGGCACGCCCGTGACGCCCGAAACTTTCATGAAGTGGCGCGAGGGCTTCTTGAAGGAGATGGAGGAGAAGGCGCAGCGGGAAGAGGACGAGAGACTGGCCGAGCTGAAGAAGGCCAAGGTCAAGGAACCGGTTAAGTTGACGGGTAGGCAATTATGGGAACGGGGATTGGTTGGCAAGGTTGACGAAGGCGATGACGATGAAGATATCCCTTCTGAAAAAGTTGAGGGTCTCAAGATTGCGGCATGATGAGACACAATGGGTCACTACTCGGCGGCTTTGAAAGATATTCTGAACTGCCGATTGGAGACCCAACGAGTATGGAATTCGATATATTGAAATCATGGTCGAGCATTGACTCGGAGTTCTGGCGCAACGGAGGAAAAAACTTTTACGGATATATCAGAGAATCGTCTCATTTCATTTATGAACATGAACATGATGAAAGGCACTCTGCCCCTTTTTTAGAAACCCCAACGCCATTTCATGCCAAGACAAGAACCCCTAAGTTTCGTGGTATCTTCCATTTATAGTGAACCCCTATCCATCCATTGCCGTGAAGAAACCTAATCTTTCATCTCCGCATCACTATCCTCGTCCTCCCACTCATCGTCTTCGTCGCCTTCTCCGGCAGGGGCTTCCCCAAGCTCCTTAGCTATAAGCGAAAGCAATTCCTTCGCGTGTTCACCCAGCGGCTCGTCTTCGTAATCTTGTAATGTGTATAGGTGCTGGCATTGGTTCAACCAGACGCGACTCGATATCCATGAAGCCTTCCAGTCCTCCTCGCTAGCCTTCGCTTCTTTCTGCTTCTCGCCCATGACGTAGAGACCCCAACCGCCTAGATACCACACCTCGACGCTCTGGTCGTCCTCGCCGACTAATCTTTCGAGAACTTCGATCGCTTCCTGCTCCATTCCCACCTCCATGAGCAGTCTTGCTAGACCAACTCTACTCGGGAAATCGGGCACGGATGGATCTTCGGGGGGTAAATCCTTCCACAACTCCAAACTTCTCGTGAGCGCGGCCTTCGCATCGTCGACCCTCTCCTGCGAAATCCGCACATTGGCCAGCGTCTGCCAAGTCTCCGCGAAATCAGGCGCAACCAGCGTAGCCTCAGTAACAAGGGCCTCGCAGCGCTGCTCGGCGTCGTCCTCCCAGGAGAGGTCCGTCATGTAGACCTCTGCGACGGAGCACAGCGTCATCGCCAACTTCTTCTTCAGCTCATCGAGCAGCATCGCCTCCTCCGCGTCATCGTCGCCGCTGCTGCTTTTCCTCCTCGACCCCGACCCCGGCGAACTTCTCGCCTCCTCCCTCGCCGCGATCTGCGCCTTGAGCGCCTTAGCCCCCTTCTCGAACCAGCCCACGCTATCGCGCCCGCCCTCCTCGCTCAGCTGCGCCAGGCACAAGAACTTCTCCGGCCCGCCGCCTACCTGCTCGTCCTTGCCGCCGTCCGCGTCGATCTTGACCGCGCGCAAGAAGTGGTCCCTCGCGGCCTCGAAGTCGCCCAGCTCCAGGTTGATCTGGCCCAAGAAGTTCAGCGCGAGCAATTGGTCGTCCGAGTCGGCGGGGGCTTGCTCGAGCGCCTTCTGCGCCAGCGCCGCCGCGTCCTGGATGTTGCCCTCCTGGAGCTGGAACTCGGCGGCCTTGACGAGGACCTGGGGGGAGACCGGCTTAAAATCGCCGCCCGCGGCCCGGGATATGGCGCCTTTTTGCTTTTTGGACTTTTTGTCCGGCCGTCTCGGTGCCATGGTGAGGGAATATTCTGATTATTGAATTTATTTGAGTAACGAGCGGAAAGGTGGGAGACGGATTGGTGTAGAGGTCTTGATATAATGCCGATAAGAAATATTTTAGTCTTATCGGCCCCAAGCTGTGCTTAAATGCGAACTAAAGATTTAACGTGGGGTCTGCAAATTGGCGGGGCACATATTTCTCCCCACTTAGCGAATAATGCCCATTAATTTACCAATTACAATAGTGATATGAATATGAGTGATGTATGCGCTTATATTGAGACTTTTCTAAGCACATGCGAATAGCAGTCGTAGTCTGAGGTAGAAATTATATATTTGGGTCATTACGAGCTGGTATCTGATTCTCCATAGCAGATATCCTGTACCATTCCGAACCCTTTTATCTCATTATTAATTTTCCCCAATTGGGGACCACAGATTACACAGTTTAAACCGTTCCATCTGCCTTTTGTCCCTAACCATCTATCAGCTCGTCAGGTAGAGAAGCGAGCGACGGGGTGTGAAGAAATCGAAGTCTCTGTTGGACAAGGGGCAAGCGATCGCTCAGATATCATGAAGCCCCATCCGGTACCTCCTAAACTCCGTAAAATCATCTATGCATATTGTTTCCAATCCATTCGTCTCATATAGGGTATAAGGTGTAGGGCATAGGGTATTACTGCATTTCTTGTTCTTCGATGGACTGGCGAGACTTGGGTCGTTCGATGTGACCCAATTCGGATCCCTGACCGCTTTGCGCTCGTTTGCGTCCCGGGATGAATCGCGACATACCCATACCAGTACTCTGGGAATGCGGCGCACTAGGCTCTTGCGACTCGGAGAATTTGGAGAAGAAACTTCTCTTCTTCGGTTGCTGCTTCTGGTCATCATTCAATCCGACTTCTTCGAATCCCTCTTCGGCGGTGGGCGGGTCCCAAGGACGGTTTCTGATTGACATCCGTTGCGATCGAGTAAATCGGGCGGAATCAAGACTCTGGCGGGGTTGATCGTGGACTATGACAGGCGATCTGGCTGAGATGTCCTTTAAATACGTTTAGTTTACTATGTTTACCTAGGTAGATGCGGGGAATGTATGGAAGCATGACATACGAAGGACCGGCGGTAGGAGTCGAAAGATTCGCGGGAGATGGAGAAATGCTCAATATCACCAAAACTGCTACGGGTATCCATGGATGTTCGGGACGCTGCTGAACGTCTTGGCCAGAGGCTCTTGTCGTCGGTTGGAGAGGGCTAGAATTAGACACATGAGCGTGGTGCTACAATCGTTATCATCTTATGATAATGCATACCGGGAGATAGACCCCGCTGTCGTTGACGACTGGAATGGCAAGTCAGACTGTATATTCTCCGGGCGCAAAGTCTTATAGCACAGACTAACCACTCATTTTGTAATCGCCGGTGTCTCGGCTCTTTGAGCTTCGAATACTTAGAGAGGAAGATGCCTTGGAACCAATTGTGTCGACCTTTTCGAAGCCTGCTTGCGCAGATTCGGGAACCAGCGCACCGGGTCGAACGTTCTCATCCTTGACCTCGGTACCGCCTAGCAGACCGGGTCGCCTTGCGAATGGGTTTCGAATTGGCATTGTAAAGTACTCTTTTGCGCGAAATAAAGCAATAGCAATTAAGTCAAGACGATATGGCTAGGGGTGGATTGAGTGAATTCAAAGTGTTGCAAGGTTGAAGTAAGGAGAGACGATGTGGAACAATGGGAGGTTAGAACATTGAATGATCGCAATTGAGGACCGAGTACCAACGGAATGAATAATCATACAGCACAGTAAGGCAAGTACATACAAATCTTTTAGAATCGGATCGGGTCTTTCCTAAACTTGGAACTTGGACCTACCCTTACACAGAGCTAGGATTCTGGTAATATGACGGAAAGGGCGAAGGGCTGGCCCCCGGATGAGCGGTGACTTTAATGTTCGTGCAACACTTTTCACTTTCTCACCTTCTTCTTCATTTCTCACTTAAACTCGAGCCTTGACCGTCAGTGTTCATTCCGACCTTCCAATATACCAAGTAAAGTACCAAGATTGAAAATCTGGTTAAAGGCTTGGTTTGACGATTGCATGGGCAATCAACAATCATTCGTTTACGTGTACAAAGGCCCTTTGGGCTGATTGTGGGGCATCCCTGCTCTTACAACATGCAACAATTACAGTTTCTCTCATCTAGTACCTATGAGAATTACCTTTCCAGTATCGGGACCTGCATCGTCTGTTCGCCTCAAATGTTGTCGAGGTCCCTTCTTGCAGCAATTAGGAATTGATCAACCTCCCGATCTAGTAATTAACCCCCCTTTCACCTTACACACCAGCACACTCACATTCGCAAATCCGCCAACATCTATTCGTCTCTCTTATCTTTCCGTCTTTTTGGTGTTACAAAAGAGATCCGAGGCGGCCGAGGATGCAGTTATTACTTACTTAGGTATCTTGCGGTTCGAATCGATGCACATCATTGTTAAGTATAGTAAAGCAATGAGATTCCTTCGGAGATGATCTACACATGGCGCAGATGGCGGTGCTAACTGTACAACATAAAAGACTACTAACCGACAGCCTCGGTCTCGCCCAACGCTTATATTTGCCACTGGCAAGGAAACACGCCGTGTTCGGGCATCCATATGCATCCTGAAGTAGTAAGCCTAAGTACCTAGCCAGTCTGCCAGTTGGACGACTTAACGAGAAGCTGAACGACACCGTCCTTGCCTTATGGGAATAATGAAAATATAGATAGGACCTCGGGAGCGGAAGAGTCCTGTTGGTCGGCTTTCTTATCTCCGAGTCACATGTTATGTCGTTATAAGTCTCTCGCATGCAAGGAACTGCAACCATTGACAATTTCTAAATTCGAAAGTCTACATGACGTCGTTTCTTTATCTTCACCCATCATCTCGCAGCCTGAGACCGAAGTATGGGTCTAAATCGTCAGTCAATGTTCAACGTTTGATTTCACTAGTGGCTTTACGCTAAGACCTGGATGTTGCGAAAATTCGAAGACGTTAACTTCAAGGTATAACTTGACTCATAGCGCTTATTACGATGAATAGGTGTATGATGATGTACTCGAAACGAAAGGCTTTTATTTAAACATGCAATTTCCGCCAGGTCAATATGATGCAAGTTGCGCTGTTAGTTGAAGACAACAGTCTTATGGCCGTTTAAAAATACCCGCTTCTCGCTCCACCATTTCACAGCCGCGGCCAAAACCTGGCTCTCGACGTTGCTTCCTTCTTCGACCAATTCTTTCGGACTCATGTTGTGGTCTACACGCGCCACCCTTTGCTCGATAATTGGGCCCTCGTCTAGGTCTGCCGTCACGAAATGCGCCGTGGCGCCAATGATCTTAACTCCACGTTCGTATGCCTGGTGGTAAGGCTTTGCTCCCTTGAAAGACGGCAGGAAGCTGTGGTGGATGTTGATGATCTTCCCGCTCATCGCCTCGCACAGCCCCGGGCTTAAGACCTGCATATAACGAGCCAACACCACGAGGTCGATGTTGTTCTGCCGGATCAAGTCTAAGATCTGATGTTCCTGCTCTAGTTTCGTGTCCTTGGTCACCGGAAGGTGGTGGAACTCAATACCGTAGCTCTCGGCCAGGGGCTTGAATTCCGGGTGGTTGGACACGATCAGGGGAATCTCAATGCCAAGCTGATTTGTCTTAGTTCTGAAAAGTAAGTCGTTCAAGCAGTGGCCGATCTTGGACACCATGATCAAGACTCTAGGTTTCTTGCTGGCCGGTCTTAAGTCATGTTGGTCTATTTCCAATTCTGATACGAGTTTGGCTATGGGATCGTTCAAGTTTTCCGTCGACGCAGCATGGCCAAAGTGAACTCTCATGAAGAATTTCTTAGACGTCCTGTCTGAGAATTGCTGTAAGTCTAGGATGTTGAGGCCATTGGATGCCAATAACCCAGTGACGGCATGGACAATGCCAGGTTTATCCGGGCAGGAAAGCGTGAGGATATGGTCGTCGCTTGTAGACATTTTTTGTTACTTATTAAATTTTATGAGGCCAGATAATATCAAAATTTTAGTATTTTGCAATGACATGACTAATTTTCTCCCTTTCACACTCCTGGATAATAACTCTTAGCTTCGGCTTGAGATCGGCGTTGGGGTTGATGCATAGCATTTTTGCATCTAAGTGGTATTAATATGCGATAATGAGAGGTGATATTGAATTAAGTGTTATATTGTATGAGTCAGAATCAGAGTGAGAGTCGAGCAGATCGCAAGAAGTTACCCAGGTGTATTAACTCTTTTTTTGGATATACATATTGATAATAACTCCATGTGAGCTTAAGACTCTTCTTAATGTGCTCTAACGCTGTATTCAGAGCACTTGAGCAGATTGGCAAGTTCTATGTACCCTACGAATCCAATACTAACCCTAGCTGCCCTAGATGAAAGATAGATAATTCCTAAGATAGTAAGAGTCTTGTAGCTCGCGGCTCGGAAATCAAATATAAATGTTCAATGAGCCTCATAGCCAAAGAATAAATATCACGTTGACTTAGACAATAATATTCCTAGCGTAGTCGGCTTGCTTATATGTCTCATGTATGAGCGGGCCGCAAGGACGGGACTTGATCCATGAAACCTTCGGCAACTATGAAAAAATCAATTTTCTAGAACGTGTCAATTACATGCAAACTTCTCCCGTTCAAATGTTCAATGTTTCTTTTTATATATGCACTAGGTAGCTGTGTATATTGAGTTAGGCCGCCACGGAAAAGCGAGCCGAAGTTTAAGTTGTCAACTAAGTGAACTTACCATTTTACCGGATGCGAACACTTAGTGACATGGTACATGTATCCATCCAATATACATGCACATGTGTATATTGATTTTTGAGCAATCGCACCGACTTTTCCTTATTCACCAATGACCTTCCACATTTTGATTTTGTACCACGATATTTTTACCACTGCAACTGCAACTCCCATCAGAAATTTGGGGGGTTCAACGCCCCCAAAAACGCCCCTCGGTGTTGAGGCGAGGAGTACCCCGGCTCAAACGCACATCTTATCCGATGAAGGAAAAAATTGATTCCCATGATCCATCACCAAATGCTGGGCCCACTCGATCGGGCAGTTAACTGTGGTGTGTGGTACTAGATTCAGAGTCTATTTGAACCAGCTGGATCTAGTTCTGTTTGTTTGGACCTGCCAACACAGCATGGCAACTCGCCAAGTTGCCGCTAATGTCCACAGACTCGTATTCTCGTCATCGGTACAGATACGCCTGCAAGGGAGCAATAGAGCGACGAAGGCTAGCTGAGGCCGTATCATCTATGGGAGGAAAAGGCGATATCCTAAACACACGATGGTTTCATTGTCGAAATTGAAATCGAAGACTCGTTAGCAGGTTCGTCTAGGGGTACGTATGCTTTATTTATCTTTTTAATCCATTTCGACTTTGCCCAGAGCCGCGGACCGTACTAGACTTCGCTTCCGGGTAAAGTCTATACTTTACCTATCAGCTGTCTACGTCTACTGGCCCGGGAGCACATGGTGGAAGGTTGCTTCACCGGCAACCTGCATACTCTTCGTAACACGCTGGCACCGTGACGTGATTCTTACCAGCACCGTGCTTCCGTATGGGCACAGGCCTTTTTCTAGTGACTTCAACCGGTTGGTGCACCAAAGTCGCATGGAAAATCGTAAAAATGGATCTGTGCTTAGATCAAAGATGCAGCTTAACCCGGATCGCCAGTTAACCGTCCCACATGGGATTTTGGGTTCATAGTGACGGATGTCTATTTCGAAAAGTATTGGTTCCAGATCGTTCAAAACATATCCCCACGGCCTTGTCCAGCACCAGCCCATGCGTAAGGGGCGTCCTGCACTGATGCTCCATTATTGATTTCTATTTAGGAGCTATCCACCAATACTTCGTGACAAGCACAGATACGGTACATGCAAGTGGCAGGTACTTCGGTCTGTATATTGCTAGCATCGCGATGCTGGTATCCGTAGCGCCGTGTCTTAGATGCGGAGTAAGCAAAGTTTATATACTTACCTACGTAGAAGAACATATCCGTTTGACCGTCGATAGATGAGAAAAGTTTCTCCTGAACCCCTCCTATCGTGGCCGTTAGAGATTCGTATGCTCATTTTTTCACACTCGTTTCTGTCGTTGCGTGTACTCCAACTCCGGATCCCGCCATTGTTCTGCCCTTGTCGAGAACGCGCGTTATTCTGACCCGGCTATATTCAACAACCTCTGGCTGGAACATCAACTGGGCTAGGTCTCCCGATTAATATACTACCACTCGGTCCTTTAGCTAGCCTCACGTTCGTTATTCGGGAAGTGAATCTGTAACCCCACTTCTAGCCGGCTTCGAGAACAAAGAGGAGGGAAAAGAGAGCCAACGGGTTATACAAGCCGACCTGTTAGATATATCGGCCAAACCTTCGTCGTAAGGTTACTCTGCCGTTGACACATTTCCTCCTGGTCTAGCTCAGGGAACGTTGCGAAAGGTGATCGACACCAAGTGGGCAAATCACTGCCATTCAGCTCTCCAGCCTTGCGTTTCTCAGCTGCGGTCATTGTCTGAGGAAGCTCCTATTCGTCCTATGAAATAGTAATACCGATGGTACACAGCATCGAATAGCTTCCTCGTATTGCGCAGCCGGCGCAGCTAAGGGAGAGGTTTGACCACAACGGTTAACTCCGGTCGAATAATTATTGGACGAGCTTCGGATTGATTATATCATCCAGTCAGTCGTGGAAGTTGCGACACCGTATCGAAACAAGAGGCTAGAGGGTACTTCCCTACTTGGAATCAAACTAAAACGTCATACTGGGCAGTTTGTTAGCGGGATACCCCAAACCTCGATCGCAACCACCTTCTTGCCTTCTCGCTGTTTATCTTTAAAAGGTACCAAGAGGTACGAGAGAAGCGAGAGGTACCTCCCCTCTTCGATCGAAACTTTCGACTATTCGTCTGGCCGAACACTCTTTTTTAACGGCCTGATTCATTCGTTGTTCCATCATCATCCTACACATCATAAGCCATAACCCAATACCTCATCCCTCGTTTCGTCTTCATCCACCTATTTGAACATTCGTTTCTCTCGCTGCCGTCCTGGCGTAGTTGGATCACTCTCTCTAAACAATCATTTTTTATGCTTTGGATAATTTGACTTGGACATTGTCAATCCTAAGCATTTCAAAATGATTAATTTTTTCACCAACTGGGAATTATGGCAGCAGATGACCTTTGTGAGTTCCTTCCCCAGCCCCTTTGAGGTATCATGTTCCTGTTCCGCTCATACCCATATAGGTCCTCGCTGCGGCCATCGTCGCGGTATTCTTTGCGGGGTTAGTTAAGCTGTGGTGGTTGAGCAGATACCTCAAGAAGCACACAGTTCTTGACCTGGAAAAGAGGGCTAGGCAAATGGAAATGGCAAAGAGCGGTCTCCCCGCGGGCAAGCGAGTCGATATCCCTTTCGGCATACGCGCAATCCAAAGTGGTGTAGAAGTCGACGGTATATGGATCTCACGTCCCAGTACTCCCATCGAGGTCGGCCGACTCAGCCCGTCATTCGCCTCTTCATCCACTCTTGAGACGGAAACCAAGTTGAAAGGAAAGGAGAAGGATTTGACTGCGACAACCACCGAAGTCGAACCCACACCCGAACAAAGCCCACAGCCAAGCCCCGCTCTCAGCGCGTTGCAGCGGCATACTCTCCCTGGAGCCGACCCTAGCCATCCTCGAGTCTTCCCCTTGAGCGCACAGTCTACATATCGACCAAAGGGCCCGTCTCACCGTAGGACGGATATCACAGCCGACGATATCCCCGATGTCGACTTACTGGACCGACCCGAGCGCAACTTGATTAGGCATCAACAGCTTGAAACTTATGTCCCCACAAACTCGTTTTCCAGCGCAGAATCTTCGGCATCTTCGCAGCAAAGGACGATGGTAGAACGCAGCTCGACCTCATCTGACGAGGGTGCCCGCCATTCAAGCTCGCGCTATGTATCTCATCTTCGACGCTCCGCCATAACTACACCTCAAACCTTCAACCTACCCGATAGCTCAGAGCAGCCGGCATCTCACGTGGATTTCTTTGGTGAATATACCGAGCAGAGGAGAAACCCGTTCGAAGCACCTCCTGAGAAGAAGGAAGTTCCTCGTCCTCCGCTAGCCGCAAGTAGACCGACACCCCGTCGATCGTATTCTGGCGACTCCCATGCGAACACAACTAGTAGGAAAGTTAATGCGGGATTCGAAGTATTACCTGCTGGTACTTTCAGTCGATCCAACAGTCAAACCGAGATGGAAGATAGCCAGCCGAGGAGGCACAGCAACAATAAAATTCAGAAGAAGAATCGCGACCGCTCATCGCGAGACAGGACTGAGCTGACGAGGTGACAACCCACTGTACATACGAGGCGTAGATAGAGAGGAAACGATGATGTTTAAACTTTGCGCAAGCGGTTCTAGAACGTCATTGCTCGAGCCTCTAGTTACATACCACGCGAAAGAATGTAGATAGCATTTTGCTCGGGCAATTCTAGAAGGTAGTTGCGTCAAGGCAGGACGGAGTGGGCTGGTATCCATATTGGCGTTTATAGACGGAATGGAAGGGGAAGCGGAAAATCTCATGGAGAATAATTTACTGAAAATGTTCTGAATACTGGGCGTTGAACGAGCGGGAGGGAGAGCACTCGCTTGCTGCGCTGGAGCGTTATGGTGCGTATACATAATTAATTCGAAGCGTTTGATCGTGGAATGCATGTGTAATGTCTTGTTCTCTGAAGTTGGTGACTGGCCTAGATAAAATGGGGGTTGCCGAGATGACGCGGCGAAGTCGCTGAGTTCCAAGGTTATGCAGAACCTAATTCCCCACTTCACATGCTGTTGATCATCACCATCGACTGACACCTACATGAGTTTCAGAAACTTGCATGAAGTAGAAATCACGAAAACTACGATTTCAAGGAAAGAGATAGCATCCTCTTTGGGTTTGACAATGAAGGCATAATTAGCCCAGGAGGCTTGTTCTAGGCCAGTTCCTTAGTGAGATTGGCGTTAGATCATCGAAACGCTAGCGAGGGGCTGATGCCTGACTTCTAGCCCCTGTACGATCTACGGCCTATCATGTCACAATCCCCGGTGGAAGGAGGATCAACTAACACGTTGAGGCTGAAGATGATCCGGCAATGTATTAAAGCAGCTATGTATTGCAGCAGCAAAATAGTAAAGCAAAGCCGCCTTGCACCTGTTAACCTTAAGATGTGATGCTTCCAAGATAAAGCACGAATAGACGTTTGTAAAAAGCCTCAATCATGCTGCCAACCCCCCTTCTGAACGCCGAAGCCATGCGTGCCGTTCAAGCAAAACAAGCCTAGTCATATCCCGTAGCTAGTCGTTACGTGTCCCTTTTTAGAAAGTCTAACGAAGAGTCGCCTTTACCAATCCTTATGCAGATGTAGCAGGACGGGCTATTAATCCTTCTCCATATCCTTCGGAGCCGGATCGCCAATTCCGCTCTCGGTGATGGCAAACAGGCAATCACTCTCCGGTAAGCAGGGGCTGTCGTAGATCTTCGCGATACGGGTCTCGCCACGGCCCTTCTTCAAACTGACTCGCGTCGTGCTGGCGTGCGCGATGATGTTGCCGCCGATCGGCTTCTTCGGGTCCGGGTTGAACATGGCGCTGGGGCCGCCGTCGACCTGGGCTACCACCTGGTTCGTGATGACGACGGCGATTCCGAACTCGTCGGCGAGCCGCTGCAGCGTGCGCATGAACTTGGCCAGATGGGTCTGTCGTGAGGACAGCTCCCCTCGGCCGAGGAAATCCGTCCGGTAGAGCGACGTGGCACTGTCGACGATGAGCAGCGAGAACCGCGTCTCGCACATCATCGAGGCGGCCTGGTTCAGTAACTGCAGCTGATGGTCGGAGTTATACGCGCGTGCGTAGGCGACGTTGTCTAGGACCTCCTCGCCGGAGAGGCCGTACCGGTTGGCCACGGCGAGGAGGCGGACGGGCCGGAAGGTGCCCTCCGTGTCGATGTATAGACACTTGCCCTCGCCGCCGCCCATGTCGAAGGGTAGCTGGCACGTGACCGCGAGGGTGTGGCAGATCTGACTCTTTCCGGTACGGAACTCGCCAAAGAGCTCAGTCACTGACCCTGTCTCGACACCACCGGCGAGTAGCGTGTCCAAGTTCTTCGACCCAGTGGTGATAGAGATTAGTTCACTTCGCCGTTGGTGCATCTCTGTTGCGGTTGTGAAGCCCATGGGCACGAGCTTGGAGGCTTCTGCAAGGACCTTGGTGGCCTTCTGTTCAGATATACCCTTGACTAGCTCCAGGGTTCGCTTTGGAGTATAGGCGACTGATTCAACTGTCTGATAGCCGCCATCTGCCAGAAGCTGACAGTCGCGCTTTGTCAAGCCCGCAAGACCCTGGTGCAACAATTAGCCAATGTTTTTAAATCCTAATCTTCATCGATTTGGTTGGCTTACATCTAAAGCGAAGATAGGCGTCGGCGCGCCAGGCCCAGTCATTCCGCCATCTTCTCCGGCTCCTTCCTCATACTCTTCTGCCATCTTTGCGAATAACTAGAGTCCAAATCTCGCCTTACTGAGTAGTATACAGACCTTATTAATGAGCGATGGCAAGAGGCAAAAGTCTACGAGCTGTGTAAGTCTAACTTGTGACTTTGGGAATTTAGAACGCGTCGACGCGGGGTGTAACAAGGGAAACAATTGTAAATCGCGGAAACACGTGAACAATTTATCAATTTAACTGGATTTGCGGATCCACTGGCAACTGCAGGCAGCCGCAGCAACCAAGAACCTGCTCTTGGCAAGTTGGCAGTCACGAATAAACTTATCGATAAGATCAGCTAAGACCATCTGGACCATGTACCCATTAACGCTTCTCAATTCTTAGAAGTTGTTTATGGAGCTTTGAATTCCTTCCCATTGCGCGCTCCTCTTCCACAAGCAACCTTCTCAGCAACATCGATTGTTCCTTTTCAAGGGTGCGCATCCAATATGGCTACCACGTCATATTTGTACAAGGAGACGCGCCTTAACTTGGAGCCGTCTTCGAGTTCGTACATTGTTGACATTGAGCTCCCTACCACGAGTTCCCAAACACGAAGCTCGCGAAGGTCCACCAAACCAGCTAAAGGGATCTCCAAGAACAACACCCCTCGAGCTACCACCTCTGCCATATACTACCGAAAACACCACAACTTCCCTAAGGGTTTCCTTTGGCGAATTCTCGAAGATGATACTATCTTGAGTATACGAACTGTCGATATCTGCAAGCCCAAGAAAGCCTCCGACGCAAACCTCATCCTCAACTTCCACTTTCAACAACCCATCATACCTACTTGCGTTGCCTTTTGCGATCCACCCGATCACGATGCGCTCAGTATCTTCATCCTCGACACTGCCAACCAATTATACAACATCTTCTTAAGACCAGACTCCTTCCGCAAGCGTTCGTTTGCTGAATCGGGACTTGGAGATTCTTGCAAGATATTCCAGCCTAGTGCCTTCCGAGGAGGATTCAAGCACCCGTACAGACTTATTGCGGTGAGCTGCGACCAGCTAGTCGCAACGCTCTCTGACGGTGGCCATATTCGCCTTGATAAGAATACATCACATAACGGTATGATTTGTCCTTGTTCTCAATACTGATAAGTCTAACGTTAGACATTTTAGCTTCGCAGGTACCATGGAAGGAGACGTTTTATAATGCAAAAGGCTGGTTTCGAAGTTTACTAGGTGGCCGAGGAGATCTAGATATCAAGGCGGCAGCAGCGGCGGTTCATACGGATCTAGGACTGAACAACGCTTCGTTCCTTTTCACAGTTTGTCTCGATCATCGGTTACGAATCTGGAATCTCAATAATGGTACTATTCTCGAGGCTTTGGACTTACTAAACAATGCCACGAGAGATCCGCAGGAAACGGGGAAGTGGCAGTTAGATGCAACGCAGACGAACCTGATCCGTATTGTGGGCGACACCGAAGGGAGGAGGTTGGGTGTGACTTATTCGCCAGTTGGCCCTGGCGAATTCAAGTTTTGGATGCTGGAATCTGATAACGGCAACACTGTCCAGGCGGATGATCTCTTCCCCAGGAGAAACTTCATACCCATTCCGCCACTCGGATCAGATGTTTGGACTCTCGCTGATTTTAGCGTGGCGCAACGTTCCGCGACCGATGAGTTTCGAATGTGGCTCTTATGGAAGAACAACATGGCATATCGGGTCCAGGAGTTAACGTTCCTATTAGAAGAACTCACGCAAGCTTGGGAGAGCCGTTGGCGATCTGTATTTTCCGACACGGCCATACCAACCGCACAAATATCTAGTCCATCTGACCCCACCGACCCTACAGAAAAATGGCTTCAGCTTATTTTCTTCCCGGGAAGGTTCCCCAAAGTGACTGTCGAGGCTGCGCTGAGTGCCTACGAAGGTGCGATTGGAAGGCAGGGCCGCTCTTCATCGCGTAATGGCCAAGGCCTCGCCGAATCGATCTGCTCCGCCATCGCTTCGACCTCGTCTTTGAATAAGACGTCATCTGGTGATATGGATCATGAGCAGTTTAGAAACTCTAGCGAGATGCAATGGCGAAAATTCTACCGAATTCTATTGGAGCTCGACAAACCGCGTGGTGAAGCGTTGTCGCTATCATACGAATCGGAGTCGGGAATGCCGTGGGTTGTGTGCGCTGACAGCGTCTCTGCAATTAGAGAATGCTGTGAGTTGGAACAGATTTGTCATAACCCAAACTCGATATTTGAAGGGTCGAATGAGGTTCCAGCCCTCCTTACCTCCGGGGTTAACTTCGTCGAGGGGTTTTCAGACAGCATGCTACAAATATGCCATTCCGTACTTCGACCGGAGATGTTTGAAGAGTCATCTAAGTCAGACCAAGAACGTCTTCAGTTCGTTTCGGACAAGGCAGGATTCTGGCGACAAATATCTGACGAAGATGCGGCCCAAGTGACTGATACTCTGGGTCCGAATTTCAACTTAGTAACGACACGCTTATACGACCGGGTGCTTGCGACATTCAACGAGACCTGGGAGCCTCCACACCCAACAGAACTTCCTCTTACAGAGTTCGGGCGCAAAATCGTCGTTAGATCGGTTCAGGACGTGGCTGAATTACAATGGCGTGTTTGCTTCAGTCAAATAATCCTCCTTGTTCATATGGAATTCGAGTTTGATAGCCCGGAAGATGCTCTTCACAATAACGTCGAAGTTGGCGTTATATATCGCAACTTGCTTATAATACTTAGGAGACTTGAACTCCTACGATGGCTTGCCAATACCCAGATTACCACGCCGCTACCGAAGGCGGATAAGCCAAATTCTGTGCCTGGAGGTTCCCCGGTGAACTCGAAGCGACAGGTTGAGGAACACCGAGTCCTAACTGCTCTCGAGGGCAACGTGGGACACCTTCTCGAATTACCTGTACTCGCCTCAATCCATACAGGTGCAATGCCTTCGTGGATTACGAACATTGTTGCCGACCTTTGTGCGCCCGCTAGTAATGTGGAGCTACAACCTCAGTACATCCAATGTGGTCTGCTCGTTAGAGATAGAGCAGATCTCGCCGTTGAGTTAACTCCCTTCTGCGAACAAGATCCATTCTCTACTTACGTGCAAGGGCGCGTATATCTTGCTCTCAAAGATTATACGACTGCCGCTACCTATTTTAAGAGGGCAGCGTATGGAATGAGTAAGTGACTGAGAGACGGTGAGGCTAATAGAGCTTAGCTAATAGTTGATTTAGGTGTGCCCCAAGCGAACCCTGAAAGGCATAGTAGCGGTCTTCTTGATGAGACAGAGTGGAATCTGCTCTTTGCCGGGCTACCACGCTATTACGCACACATAGTCGCCCTATTTGAACATCAGAAGGCGTACTTCTCTGTTATCGACTTTGCTCGCCTAGCACTCCAATTTGTCAACCATACAACCGAGGATGCGGATAAGGTCCGAACAGAAATCCAGTGCCGCCTCTTTAGTGGTGCGCTGGCTACCTCACAATTTGAGACGGCACATTCGACTGTGGTGGCGATGAAGGACCGCGCCCTGCAGCACTCCTGTCTACGAGCACTCATCCAGAGGATGTGCGATAACCTGCACAATTCCGAACTAGTCAACCTTACTTTCCCAGGCTTACAGACCGCCGTCGACGATATTCTTGCGCAGCATTGCCAAGATACAGTGGACGTCATTACGGGCGTCCCTTATCACCAGATCCTCTATGCTTGGCGCATCAAGCGAAACGATTACCGTGGGGCAGCATCAATTTTGCTTGACCGTATCCAGAAGCTTAGACAACTCGGGGAAGGTGATCAGGTGACAGGGGATGATATTCTGGACACGGCCGTGACGAGGCAATATTTGATGCTTATCAACGTCTTGAGTTGTGTGGACCCGAAGCAGGCATGGATTACGATCGAAGGCCAACCACACTCAAGCAAGTCGGGCACAAATGGCACTGCGAAGCGTAAGGTGGTAACCCTGGCTGATATCCGAAAGGAGTATCAGGACGAACTTGACCGCATCGCGGCGATCCACAACGACCAATTTGGGTTTGCGGCAGACGACGAGATGGAGATCCTATGATTTGAGGGTAGAGCGATCAATAATGTGGAACGATCGCAAATGTACAATATGACTTGTTTTACTGGATGATACCTCCTGAGCTGTAAGATAGACCTCAGGCCCGCGTGGTAGGAAAAAAAAACTGCGAATTGCAACAGGGATTCTTTTTTTGCTTGACTAAATTACAACCCTCACGAGTAACGCCTTGGCTCTTTCTGACTTGATCACATGCTAATCAAAGACCACTAAACGCCGTGCCGTCAATGCTCGACCTTGAGGTGAATAAGAATGTACAGAGAATAGGTCAACACATAATAGTAGTAGAACAAAAAAACCAACAGAATCTTATCTTCGCCTTTACCAACTTCTTTATGCTTGGACAGGTAGAGGCGGGCGCGTAGATTCGGGGACCGATACTACCGCTTGCGGGTCTGTGTTCGCAGCGGCGTCGGGGGCCTGCCGATACAAGATGATCTCGGATTGCTTGAAGTAGCGCCGGGCGTCCTCGTCTATCAGGACCAGACTCAGGTAGTACCGTGTTGAGAATTTCTTGTTCACGTCGCGGAACGTAGGGGTCAGGTCGAAGCCTCCGAGGAAGAGGCGGATGGGGATTGTCTCGCCTCGGGATGGGGAGCCGTCCATTATCTAGCGTAGTACGTTAGCCAAGCGTAATGGTTTCGGGTTTGGTAGGGGTGGAATAGGGCTGGTAAGGTTGGGGAACCTAAGATAAAACTCACCTCGAAGCGCACGAGGGTCTCGCTCTCGTTGTACTGGTTCGGGGCGGCGCCGGTGGTCTCCCTCCGGATGATGCTAAGCTCCATGTGCTTGATCTTGAGGCGGACGAGGAGGAAGTAGATGCGGCCGACGATGACGTCCTTGAGGTGGTACTTGCTCTTGCTGTACTCGAACTCGATGTGGAGGCAGTCCTCGATGCCGACGTCCATCTTGATGGAGGAGTTCATCTCGGGCGGGATGCGGTAGGAGTAGACCCAGAGGTCCTTCTCGCGGATGACGTCGGCCATGCGGCGGGCGACGGTGACGCGCACGAAGTACCGCAGCTTCACGTTGATGCCGTTGTACGACTCGTACTGCTTCTCGACGTTCTTGAAGTTGAAGTCGAAGGTCTGCGGGTGCTGCAGCTCGCCCGGCGCCGCGAGCTCCTGGTTTAGCGAGAGGAATTCGTAGTGGTTGCCTCGGTCGAAGAACATTTCTATTGGGGTTTGCGTCAGCTCTTGTCGGAAGCTCTTATATCCATTGACCAAGTATAATAGAGAAGGGGGATCGTATACCTATCGTGCCAATGAATTGGACCTTGATCCCCGTATGCTCTAATCGCTTCCCATCCTTCGGGCGCACCGTGACTTGCCCCTTAACAGACTCGCCGTCCATATACAGCGGCGCCTTCTCGCGGCGCTGCTTTTCTCTTATGTCGACTACCTGGCGCTCATCGCTGTCTTCAAGGACGATATCGATATCCACCGGCGTAGCGAAGAAGTACGACATCTTGGGCGATTATCAAGTTAAGGGGGGCGAATTGGTTGTTGATATCGCTGTTATGTCACTCGTTGTTGAAGCCTTCACGAGTTACCAGTAACTGTCCGTTATCCTCCTGCCTTGTCGGGCCCCACATCCAATTACGGGTCAATGGGCCCAAGTTGGGCCTAGTGTGGCTTAAGCTTCAGCCTCACATTACAACAGACGTTGCACGGTGAAGAATACCAGCCACTTTAACATTAGCCACAATTTGCATTTATACACTAGCCACATCTCGCCCTGCCACTTATGTAAACCTAGAAGCCCTAATTGAATAAACCATTAGGTACACAGGTACCGAAATTCCGCAGTTTTACCCCAATTTTAGCTTAGCGACCGGCCACAACGAATTTCCTCAATTGATTTTCTAGAGTTTGGCACTTGGTGATTTTTTTTCCCCGTTCAAGACAGCATCAACTTCAGGTACGTGAATTCCCCCGCGCCTAATGCAATTCTCAATCATTTGCGTCCCTTCTTGTTTATTCCGTTAATTTCGCATCTGCTGGAGCTCAGACTTTTCACAACTTGCTCACGCATTCTTCCAATCTACAGGTCCATTTCTCCCCCCGCCATATCCTCACCTGAACCGTCAAGATGCGATACATTCACAGCCAAGAGACCTTGGAGATTCCCGAGGGAGGTACGTCTACGAAACCGATTTATTTATTGGAAGCGCTGCTATCGAACGTGGAGATTTTGGAGATTCAAATATTCGAATCTCGTTGGAGGAGACATGAAAATTGGCAGCATCAAAACGAATACTGACATGCGATCCGCGAAATAGTCAAGGTCCACATCAAGTCTCGCAACGTCACTGTCGAGGGTCCCCGAGGTACGATATTCCCTACTGCCAACGATCACCAACTCCCAAACTGAAGGCGGAAAGGATTCTAATGAGGGAAACAGGCAAGCTATCCAAGGACCTGAGCCACATCGCTGTCAACTTTTCGCGGCCGAAGAAGAATGTTATTGGCATTGAGATTCACCACGGATCGCGAAAGGATGTCGCTACCCTCCGAACTGTCCGAACCCTCATCAACAACCTGGTCGTCGGTGTCACCAAGGGCTTTAAGTACAAGATGCGTTACGTCTACGCCCATTTCCCCATCAACGTCAACGTAGAGAAGAACGGCGAGACTGGCAACTTTGAGGTCGAGATCCGGTATGTTCGAGTGTTCTGGGAAATATTCACGGATGGATATTTCGAAAATGTTCTGGAAGGGCGAGGATCGCTAATAATTGTGGAATAGAAACTTCATCGGTGAGAAGCTCGTCCGAAGAGTCGTCATGCAGCCCGGCGTCGATGTTCAGATCTCCACAACCCAGAAGGATGAGCTACTCCTCCTAGGCAACTCCCTCGAGGACGTCTCCCAAAGTGCCGCCGACATCCAACAGATCTGCCGGGTCCGAAACAAGGATATTCGAAAGGTACGCTATACCAATTCTAATCTAATATTCATATTCTCCTTCTACGTTTAATATGCTAACAAACCCCTAGTTCTTGGACGGCATGTACGTTTCCGAGAAGGGCAACATCGCGGACGACAACTAAATGGGGGGATGGACACAATGATTTGTTTGCTTTCTGGGTCTCAATACGGAGTCGCAGGGGTTCATGTGCATCACGTAGCAAAATAGCTACGAAAAACGGAACCGAATACTAAGAATTCTGAGCAAATGCTCTTCTTCTATGATCCTCCTCTGAATTGTGAGTTGGAAGCTGTGATACCCTTTGGAATATCCATGGCAAGTTATTATGGACCACGTGAAAAATATCCGAAGTGGATAGTAAGTACATCTAGTCTACCTACAAGTTATGAGCATTACGAGCTTATGGGTTGCTCTCACCCAAAGCTGGGAAGTCCCTATTATACTATACGTAGTCAACATCTGTTACATGAGTATTTCGACGAGACCTAGTGGCATCAATAGTATCTAATAACATTCCATTGGTAGCTTGCTCTCCTTCGTCCACGAGCTCTTAGATTTATAGTTTATGAAGTTCCCGTGAATGTCCTTATATTAGTCGCAATTAGTCGCGTTCGATATGATATGCGGTGTTAACGAACTTCGAAATACCTAGGGCGTGGGCATGAAGTCTTATATGTCCTCGGAACGAAATCCTAATACGAACTTACTTGATTCATTAACAACTACTAAAGATTGTGATGCTTGCTTTCATGTCACGGATGCTACGAAATTCAAATCACGTCAAGGTTCGTAGAAATCATCCGATCTCAGTTTGCCACGGGGAAAATCCCACGGAGCACTGAACGTCCATTCGTAACTATCTACGCGTCCACTTCATTTCCATGCATTGCCAGGCCCTTCGCTCCTAGCCTTTGGGAATCATACCGATCTCAACTCACTTCGCCTTCCAGACCTCTCCTTTCCTCGTTATCTTCATATGTACATCATTTCGGAGGCTTCATCTCAATCCCCTATTCGTATTTCATCTTTCAAACTATTCGTTCGTATGAAATTTGTTCGAGTTTTTCGTTGCGTCTTCACCCGAGTATCGTCGCACATCCTCGTGAAAAAAATTAAGTCTAAAAGGAGAAACGAGTAATTGAAAAAATAATAATCCCATGCCGAAACGCCGTTTTCGTGCCGAAGATATGGTATGTATGCCGGGGGGTGTCGGAGTTTAAAAGGAAAAATGATCTCGCGACGAAAAAGGAATTATGAACTCAATTTAGGACCGAAGATTCATAAAGTATAGGAGGACGCGAGCGCGGTGGAGCTTCGTGCCTCTAGCTTCGTCTCGACCGCGAAGCTCTCGACGTTCTCGATGTTCTTGCCGCTCGGGAGGCGCGCGATCGTTGCGTTCTTCGATCCGTACTTCGGCTACCTGTAGAGAACAACTGGTCAGTAATAACCCTCTTGGAGTTTATCTTTGAGGGATAAACTCACTAGGGCTGCTTGCAGTATAGGAGTCTGTATAGTACGAACTACTCCACTCCGTCTCACGAGGCGGCTTTGCGCTGCTAGTGCGACGCCTGTCATCCCTTCTCAGGCCTAGAACAACGGCCGCTGCAGCCAGACTGGCGGCGAGCCAACCTGCGCCGCTTCCCGAAGTCTTTTCTCTTCGGCCGGCGGCTGACGTGGGTCGGCCCCCACCGCCGCCGAACCATGTTCGGTGGACCGGTCGTGCGGCAGCCGAGCCCCCGCCATATGCACTGCCGTGCCTGCTTCCGCGTCTGGAATATCGTTCTTCAATGATCTCGACTTCCTCCTTTCTCCTCTTCTTGCCACCCAACCCGAGAGCAGCCGCGAACGCGTCCCACAATCCTCTGACGATACAGCAGAAACATAGTAGCAGCAGCAAGAGCACACCAGCAATTGTGCCAACGACGATGCCGGCAATTGCACCTCCGCTTAGAGAGCCGCTCGTGGATGCGACCGGAGCTGGGGCGGCGGTGCTGGTGGATGTTGTGGTCTCACTGGCTGCAGTACCGGTAGTGGTAGGTTCTGAAGTTTGTATGATGGTGCTGCCGCTCGTGACTCTGTAGGGCGCCGAGAACTGGGTTGTGATAACACCAACCGTGGTCCATTGGGTGTAAGAACTGGCGCCGGCGTTTGGTAGACACTGTCCGCTGCGCGCGCAGTACTGCCAGGTCGCACAGCAAATAGGACCGCAAGCGATTTGCCCGGACCCTGCTGGTGGTACGCAATCCTCCCCTCCGGCCGCGGCAGTCGACGCACCTAAGGCGGAACTGAAAGTGCTCGTGTACGTCTTCGTCTCAGTCCAGGTGGTGGTGTAGTAATCGTAGGCGGCGCAACCCGCTATGCCGGCTGATGTAGTGCACGATTCGCCATCAGAACAACAGTACTGGTTGTCAGAGCCGCAATAAGCTGCGCAACCGCGGTTCATGAGGTATCCGAAGCCGGCATCTTTAAGGTTGTCGGCCGGGTAGGGGTGAGCGACAACGAGGTTGAATAGGAAGGGGAGAAGTAAACTTCGGCTTTGGCTGGGTCGCATCTTGTCTAAGTTTCGTCCAAAGTGGACTCGACTCGTGGAATTGGGAATGCGACTGAGACAAGCTCTTGCAAACCAAGGCCAATGATTTAGTGACCTCTTTACCTCCTCCAACAACTTAAGCTGAATTAGTATTAATCACAGACTGAGGAATGCGGTTTATAAAAAAAAGTAGGAAAAGTTGAAAGACATACATTCCCAAAATAACTTGGATTGAATTGTTCCACCAAGCTTAAGACAGAAATTTAGCTGTGAGGGTTAGTAATTGACGGTGACACGAAAAACCGCCTTTCCGTAGAATATACAAATGACGGAAAATGAAAAGAGTAAAGAAGATGGGAAAAGGAGTAGGAGGTGGAAAGTGTGAAATCAGGAAGAAGATTTCGAGCTTGTACCCTTAATGCAAATGCAAAATGCATTAACACATCTTTTACTGGTGGGTTGCAACTTCCCAACCTCCCAAGTACGAGAAGGTGACTGCCAGAAATGACGCGGGGCTGGGTGGTGATGCTTGCTTCTCTCTAAGTGCGCAAAACGGGAAAGTTGAAAACAGCGGTGGTTGGAATCGACAGGGGTTTTCCCACTCTGATGTCAAATCACAACCTGCCTAGAAATTTTTAATTTGCCAGATGATCTTGAATGATACAGTATTATTCTGTCCTATATACTATTACTATTACCATTAGTTCCAATTGATTGAGACCGCGCAGCTTAAATAAGAAGCTCATAAAAAATCAAACCTCTATCGCAATATGCAAGATGTACGATGTACAAGTGAGCTGGCAGAGGTCCATGCAAGTATGAAAAGTGCAAACTTGTTGATTGTGGCCCGTGCTGTTGTAACAGTGATAATCGATTACGCCCAAGTACCTAAGGGGCCAAACGGTGTAGGCCAGGTACATGGTCCGATAAGTAGGGCCGCCCAGGATGGTTAGCCTATCAACTCATTTAGATGGGGTAACCCGGTCTTTTATCACCCCACTTAGCTGCTCGCTCCACCTAAACTAAAAGTGGCCCAAGGTGTGTCGGGATCTTGAATATTTCCTTTAGTTGGCTGGCTGTCGTCCACGTTCCTAGATTAGGGATCCTCGGCGGCCTACCGAAGGCCTCATATTGTTAGGAACCCTTCCCATTGCTCAGATGATGGGCATCACCGCCGAGGTCTGCATTCTTCTCAAACACGAGGGACACTATGTATTACTCACATTTGTTCCTGAACACATCGTAAAGTCCGATGCAAAGAGGGGAAGCGGACGAACCCATAAATCAGATCCACAAGTGCCTTAGTGTCAAAGATCGAATTTGATGTGTCAACATTGGTTAATGTCACTGTTCCGAAAGTTTAAGAGGACTATACCGATGCTCGAGATATTCGAGATCGAGATGGGTTAAAATTACAGAGAGCTTCAAGGTATCTCAAATTATTGGGATCTTTCAATTCTACATGGTAAAAAGTTAAGTTAGTATATACAAGTTTTAGAGAAATGCTTATCTAGAAAGAGTTCCGTTATCGCTTCCCACGGAAACCTTTCCTCAACTTTCCAGTCAATAGGTACAACATTGAATTATTCCAAACCAAGCAGATAGACCTTCTAGGTTATATCTTACACACACTCAGCACACTTTAGCGTTATCGTGGAAATGTCGAGAACACCAAATGGCTTCCCTGTTTTCGGTGTTTTCGGCTCCATCTCGCAAAGGTGATGCGTGGTTCTGTGTTGGCTCGGTCTCGTCATTCCCTGACATAACCAACTCTAACAGCGCTAGTCTCTCTGAACAGCGTCCTTGTACCGGACAATATTCAGCTCCCGGATGCAAGGTATTCCATGTCCCTGTCACGGACAGTTCTCAAGCACGCCAGATCGAGGGTGATTCGATATTTCATGACGAAGCAGATCTGAGAGATCAGGTGCTTGTGTTCAAGTATAACGGCAAGATCCATGCCGTTAATAACGTAAGTTATGAGAAACGTACCTACACTTAGACTCTTATGAGAATATGGCGGTTAATGTGAAAGTAGCGATGTCCACATTCATCATACCCACTCTCTGAGGGTATCCCATTTGATATTGAGGACTTTGGCATGACGTTAAGTGCTGGGATCACCTGCCCGAAGCATGGCTGGTCATTTGATCTGTATACCGGGATAGCAGATCGTGCCAGCTATAAGCTAGGCATATGGGAGGTTCAGTTACGTCCCTGCCCCGGTACAGAGGCCGGAGTAAGCGACGAGAAAGAAGATGACCAAGAAGTATGGGTAAGAAGGAAGCAGAGAATGGGATAGTTCGGTATTATAGTCTTGCACATTCTGGGACAGCAGGTGCATCTCGTTTCTCCAGGGCGTGCTGGGTATTCGCCCGACTGTCCAGAGGAGGTCCTAGAATATTCACAATTTACGCGTTGAACAAATATTTCATAGTTTGATTCTGATAATTCTGGTAAATAAACTTATTAGAAATTATTTAACTACTACCTATGTAGGTAGTAGACGATAGTTATGCTTATATCGATTGAGTTCAAAGTTCAAGATATTACAGGGCAGCAGCTGCATGTGCCTATGACGGAAGACCCACTTAAGCCAGTAGCTTATTGCAACGCTGCAAAAGGCGCATGGGGACCTGGAGACCTTCAGCTTCTCAAACGTCAAGCTTTCAAAGCCTTGTGTCACGTCTAAACACACCAATCTCAGAGCAGCTTAGAACTGACTCCATCAAAGTTGCTTACCTAGACATCAAGCTTCAATACCTGCATAACACAGGAAGCTCTACTCTCAACCACGCTGCCACGCCAAGCTCGTTTCTAGTTCGAGTCCCCCCCGACTTGACTTCGACAACACAAATTCCTTCCAACTTCTAACTTCTAACCTCCAACCTCCGCAATCTCACCATGTCGCTCGATCCTCCTCCTTACCTCGGTTCGCTCCAGAACAACATCCGCCAGCGACCAATTCCTTGGGATGGCGCAGCTAGGGCCGGCACCATCACAGAAGCTCAATTGGCCAAGATAAGGGCTGTTGACAAAGTAAAGAGGGAACAGAGAAAACAAGTAGTCGAGGGTGACTTAGATGGTTATCGGATACTGTTTATTGGAGAGCCGGGCACGCCTGGTGTCTTAGAGTCGGCAAGCAAACACTCCAATATTGTTCAGTATATCTTGGTCTTACTTAGCGACCTGCTTGAAGGTGCGTCGTACCTCAAACTCGTTGTTGTACCTATATTAGGTCAACTATTTACCTAGATATCTAAAGTATGATACGATGGCAACCTAATGTACTGACATCGTCTCAGGCGTCCCGTCTCTAGCGAAAGCGCTTTTCAAGGACTCGAACCCGTACCAACATTTCTTACCTCTGCTTGCGCGGTCGAACAATTCTGAGGATCCTATCCCTCTACTTACCTCTACTGTCTTGACTATACTTATGTCTAATTCGAGAGATGAATCTGCGGCGACAGAAAATGCTCTTCCTCTTCTACTAACGTACCTCTGCGGCCTAGTGAAGAATTCCAACGACGCGGGGTTGCAAGATATCGCGGTCATGGAGTACTCGTCGCTTCTATATGGGCGATCATCTCGACAGCTTTTCTGGAAGCAAAGAAGCGAGACCGTTGCACCCTTAATCGAGATTCTCCGAAAAGCAGCCGGTGTCGGTGGCGAGTCTTCGGCCAGTCTTTGGAGTGGAAACACAACGACGAGAAGCGGAGGCTTCGAGGGTATCAGCGGCGGGGTTGGGTTGCAGCTCTTATACCATGTATTACTCGTACTATGGCAACTGAGCTTCGAAGCAGAAGATGTTGGCGATGACCTGAACGAGTACGAAGCAAAACTCGTCAATATTGCAACGGCTACAACTAACACGGTTATAGTGAATACGATATCATTTTATTATATACTCAACTACTGCGCCTTTCGCCAAAAGAGAAGACGACGCGGCTCCTCCTGTCAACGTTGCATAACCTTCTCGAAGCCAATCCATCTACGCTACTTCCTACGGCTGTCCTAGCCAGACTTCCTGGTTTACTTCAAAATGTTGGTGGTCGCCATTTGACGGACCCTGATCTGCTAGAGGACCTGGAAAGGCTCAAGGAGATGCTTGAAGAATATCAGAAGACTAAGACTACCTTCGATGAATACGTCGCCGAGGTCCAATCTGGACACCTAAGATGGTCGCCACCTCACCGTCACGAAGTCTTCTGGGTTGAGAATTCGAGAAAGATTCTTGAGTTTGAGAATGGCGAGATTCCACGAAAGCTAGCGGATATCATGAAGAAGCCTTGGGAGAACGACAAGGCGGTGCTTGCGATTGCTTGCAACGATATTGGAAACCTAGTGAAGGAGGTCCCGGAGAAGAGATACCAACTGGAGAAGTTGGGTTTGAAGGCTCGAATCATGGAACTCATGCAAGACTCTGACGAAGCTGTACGATGGGAGAGCTTGCGAGCTCTTGGTGGCTGGCTCAAGTACAGCTTTGAGAACTAATAGCCCGATGTTCGGGTGTGTGAATATGACTATACCTTTTACTGTATTCTTTCAACTGTTATTGGCGTCTCACTACCTAGTACTGGCGTGGGTGCAAGGACGATAGCATCTTCTATCGGATAGGATAGATACGACGGCTGACTCGAGCTAGTTTAGTCAATCGACATCGAATCCGATAACTAAGTTGATAATGAGTATAAATTGCTACATCCTCTTAGTCACCAACCTCACTGACTCACTCGGCTTCAGTCGTTGAGGTCGATGAGATCGTATCATCTACGAGAGTCTCGGCTACAACTTCTAGAAAAGGGAAATTACCTGTGTATCAATACGAAATACATGTGTAGAGCTTCTTTTGCTTAATTTGCGCTATCACGTAATTACCCCAGCTTTACCCCAATTAGCTAGCCAGTAACCGCCTATCCGGTACTCGGGGTTTTCGGTTTGCGGCGGTACCTTGCCACAGGCCCTCGGTTGCACGGTGAAGCAGCTACTACCCCTCCTACCCAATCCGATTTCTTTGTTAAATAATAGGTCTCGGCGATGGCCACCCCGATAACGCTGCCATTCCCTCCCGGGACATTCAATACCCAGGAGTCTAGGTAGCATCCATAAGAAAAGGGGTTTCGTTTCTGTCGAATTGAGTCGAGTTGATCTAGCTATTCCTTACGGCAGTTCATCATGCATCGTCTCAACCGCACGCGAAGCATCGCTGCCAGCGCAGGCCGCACCGCCACCCGTCTTTCCTACTCTACTTCTGCCTCTACCACCTGCCCTCACGCACTTTCATCTAAGATGGCGTCCAGAGCAACGGCAGCCAGGCGCATAGCGGCCACCGCCCAACACCTGCGGCCTTACAGCGCATTGGCGTCGACAGCGACCAGCTTCCCGACGACGCACGAACGCATCGCGAAGCCGGAGGATACCCCCTATTTCATCAACAACGAGTTCGTGGCCAGCAAGGCGGACAAGTTCATCGAGCTCCGCGACCCCGCCACGAACAACCTGGTGACCCGCGTGCCGCAGAACACGGACGAGGAGCTGCGGGCGGCGGTCGAGAGCGCGCAGAAGGCGTTCCCGGCGTGGAGGAACACGAGCGTGCTCGCGCGGCAGCAGATCATGTTCAAGTTCGTAGCGCTGATCCGCGAGAACTGGGATAGGCTGGCGGCGAGCATCACGCTGGAGCAGGGCAAGACGTTCGCGGACGCCAAGGGCGACGTGCTCCGGGGCCTGCAGGTCGCGGAGGCGGCGTGCGGCGCGCCCGAGCTGCTGAAGGGCGAACTGCTCGAGGTGGCCAAGGACATGGAGACGCGCAGCTACAGGGAGCCGCTCGGCGTCGTGGCGGCCATCTGCCCCTTCAACTTCCCGGCTATGATCCCGCTGTGGTGCATCCCGATCGCGACGGTGACCGGCAACACGCTGATCCTGAAGCCGTCGGAGAGGGACCCCGGCGCTGCGATGATCCTGGTCGAGTTGGCGAAGAAAGCTGGATTCCCCGATGGCGTGATTAACGTGATTCACGGCGCGCACAAGACGGTTGATTTCATCCTAGACGCCCCGGAGATCAAGGCTATCAGCTTCGTGGGAGGTAATAAGGCCGGCGAGTACATCTTTACTCGGGGATCCGCGAACGGGAAGAGGGTGCAAGCCAACCTCGGCGCCAAGAACCACGGCGTTGTCATGCAGGATGCCAATAAGAATCACTTCATTAATGCGGTCGCGGGTGCTGCGTTTGGCGCCGCCGGCCAAAGGTGTATGGCTCTCAGCACGCTAGTCATGGTTGGCGAGACCAAGGAATGGCTACCGGAGCTGGCTGAGAGCGCGAAGAAGCTTCAAGTTAACGGTGGCTTTGAGGCGGGTGCGGATCTAGGCCCTATCATCTCGCCGCAGAGTAAAGAGCGGATTGAGAGCTTGATCGCCAGCGCCGAGAAAGAGGGCGCGACGATTTTGTTAGATGGTCGTGGATACAAGCCGGCCAAGTACCCCGACGGAAACTGGGTCGCCCCAACTATCATCAGCAATGTTACGCCGGATATGAAGTGCTACACAGAAGAAATCTTCGGGCCGGTGCTAGTGACGTTGAACGTGGACACGCTAGACGAAGCGATCGAGCTGATCAACCGCAACGAGTACGGCAACGGCACGGCCATCTTCACGCGGTCGGGGGCGACGGCGGAGGCGTTCAGGAAGAACATCGAGGCTGGGCAGGTGGGCATCAACGTGCCGATCCCGGTGCCGCTGCCGATGTTCTCGTTCACGGGCAACAAGAAGAGCATCGCTGGAGGCGGCGCCAACACGTTCTACGGCAGACCGGGAATCAACTTTTACACTCAGCAGAAGACGGTGACGGCTCTGTGGTCAAGCGCCGATGCTATTTCGAGGAAGGCGGACGTGGCCATGCCCACGCATAGTTAGGGGTAATGTGGACTGGAAGGATTGGACTGACTTGTTATGGGGGGATTAGGTGCTATCTAGGTATTAAGAGAGAAAATTGTTTGAGGCGAGATGTTATGTATATATGTACATACGCAAGGCAATGAAAGGTCCTTGCATGCTATCAGGTAGAATGAGATGAAATAACTGTTATTCAAAGTCAGGGGTAGTATTCGTTAAGGACTTGTACTAGGTATTCAATACGTATTACGTAATATCATGTTTAATTCAAACTGTCTGGTTTCTCCTTACATTGATTGTTAAAATCAAGGACCGTGTAAGTTCAAGGGGCGGGGGCTTATAACCGATCCAGATGCAGCTTCCCGTCGGATCTCGCCAGTGTACGCATAAGTGACGTGTCACCAAGTACTTAGGTGCATATATGTACCTATCGAACGTATCCAACTCTACATCCGGACATGACTTACAGTATTCATCAAAAACATCAACACTATGAACAATGAGCAAAATAGACGATAACACTGGTTACGATAACTCCAATGCCATTACTAGAAATATCCATAATGATTACAAACTTGACTTGACGGACCTACCTAACGATGTCTTTTTTCTTATATGTTCTTACCTCTCGCCGCAGGATTGCGTGCGTTGTCGCCGAGTGAGCCGGTTATGGTTTCGAGTATTTGCAAGTGAGGACACCTCACGGAGTTTTATGAGATGGTATTTCCCCCGATGTCGCGAAATGCGGCAATTCGCCGAGGAGCCGGAGCCGGAGCGGGAAGCGGATGAGAAACCGAACTGGTCTCGCATCTTCGCCAACGTAGCAAGAAGATACTTCTGCCTGCGTTCCGCAAAACCGCGATCGGTTGGGAAAATCATGCTCCTTCGATCACCCGATAACTGGCTTCCTGTCGATCCTTGGTTTCGCCGGCTGTACTGCGACCACAAAATTGTTGTCTTTGATTATTTTGAACCGAGCTGGACCGTGGATCGCGGGTTGCTGGTATATCTAGACCCTATTCCGGAACGATTCATTGCGTTTGACTTGGAGACTCGAAATGGAGTCTCTGTTCCTTTTGATACCGAGGGGAAATATCTCCGGCGCGTGCGGCTTGCCTGCGATGTGTTGATTATCGAATGGTGCGAGGACAGACCCTGTAAAGAACAAACGAGTGATGAAGATTTTTATCGCCATTTCACCACCGCGTTTGATGTCGTGAGGCGGCCATATTCAAGCACTTGGGATATCACCTTCCGCTCTGAATGGCAGTTTCACCCCGCTTGCATCACTATCACCTACTATCACCGTTTTTTCTCTGTTCATACTTCTACTCACTACGCCCTGTATTTATGGACATCTGAGGACTCAGAACAGAACTTGCTTAGTCCCCGAGAAGAGCTCATCATCTGGGACATTTCTAAGCCATCTCCTTACCGAGTGTCGCTCGATCCAAGCGGGGTTAACAAACCCGTGCCTGGCTCCAGTGAACAAGGTCCGGTGGTCATCAATAAGTTTTCGCATGGGGATCTAAACTTCTTAGGCCTACTGCAGAGGAACAGGCCACGCTTACTAGAAATTCTGCTTGACGAAGCAAATGTGTATTTCCACGAAGAAGACCATCCCTGGCTCGTAGGTGCGGAATCAAATCCATCGCCACCTCGCCATCATCAAGTACGTTGCACAGGGTTTCCCTTTTCGGGAATTGGACCTCGCTGGTTTGACGAGTGCTGTGCTGATGGCGATGTATCCATGAGCTTCTGCCCGCGCGCCGGATCGCTGTCGCGCGCCCTAGGGAACCGACCCCCGGGTTTCAGTGACAGCAAGAGTGGGACGTGGCCTGGCTGGGCGCCCTGCTGGCGACATGAGGAGTTCCCGTACTTAACTGTGAGCCATGTGGTGGATGCTGCTGCCGGCGTCAGGATTGTGGCAAGACAGTGCTTCATGATGAAGGTCCTGTCGTCATTCGTGCCCCCCAAAATCAGCGTTCAAGAGGAGCGAAATGGCGGTTCGGGGATAGAAGACCAGCTGGTTGAGGTTAGGTTCGAGGATGCAATGTGGCATAGGCTGCTGCGGAGTGGGAAGATAATGGGGGATGAGCGGTGGGTGGTTGGTGACGAATCTGATCGATCGATTACCATTGTGCGGTTTTGATGGTACCATAAACAGCTTCGCCGCGCAAATTTCGGCCGTTCACAAACACGATCCTAAACAAAGACGACTTAAGTATCGCCAGGTTCTACTACTTTGCTTAGATCGCAGCTCTCGCCGCAGGTTTCAGCAAGTCCCATGGCTAAACTAGAACCATGTCCTATCATACCCTCGGAAATGCGAGGAAGCTAAGATGGCCTCATCTTAAGACGAACAGCTCAGACAAGGAAAAGGGTAGTACCTAGTAACCGATCCATCGTCTTATTTTCGATTAGTAGAGCACCTTGCAATATTACACAATACATTAGGTATATCCCTTCTTGCAACTTTCTAACGGAAATGTTATATCCATTTTGTTATTTTTACCACTGTCAACATAGGGCGTAAGTCTCCGACCCAAGTCCGTATCGGCCCCTCCCGGACTGCAGCGGAGATGCAGGAAATTCCTCGTCCTCAGATATGATTGGGCAATTAGACGGTGATAGATCCGCTCTTGGCGCAAGCCCGACATGCCTTAGAGAGCTACGATGTGCTAGGCATGTATGTAAAGATATCTAATCCATCCAGGCCATCTGATAACCCGACTAGGCAGGTCGGTGGGAAAAGATCAAGAATGGGGGGTAGGTGGGGAGCTTTCCTCGCATCTGTGATAGAAACCATTCGGCGAATCGTTCCAAGATCAACCCTAGCTTGCCGTTCCCGTATGCGGCTATCGCCTGCTGTGGTGCTACCCAGCTTGCCTAGCTATATGTATGCAACCCTGCGATGAGCGGGGCTGGAAGGGAGAGAAGATTTATTAATACTCGGACTGCATCTTCCCACCGTCTTCGCTTCTCTTTCTAGAGGTTTGTTGGATCGCTCTTCCGGTTGGCTAGCCTCGTAGGTATAATCTCACTTTACTATTGGGTATTTATCTATCGATACCTGAAAAAGAAAAGCCAAGTCAAGCCATGGCGTTCAAGGCGCTTCTCCTCTCGCTCGCGACTCTCCCGCTCGCTAACAGTGAGACTGTCCTTGGTGTCTATATCTTCCATCGTCATGGAGACAGATCGGCCAAAGCCCTCGCGCCGACGAACCTAACCGCTCTTGGCGCAGACCAGGTGTTCCAGTCCGGCACTTACTACCGGAACAAGTACATCTCATCCAATGCCAGCACGCCGATTTTGGGGCTCAGCAATGACATTGCCGTCCCCACGCAGCTGAGCGTCATCTCGCCCGCCGACTCTGTGTTGCAGAGCTCGTCTTTGGCTTTCCTGCAGGGTATCTACCCACCCGCCGGCAGCAACAGCGTGTCTGTCCTGGCCAATAAATCCGAGGTCGTCGCTCCGCTTGGCGGGTACCAGTACATCCCCGTGTCGACGAGCTCCGTTACTTCCAGCAGCGCCGACTCCGAGAACAGCGAGTGGCTGCAGGGCGGGTCCGGGTGCGGCAATGCGGTGGTTAGCTCGAACAACTACCTCGTGTCGCCCGAATACACGTCGCTGCTCAGCTCCACCAAGAGCTTCTACGCCAACCTGCTCCCCGTGTACAACGCGACGTTCAGTGCCAGCCAGGCGACGTTCAAGAACGCGTACACGATCTTCGACCTGGTGAACGTGGCGACGATCCACAACCAGAGCATCCCGGACTCGCAGCTGCTGACGAACGAGACGCTGTTCCAGCTGCGCACGCTGGCGGACAACCACGAGTGGAACCTCGCGTACAACAGCAGCGATCCTATCCGCGCGATCGCGGGCGCGACGCTGGCGGCGCAGATCTTGCAGCAGCTGAACGCGACGCTGACCGAGAAGGGCAGCACGCCCGTCAGCATCCAGTTCGGCGCGTACGCGTCCTTCATGTCCTTCTTCGGGCTCGCGCAGCTGCAGAAGGTGTCGGTGGACTTCACGGGCGTGGTGGACTACGCGTCGTCGATCGTGTTCGAGCTCGTGACCAACGCGACGGGCGCGTCGAGCGCCAACTACCCGAGCGCCGACGACGTGAGCGTGCGCTTCTACATGGCGAACGGCACGGCGGCGATCCACGAGCCGCAGGTGTACCCGCTGTTCGGGCAGAGCGAGACGACGATCCCGTGGACGACGTTCGCGGACGAGATGGGCAAGATCGCGATCGGCGATACGCAGAGCTGGTGCGCGGCCTGCGGCAACACGACGGGGATCTGCGCTACTGCTGCTTCGTCCTCGGGATCGGGATCGGACGGCAGCGGCGCGGACGCGTCGTCGTCGAAGTCCGGGAACGGCGTTACGCTGCCGGTGGCGGGCGTTATCGGCGCGCTGGTCACGCTCGTGGTTATTCTGGGAGTGGAGGGCTTGGTGTACGCGCTGGCGGGCTTGAAGCTCGTGAAGAAGTCGACACTGGCTGCTGCGGCGGCGGGGGCTGGGAACGGGGCTTCGGCTACGAGTGCGGCGGCGGGGGCGAAGGCTTAGGAGGGATGTTTTCTGGGGGTGAGGTGGAGGTGATACCGGGGAGTGACGAAATACGAGACAAGATGAGATGATGTCTTCGGAGGGTCTCTGCAATTTAGTGATGCGTGATGAATAGAAGCGAAGGATCTTCGTATATGTGTGATCTCTAATGAATATAGTTTCGATGTTTATAACTTCTTTCGTTGTTATTAATTACCTATAATTGAAGTCCTACTCGTTCGTCTATATGAAGCAGTAAGTGAGGATTCATCCGAGATCGTGAGGCTTGCTTACTTTGATAGGAGGTTGTCATGTTGATTCCCTTCCAGCCGATTTGATGGTTGATGAATATTTTATATATGGTAGATATATCAATCTACCATGGCGTTCAATGATCTTTGTTACTCAGTGATGGAAGCTAGACGTTTATCTGCGAATATGTGTGTATGGTATTGTGGACACCCTACCCCTATTCAGGCTTCCCGTAGAGAATGGGTGTTATCTAGATATCGTCCATTGCCACAGAACAAGTTAATTCGCATATAACTTACCTCTCGAGAGGAGGCGCGTTTACGCGCAATGCTACATACCTAAATAATCGTTCTTCTTGGCTGAATAAATTGTCTTTCCATCAGATGTTCTATATGTAATCCAGGCCTCTTCGTTCCTTCGTAACCAGAGGTAACTTCATCCAAGCAGACCCTCCTCTTCCACGTTCGTCTAGTATCATGATAAGCTGCCGGATCTTGTCTCTTGCCACCACGGGAGATATAAGAATCTCCGCAAACGGTCCGGGAGATGATAGTGATGACGATAGTAATTTGGATGTTAGGATTCATAGGTACTTCCCTGAAGCGCTAACTAAGGACATGAACTACAAGAGGATCATCAACTGTAATAGATGCTGGGATGCAGAGCATACCTACCGTATAAAGGCCAATATACTGAATTAGTCGGTACTATTTATGTATATGTATATTGAGCCTGCACGTTTGTCAATGCTTCCGGCTAGCTACCCGTCTCTCACCATCTCCATATAGTGGAAGACAGTAACGCGGCGGTGGGTATAATTAATGCTGTAGAATTACGTAGGTAGAATGAATATATCGCATATTGGAATTAGTAAGAAAAAAAAAATGAAAAGAATAAAAAAATTGAGAAAGAAATGAAACGCAAAAACAAGTCTCCAAGAACCCGTTTCGAACCATCGTAGATCAGTCTGATGGTTGGACAGCGGCATTACACTCGCGGTTTACCCATTGCTCGGTGACTGAGCTAAATTATTCGTTTCAAACAAGTACTTGAAGGATTGTTGAGAGAAGCATTGTTGTTTAGATATATAACCTCACTGTGTGCCCTCGTACATTTTGAAGGGTCCACTTTTGCTGGAAGAGTCACACTGGCGCCCAGTTGGCCCGTGACAAAGATGCCTTCAGATCAATCTTGATAGGGCGAGCAATCGCCTGAGTACGTATACTGTACTCCACTATGGCTAGAGGAACGCTCATGTACGTTATGTGGCTGATGATTGATAAAAATATTTATGATTATTTTCTTGAGGGAGTATCTAGATAGTTATGACGACGACGGTGATACTCCCCTGGCATCATCCGGCATCTGCGCAAGCTGGTCGCCAGTCCATGATTATGAGTAGTTGCGGGCAGTCTTAAACGGTATTGTAAAGATCTCTTGTCTGTATTCGCTTGGACTAAGAATCCAGTCCACGGAATCGGGTGGTAATTGAGGAATCCGGCCCTTAGCTCGTTAAGTACATACTTGACAACTATAACTTACATTCACTCATAGATCTTACCGTTATTAACTATAACCCTTGGGCTAACAATGTTAACCATACTCCTCAAGGCTTCAATAATATGCTCGGCGTGTGATCGAAGCTAAAGAGACGTCGAGAAGCCCATATAGGATATTCCTTAGCCGAGAATCCACGATTAAACGGAACACACATGGAAGCTTCGGTACCGTCGACGGATCTGCTGCCCTGGGAGACCAATATTCCGTTTACGAGAGAGGCCTTGGGTTCCTCGGACCGTCCTAGGGGGGAGGCTCTATACTGATGATCGACGGAGGCTGCAGATTAACACGCTACATCCTAGACAAGAGGATTGAGTGATTATCAATGGTATCATAATCCACGATATAGCAATCTTGCTTGTCTCGGTCGTTATAAGTGATAAATACAAGCAAGCATCGCGTAATTTTAGGGGGTAAAAGCCAAGACTGTGGTAAATCCACACCGATCGAGGCCTTGCCTTAGCCTAAGGGTATCGCTTTCGCAGTTTATAAGATCCTAATGCCCATAGAGAAAGAAATGTGTGATATACCAAGTCGACTTTTCCACTCGTCTCTACGACATGATTACCTAAAGATGCGACTTTAGTTCGAGGATGATCAACTATGTCTTCCCCAAACTAGAATATGGATACTATAGTTGATTTATTAGCACCATATCCGGTAACATTGGAGTACAGCATGAGGGTAGAAGTTGAATGAATTCAATCCGGAATACGCCTTGTAGACAAATGGAGGTTATCGTGAAAGTGGCCATGACGTTGGCGCGATTCTTTACGGGATGTTAGATGTGGATCTCTCCAATTGACCAATCGGCTGATTTCTGGGTAAACTATTGAACTTATATAGCAAAATAAACTATGAATTTTCGCCTTCGGGCATTTGGTCAATTTGAAACGATACAGAGAAGATTAGCATGGCCCCTGCACTAAGGATGACACGCTCAATCAAAGAGAAGCAAACAATTTTTTCTCTATTTTTTGCATTTCTCCTAGAGATGCACCTATTCCTACACATTTCGGTAATCTATTAATTGGCACTGCATCATTCTCTCTTTTTTTTTTGGTTTCAATATTTCAATATTTGATGCCATGACGGGTTGTGGTGGTTTGGCGCATATGAGGGTTCGAATCAACCACCGACCAAGCGTTGCCAAATTTTTTTGTCACAACTGCCTTTAGTAGACATTCTCATGTTTATCATGAGAATTCAATGCACAGGTAAGAAATGCCTTAGGTTATAGTTATTATCAATACGACGTACATTACTGTGATTTAACTTGGCGAATTTACGAGGTAAGGGACTGACTACGAGTTAGGAGAAGCTAGATTACCCCTATTTCAACATGCCACTGTCATTATTATACCAGATAATTTTTTATATCTTGAAACATTTGAAGTACTTCTTAGGATGTAAGAAAGACAGTTAAACTATCGTCGAGTCTAACCATACTTCCTTTTTCTCTAAATTATTATTAGTAATGTTCAAGATGCACGATGCCCTGGTGTTGGAGGATTTCGCGAAAATCGTGTTGTAGGCGGTGTACCTCAATTTCGGATATCCGAAGAAAAATCGTGATTAGTAATTGGCCGATATATTTGTTGGTGACGGCGGAGTTTGCTTCGATTTACCAGTTGTCTTTGGTTGAATGATGAAGACCAGAGAAACATCCGTGCTTAAGATGAAGTTGAAAACTTGAAGACAGTAAGGGGTATATAAATCTTGTTTCTAGTCAGGGTTGACATGCGACAATAGTTAGTTGGTCAGGTACAAGACAAACTCGAGGCTCAGACCGCTATTCCGGTGAAACGCGAACTAGATATCTCATTTGTGAATGATCCAAATATCGTACAAAGTAGAATGATAAAAAAACAGCCTTCAAAACCATCGGCTGGGCTTCCATCTCTTGGCTGAGAAACCCCTTTAGTTGGTGATGAACCAGTCAGCCAGGATAGCCTCACATCTTATCATGCGATTAATAAAAATAGCACCGCAACTTATTTAACATCGTCATTTACAGGGCAATGAAGGTGTATGTTGGTTTTATTATTTTCCACGTACTCTCACTTCATTAGTACTTACATGCGGATAGGATTTGGTAGGTATAACACACCCTGCTATAGGTGATAACTCACCAACACCTGTACCACCGGGTTAGGCGAATAGTATTCTACGAAATAACTCCTACCTGTAGACGGCTGCCCGTTGGATGGATATGGTCAAGAAGCATCTGCTACTTCATACTCGTAGTGAGGTAGGTAGGTATTGAAAACATAGTATCTTCACTATGGTGATATGTCACGGCCACAAAGATTCACAAAACAGTACAGGCTCAAATACTACCAGAAACGAGCGTATATAGATAGCTGGCGGTTTTCCAAGTTTTCAAGTAAAAATTAAAATCCAAATTCCACCAAATAAACAGATAAACCAATGCAATAAGAACTCCGAGCCGATGATGCCTAATAACTCCTCTAAACCATCAACCATCACACGTGCGCTGTCGTTTACTATCCCAAAAGCCCGTCATACCCCCTTTACCATCCTATTCATCACTTATTGCTACATCCGTGAAGTTTGTACATTTCAAAGGGTAGGTCCTAGCAACTTATTCGAGCCCCCTTACTTGCGCTTAGAGATATTGCAAGTCTGCAAGCACTGCTCAACACCCTGCGCCACGCTGACGCTAACCATGCCGCGGAACCTATCGATATCAGCGCCGTCGATATGGTTACCCATGCCCGCAGCAATAGTACCGTCCTGCATAGCGAGGTAGTTCTGCGCCATGAGACTGATTCCCCCATCCTCGCTCGACAGGGGCGCGACGAACATCGCCTCGTCGCAGGTGGGATTGTACTGCGTGTGCAGCGCGCCCGTGAAGTACGGCGTGGCCTGCATCTCCTCGACCGTGTTGACGATGTCGCGCGGCTGGCCGTCCGCGCCGCCCACCACCCCGTTCTCGATCACCATCTCCGACACCACCTTGCCGCGCGTCACGATCAGCAGCTCCGACGCCCGGTTGTGCACGTGCGGCGTGTTGAAGCCGCACGGCCCCAGGAACCCGACTGCCATGCTCATCCCCGTCCCCGTCAGCGCGGGGAAGGCCTTGCGGTTCGCCTGCACGATCTCGCCGCCCTTGCCTGGCCCGTACTTGCGCATCTGCTGGAAGTCGAAGATGAAGTCGGAGTCTGAGGTAAGCACGTTGTTGATGGCGTCCGCGCGGGTGTCGGAGAGTAGGATCTGCTGGACTTTGCTCATGCCCGTTGGAGTGGCGGGGGCTGCGGCGCTGGTGCTGAATGTTGCGGCGGCGGCGGCGGATGCAGAGTCTGTAGCAGAGACGGTGGCGGAAGCACCTGCTGCGTCGGTGCTGTTGCTGCCGCCGTTGTGGGCGTAGCTCATAGAGTTGTAGTAGCCTGAGGGAATGGAAGTCTCGTAAGTCGAGCCGCCGGTGGCAACCCAACTAGGGGGAGTGGTGTATGATCCGGAGCTAGTGCTGGCCCACGCATCAGATCCCAAGTTGGCAGGAGCAGCCGTAGAGACGGAGCAGAAAGTCAAGATGGCAGCGACGGTTCCAATCTTGAGCATTTTGACGGTATTAGGTTTGAATTAGACGAACTGACGATTGCGATGTTGTGGTAGTAGGAGAGGATCGGCCCAAAAGAACGAACTGCACTGGTAAGAAATAGAAGTAGGAGAAGACTTAAGGAAATAAGGAAATGAGGAAATGACAAAGGAGAATAAGGAAATAAATAAGAAATAGGAAATGTTTTGATTTTGTTGGTTTGATGTTGGTGGTGATGGGAGAAAAAAGAAGTCTTCCCTTCCGGGTTTCAACTTCATTCTTATATATCTACCTCTGACTACTCAAATCAAACATATCGAACGCGAATGGGCCAATAGCCATTTTCCATTTCACCCTTAACTGAAGGGCGTCTTCCTCATGCATGATATAAATTCCATAGGGCTGAGCAATAACGGCTACCAAGTTGCCGGGACTGTCATGGTCAATTACTCAACCATATGATTGGATGGATCTCGCAGATATTCGAGAAATGCCAAGATGCAACGTGGCTGCGGGTCCCAGGGCTGTCAGGTTGGATGAGCCGGCATGATGGCGTAATGTTGATATAAAAATATCGACGCTGCTAGTCGGGTTGTTAAGTTGGTTGGTAATAGCAGCAACATTGAACGAGAGCTGGAAAACAAGAGCAGCTTAGTTCGATCGAGCCAATCAGAGAAGGATTGAAGCTTGTTCGTGATTTGGTGCTGAGCTAAGATATTAGCTGCGTCTACTTAGTGCGCTGTTGACCATATAGATATCAGGTTTTCTCACGGAATAAGTCTTGCCGGGGAAGTAGTCTAGAACATTGAGGTTTTGATCCCGGTATCTGGATCGTGGAGGGGCTGTGACGATGGGAGACAACAAAGATGTCACTATTATCTATAGCGAGTCTTCGCGAAGTCACACCTCAAAACCCAACAGACTCAGGGGTCGTAAAGTGAACGATGCTATACGCACACCACTAAGCTGATCTTAAGGAGCTATTAAAATGTATACGCTGTTCTCCGGCGATAGGCTAAGCGGTATGACTCGCCAAATGATCATAACGTATCAACACCGATGTTATTGTTGACACATTCCCTTTGAGGCCGCACTTGTTAGAGGGAGGACAGTTTGACTCCTGGATTGCGAGTGGCTATGCAAGTCGAAGCATGAGGCGGAGGATTGTACGACTTGGCCAACGACACTCGAAAAATGTGAGATACCATTTAGCTATAGCTGAGCTACCTAAGCCGTTGGCCATGATGCATTCAGAGCCGCATATGATCGAATCGGTGATTTGATCTGAGTCAGACAAACATTCCGGCGTATCACAAAGATGTATAGCTGATATCATATAAGGCTCGTTATACTAGAGCTAGAGTTAGCTATATCTGATAGACAATGTGGGGTAAATGGTTCCAGCTGGATGAACAGTGATGTAGTCAGCTTTAAATTGAGGCTATCATGGTAAACTTGGATATACCCTCTTGTTCCGGTTACGGGCTGACCGTGGTATTTCAAGAATGACTGTGAAATTCCTGAGGATATGCCTAGATATGACCCACTGGTTACGATCGTATGATCTTTCCCATGTCATAAAAACATTTCGAGGCCTATTAGTGGATATGTTCCACGGCTGAATTCCGGACAAGGGGAGTAAGATGAGAGCCGGGATAGACGTCGGACATGGCGATCATATCCCAATAACCCAAGAAACAAAAAGGGGCCAAGTCGAACTGAAAGGAGTATTCAATTTTGCTTGACTTATGCAATTGAATATCTTCATCCGAACTATGTTATAGACTCATAGTTGTATATCGCACATAGTATGTATGTTCTGTGCTGTGATAGTGGCCACAGTGAGGCGCATGTGATATTTGTAATCCGTCGAATCAAACCGGAAGAAGTTGGGGACTTCCAGACTCAATTAATATATAAACAGAGCTGGACCGCCGTACCTTGCACTTGCAGCGTTGCAAAAGTAGGTGGTATCCTCGCGCCTTGTTGATTCCAACTCGTCGGCTCGGATCGTCCAACTCCTGGAGCAAATCGAAACGCGTCCATAGCGCGAGGTAGTATTTGAAACACCTCTAGGTCTTCGTGCTATCATCCCATTCTACGTGTACCTGTATTTCGAAGAACACGTTGAATGCTACCTCGCCGGAATAGTTGACAGTCCGACCATTGCCCGGGACAACAATTCGACATGTGTCCTTGATTCATTATGCGGTACACCATCGAAAATTTTATCGATTTTGCGGTGGGTTATGCTGATCGAAATCGCGCCTTCTTGGCACGGTGGTGCCTTGCAGTAGTGGTTTTACAAAGGCGAGTGAGGTGATGGAGATGATCTCGGGCCTTGGGAAATTGTGGAAATGTGGAAGAAAAAGAAGGGAAATTTGATATGGGCTATTATAGGTCATTATAGGTTAATTCGGTAGTTGCACGCTCCTGCCTATCCGTTTTAGGAAACATATCCCTGTACCTGCTTCTAGCTCATTTGTCTGAGCTCTCTCATTGGTAGAAATCTCAATAAGCTTCATGGATAGTGACCAATCACAACGACATCGGATTGCGCTAGTCCCCAAAATGCCCTAAGGCGTCCTACTATGCAGTAAAGCGCCCCTGGAGATTTGGAGATTGTAGCCCAATGCGCTGCGGTTGTCAGCATCCTATTCTCCTTCTATCTTTTACCCCCCAGTTTCTCTCTTCTCCTTTGCTGGAGTCCACCTCTTCTTCCTCTTCGAGCTGAGCCGGCCCAAATCCCTCATTACCTTCGTTTCCCCCTACGCTCTTTTTCTCTTGTTTGTGAATAATCACTCTTTATCGAGGAGAATACTCTCCCTGCCACTCTTTTGAAGTAAACCACCACGCTCGTTCTAGAAGGATTCCGAAGCACATTAAGAGCTAGGCTCACCTTTTGCTCATCCCGGCGACTAGACTTCCAACACCAGATCGATCGTCGTCTCTGTTGTTGATCGCGTTGTTGATCACTTGAAGCGCTACACTAACAGAGGGGCATGCGCCTTTAGCTTCCTATTCGGAGCATATCTACACTCGTTTGATACGAAATCGTTCTCGAGAACGTGGTATCATGAAGATCACTACGATACAAGCCGCCTTGGGGTCGGCAATCCTTCTTTTGAGTGCGCAATCATGCGCCGCTACTACCGGACATCGGCACCACCATCTTCACCTCGAGAAGAAGCACAATCATATCCATAGCCATGGCCATGGTTTAGCTCACTCAAACAGCACCAACCCGAAGTACAGTGTCCGGAATCATTTACCGCTTGCATCGCGAGATGGCAAGAAGACGTGCAAGTTTCCTACCGATAAGGGCCTCGTTGCGGTCACGCCGTCTGGGCAGAACGGTGGATGGGCGATGTCTCCTGACCAGCCGTGCGTATCAGGCACCTGGTGCCCCTTTGCTTGCCCTTCTGGTCAAGTCATGGCGCAATGGAAGCCGGGCACGACTTATGCGTATCCAGAATCCACCGTGAGTGCCAAATTATTATCTTGATCTAAGGTGTGCCAGCTAACTAACTTGACTATAGTACGGTGGTGTTTACTGCGACGATGATGGCGAAATTCAGGTTCCTTTTAAGGATAAGCCCTGGTGTGTTGATGGTACCGGTGCAGTGGAAGCTGTGAACAAGGCCGGAAAGGTCGTGTCTTTCTGTCAAACCTGCTTGCCAGGTTACGAAGATATGATCATTCCCAATGATGTCACTGGTACTATTACTCTAGCTGTTCCGGGCACGTCTTATTGGGACGAAACCGCAGCTCAGTAAGTGTTTATTGCTTGAACCAACTGGTATCCTGGGCTAACATGTCTAGTTACTATATCAATGCACCTGGAGTTGATGCCAGTCAGGGGTGTCACTGGGGAGACGAATCGAAGCCGATGGGTAATTGGTCCCCGTTCGTTGCAGGAGCAAACACCGTCGCCGACGGATCGACTTACGTCAAGCTTGGAATCAACCCGGTATGGCAGAGTTCCTCGCTCTCTAGTACCAAGCCAACCTTCGGATTAAAAGTTGAATGCCCACAAGGGGGATGCAATGGTGCTAAATGCCAAGTTGACGCAAGTGGCGTAACGAGCGACAACAAGGCATCTGGTGCTGGTGGGGGTGATTTTTGCGTTGTCACTGTTCCTAGTGGGGGCAAGGCCAATATCGTCGTCTATAACTTGGATGGCTCTGGGGGAGATTCCGGATCATCGAGCTCTTCGCTGGCTGCGCCAACTTCGTCAATTCAAGCTCCTACCTCGATAAGCGTGTCTTCGATCAGCTCTGTACCCTCTGTGACTTCAATTTCCTCGACGCCTTCTTTGTCGACCCCGACCTTATCTAGCTCGTCGGCTCACTCATCGAGTAGCAACATCGCTACCTCTGCTACCACCGCTTATTCGCTAGTATCTTCAAGACAGGCAAGCCCTACCCCCACGCCAAATTATGGCGGAGTGTTCCAAGAAAACGGAACGTCGGCCATGAACTTTTCCTCGTCTGATCCCTCTTCGACATCTGCTGCCGGGTCCAGCTCTATTAGTGGAGAAGAACCCGCGTCAAGCGAAACAAATAAGAACGAAGGCGCGGGTCAGCGACAAGGTGGTGCTGCTATGGCAGGCTTTGTCGTTGCTTTTGTGGCTGCCATCTACTTGCTTTAAGAGAATCGAGTAGCCACAAGTGCCGAATATGCCAACGCGAATCTAATTTCAACAATATAAAAGTTAATTTGGGGGCTCTGGCACTTTTTAGTCGCGACTACGGGGATAGCGACTTCCTTCGCCGAGGCGACCACATCTTGATCACTGCCGGCATTGTCGATATGTATGTTGTCATCTCGGAATGACAATAGACATAACAGTTTACGTACATATTACAGCTTATGGGGCTCTTATCACTCCCTCTGGAGCTGGAGCTGGTTGCATATAACGAAAAATTTATTCGATAGTGTTTATTATCTATTCAATGGCGATTGATCTCCGGAATCATCGACTACATTCATCAGTATCATTCTTGCTCATTTCGGGCTACATACATTTTTTGTCTTCTCAATATACCCCCTTTTGTGTAGCCCCTGCGGCTGGGTGGTTTGGAGTCCTTTTTATCATTCCTCAGAACCATTTCTTATCCACTTTTGAGTAAGCGGGTTCGAATATTCTAGATGGAGTTAGCTTTGCTGGAAGGCGGTGAGGTTTGGAGTCAAGAGATACGACCAAGACGACACGCCACGCGAATCAGATTTTGTACTTCGTTCATGAACATCGCTGACTTTGGGGCGCCGCAACCAGGGAGTCTTGGATCAAAAGGAAAAATACTTGTTGAGGGGTTTGGTAGAATTTTGGACATATTTTTTGGCAGACGCGGGTTGGGATTAGACCCTGCGTTTCTTGTGCATATACTTTACCTTCTGCCACGATGTGCCTACTCCCGGTATTGGCATTTGATAGCATTGAATGAGATTCGGTTGAAGCTGAACGCAATAGTGCTTGATGTGTTAATCTTTATGTTTGACATGATGTCGAATTAAACATGTGATTGTGCTATAAATATTATTAAGGGAAGGGGGTTATTAGGAGGCTGTTAGGTATTGAACTGTAGTTGAGCCACTTCGAATAAACCATCCCTTTACCCTAATGCAATTTCATTTAATCTAATAACTACTTGAAATGATTTCAATGAAGTATAGGTACTTATATAGTCCTTGTGCTTCTCTCTGGGTATCACGTGACAATATCAACCCCTTTTCAACAATAGAGTTCCGAATTTGTTCTAATTTGCCGTAACTGAATCTTGTTATATCTTTCGTTTTCTTATTTATTAGATGTTAGATGAGCCTCTGGGAAATTTTCAGTTGGCCCCAGCTGACCGGTTACAGTAGCCCCTTTCCATTTGATGGTGTCATGCGAAAAATGACCAAGGCAGTAATAGAAACTTTCGATCATTTAAGTAGAAAATCAGATGGACGAAGCTTTTGTGACATGTCTATATATATACAGGTGCTTCTATATATTCTACAATAACAGTTACGATAGAATCGTGCTCTATCTACTTGTCGTGAACCCGATCCTACATTGCTATGCAGCTGTTAACTACAGCGATACTAATGGCATTGAAAGCTTAAAGGGTTTACCATACTTCACTAGTAATCACGATAGACCTTTAAATATGTATGTTGAGATAGGCTAATATATGTAGATGTGGTAGATACGGAGGATAAAATGGTAAGGGGACAAGTATTGTACAATTATGTACCGACGAAGACAGCTTGGAAAACCAGATTTTCATTGCTACAAGTTCTGGGCTTTAATTATCCCCGAAAAAGTTTGCAAATGGTACTGTGAGAACACGTCACGCGTAAACACGACTGCAATCAGGTGGTCAATCCGCCAGGCACCAGCTCCGAGGTCAAGCTTAAATAGCACAATACAGTCACCAAATTTCAACCGGCGACATTGACACCAGGGCCTGAACACACAGAGTGGCCGACTGGTTAGTGTCACAGACACCACATCGAACCTGCCTTAACGGCATGCCTGCAATGGCTAGCCTAGGGTTCGATTCCCAGACATTGCACACCCGTCTGGGCCTTGAAAAAGGGTGGCAAAGAAATACCCAATAGCGGGGGCGCAGTAGCCAGGAGCCGGTTTACAGATCCTGGGCTGGGCCTGAAGAGGGTTGCGGGGGAGTTGGCTCTCTTTTTGGTCTTCATTCATTCATTGTTTCTTATCGCATCGTGATGCACTTGCTTCCGCGTTGATCTTTTTGAGTATACATTCTCATTAAAAATAGCAAAACAATAGGTATCCTAGGAACTCGATTCGGGTCCCATGTGCCCACCTAGCAACTGTACAACTGTACCTACCCATCTATTTATTCCTTTTTGAAGTTTAGACCTGTTATTTTATCGGAATTTCTTGGATCTCCTGGCAGATGATCTGGGGTCGGTTTTCACCTGTGTACATAATCTAGATATGATCTCCTTGCTAGGAGCGACGGTAGCTACCTCGAATACTAGGTCACCGAGTCTAACCAGGCAGACAGCAGGGCATACACAAATGTCCAGCCATCTTTCACAACGTTCTCCAATATTCTTCTTAGGAGCCTCAATACTCATACCGGGGAAGAATTATGGGTTGATTCTCACCGAGTGAGGGCTTGTCCCTGCATTCAATCGCTTATCCCAAAGATACAGGGCACTTCACCCGATACAATCTTAATCCACCAGCAAGAGGGAAGTCATCCATACCTTCTACCCAAAACCTCCCCAGCTTCAGCTTCTTGCATGCACTCAAATACCAAAGCAAACTAGCACGCATGGGGGTATCATTCGTAATTTCATTACGCCAGCCAGAAACCATGTCTAGCAATCCTACTATATGACTAGCCAGACTAGTATAGTCGATAAACGGGATTCGTCGAATCCAAATGCACTTATACCCAGGTTTTTAGGTATATATCTCCTCCCCGCCCTCCCCTTTTTTTGCGCTCTCTAACGATCTCTTCGTTTCTCCCCCTCTAGCACCGCTCTCTGTCTAGATCCTAACTCTGATCCTGAACCCACCCGGGAATCTCCCTCTCCGCCGACCTCGCCTCGATGACCTCGTACACATTCGGCCACCCGGCCGCCACCGCGCTGCCCTTCTGCTTCTTCCCGATGATCGCGAACGCGCCCTGCGTATGCGCTATATACCCGTGCACCAAATCCTGGCCGATGAGCGACATGACCATGTTCTCGACGTGGTGGTCCGTAACCGGCATATTGCCCGTCAGCACGCCCTCGTCCGGCATCAGCGCCTTGACGCCTCCCGGCGGCGGGGCCAGCGTCGAGTTCTTGAGCGGCTGGCCCGCGCTGTTCGACACCGCCTTCAATAGGTACGAGTTCACGTTGGCCTGGTGGTGGTGGTGGCGCGCCTTGGGCGCCGGCGCGGCGGGCACGTACCCCTCGAGCCGGCGCTGGACGTACGTCAGGACGGTGCGGAAGTCGGCGAGCTTGAGCACGGCGGCCTTGCGCGAGTCGCCTTCCTCGTCGGGCGCGTACGTGAGCAGGAACGTGCGGCGCGAGAGCGAGCGCCAGAGCAGCGGCCGGATGCGCCACTGCAGCGTCATGAAGAGCGGGTACCCCTTGCTGCGCAGCCAGTCCTCGTGCTGCTTGATCGTGTGCTGGAAGGCGATGTAGTTGCCCTTCCGGACCGCGGACGAGAGCTGCGAGTAGCACTGCGCCATGGACTGGGCTTCGGGCCGTTGGAGGAGGGACTGGGAGGGCAGCCGGCCCATGGTGAAATTTGCGGCGATTAGGTATGTGAGGATGAGGCGCCGGTGCTTTTGGTAGTGGGACGGCGTCTGCAGGTATGCTTCTTGGAAACATTGCGCGGCGCGCCAGTAGAGGCTGTGGTTGAAGTGGAAGCGGCCGAGGAAGTACAGAAATGTGACCCTCTGGGAAGCTGGGTAGTACGAAAGCGGCGGTGATTTTGCCATGAGGTTGGTCAAGAGTTGAGTCGCCAAGTAGGATCGATTGTTCTGAGCGCCGCAGAATTTAGCACGGCGAAGCTCTGAGTTAGCTGTGTATCTTTACATACCATCGTAAGGAGCTTCATGGTTTTGTTGGCGAAGACGTAGATGCCGACTTTTTTGCCCGTGGGCGGCGCGAATCGCGGGCTTGATCGATCCGTGAGGCATGCCGTGAAGAACTTTTGCATGATCTCCGCCGTGATCTCGATGAATGACTTCTGCTCATCATCGCCGCTATGTAAAGCCGCCAACCTCGATGTCAAATCCGGTCTCTTATTCAAGGTCATAGACAAGGTCGAGAAGGAGCCGCAAAGCGATATGCTTGTCTGCAACATGATCGTTCCATATGTGGGATTATTAAGCGCCGTTGCACATGAACTACTCTTATTAGCCGACGGCGATGCGAGATCGGAACGGGCGAATCGGCGTACTTGGTCAATGCAGTGAGTAACTGATGGGCTCCTAGAAGGTCTTCGAAGTCCACATCTCGCCAATATTGAAGATAGTCTTTTATGAAGGCGTTGAACCCGAACCACGATGTCCCCTGCCCTTCTGGTACGTCGTCATCTTCTGGTAGGCTGGACTCGACGAGTTTCTCGAGCGCATCGTCGTCTTGATAGCCACTCTTAAGCTCAGCTGCAAGATCGAGATACTCTTGCGGCAAAGGCGGTTCTACCTTGAGCCAGTCACGTAGGCCTTCTCCGTTGAGGGCTACCAGTATTTCGCGGATGCCCGCAAGAAATTGCTTTGTCACAGACATGGTGAGAAGTTGTGGGGTAGGGTGTCTTAGGATTCGAGGTCGGAGAACGTCGTCTTGATTCAAGTCATTGCATTTGAGTCAGCATGGTCGGTGAGTGAAGACGACTGGCAATGCAAGAATTCGTCCAAACGTAAAATGTAGAGAGGCGTGTTGATGTAAGTCTGGCGAGATTCCTCGGTGGTAGTTGATTGAGTAGGTGGATCGACTTATTGACCAGTCGACGCGAAGCTACCTTTCAAGACGCGAGAACAAAGATGGTGTAGGTGAAGAATGTGGGTACATTGACGGATGCTGTAGCCAATCAAATGTCTAGGGATGCTGTAGGGCTAATCTAATCAATATCCCTGCTTCAGTATAGTATGGTACGTACGTACACATGTGACATCATCCTACACTAAGAAGTCACACTGTACTACGATGCATGTGATAATCTTCATACGGAGAAGAGAATAGGAGTCAGTATCATTTGCCTGATGACCAGTAGTGGTGCTGAAAAGTTGGCATTCCATAGCTTTATTGATATCGCCAGCTCCCAAAGTATTTGGCATTAGTAGAAATAGTGTTAAAACTCCCAGACTAGAATTACATCCTAGGCATCCCACACTAATTATACAGAGTCGATACGTTGAACTACAATAGCAGTGGCCGCTCCACCTCCGTTGCAAATAGCAGCAACACCATACTCTCCTGGCTTGAGTTGATGCAACAGCGTTGTGAGAATTCGAGATCCCGAGCTACCTAGTGCATGACCTAGAGAGATAGCACCGCCCAATGGATTGACTTTAGCACCCTGAAGACCAAGAATCTATTATCCGATGTTAGTAATTATATGACTACATAGTTGAAAATTGGTCCTTACCTTTTCATTTGCTTTGATGACCGCAGCAAACGCCTCGTTAAATTCCCATACCGCAACCTGATCCTTTGTAATACCTGCACGCTTTAGAGCTATAGGCACAGCTTTAGCCGGAGCAACTGGGAAATCCACGGGATCAACTGCAGCATCTGCAGAGCCACATATCCTCGCTAGGACTCTTGAGCCAGTTCCAAATTCCTTTGCTATATCTTTGCTTCCCAGTACTAGCGCACTGGCACCGTCGTTAAGCGTAGACGAATTTGCCGCCGTGACGGTACCCGTGCCATCGCGAATAAAAGCTGGCTTTAGCGTGGGAACTTTCTCGAGCTTGATGTCCAAGTAACCCTCATCAGTGTCGATTATGGTATCGCCCTTCCGACCTTTTACAGTAACAGGGGCAATTTCATCTGCAAAGGCCTTGTTCTTCCATGCGGCTTGTGCTCGCTCGTAAGATTGGATTGCATATTCATCCTGTGCCTCTCGAGAGACGTTGTGCTTCTTAGCAGTTGTTTCGGCGCATATTCCCATGTGGAATTGATCGTATACATCCGTCAATCCATCCTTGATGAGGCCATCTTCCATCTTGACGTGGCCAAACGGGGGTAAGCTGCTAGCACGGGGAACATAATACGGAACTTGCGACATATTTTCCATGCCTCCGGCAATTTGTACCTCACTCAAGCCTAGTTGGATATTCTGAGCCGCAAAAACAACGGCCTTAAGCCCCGAAGCACAAACTTTATTGATGGTGGTGGCCTCAACGGTCTTGGGAAGACCAGCAAATATAACTGCTTGTCTGGCGGGGGCCTGGCCAATCGAACCTTGCAAGACATTTCCCATATAAACATCTGTCACTTCCTCAACCGGCACTTTTGACTTTTCCAAAGCTGACTTAATAGCAACAGCGCCGAGCTGTGGAGCGGATACTGTGAGAAATGACCCATTGAACTGTACTCGATATTAGTTGTCATGACGTCTGCGCCCGGCCTGGGAGCGAAATCTACCTTCGCGGTGGGTGTCCTAGATGCGCTTAAGATATATGCATCTCGAACCTCTTGCCGCCGAGCGGTTTGCGCTGAGAAATAGCGCGGTGCGCCGAAAGCTCGAATCCCCGAGCTTCTAGCAGTAGATCTGATTACACCTGGTCGAAGTATCATTTTGGGGTTTCCTAAACACAGAGTATAAAGGGACACAAGAGTATATCTGGAAAAGAGATAGTTGACGAATGAACTAGATGAATTATTTAAACCCGGTAAAACAAATGTTAAACTAAGCTCATGACATTAGTAAAATGGCAATTGCGAGCAGGTTAATAAGTTCAAACTCCGTTGTTATCCTTTCGATGCTTATTGGCACCTCGGCTTACAACGGAATGCTCCTTCAAAAGTGCTAGACACTGCCCCGCCACTCAAAGGATCAACCGAGGAACCATAATCTGGGGAAGTACATCTGTAGCTGCCAGCTTAAATCCATGGCCGCCACCTAGCATTCCTTGGGCATTCTCCGTGCTGTACCTTCCTGATGGATTTAAGCATAACTGACTTTAAAGTAGTATGTAGGTAGGTGCGTGGGAATATTTGTAAAGCTCTATCCATACCTACACGTAAGTGAATAGGTATATCGAAACAATCGAAACAGACTGGAAACACATGTGCAGAAACAGTAGAACTAAACTGGTTAGAACACCATCACTACCAGTCCGAATGGCTAATTAAGTACAGAGGTACCTATATCTATGCGTGGGCACTGGCCGCTCTGCAAGAGGTTCCGTCCAATTAGTGTAACAGTCATATCCATATTGGTTCCTTAGTCCGTCACGTGTATCCCTAGCTCTTTCTCTTCGGAACGATTCATTGATTACTTAGTATCGGTAGGTACCTATGTACCCTTCCCTTATCACGTCAATTCCTTCCACCTACTATTAATGTCCATCTCTGTTGGGACAGTCGCCGCCCAAAGCTCACCATTCTACCATAACTCACTCAACTTCATCTAACTCTTCACATCACGAACAAGTCTCGTGCCATCTCTTCCTCTACGTACCATTCCACTCCTTTCCGGGACAAACATCAATTTGTTGACCGGATCCTTCTCTTACAAGAGTCGCCATTCAGAACACCCTTCCAAAGCTACCCAAGATGTCGACCGCTGCCCGTCGTCGTTTGATGCGAGACTTCAAGGTCAGATACGCACGCCTCTAACTTGAAGAGATGACGTACTGACGAGATGGTGTAGCGAATGCAGACTGACCCTCCGGCTGGCGTTTCCGCTTCTCCGGTTCCCGACAATGTCATGACTTGGTGAGCTCAATGACACTACTTCATTCCTATCGCGATCTAGAACTCATGGTATTTTATGTAGGAATGCCGTTATCATCGGACCCGCCGACACGCCGTTCGAAGACGGAACATTTCGACTCGTGATGCACTTCGAAGAGCAATATCCGAACAAGCCTCCTGCGGTCAAGTTTATTAGCCAGATGTTCCACCCCAACGTCTACGCCACCGGAGAACTTTGTCTCGACATTCTACAAAACCGATGGAGCCCTACCTACGATGTTGCAGCTGTCTTGACGAGCATTCAAAGGTGAGGAGGAATGACTCTTGAATTTACCACCGGACCTATCAAACGCTAACATATGCTGGAATCAGCTTGCTCAATGACCCCAATACTGGCTCTCCGGCGAATGTGGAAGCTTCCAACCTCTACAAGGATAATCGCAAGGAATACACTAAGCGTGTTCGCGAGACCGTGGAGAAGAGTTGGGAAGATTAAGCTCGAGCTTGAGCTCTCTACGAGAATATGACGACCTGAGGTGTATAGAAACACCTCTCGATCATGATTTACGTATGATTGGGACAATGAGGTTTTGAGCTTAGGAATTCGCACAACATTGTAGCATACGATGAAGCCGTTTCGGCTGAATAGCAAGAGCCGTCCATTGGGGGCGTCAGGGTTTGGCGTTTGGTAGGCGTCGAACAGGAAGGGCTATCGTATTTCGGTGGCTGATTATGCTGATAATCCTTCTCGACGCTCAAATGATCATATTATGGGCCATTGCTTTACACAGGATTCATTTCCCGTTTTCCCAGATCCCCGCATCAGCCCCGGCGTTGTCGTTTCTTTCTTTGCTAGGGAATGCCAGACACGATTGCTTCCTAGTTAATTAGCCCGCGACAAATTACAAAGAATGGTAGAAACATTGAACGGATAAACCCTGCAAAGTGTTCAGCTGGCCTCATATTGTGTCCTGACAGGTCGATTACCTAGATGCCTTGCTAGGTCGGCACTGTTCGGGTTGGAGATTTCCAGGTTGCTTATGAATGTACGCATGAACTGCAGGTTAAAGGTTGCCAGACTTGCAGGGCTAGGAAGTCCACACGTTTAATAAAAGTCGGGTCAGGTCCTTAATTATTTTGGGTTAGATGGCGTGTTGTATCATGCTCCTCCATACCTACTACCTACATATGGATATGCAGTCATTGTATTTACATTGTAGGATATGTACACACACTTACATACCATCAATCACTAACAAATATTGAATTTTTGTTTGTGCTTAGACGCGTTCCAAGTTCCAAGTTCCAAGTTACTTCTGAAAAGGTGGGATGAGAAAGATTGAATTTAGTGACTGCAGCAACCCGGGCAACCTTGGAATGTAAATGAGGGATACGTACCTGAGGGGTACCACGTCTCATCTAAGTTACTAAAAAGTCACTAAAACCCTTCGCTCAGGCTAATCTTAGGTGTACGGTTGCATGGAAGGTACAGGCATGGTACATACTTGATACCGCCAATATTGTGGCCTTTTCGTTTCCTTGCAATTGCAGCTGCCACTTCCCCTGGATTAGGTGCTTGATTCTCGAACTTCAGGCACGACCGAAACCTAGCGAAAACGTGAACGACTCTTTTCTCCCCAATACAATTTACATACTACGAACTCCGACTCCAACAAAATTGACGCGGCGCTTCACAACACCGCAACAATCCTCATTCAAACATAAACATAAAGAAAACTAAAGATAATACAACATAACGACGAGTCTTATTGTACCCTATTCGACATTCTTTGACCCGTTCGCCGTCTTATCGGCTGAGCTGCGTCTGTACCTAACCAAAGATCCAGCCCTGTTTCCCTAACATGAAATAGGCCTCCCCCCTTCCGTACATATTACTCTGCGTGTAGCCGTCTACCAACGCAAAGCGTCATCATGGCTAGCGCAAACAGTATCAAGGTCGTTGCCCGTTTTAGGCCGCAGAATAAGGTCGAGTTGGCATCGGGCGGAGAGCCTATCGTCACTTTCGATGGCCCCGATACCTGTACCCTGAATGTGCGTCTACCCGTCTACCTGCGGGATGCCCCTCTCTTTACCGCCACTCATGCTGACGATGATATCCCGAGTTTAGTCGGCAGAGGCCGCAGGTTCTTTTACATTTGATCGCGTGTTTGATATGCAAGGTAGACAGGTCGATATTTTCGATTACTCCATCAAGCCCACCGTCGACGATATTCTTAACGGTTACAATGGAACGGTGTTCGCATACGGTCAGACAGGTGCCGGAAAGTCATATACAATGATGGGAACGAGTATAGAAGATGACGAAGGCAAGGGTATTACTCCTCGTATCGTCGAACAGATCTTCAGCAGTATCATGTCTAGTCCACCTACCATCGAATATACTGTCCGAGTGAGTTACATGGAAATTTACATGGAGCGTATCCGCGATCTTCTGGCTCCGCAGAACGACAACCTACCCGTCCACGAGGAAAAGAACCGCGGTGTATATGTCAAGGGGCTCCTCGAGATCTACGTCTCTAGCGTAGAGGAGGTCTTCGAGGTCATGAAGAGAGGTGGAAATGCAAGAGCTGTTGCTGCCACCAACATGAACCAAGAATCATCACGCTCGCATTCTATTTTCGTCATCACCATCTCTCAGAAGAACCTTGAGACCGGCTCGATGAAGAGCGGTCAGCTATTCTTAGTTGATTTGGCTGGTAGCGAAAAAGTAGGCAAGACCGGTGCCAGCGGACAAACCTTGGAGGAAGCGAAGAAGATCAACAAGAGTTTGAGCGCCTTGGGCATGGTCATCAACGCGCTTACCGACGGCAAATCCTCACATGTGCCCTATCGAGACTCGAAGTTAACGAGAATTTTACAAGAATCGCTCGGTGGAAATAGTCGAACCACGCTCATCATAAATTGTTCGCCAAGTAGCTACAACGATGCCGAGACACTGAGTACTCTACGATTCGGTATGCGAGCCAAGTCGATCAAGAACAAGGCGAAGGTCAATGCCGAACTCAGTCCTGCAGAGCTCAAGCTTATGCTTGCTAAAGCTAAGGCTAACATCACAACTTTCGAGACGTACATTTCGAACCTAGAAGGGGAGCTTCAGTTATGGCGAGGCGGCGAGACAGTTCCTAAGGCTCAATGGGTCACGTCGATGGCGGCCGATGGCGTTGCTAGCACGAGAGCAGAGGCGAGGCCTCATCGTCCTTCAACTCCATCGCGGTTGATACCCGAGAGCCGCGCCGAAACGCCCGCATTAACAGAGCGCGCGGGGACCCCAAGTCTTCCTCTGGATAAGGACGAGAGAGAAGAGTTCCTTCGAAGGGAGAATGAGCTCCAGGATCAGTTGGCGGAGAAGGAATCTGCCGTCGCTGCGGCTGAAAAATCTCTCCAGGAATCCAAGGAAGAGCTGACGTTCTTGAAGGAACACGACAGTAAGCTAGGCAAGGAGAACGAGAAATTGACGACCGAGGTCAATGAGGCGAAAATGCAACTAGAGCGTCTGACTTTCGAAAGCAAGGAAGCTCAGATCACGATGGACGCATTGAAGGAGGCGAACTCCGAGCTCACGACCGAACTCGACGATGTTAAGCAGCAGCTTCTGGACATTAAGATGAGCGCGAAAGAGACAAGTGCCGTCCTGGATGACAAGGAGAAGAAGAAGGCGGAGAAGATGGCTAAGATGATGGCCGGGTTCGACTTAGGCGGAGATGTGTTCAGCGCTAATGAGCAGTCGATTGCAAATGCTATTCAACAAGTTGAGGCGCTCTATGAGCAGAGCTCATCAGGGGATCCTATTCCTCCGGATGACTTGCAGGAACTCAAGGCAAAGCTGGTAGAGACCCAAGGTATCGTCCGCCAAGCGGAGTTGTCCTTGCACAGCGGTGTACCGGGTCTGGCCAATGGCAAGACTATGCAGCAACAGATTGCTGAGTTTGATGTCATGAAGAAGAGTTTGATGCGGGATCTGCAAAATAGGTGCGAGAGGGTTGTCGAGCTGGAGATCTCCTTGGACGAGACGCGAGAACAGTATAACAATGTGCTACGGTCATCTAATAACCGTGCCCAGCAAAAGAAGATGGCGTTCCTCGAGCGGAACCTGGAGCAACTCACACAGGTCCAACGCCAGCTCGTCGAGCAGAATAGTAGTTTGAAGAAAGAGGTCGCTATTGCAGAGAGGAAGCTTATCGCGAGGAACGAGCGTATCTCTAGCCTAGAGAGCTTGTTGCAAGATAGCCAAGAGAAGCTTACTGCCGCGAACCACAGGTCGGTTACCCTCCCTAAATATCGGTTTCGCTTGTATTAACACGTATAACAGATTCGAGTCTCAGCTTACCGCCGTCAAGGAGCGTCTTGAGGCGGCCAAGGCCGGATCTACACGCGGCCTAAACTCATCATCCGGTGCTGGCGGGTTCTTGGGTAGCCGTATCGCGAAGCCACTTCGTGGTGGAGGGGGCGACGCTCCTGCCCAAGTCCCGACCGTTGCGAATCTGCAGAACGAAGGCAATGCTGGTAAGAGAAGCAGCTGGTTCTTCCAGAAATAAGCACGTCAGGTAAAGGAAGCAGCGAATAGAAACTGTGAGCACCGAACAGTCGGACGGAACCAGAATGTTTAGGGATTTTAATTACGCTCTAGAAGACATGCGAGACGTTTCGATTTCATCCCACGGTACAGATAGAGGATTATACCCCAATCATCAGTCTGCGTTTCTCTTACCCCTGTCCCTTTTTCTTCTATTTCGACACTCCACTGCTCTGACTGTATTCGAGCCTCGAGAGGCGGATTGTCAGAATGGAATTAATCCCCTATACATGTGTATGCGCCGACTCCCTGTCGTTTTGGTTTCTGATTCTGAATTGGACCTATGGGTTGATCGTGCTTGCGGAACAGGAGACAATGAGGGATTGAAGTTCGGTGTGACGAAACTGTTTGCACGGGTAATGATGACAGGACACGACACGATATGGCTTTTTTCACTAGTTCTGCAGTTGTCTGCATGCATTGGAATGGAGGGCGGGGAGTTTGCGTAATACCATACTTTGTGGTCATAACCGACTGTGTGGTTACTTGCTTGTGTAGGTAGTCAAGACAGTAAGATGTTCAATGTGAAGACAGATACTCAACTTGGCCAAACATGAAGTTCGATATTGATTGTGGCCACAAAGACCCTTGCGTTGATATTAACCTTGGCCATGGGTTCCGAATAATTCATGATAGAGGCGTAATAACGAGATAGCCTCTTGTGAGGTCTTGGAGACCGCGGTTACGATTCGTACCAGTATATTCACTCCTTCCTCAGGTTGGCAAGTTGTTGGACCACTGATTAAAAAAACGCGGGTGCTCTAGAACACGAGGGATTATAAGATACTAGGAATCGTTCTCATGGATAAAGATTACCCCTGAAGAGAAACTACTGTCTATCCAAGTAAGGGACAGCGTTACATTACACTCTATTTTAGGGATAACAGCAGCATTGCCTGCGAGATAACGCGCACTCCTGTCTTGCAGGATTTTGTGATTACTACCTATGTAGGCGATATTCCATTATTGATGATCGTCTCTATGTCAGTATAAAACTTCTACAGCAACCTTAATCACGTAGACGGATATACGATTAGACCAAGTCATGCGCCACACAACTAAGGAATCACTATCAAAGCATGCCTGGCGTTTTTAATTTAACCTGTACGGAGAACAAGACCTCTGAAGGTATGAGGATAGGGTATGGAAACACTTCCTCTAGCTCCCCATCCGGTTGGTAACCTGACATAAGCAAGGGCTTCGATAGGTCTCAATGAGCGATCCAGATAATTGAAATTTATAAGAGTAAAAACTAATATGAGTCAAGATTAGGGTGGGTATGTCACCGCTCTTTGGATCTTGAAGACAGGACGGTCGAGGAGCTGATGTGAAACGAGTTTTGGATATATCTTGAATTCAGGGTACAGTGGGTAAATCGGTAGGAGTCGAGACTCAGCTTTTTCGATTATAGTAATAGCCGAAATCAGGTCACAAGGCCAATTCTACGAATCGAGCTACTGTTCACGACATGTTATGTATCCGCCATGTGAGCAAAACCGGCGTTTACATGCTTATGGCACGGAACAAGTTTCGTTTATCCGGAAGGCCTCCGATTCCATTCCCAAATCGACTGCTAGAAAAGTCATTTGGAGACCGATAAGGCGGTGACGGCGTCGTCGCATTTGCCGGTGGAACCCGGTCTCAGCGCCACGACGGAATTAACGCCATTGGTCCAGGCTCGAAGCGGTCTATTCAGTGGAATGTTGATGAATAAAAAGCAATGATATACGGTGAGAATGAGAGATGTCGATGGGACCATGTTCTGGAAGCAACCGAGTTTCCACTCGTCTTTTCCTTTAGCAACCAACTCATCTATCAACGTTAGCGTCTGGTCTTATCCTTCCTATTAGGCGGGGATCTAGGGAGCTAAAAAAAAAAGGTCATCTGATCACCAAGCGAGCTTTGACAAGGCGCCGTTTGATTAACGACGAACAATGCCATGCCATGACAATGAACTTGGAAAAGGAACGAAGCCTATTTCTCGAGAACCAATAGCAACAGGGGCTGGTATGTCTAGCAGGGAAGCTAACCGCTGTCGCTAAGCAAACATATCAGCAGTGACAAATATCTAGCCTAGAGAAAGCTGGACGAGGCTAATTGTCAACCTTGAACAAGGGTAGCTCTTGGTAAGCTTCGGCAGGGAAAATATCACGAATAGTATGGAGACTCTTGAAATTGCAGTCTTTATTCGGGTTTAACAGGACCGAGGTATAAAATTGGAACTCACAAGCTTCTCGATGAAAAGTAAAAGGTGTCTAGGCCATTGTCGATGCAGCCCATGACCCGGGTTAGGCCGACTCGTTCCAGAGATTCGGTAACGGAGGTTCCAGAAGACGCAACATTCGTACAGTTGGAGATACCCTAATGGACGATCACCTCGTGGTCGATGTAAGTCAGGCTGCCAATTCCGAACGGATAGCCTAGGCGGCTCTAGAGCCTCCAATAACCCCCTCTTCGGAGTTCAGGATAAGCGCCGCGCTACGGGTTGGGGCATGCTTGGAGCCTGGTGATCCAACACATACTGTGCCAAGGGCCCGAAGGAGTTGGTAGCAAGCTAAGTTATACCTGTATATGGATATACTCCGCTGTCGCATTTGCGGAGAATATAAGAAAACCATCAAGAGCGAGACATCACGAGATATCTGTTGGATTGCTTACTTCCTATACTTGTAGCTCTAGTAACACATGTAATGAATGAAGTTTGATAGGGCTGGGAGCCTCTGTGAGAAGCTAGGTTCCAATAAGGTTAAGGAAAGTACGGGGATGTGATACGTCGGCCTTATGGTAAGATTAAGGTTAGAAAAGTTAGGATACCCAGTAGAATCTAATAAGTTGAGAGCTATTCGGGCCGATCACGTCTTTTTAGAGATTTGATAGATGTTAGTAGAAGTTAGCGGCGCGGGGCTCCAGAGTCACCATTAAGGTTTACCAGGTTCCCCCTCCAGGACCCCTATTTTCCCGTATCGGGGCCCCGCTAAAACGAAGAGAGCATCCATGGTTTTACTTCATTTGTATTAGGCCTCGACTTTTCACACAACTTTTTACTCGGCGGTAGATTAACGACAATCCTTTTCGGCCCATGCTACTACTTTGGTATTTTCACCATGTCATCTCCATTCTAGAAAATTTCGTTTTCTGATTTTCCTCTCGCTTACAATGTTGGCCGAGCCATTGCAACCTCTACCCATCAGATCTGATCTCACGAGATTTGCAACACGGGTCTGCTAAGACAAGATAGGCCAAGTTGATCATCCTTCCTCAGATCAAAGCTGGATTAAGCGGACTAAATATATACTCCTATGTACAATACTTATGAATGAGGCAGCTATGGTTATTCACTAATAACAGAATCATAACACTGCAAGGCCCGAAGCACTTTAAGAATCGCTCAGTGGCGAACGTGGCTACCAAGAAGGATCTGCTTCCGGGATGCTACTACTGTTTGTTTAACCCTGGCCAGTCCTATTTGGAATCATGACCTGAATCAATAGCGAACAACACAGGATTAGTGTCGCAACTTAAATCCGCCATGCAGTATCGAAAATCCTGCATTGGACGGTTGATACTCATATCTAACTGGCTACATGACCAACGCCATGGTGTCCTGACGCAAATAAGCAGACACTTACGCGACGCCACGTTCCTAGGACCTTCTAGTTAAAGAAACCTTGGAAGTTAGATCATCCCGCGCCATCCTATCAGGATGTGGGGAAGGCTTCGACTGAAGAAAGAAAAGAAAGAGAAGAGAAGAAAAGAAAAGAAAAGGCACCGGGTCGGAGAAGTAATAATAAAGACATTTTACTTGGTTTACTTAGCTCCAGGCCTCTAAACAAACTCGCTTCGATGATAGGCAGAAACCCCAAGCTCGAATTAGGACCTTTTTGGTACGTACTCCGAGAGATAGTATGTAACGTCGCGTCTATGAGCTCCCGCCGAAATGAGGCATCTTCGACAACTGTTCCAATGTTCCAATTGCCTCGAGTCGTCGAGAGTAGGAATTCAGGTCAAGAGTCAGCAAGAAACTATTGGGCGGAAACCCTGGCCAGCTGACGACAGAACCAAGTTATCCTTTAGGATAACACGCGAGCAGAAATTTCATAGACCATGAATATAGGACTCGGAACGAACAACATAGGCAACTGGTTTAATCCTTCTCCCCTCCAATCTGTTTCATCCGTTCCACAGCTTTGACGCTCAGCCGTCGGCGTATCTACTAATTCATGGCGCTTGAGCATCCAAGCGAGCCAACCGGCCTAAGGATCACGAAAGTACCAATTCAGCAATTGGTCGGTGGATCCCTGCTCTTGCACATTCTCCCTAATTACATCAATATCAGAGAGATTGATGGCTTTGCGACTTGCATGAGGAGATCTTTCAGCGCTGCTAGCTATATATTTTTGCAGATAAATTCCGTTGCAAGCCACAAACCGGATACCCACACTAGCTGTCGGGTTCCAAATTGTATGCATATGTACACATCCATTTATATCGCTCTATCTCGACCATTTAAGATCTACTGTAGATCATAAGGGTATGGCAATCTATTAAGTGATAGATGAGCTTCCAATATGTACCTACCTTCCTGCCTGCCTACTGGAGCAAATGGTAAAGAGTAAGGGATTCCGACTCAACCAGGCATACAACAAACATCACATTCGTCAACACGGAATCGTACCTCCTTCCCCTCGTATTTAGTACATCACGTATCATATTCGCCTAGAGAACCTGGCAATATTGATATACAAACCTATTGAAAATTTGAGTTCAGGAGCAACATCCTGGCGGTATTTCGTTGGTCTTTTTGCTGCTAATTAGCTAAGGAGCGTGCGTCTTAAGCGGGCTAGGACCACGAGAATAATTTTGCGCTAACTGGGTATTATCCCCATTTTCCCTCGTCTCCATTTTCCCCAAGTCTGCGAGTTTGGGGTTCCTACTCTGGCATAGGATCTTTGCGGCATTGTGGGTCAGATCTAGCTGCATGTCGGCGAAAACAAGTAGACGTCTTCTTTTCCCCAAGCAAGAGACGGCCCTTTTACACCCTGGTCTATAAGCCAATATCCTGGCTCGCAGATGTGCGGCAATCCAATCACCGCCGACCCGTCAACTGCAACTATTCAGTCTAGACCCTACAGGAGACCCCGAATCTTCGCAGCAATGATTTGCCCCAAAGAAGCTTAGTCCAAGCAACAGAGCTACATGAGTAAAAAGAAATAATGGCGTGTAACGCTCTACTACTACGTCCGAGAACACCGGGATGTTTCCAACGTTCCTCGACGAGAGCCAGGAGAACCTGCTGGGTTCGTCTGGGCACCTAGCTACCACGTTTCCCCCAGGCTGGGATATGGTGGTCCCACCAACAACTCGATGCTATCTGCAGGGGGGTGTATTCATCTCGTCGCAGAGGTTGTGGGTTACTTTCCGTCGATACCCTACTGGACGGTGCAGCTATATAATATCTGGCAAACACTCCCCAATCCTACCGTTCCTATGTTTCCTTTCCCTTGCTACCCCCGTCTAAGACGCGCCGTCCTCCGTGCTCCATCGGCGACGCCAGTTAAACTTTGGATCGTGATAGCTTCAACCTTATAATATACGCAGGGACAAAGATAAACAACGAAAAATGGCTGGAGGTGCTATCGTCACGGGCACTGTCGACGTGGGCCGCGTCGAGGCCCCGGTTACCTTTAAGGCCTACCTGATCTGCGCCTTCGCCGCCTTCGGTGGTATCTTCTTCGGTTATGATACCGGTAAGCTCGAAATCATCCAGATCAGTTATACCATACGCTCGTTAGGTCTAATCAGAGATATGATATGTAGGTTGGATGGGTGGCGTGCTGGCCATGCCGTACTTCATCACTCTATACACTGGAATCCCCTACGACTACGACGCTGCTGCACCAATCGGCGTTAACAAAGATACCTTCGTGCTCCCTTCTTCGATGCAGTCTCTGTTCACATCTATTCTGTCATGCGGTACTTTCTTCGGCTCTCTCATGGGAGGTGACATCGCAGACTTCGTCGGCCGACGTCCTACTATCATTGCCGGTTGCTTCGTCTTCAGCATCGGTTGCATCATGCAGATTTCAAGTACTAACCAAGAAGTACTATTCGTTTTTGGCCGTTTGATTGCTGGCTGTGGTGTCGGTTTTATTTCCGCCGTCGTCATCTTGTACATGTCCGAGATCGCGCCCAAGAAGGTCCGTGGTGCTATGGTTTCCGGTTATCAATTCTGCATTACCATCGGTATCCTATTAGCCAACTGTGTTGTCTATGCTACCCAATCTCGCCCCGATTCGGGCTCGTACAGAATTCCTATCGGTGTTCAGTTCCTGTGGGCCCTTATTCTTGGTATTGGTTTATTCATCCTCCCCGAATCTCCCCGTTACTTCGTGAAGAAGGGCAAGATCGAGGACGCTGCCAAGGCTCTCGCCTTCGTCCGCGGCCAGCCTCTGGATTCCGACTTTGTCAAGGACGAACTAGCCGAAATCGTGGCCAATAATGAGTTCGAGCTACAACACATCCCCCAAACTTCATATATCGGTTCTTGGACCGCCTGTTTCAAGGGCTCCTTATCCCACGGTAATAGCAGTATTCGACGAACTATCCTGGGTGCGGGATTACAATTCATGCAGCAATGTACCGGTATTAACTTTGTGTTCTACTTCGGTACTCCGTTCTTCACGCAGTTAGGAACCATCTCCAACCCGTTCCTGATCTCTCTGATCACGACCCTGGTCAACGTTTTATCGACGCCTATCTCTTTCTACGCCATCGAGAAGTACGGTCGCCGTGCCCTTCTCCTGACGGGCGCTTCTGGTATGATCATCTCTCAATTCATCGTCGCCGCCGTCGGTGTCACGCAGGGACGTGAGGAGGTCCACAACAACGCCGCCGTCCAGGCCATGATCGCGTTTATTTGCATTAACATCGCCTTCTTCGCCACGACCTGGGGTCCCACCGCTTGGGTTGTAGTTGGCGAGATCTTCCCGCTTCCCATCCGATCACGCGGTGTCGGTATCTCCACCGCCTCCAACTGGTTCTGGAACACCATCATAGCTGTCATCACCCCCTACCTCGTCAACGTTGACGAGGCCAACTTAGGTCCCAAGGTTTTTTTCCTATGGGGCTCGCTATGCTGCCTCTCCCTTACCTTCGCATACTTCCTCGTTCCGGAGCTCAAGGGCTTGTCCCTCGAGCAGGCCGATATGTGCATGCAGGAGGTCAGCCCTCGCCGCTCGGCCGGCTGGAAACCAAGCCACACGTACGCGGCCGAGATGCACCAGGTCGAGGATAATCAGGCGATCTTGGGTGATACGATCGAGGAGAAGGTCTAGAAGGACTTCGTTCCGGACTTTTGTACCTTACCAGAAGCCGTCGCTATCGGACGGTGGGAGCCATGCTGGAGAAAGCGGCTGTGTGGGTCGAAGATCAGACCTAGGTTATATATATACCTGCTACCTCATATGTGACTATATAACGATATATCCGTACTTATACTTGAAAAAACAATTATATAAAAGACAGATAGTCGAGCTCCGTGCTCGGTTTATGGGTATATAAGCTGATTTTAGTTTGCAACATGATACATTATAAATACCAAGATCTTGATGAGTTCGTGAATGATAAGGACGTTGATGAGATATGTATTATGTGTGGCCATTGCTCGCTCTGTATTATTGTTGGAAGATTAGGTGGCTGGAAGCCTAGGCGCTGTATCTCAGGGGTATAGGTATGTACTATCTATGGACCTTTACTTCCTCTTATTAACTTAACTTTTTAATATAACGAGTACGACACTCATAACCTCCGTTGATCTCAACAATTATGATGTGATTTTGCTGGTTAGGTATCCCTATGTGTTGGGCATTTTAGTAAGGAGTTACATGATGATTGAAGGATTAACCCCTTTTCATGGATCTTACTCTCTGATAATCATAGCCATGTTTACCTATTTTCTTTTTAGAGTGGAACTTGGAAGCTTTCCTCGGGGGAATAGAGGATTTATGCGAAGCTCCTTTTGACTTTCGATATGGCGACGGTATTTTGATTTTTGAACCCGTGGTATGCTGTCCCACTGTGCAAGAATAGGTGGGAAGAGGTTGGAAGATCGGTAACCAGGACGACGGCACGTGGATATTTGACAACGTCTAAAAGCGTGACTCACTTTAGTTCTGCCCTGACCACTAGATACCTTATATACCTTAATTACAACTTGATTTTCCAAGGTCACTCGAAGGTGACGTGTGGTGCAATGGTCTGATGTGTGGGGTGGGTTCTGGGGGCTCTCTCAAGGTCGAGGTTCGAGTGACACTCAGGGCAATAAAGTCAGACTGTTGCATTACAATTCCCACAACCACAAACTCTGTGGGATTCTGACCATAGTCAGGCGGATCTTGCGCGAGGCAAGGCAGACCCCATACGCGTAGTATGGGAACCCACACATTGCCCAAATTTTTTTTTTCTTCCTTGATTGTTCTTATTGTTTATAGTTGAGGTAAACATAGGTATTTCATATTCTACACGATCTATATCTACACTTTCTGTTCGGAAGACATTCTCCTTTCTAACTTTCAGAGGTATTTCCTATGTAGCTAGGATACTACCTAACCCGAGAGGGTGGATAATGTATCACCCTCCCCGCCCCTCCATGGTTTCAATATCTTTAGGGACGAATCAGATCCTTTTTGAAGTACATAGACTAATCGAATTTAAAGTGTGGCGCGCTCAATCTACCAAGATCATCATGAGATTGGTACGTAGGGCGAATACCCCCAGAACTCCATTTTGGCGTTCCGTGATGTTGTGTTACACATCAGTTGAGGTGCCACAACAGGCTTACGGAGGTATAGTAGGTTATGTACTGTGTACTGCGGGAATTTTCCTTCTCTTGTCACGGGGCTCCGTTACTTTATGCACAACATTACGTAGCTCTGACATTAACCTAATAAAATGGATCTTTTTAGAGTTAATGCTCAAACTAACTACCTACATATTGTGCCATTTAGGGATTGATTACTTGTTGAATTGGAACCGATAAGGCTGAGGACACTTCCATGTATCTATTTTAGATTATCCTGTATCTCGTTTAAAATAAAATAAAATAAATAAAAGCAAGAGGACATACACAAGCAACTTGCTTTTTCCAAGAGCAAATATGCTTGTCTCGGTGATGGCCAAGCAATAATCGGCATCGCTGAAGCTGTGGAGTAGGGTTTATTTCTAAGTGAGTTTGGTGTCATTGCTTTCATTGGATATATGTGTGGGAAAAACCATGTAGGATTAAAAATGACATACGAGTTTTTCCATTTTTTAGAGGACATAGTTTTCCTTGGCTGAATGTTTGCTTTCTTGGATTATGCCGTTGATTTCGTCCAAAATAGCAAGCTTACATGCGAAATATCTCTATTTATAAACATCTATATAAGTGGTGATCAATGATTTTTCTTCAGGTGAAGGTTCGGCAAGGAATTACCTAGTAAGACTTATCTTTTTCTTGACGATGAGAAGTGGTACATTGCCTTTCTGGCAGTTTGACTTAAGTGCCGTTGTGCCTACAAATATCTTGACTATGTTATAGTTTCTTTTCCGTCTTAAACCCGTATGCATGAAATATGATGTAAGTGAGTTGTGGGTGGTTTAGTTGAATATATAGTACGAATCCCTAAATATGCATATGGATCCTATAAGCTCACACTTATTTCCAAAGAGATTAGAAGGACGCCAAATAAAGTTCCGGGTTAGGAGTAGAAATGGTTTAGATTAGCGGCTTCCGAGTAGATGGTTTCGGTAACTGACCCCCACGTGGCTAAGTGTGGGGTAAGCACGACTTGGCCAGGTACAAGTTTCAGTGACGTCGTCTCTGCTGCCTGATTTTTACTGTATTAGAAGTCAACAAACGTTTAAATTTAGCTACACAACCTTATAGATACAACATTCATCACATGATCCGAGAATCGCTCAGCCAAAGGCGTCTATTGTCAAATACCTAGGATCATTTGATCAATCCGTCATCATGGAGCGAAAGACATGGGTCAAGCTAGGTATTAAACTTATTAGTGTACATTCGTTGTTGAATCAAGGTAATGCCGCTAATATGGCATGGCAGAGAACAATCCGGAGGTGATGAACCAGTTGGCACTCAAACTAGGACTGTCTTCCGAGCTATCTTTCTACGATGTCTGGTCACTGGACGAACCTGAGCTGTTGGCTCATATCCCTCGTCCGGTTCTGGCCCTGCTAGTCATCTTTCCTCTTACCCCTGCTTGGGACAAGGAACGTCGAGAGGAGGACGCTGAAAAGGGTGACTACAAAGGCCACGGGCCGGAAGAGCCCGTAATTTGGTTTAAGCAGACCATCGGGCATGCTTGCGGATCGATCGGATTCCTGCACTGTGCCATCAACGGCCCCGCCGCCCAGTATATTCGGCCGGACTCCGACCTGGATAAGATCCGGCATGCCGCCATTCCCCTCAGAATGGAGGAGAGAGCCGATATGCTCTACAATAGTGTCCCCTTCGAAGAAGCCCACAAGTCTTGTGTCCATACTGGAGACACAGCTCCGATTAACGAAGGCCATCCTGGACATTTCGTGGCATTCGTCAAAGTCGACGGCAGACTTTGGGAGCTTGAGGGATCGAGGAAGGGTCCGATCGACCGGGGTGAGCTAGGAGACGATGAGGACGTCCTCAGTCCAAAGGCCCTTGACCTGGGAATTAAACGGACCATTCGGCTTGATCAGGAGGCTGGAGGTGATGATCTGCGATTCAGTTGTATCGCATTGGCCCGCAAGACATGATGTCTCTCAGAATATGCATGAAGTGGTTAAAATCCATGGATTCTACACGCTTTGAGCAATGGAGCCAGAACGGCTATTAGTGTTGTTGGCAGGTCATAAGCATGGCTGGATCTTCAATTGTTTGAAGCATGAAACTTACTTCCTCATGATAGGCCGTATGCTAGCGTCAGACACTGAAGCCCAAGCTTGGCTGATAACAATAGCAATGCCAATTAGTGGGCGACAACATATTAGTCTCGTAGAGAGCGATAATGCTGCGTGTTATATTGATATTTTTGTGTGCCTGGAATATTCATGATGTCTTGGGCTTTGATGAATCGGATCCGAACCCGTGACATCTTACTGATTACCAAAAATAACACATAAGCATGAGCGTGTCGCAGTGTAACTGGATTCTCCAATTACTTGCAGATCGGAATTTACCTTGATAGATATCACGACAGCTCTAATGATCTTCAGCGACGGGCCTAGGCACCGTATTATTGATCCAGTCGGATCCAACCCCCCTTATCTGCCTCTGTTCACGTAAGTTCCCTTTGATAAGCGACTGTGCCACGTACCAGCAGCCCGGCAGATGGCGCTATAGACTTGGAGACCCCGCATAGCTCCATAGTTCGGGTGCGTCTCGGGCATTTCTTCTGATTTGAAACGACGAACAGCCTATATCTTCAATATTATTAAGACTGCTCATTCCTCATACTCCCATAACTTCATCTGCTGTCCCTAATTGTCAATTGTTAATGCCCAAACGAGTTCGTTAAGCTTGTATTCTTAGGCGTCGACATTGCCGTCGCTCGTCGATCGTAGGTCGTCGTGTCCTACCTACTAGTTCATGTTAGCGCCGCGTTGACTTAGGTAGCGTACAAATCTAGCTTCTTTACTAACCTGAGCTAACTGAAGAACAATAATAGTTATTGGTATCGAGGGTAAGCCTTCAACATTGCCAACGGATAGACGAAGCTATCTAGAAGCGGTACTGCAGGTCCATCAATGCCAAGCTATCTGCTCGATAGATTGATAGGTTTGTTGTCGATCGGGTTCATTCCGAGACTTGTTTCGTTCGTGTTAGGGTCATCCTGTACTCACGGGATCGGACCTGCGGACTAAGCGGGACTAGGGGACGACAATAGATAGGCCAGAAAGGGCTGCGAAGAGACATGAGACTAGTAAGATAGGTAATGGCCGTAAATCTACCTTATTGAAGCAATCATCGGCAAAGACGAAGAGGGGCCACACCGCCCATCTAACTGGCTATCTGCGGACTTGAAGTTGGGGAGTAGAACACGTGGGATAAGCGGTCTGGCTCTTTAGTCAAAATAGACATGTAGTCGGGATGTCGTCGCCCGGACTCGGCTGCGGCTCAAGCGAGGGTAGCTGAAAAAGGTGAAGATCATCGATAGATCATCTGTTACTCGAAGTCTGCATTCTCCAATGAAGTATTCGAGAGAACCTCAGCTGAGGGTTTGGTTGCATATGACCTACGCCGGCAAGAAACGAATCAATAGTCATGACAGATAACTCAGCGGTTCTAGGCCAATCTAGCGGCCTTCGTCACGACTACGTAACCCCTTAATGTCGCCGACTGACGACATCTTGGATTCTCATATTTCGTACTCGAATTAAGGCTGAGACGAAAATATTTGCCGGTTAGGTTGCATAGGGATGGGGGGTTGTTCTCCAAGCTCGAAGGGGTTATAAGAGAAACAAGCTTTCAAGCATTTTACCGAATCCGGTTCTCTATTTATTTGTTTTTCGGTGAGGCGCACACCGGGGGTACTTGCGCCTCCCCGGCCAACCCCCACATTTCCTCTAGGGCTATCCATTACCAGGTACACGTGCTTGGAACCGTTAGCGTAGGAGATCCATTAACTTCCCAGGTTTCTAAGGTTCCCGCTAATGACTTTAGTTATCCGGTTTTTAGTTACCGCAGGAACTGCCTAGACGGATGATGGACTAAGAAGCAAGTGTACCTTAGCACCTAAGCACTTTACCTGCCATCATCCAGCATCCATGATCATCCATGACGACTTGTGATGTCCATGATTTTGATTAGGCAGCTACTAGGTAGTGGAATGTATGTCTTATTACCCAATTGGATAATACTTTGAATTATGGATCATCAACCTTTTTTCCTCTCCTCTGTTTCGCCAGCTTTCTCTCTTCTATCTTCGCAACAAGTTTCTCTTTTTCCTTTTTTTTTACCCATTTCACTTTCATTTTAATATATTTTTTTGCGATTGGCATTTCTTAACCCTGATTCTGGATCCACTTCGCAAGATGTGTGTTGCATACGTGCAGTATCCTTTTACCTTTTACTTGTCTGCTTGTGACCTTCATACATAATGAAGCCCCAATCAGACCTCCTGTCACGTCCGAGACCTACCTAGCCTAGCTAGTAGAGCTGCCTGTACCTACCTGGGGGGCCGACTCGTCCATGAACAGGTTTGACAGGCATCAAGTTTTTGTTCCGTTTATGCCGTTCCAGTCCCCATCTGATATCTTAGAAAAATCACCGGCAAGGTGCGGCATGACGTCGACCTTGGCTCTTTTTTCGGCAGCCAAGCCTGTCGTCCGGCCTGGACACTTAGCCCTTTTCTGATGCCTTCTTGACGATGACCTCTCACTGGGTGCTGTACATCTAATTCAGCTCTTGTGGGGACCTGGGCGACAATGTTCTTGCACCCGAGAAGGCCGCAAGATACCTTCGTTGTCCGGGGCGAGGTTCGTATGAGAGCAAAAACCGCGGGCATCATGAGCCGGCGCGGAACTGCCTACTGGCGAACTTAGCAGGTCGCGAGCGCAAAATGCGGATCCTACATTTATTCATATATTAAGATTGCACACGTGGTAGGTTAACGATCGAGTTAAGAAAAGAGGTAAGGTACGGACGGTATGGTAAGGTACCTACATATTCGCAATGGCTGGGCGGGATTGAAGCATTGATATCCCCCTACCTAGCTTGTAGCCTTCTTTTTCAGCCCCTGATGTTTTATTTTCCCTCTTGTCCACTTTACCACTTTACCTCTTGTATTCTTATGGATTCCTTCGCAAGTGCAGCAGCCACACTCAATTGTTTCCCCATCTCTAGCCAGCATCGTGGCATCAACCACGATAAAAAATTCAAAAAATTCCACCGCACTCTTCTACGACCCAAAGGGAAGTCATGTGTACGTCTTGGTTCTAGATTCTAGACAACGGGCTTCAACTGCACTTTGATGGTGCTGTAAATTGATACTTGGTCCAACGGGAGAGACCGCAGACCGCAGTTTTCAATCACGAGCGCCCGTTAAAACTAAATAAGAGAGGCCCTGTATTTCCCTTCGTTTGGTGAGGCGGCCAGGAGCGGAGTCGGGCATTTCCTCCGTGAGAACCGCCCTCCACAGCCATCAAAACATTCTGTTTTTTGCTGCTTTAGCCCAAAAGTCTCCAAAAAATACAAAATCTCAATCGGTTTTTTGCCCTCGTGCCATCCTGAGAAACCCCTATTGCATGACACTCGTTGGTAGAGCAGGATTTATGTCTAAGGCCGGTCCGTCGCCAACATCCTGGTCTATCTAGGGTCCCTACCTAGTAGATATCCGAGACTATACTTCTGCCGTTCACGCGTTGTCCTCGCGGTCCGGCCCGGCGACCGTTCCCTTGAAGGTCAATCCCCCCTACACGGCAAGTGTACCGCACCTAACCTGCATCAAACTCCCTCTTTTCGGATTCGCGCTTCTTTTTAGGGATGGTCGTGTTTGGGCACAACCGTAGCACTAATCTCCTGTCGTCTGTCATGTGCCCGGACGATAGAAAGCTTTCTCGATCGACCTCGATCTTCACCTCCATACCCTCCGGCTCCCTTATTGATCCCCAAGGATGAATCCCGAGAATACCTCGACTAATTCGAGTTCTGGTGGTCCAGCGACGCCCACTAATAGTAGAAAGGAGCGGGGTGCTATAGCAGCCCAGGTATTCCCGTCTTTCCTCTTCCACCATCATTAAGTTTTTTAACACTCCCTCTCAGGCCTGTGAATCTTGCAGACAACGCAAGCAGAGATGTAGCGAAGAAAGGCCGAAGTGCGCCACTTGTCAGGTCAGTAATCGAAGTTTCTTCATCTCCTTCCGATTCTGTCTAGGGATGCCTCCGATAAAAGAATGACGTCGAGGTTGTACAGCTCTTCTCGTCTGCTCGCTCCCTTGGCCATACTGCTCCTAGTGACTCTTCAAACCGCAAGGTAGAGACCTGATGATTGATGACTAACGCCGAGGTGTGGAATAGCGAATGAATGTAAGGATGGTTCGTCTTACCCCGTGCCTTGTCTTTCACTAACCCCATCAGCTGGAATGCAAATATCGAGAGCCTCAACCGACCAAGTACGTATAGTCCGAAGGCAACTTGTACCATCCTCAGATGCATTCGACGGAAATCCCGAGCCGAATCATGTTGCACAATAGCGTGCCGAATACACTAACATGTTGCAGGAAAGACAAGACCCTTGTCGAGATACTAGAACGGCTGAAGAGCCTTGAAGGAGGGCTAAGAAACCTCGATGGGAAGGTCGATAGCCTTAATGCTCGTGGGACTCTTCCCTTGTCTATTTATGGTCCCATACAATCCCATCCTCCTACGACGACGCTAGATGCCGGCAGGTCTAGCGCGTGGCCTGCTACAAACATTCATCTTCAGTCCCAAGCAATTTCTCCGGCCTCACCTCGCGATGTTCAGTATGTCTCCGCCACGCATAAGATGCTTTCCTGGCCCGTTATGCAGCAGGTCCTGGAGAGCCAGGTTCCGAATCTCGACTTGGCGAGTTTGGAAAAGGACGGAGCAGCCATGTTGTTGGGTTTGCAAGGCCGAGTGACGTCTCTGCCAACCAGTGTATACGAAACTGCGCATCTCGGTACCGAGGAAACGTCTTTTCCTCTGCAAGTTGCTCCCGGGAGTTCGGTCGGCGGGATGTCAACCGGGGGTATGAACTGGGACACGATGCAGCGGCTAACTAAATCGTACTTTGACACGTTTAACTTAATATATCCGATCTTGGACCGACAAGTCTTTCAATCCGAAATCTTGCCCACTATTGCGAACCAAGGCTTTGACGAGAGTAGCTCTTCGACTTTAGCATGCTTGATATTCGCCCTCGGCGAAGTTGCTATCAGCGCCGTCCAAGGCGCTCCCATTACAGTAAGGTTTTACGGCCTCTTACTCGCACACAGTTCCCTGAATGTGTCGTGTAATTTTAATGTGCCATGAAGAGCACGATTTTGATGCCCCTAAATTGGAACTTTGCTAATCCGATTTCTGCAGACACATAAAGGCCGACCCAGTGGCATTAGGGGAGGGACCGTTGAAAGGCCGCCAGGGTTGCTATTCTTCAACGAGGCTAGGAAACGAATGGGATTCAATCTGACTGAATGCAGTCTAGAGAATGTGCAAATGTTTTCGTTGGCGGCGTGAGTATTCTCCTTGCTGGAAATTGGTTTCATCACTTACGCCTTTCTGCGTCTAGCATATATTATGGAACGTGCTGTCATCACTTGGTAATTAGAACCGCTCCCGGGTACTCACCTAGCCTTGCATACTAATTGATGCAGGAATTCTGGCGCATGACGACGTCAGCATCGTTGGCGTGTCAAGCGTTGTTGACGAGGTATGTGTCAAATTGGGACATTGGTTAGGGTCGTATTGACGATGTTTTTAGTAATCCGGAAGAACTGACGACTCATCGAGGTGACCTGGTCCGAAGAGCATTCTGGCACTGCTCCATAATGGAGACGTACGTCATTAACCTATACTTAACCCCTATCGGATCTAAGTTGACAAGTCTCAGGTGTCTAAACATGGAGCTGAATATTCCTCAGACGGGGCTCAATAAACTAGAGCCGCTGGTAGGATTACCCGACTTCAGCGGCTCGTTCTCCGAGGAGGATTACATCGGGAACCAAGCTTCCCACTTCCAAGAGCATTTTGCGTCGCAAATAGTACTTCGGCGACTTTCCGTGGAGTTTCATACTACTCTAACAAATGGTAAGCTGCATTTCGGAGTCTCCTAGGCTCCTAGAATGCTTAGGAGCAGACAAGATTTATGGTTCAACAAGAGAAGAGCGGGAAGCATATGCCCTTTGTTTCTCCTTTACTGCTTTGAATTTTCTTAGGAAAGATAACTAATTAAATTTACAAAGCTTTCGGGCCTACACATCTTCCTATTGAGCCACCAATCTCTTCGGCGGCTGCCATGATGAAGAACATGGCATCACAACTGGATCAGTGGAGAGGATTGTTACCCGTCTATTTACGTTGGGAAGAAGAAAACCCGGGTGCGTTCTCGACTCCGGCTGAAGAGTTATACGACGACCAATCGATGTACCCGTCCCCCGTCCCGGATCTCCATACGAATTTCATGTTCTCCGCAGACCTAGACAATCCGCCCGTAACCTATCCTTACGCCGTTGATATACAGACTGCAAATCTTAGGACGCGATATTATTATGTGAAATATCTCATCTACCGGCCGTTTATTTTCAAAGCCCTGCATCATCCAGAGCAAGTAACGCACGACGACGCAGAAGGCGTCGCAGAATGCCTAAAAGCCATGATCAAATGGCCCATCACAATGTCGCCTACTTGTTTCCACAAGAGACTCATCCCGTGCTTGTTCTTCTGGTCGCAAAACCTCCTCGGTGTCCTCTTGATCCTACACCTGACACAGAAAGTACCGATCTTAGTGCGAATAAGGACGTCACTTATGGGCAATAAATTCGACCAGGACGCCAACGAGACGGCCTTACTATGCATAGACTGGATACGGGACCTGAAAGACACAGACGCGACTTCTCTATGGTGCTGGGAGATTCTGAAGGGTGTCTACTCGCTGGGGGACGACACGTGAACCCCTAACTTCACTTTTCTTTGTCGGAGCGTTTCTCCTTGGGTTATATATTGCGAGGCATTTGGGAGGCAGTAGTAGCAATTTGGAACGAAGAAAATCTTGACGGGAGCTTGCGAACCGATCCCTACTCCTATAACTACCTACTATAACTACTATCTACTTACTTAACCTAGGTCTAGATTCATAGGGAGGTCGCAAATCACCTGACAACTACTATATATCACTCACATCCTGTATCGAGGCTATCTTTAACTGGCGCTAGGGGCTTGCGGAATCGTTATAAGAAATTTCTAACAGAAGTATACGTGTGCGTGGGAGTGATTTGATTTCTGCATTGCTGGGCGAAGGATCTAAAGGTCGTTATTTGGGAGGGTGTGTTCGTTTTTGTTCGTCTGGCTATTTGTCGTTCGCGCGAAGCATTTACAGTAGACTTTCCTCGGCTCCCGGCTGCCAATAATTGAACATACTCATGCCGGGGTCTTTCTACTTACATCTTCCGTGTCCTTGGGTCTCTGGTGATGATGATCTTGTCCTTACGTGACCTATCCTATGACTGTTCCCTATCGCGCTGTGAATATGGGGAAACTAATGACATGTTCTTCAGACCCCACAAGCCCTAGAACTCTACCCTTAGACTTACCATATGCGATGGTAGATCTATTTCGTCAACACAAACCTGGCGACGCGCTCGTCCGTGCCTCTTCGAGCCCCGCGCGCGTACGTCGACCGTCTGCTCATCAAGACACAGACCGCCAGATATGCGGCCCAGTTGTCCCGACGGTGAGGTTCTTAGGCCAATGACGATGATCCTCTTAACCACGGCGGAGACAGGATGAAGAAGCTACCTTCCTAGGGGCCCGCAAAGCAGTTCACGAGCAAGATTACCGACTCCTTCTGCACCCCTGGAGCGGTTGACGATGATTTCGTTAAGAAGCCCGACTGGGCTGCTAGGGCAACCCACACTCCAGCGCTGCTTGCCCCACGATAGGCCGATGTGGACCTCAACCCAGCGTACTGGGAGGATGCGAACTGATCCCATTTGGAGTGGAAACCCGTCCAACCCCTCCCCCAATGTGGGCGACGGTCCGACGGGGCTCGAGTCTCATCTGCAAGCATCGTGCGCGCCGTGCGGTGTAAAATGGCGGTCAGCCGCACCGCTTCTGGAATGGAAGAGCTGCCCCTGCAGATCCGGCTAGGTGTCATGGTGTCTTAGTTCTCGGGGCTAGCACGACCTGTTCGGGCTTCGAAATGTCTTCAACTGTTGAAGAATTGCGCCGTCATCGACCCATAGCCCAGCTATATAGCGAGCGAGATATACCGTCGGCGAAAGTGTTCCGACGGATCAACCTTAGGGGTGCTATGCTTACAGGTAGATAATAATGTGTCTGTGTGTGTTAAGATCCATTTACTTGATACGTGCGGAGGCGGGGTATATTTCCAGAATCTTTTTCACGGTTAACCCCCTTTTAAACTTGGGCGAATATGTATATCGGGTGAGTTGATGGTGTTGAGCATCGTTTGGTACGAAACCCAATCGGGTTTAGGCGTCCGAATAGCCCGCGGAAACCTATTCGTCGAGACCACCACTAAGATTCCAAAAAATGGCAATGATAGGTGAACGTGTGTTGATGGCCGAGCATGAATTTGTCCGGTAAGTGGCAGGTTACGACATGATATGCCATAGGGATTCAAGCTGTCAAGTTCGAGGAACCGCTGGCTTGGCTATGACCTGTCAGAATCGGTTAGAATTCGAACCCAGGCAGACTGCCAAGCTGGTGGGAAAAATGTTGCACGGCGTCGCACCGCATTGAGGCTTTATTCGGACTTTTATTAGATGCTTTATTAAAGGGCATCGCACGAACCTTCTCGCGTGCCATGCGGTGCTATTGTGGGAATTTGTGGACTCCCTATAATATATAATCGTGGCCTAATAAAATCTTAATAAAGTCTGACGTCGGGCACCAAACGGAAAAGAGAGCCCATCACCGGAGTAAAAGAAACAGCAATGTGCAGCATGCGGCTCGGTTCACTCGATGGAGTTAATAATAAGGGTAGGACATGGAGAGAGATCAGACGAGCGCTTTGACTTGGACGAAACCCAATTTGCGCTTTGACGCTGGTGGATATCTTGTACATTTGCTCGGCCATTTCGGGGGAGGGGGCTTCCATAATGAGATCGATAAGTGTCTAAGCGCGCGTCGGAACAAAATCCAAGTGCTAGATCTCGGTTGATGCATATTGATACGTATATAGGTGTTTAAACTTTGATAGGAATGGTACATTTTACGGGAATCCACAAGTTCTTACCTCCAGTGATGTCGTTCCTGCCTCTACACTGTAGGAAGCCACACATCCTTGGTAATTCGCCATATAATTCCGTCACCATATAATCCCAGCACTTTCCTCTGGATGTATTAAGATACTTAAAGCATGTCAGATATTAGTTTCCTTCCAGCCCCGCATAGCCGTTTCAACCTAATGAACGATCTGACATGTAACATTTCGACAGAAATAAAAAAAGAAAGTAAGAAAATTACGTTACTCGTATACTAGATACTCATAACACGATATGAAATCTAAGGAACTTTGCTTGTAGCCTTGGCAAATTGCTTCGAGAAACATTCCCCCCACACTTGTCCACAGTTGAAACATCAGGGGAGAAACACGAATAAGAGAAAGAAACATCAACATCCATGATGCCTTCACTTGCATCAATCCCTTTGATTCGGGACGGGGCACTTACGCATAGTACATGGTTACTTCCCTACCTACACTACGTACTTAGCGTATGTTTCTTGGCCTTCGACCCCGACTGGACGGAAACACATCCACTATGTTGCAGTAGTCGCCCGTTGGAAAACCCACTTGAACAGCGGCTTATTATGCAGGTGCCCAGTGTTGTCTTCGGCAAGAGCATGCGAAACTGGATTCTTTTATCTTCTTGCAATCGCTACCTGATAACCCGATTATACTTTACCATGCTATACCTTGCTATGGTATAAACCTTGTTATACGTACTAGTAGTATGCTTAGGATAATATCTATCTATCTCCACGGCCCGACCGCACGCGTGCTCATTCCTAACTTCTTCATCCCCCAACCCTGGAAGCGATTTACGGCCCGATTTAGCACCCATGATTCTAATCCAGCTAGATTTCTGCGGACTAGCCCTGGGCCTTCGGGAATATCGCTAATCTTTCCTAAGGCCTCTGGATCTGTCTATCTGTCTATCATACCATCACGGTGTCATCGTGTCTTCACCCATAGTCGACTAACTAGGTTTTTAAGAAATATCGATGTTACCTTGAACTTGACGCTGTTGCGGTTATATTACTTTGTCTATCCAATTTCCCGGGAAGAATATCTTCAATGCGAACCAAACGTGTTCGTGTTACATCTTTAACACCCATAGTGGCTGACAGGACGTCTTGGCGTTTCCCAAATCCCGATTTTCGAGTCTGGATGTTTTCTTCCTTGGGAAAATTTCAGGGACTTCCGCAATTTTCGTAGCTTTCCCGAGATCTTTGGATATGTATTGCATGTTGTTGGTAAGAGCATACATAGTTCTGGATCGTCTCACCTGCCATGTACATAGTACAACACACTAGTACCCTACTGACCCTAGTCAGAAGATCGGCGGCCGCGTATGCGGCCAGTTCGGTAGATCGACTCGGATGTCGGGCGAAAGATGCGAAAAGCCACAATTTCAACGCCTCACTTTTTTATCGCTTATATCCCAACTTCAAGAATTTTAGCTTTGCCGTAGCTTCGTTTCCCGGCCTTGCAAGTTCTCAACACTCAATTAACACTTGTCGATCGGCGCTTCTACTAACTTATTATGGCGACCCTATCCTTAGATCTAAAAATCGTGATACTATAGCTCATTATAGCCCCTTATCTCACGGAGCCGACGGGCGTCCGGCGAAGAAACCGGATCGGTCTTAACATATGCAGCTTCTATATCGGGTTTAAGGAGCTTGCAGTGCGGCGGTGGCTTCGTTTACTACTTCGTATATATTTCCTCTGATATTTCCCTGGCGAATGCCTTTCCACTTCCGTACCTTACCCCTCTACGCTAGCTCTACGCATGACATGACGACAGTCTCGTTGTGGATATCCTCCTTAGCGAGCCTGGCTCCGTGGGGTGTTCTCTACGATCCGAGTTGAACCGCATGTGATATTAAGCGACTACGAGACTGGACGAACTGATGCCGCCAAAGCCCCACACGACCATAAACTACTGGGCGGTCCCTTGAGGCATTTTGGGTCGTCACATTCTGTGCTTTGAGGTTCAAAGCATCTGATATAGACTAAGATCACAGGGATGAGGAGAGTCCCTTGCTACCCTTGATAAATGGACCAATCAAGAAATCGAGGACGAAAAAATCGGTAATGTCACACATGTATAGCAGTCTAGATAATAGCTCTAGCGTCATTTTTTGTTGCGCTATTCGAATTGATGGATCTTGAGATTGTCGTCGATGCTGTTAAAGCGATCTAGCAGTAGCGGCTACAAGGAAAGAAAAGCACTATGTTAAGATCATCAATAATACGTGGGAGCTTTGATTTACATAGTAAGTACTATTTACAAATAGTGATGCTCCTGCAGCCCTGTCATGGTTTAATATCGTCATAAGAAAAAACCTGTTTATGACCTACGTGCTACGTAGGTAGCTCAGGTAGCTTCAAGCCACTTTCTTACCTGTCAATTTCGACGTTGCTTACCGCAGCGTTTGGTATGAATATAAGAGGAGTAAACTGACCCTCATTAAATTTAGACAATTTCCGATGTTGATGCAAGCTACCTATGTTCGCGGGGCCGCGGCTCTCTTAGGATCCCGTAACCAGCGGGCGTTTAACGGTAGACCACATGTATGGATGTATGGAGCTTCTTTCATTCCCCAGTTCTCGGCCAGCATTCGCTGGAAGCTAGAAGCTAGACTAGGGGTTCTGCGCTTGGCCGCCGCACGGAAGCCTCCATGTATTTTCGTACAGACGGAGTTTTACAGCAGTTTGCTTTTTGCTTACCTCACACAATTTTTTTTTCTTTCCTTTCCGTTGCGTGTCCTCATGGTTATTCCGGGCTCTTATGATGCTCGGATCATTGTGGATCCAACATTTCATGAAGAATGACAATGCGAAGCATCGAGGGTTAGAACGCCGCAAGAATTTCAGCTTGTTAATATCACAACTATGCCCATGCTCAACCGGAATCGGCATCACATAACCGATATGGCCAAAACCTTCTCGTTACTTCTTAGCTGGTGCCGGGGTGAGGATGTTTTGCATGAAGCCGGGGAGGGGAGGGGGGGGCGATGTCTTTTTATATCGCGATGTCCGATGTTGTCGCAAGTTGGTCGCTTAGGGCTACTTTGTTTGCGGTTGGAGACTTGAGACAAGATTTCTCCGGAGATGCAAGTTGACGGAAGCTGTGAAGGATAATGAGACATAGTCCAGGTGACAGATCTCCAGGTTTATTTTATTTGTGGCATTCGTGCTAACTCGTAGTATATATTAGATCGGCCTTTCCTGGTTGGTCCACCTTCAAGGTTGTCGAATGCCGAGACTTTGGCACCTTAAATGCGGCTAGGCGTTTACCTAGTAGGTGTTTCGAGATTGGATTATATGGATTGTATCTTCAACTTTGATATGATTATGAGATATCCTCCAATTATAAAAGTAAGCAACGATTCAACTGCAATCTCGGTATTTGTTTATGGTATGTTGCCAATTAGTTTATTACGTGCATAAGCTTATGTAGCAAATAAGTGATGTAACATTTGGACCTTTTCGGGGACCTCAGAGAGGTAACCTTATGTAACCAAGTAGGTACCTGGGTAGGTACCGCGCACCTGTTAGACTAGTACCACGTTTAGCGCACCTTCCCGCGCCTCCCATCATTTTAGAGTGTTCTGCTTAGTTTTCTAGTGAGCTTAGTGAGTTTAGTGAGCGCTAGATAATCAACGGTCGTGTCAACATCTGCAACTGTCGCAACTATCGCCATTCTCGTCACTTCGCTAATCAAGTTGACAGACAACCGCCTCATCGGCCATGGCAGCTATGGTTCCAATGTCGTCCCCATACAGATACGTCTGCATAGTAGGTAGGTAAATCACCAAACAGAACGAGCCCAGGATGCCGAAAATGGATTTACCTTGCATCATGCCCACTGTCGCAATTACCACCTTGAGCTATGTACCTCA